CTATACAGCATTATAGGTACGTAGTAATTTAGCTGTAATCTCTACAATGTTATAGGTGTTAAAAACCTTATAGTAGAAGTGCTCTTGGCAGTGCCAAAAGTAGTTTAGTTTTTGTGCGAAATAAGGATGCTATTGTGCGAAATACAGGCTGCCAGCAGCCACTGGCACGCCACTCTCAGTTCGATCAAGCTCATACCCAGCTTTTGCAGTGGGATGGCGAGACCCTCAGCTCTGCCGATTGCGCCCCGATTGACCAACAGGAGACCCTTGGGAGCACAAGGAGTGCATCGTACTTTCCATCAGCATCGCCCGAAATCTTCAATGCGAAGAGGCCCCATCGCAGCGGCGTCTAACGTCACGGTCCCCACGAGTTGCCCCAGACAGGAGGAGATTGAGGTGTTTTGCTGGCCATTCCAGGAGACGTGCATTGAGCAATCTGAGGTGGGGTGTGCTCCCTTATTGCTGAGACAGCCATGGTATCACAGGACGACTCTCTGGTCGCCGTGCAATTGCGCACGGCAATGATGAACATTATTGATCTACGTTCTCCTAGGCATCTGGAACTATCAGTTTATTTCTAGAACGAACAGCAGGAGCCTCAAACTGCCACTCCACCAATTCGCTATGGCGAGAGGGGGATTGTTTGGGCTGGGGTGCGCAATCCCGATGGTGTAAAGCGTGGGAAGATGGGATCTGCAGGTCCAGAGCCAGATGGTACCAATGGAGGGAGGACAACGTCAAGGTCAGGCGTCAAGCGACAAGCGGTGTGTGTATTTTGGGGCGTGGTGAGAGGCAGAGGTGATTGTGGTTGGATGCGAGTGGTGTGTCAGTAGTGGCAGCGGGTGGACACACTGAGGGATAATTGAGGGCGCAGCCTGTTCAGCCCGTTCTCAAGGTTACCGCTCGCAGAGAAAGCTGCCCGCTAATGGGAGCAACTGAGAGCAAGTGGCTCCTGTGAGTGGTTTGTGTTGGCTTGACCTGCATACTTCGCCCACCGACCGGGCCAGGATGGATCCAGGCATGCTCCCGGCGCTTCTGTGCTTGTCCCTACGCGGCCTAGTGGAGGGTTCCTGGCAGGCGTACTAGCAGGACTGAGACTGCTAGGCTGTGTCCGTCCACCAATTGTTGCCTCGGGTGTCGCCCGCTAAGTGCCCAGGGCCGCAGAGGTGCCCCAGCCCGAGCGCCCGCCTGCTCTATGTCGCCCAGTATAACTGCGTGCTCAGTGCTTCCCGCTGTTTCCAGCCCATCATCCATCATTGCGCTTCGCTCTGCCATTTTTGCCTCTCGCTATTGCTACCAGCCTCTACTAAGGGACCGTCCGGGTACTACTACATCACCGCCTTTTCATCCATCATCCATCCCATCTACTCATCTACAGCCTACCACCGACTTACTCTCACATTCTCTCTTCACCACTATCCCATTGAAACAACAACAAAGCCCATATTCAGCAACTCAACGCACCTCACATTCCTTCCGGAATTCGGTTGACGCACTTCGGACCGCTCGGGAAATTGGTCTGCTGACACTCGACATTGTTTTGCCACTCGGTTTGATTAGCTGCTTGAGTCCCCCCTACCTGTCGGACTTAACTGCGCCCTCCTCTTGCTCGCTATTACACACCTGCACATACATACACACTCCTGCATCGACGAGATAATCCTACGAATCGGATCAACTGCATCATGTCTACCTTCTACTACGGCGGCCATCAACAACATCATGTCCCTAACCCGCACCCGTTGTCACAAAGCCACGTTCATCATGGACGTTCGCGGCGGGCCCCCCGTTTATCGACCGCGCAGAACTCTCATCGACAATTCCGTGCGCCTAAGATGGTGAAAGAAGCCGTTGCTCCTGAAGTCCCAAGTCTGGCGGCGTATCGAGCGAGGTTCGAGGCCGGCCGGTCTTTCGATCTCGACGACGACCTGGAGTTCTGCCCGAACCTCTTGTCTTTCGATGAGGTTTGTGGCAGTCCCCTCTTCACGCCCTCGACCTTTACTGACTTCGAGAAGCGGCAGTCAGTCACTTCAGGATCTTCCGACCGCTCTTCGTTGTCCAGCGGCTCACCCGAATCCTCTCCTCTGCAAACGCAGATCCAACCTCAACAGATCACCCCATCCCTTTCCATTTCTAGCGCCGCCACATCTGCCTACATGTCTCCTCCCACTTACGCCAACAGCAATAATAACAACCTAAAAATCCATCAACCCTCGGCGATCCGCACTCGCAATAACGCCATCCCTATTGTCAACCCTTCCACTGGCACTCGCATCTCGAGCCCACCATCATCCATCTCGCCAGGTATGATGCAACAGACCACTGCCGCTCGCCGGTGGTAAACGAGCCCAACTTGTTGTGATGCTCGTCCTCTGTGCTTGCCGTCGTGGTGTCGCTGTATTCACTCCTGGCTGATGTTTTGATGTCGGCTTGCCTTTGCTCGCGGTTTTCGACAATTTCCTCTCAAATCTTACCTCTTTTTACTATGTATATATTGCATCTCACGACACGAAAAATTGGGCATCCTTACTCATCGAGCGAAAGGTATAGCGGTTTTACGAAAGTTTGACATCATGATACCAGCCATTTTTGGAAAGATAAGGTCCGGGAGTACGGTGGCACAGCGATCTGAAAAAGACAAACTCTGGTTTAGCATGGAGTTTCTGAGCATTGCAATGGTTGGGGAGATGACGTTAGAATACGATCGTTCTTCATTGGGGGTGTTATCGATGGATATCGTGAATTTACTTGGAGTTCTTGTGCACATTTGGACAATGGGTCCGACGGGAGGTTGAGGCATACAATGATACCAGATGGACTCGATATTATGGTTTCCCGGTCGGTGATGGGGTTTAAATGACGATATATGGGAGCATCTCATGCGTGACGGTTGGCCGAAAATGACATTCACTGTGCAAATCTGTGTTGAAGAAGATGCGGTCGGTGAGGTTAAGACCACCGCTTTTACTGAGATGTATATCTGTCTAGTTCTAGATGCAGTAAAAACATGAGTTCTCTCTTCATTTATTGGACTGTATTGTGAAAGCTGCCATTTATATGGACTCAATAACAAAATCCGTGACTCGACAGTAGTAGGTTGAAGGGATGATTCACAATAGGTGACGGCTTTGTCGCGAGCCTCCCATGAACAGCCCCGTTCGAGGTGTCACCAGCGGGCATCAGTCGCACGTGATTATGTCCAGCCATTGCACGTGACGAGGCTGAGCACCCTTGGCGGGCGGTCGTGGTCATCAACAAGTGTAACTTCCTCTGCTAATGCTACAGAGTGAGACTCTCAGAGGAACTCGTATTTGAAACATCATACAGTTATACAGCGATGGCTTTGACCCGGCGAAACGTCCTTCTTATCCTGTTGCTTGGCCTGATCCTGTTCAGCAGCCAAGCGCACGCTTTCGGTGCCGGGAGTACGTCAAACAGAGCCCTTCAAAGGAAATTCAGGTGCAACTAGGCAGCCTTTACTGACCTGTCGGACCAGATATTGCCTCTATCTCGGCCGTCGAAGGCAAGAATTGGCGCCATGGGGACATTGAAGATGTGCTCAAAACTGTGGCCTGTATCCGCCATCACAAATGGACCTCCATGATGATCAAGAGAGTCTATTTTGGGTAAGTTACTGATGGTAGACATCAAGAATATGGATGACATTATACACGGTCCCTTTTGCCGAAATCGGCTGCTGATTCATCTGTCCGTTTCTGTAGAAACTGGCTTCGCGATTACTCTCAGGCCATGGACACTGGGGCGCTCAAAAAGGCTCAGCCGGAGACTATTCGCATTCTAGTCTGGCTGTTGTCTTTCTTGGCCTTTGGCTATGCTACTGCTGAGTTTGAGGTCACTTCAGAAAGGCTTGGTGTTTACCGACCGGAGGAGCATATCGAGTAAGTGCTGTCCTGGGTGGATTTGCTCCTGTCAATGTTCCAATGCCTCTGGCCCTCCCGATTGAAGAACACAGTCCGCCTCGTCATGCTGACCATTGCAGTAATCCCAAAGATTACAATGATAATGAGGATGCTCGAAAGTATGACCCTCGGCTTCGCGCGCCAGTGCGTGACATCGAGTTGCAGATTGATCCGAGCACCGGCATGAAGAATTATATTGCCAACGGGGCAGGAGATTGGGCCACCAGTGCTGCCTTCGTCAAGTACAGCTTCGAACGCAGCATCCATCATGGTCGTCTCTACTGCAACGGGCATGGCATCTTCAAAGGAAAGGATGAAGACCTCGCCGAGGCTCTCCGCTGTCTGGGTCAGGGTCTGCATACCCTGGAAGACTTTGGTGCTCACACGAACTATGTCGAACTCGCTCTCCGGGAGTTGGGCTTCCACAACGTTTTCCCTCACGTCGGCACAGCTACAGCGATCAACCTGCATGGGAAACACGTCTTTCCGCTTGTGACCGGCACGTTCGGCATGGTGGACTTTTATCATTCAGTGCTTGGTGAGGCTACGGACCATTTCACTCAAAGCGAAGTGAATGAAATGGACAATGCTCTTGGAACTGCTCAACAAGCTGCGCAGTCGTCGAATCCTCTGATGACTCTTGTGAAACTCCTGTCCAAGGTCCCCGGCACCAAAGACCTTTGTGATGAGGCAGAGAGGCTGCAAGCAAGCTCGCAAGCTCAGGCACGGGCGATGGATCAAGGGTTCGGTGGTCAAGGCGGGTATCGAGACATGAATGATTATGGCGGGACAACGCGAGGGTTTGACGATTTGCAGGGTAGTCGTGCATCTCAAGCAGGCTTCCCGTCACAGCCCCACGGCTATGCTACGGAGTCGTGGAACACGCCGTCTCAACAAGGCTATCAAGCGTACCATCCACCGCAGCCCGAATGGGGTCAGCCTCAGCAACCGTCACAATGGTCTGCTCAGACACATCACCCGGGCTTCGACCAACAAAGTCAACCACAGTGGCATGACCCGAACGCACAGCAAGGTTTTGGCCATCAAACCCAATACTCAGGAGCACAAGAACCCTGGCAGCAACAGCAACAGCATCAGCAGCAGCCTCCACAGCAGGGATATCAGCAAGGGCTGCAGGGGAACGCGCCTAGTCAAGTACCACAGCAACCTCCACAGCAGACAACAACTGCACCAAGCGGTCTGGAAGGGATGCCGAACTTCGACCCGTCCAAGACCATTGCCCAGATTTATCCCATTCTAGCATTCCGGGATAAAGTGGTCAGGACGATCAGCGGCATAATTGAAAAGATTCCGGGGCTGGAGGCTCTAGTGGACAGAATCACCGAAACTCTTACCGTTTTTATCCTGTCTCTACTGGCGCCGTTTGTTCGACCGGTCCTCAATGCCATGGCCAAAACGCTACAAACCGGCAGCGAGGGCGTGATCAACTCTTCGGCAAATCACCAATATGAGGTGTGGACCAACCCCCATTGCTCGGACCCCACACATTCCATGCTCAGCAAAGACCACTTCAGCAACATTCTGAACGAGCCCGCGGGCAATGTGGCCGCCGAGATTCTCAAGTTCATTGCTCCGCGCGTGCTGTACGCTTGGGAGCACCCCGACGTTCCAGTCCAACAGGTCATGCACGACGTGGAAGGCATCTTCCACCATCCAGCCATCAGGAATGAGCACAGTGAAGTGCATCGCAACATGTTTGCCGCTGTTAAACGGTGGGTGGACGGCCTGTCAGACCGTGGACGGAGCTTTGACACGACCTTGAGCTCCGAAGGCGTACGCACAGGGAAAAATCACAAAGCGGGCGTCAATGATCACGCTCATGTCCAACATCAACCCGGCGCGCCGGCGGCACCACATCAGTCCAGCTCAGGTGGACTGGGAGGCTTCGCCAGCTTTCTGCCAGGCCAGCAACATCATGCAGCGGGTGCAGGCGGCAATCATAATCCGTTGGGAATGGTGGGCGACATGATAGGCAACTTCACCGGCCACCAGCAATCATCCCACCAGCAACAGCAGCATCAGCAGCAGCATACCGGAGGCGGTGGTGGTGGGCTTGGTGATATGTTGAGCATGGCCAGTAAATTGCCCATCCCTGGGGTGCAGAACGTCGCGAGCTCCTTGAACAAATATAGCAAGTACACCAAATTCATGGGTGGAAGCGGATTTGGAACTCGCGGTCTGGACGACGATGATGGTGTTGGCGGGGTCAATGACGGCAGCAGTGCCACGACTGGCGGGTATCAAGTCGGTGGTAGCGAGCTGGGAGGGTCGCGAGAATTGCACGAGGCTGCCGCACACGCCAATCAGTATGGCGGTGGTACTGGTGAAGGTGACTTCAGGTCTCCTAGTCCCATGCCCATGGCGCCACCTGCTGGGTACGAACAGTATGGGAACTCGGGCAGGGGAGAGTATTTCCCAGAGCAGGGAGAAGGCCAGGCGTATCAATACCAGACTGAGTATCGTGATCCATATCAGGGCCAGAACCAAGCACAGGGTCCGGGTCAGGGTCAGTACTACGGTGCCAGTGGAGGTGATGGGAGCTCGGCATACTATGGAGGACGCTGATGATGATGATGATTATGATGATGATGGACTGAGATCGGCGTCGATGGACCAAGACAGCCTAGCAAGGTTATCATCGTTATTGTCAGCATCAGTATCTACGTATCAATGAGTGAATGAATGATGCTTTTTGCCATTCTGGCACAACTATGGTTGAGAATAAGACTTGGTACGTAGGTGCGTGGAGTTCAAAGGTGGCTATTGTTCTGCTCGTATTTTGTCCCAAAGCCGAGGCTGAAGTTGACAAAAACGTGGAGTTGAAGTGTGGGGAATATTTTATTACAACAGCAGTGCCAATGCAGTGGTACAGAATCTACTTTATAATGAAAGTACTAGTGTCCCAGTCATCTACTGTGCCCTGTTATATATATATATGTATATATATTGATGGTTCAGCACTCGAATGCCCAAAAAGTACAGTACAAGACAGAATATCAGATTATTTATTGGGCCCGTCCTGCCGATAAATACCGAGATCTAAGACGACTTTGATCAATAACAAGTGCTGTACTTCTGTCCTTTTATTTCACGCCACGGCAAGTTGATTGATAGCCAGTCTCTCGCTGAACTCGAAACCATGACGGCTTCATCCTCAATCCAAATATCCACTTCGCCCAAGGGCATCATGACAATAACCATCAACCGGCCTCAACGGCGGAATGCAGTGGACCCCACGACAGCGCGGGACCTGTACAATGCTTTTCGCACGTTCGAACAAGATTCAACGCAGAAAGTGGCGATTTTGACGGGTGCGGAGGGCACATTTTGCGCAGGGGCGGATTTGGTTGCGTTGACGGAGCAGAGCGAGGATTTAAGACGACAAACCGAGGACGCTCGACCCAAAGCCGGAGATACCGAAAGCGATAGCAACACCGACAAATCCGCCTACACCTACACACGACACCTGGAGCCTGTGGCTGATCGAAATATCGGCCCCATGGGCCCATCCCGACTAATTGTGCAAAAGCCCGTGATTGCCGCGATCGCGGGCTACGCGGTCGCCGGCGGCCTCGAACTCAGTTTGATGGCGGACCTGCGCGTCGTCGAGGAGGATGCCGTCCTGGGCGTGTTTTGTCGTCGGTTCGGCGTGCCCTTGATCGATGGCGGGACTGTGCGGCTCCAGGCGATTGTTGGTCTCGGGCGGGCGCTGGATATGATTCTGACGGGTCGGCCGGTTTCGGCGAACGAGGCACTTGCAATGGGACTTGCTAACCGTGTTGTGCCTAGGGGAAAAGCACTTGATGAAGCGGTCAAGTTGGCTGAGTCGTTGTTGAAGTTCCCTAATGAGTGTATGATTGTTGATCGGAGGTCTGCTTACTATGCTGCTTTTGAGGCGAGGGGGTGGCAGGATGCTTTGAGGTATGAGTTTGATAATGGGAGGGGTGTTGTTGAAAGGGAAGGGGTTAGGGGGGCAGAGAGGTTTGCGAGGGGGAAGGTTGGGAGGCACGGGAGTAAATTGTGATGGTGGGAGGATGAACACTTGTTGGTGCTACAGCCTGGTGGAAGGGAAGAGGACAAGGTTTCAAACAATGTCTATCATCGTGGACGTTGTGATGTGGTGAGAAGGACCCATACATAGAAGTTGTCACTTTATATCGGGCCTTTATATCGGCGATAGAAGCTAAGGAGATGTCCCCCTTTTTCCGTATTTGTGGTAAGTCAAAATGAGCATATACCTACCTATCTTTTGGGCGGGATAATATGTGCTTCGGCCATACATCTGGTAGTGCTTATACTGCTTCCTCACAGTGCTCTGCATCATGAGGGACGCCAGAAGCAGGGTTCGAAGTGAAATTGCATGTCTCTGGACGCTTAAGATACGCCACGGTTCAGTCATCGATTCAGTACATTTAGCCACATGACTCAAGTCGTTCGGTGGTTCAAGATGGAATCAGAGCAGAGGAAGGCTGAGAGGCCATTTGCGTTGTGATTGAGGGGCCAATAAGAACTCGAGGCTGGAGACAACGCACCCCTAATATGCAACTAAACTCTTTGGAGTCATTGCTGAGTTGAACTTATCGGCCTTATTGCGGAACAACTGTATCGAAAATAGCATCTACTGACTAAGCATTCCAGACTTCGACCATATCAGCAGCAATGCTCAGCCCTTGTCGTAGCAACACGATCATTTGTTGCATGTCGTGTTCCTGAGAGCCTGCCCAGAAGAGAGCCATCGCGCTGTGCGGCTGTGCAAGGCGCGCGCATTGCCAGACACGGCGTCAGTGGCGGTGGTAGCAGGATATCCAGCTAATCAGTAGACCATCAGTCAAATGAAATTGGTCGGCGGCAAATTTCAGTTCCAAAGTGGGCGCCAGGGCGGAAGGCTGCTTGTTACAGGGATCATCCTTCATCTGTTCAACCCCAGCACCTCTAGCTGAGCAACCTTCTTCAGCTCATGATGGTCAGTTACATCCAAGAATTCCAAGTTTTCCTCGCCGCCGCTTGATGTGTCGTTACCTATAGATATGTGGCTAGTTATTGGTAGTTTGCAGCTAGAAAGGGATCGAAGAGATGTGGTTAGATCAAGAATCCCGCCTACGCGTCTGGGGAGCATCTCTAAACTATATTTGAATTAGACACGCTGCGAATGGAGATTTACCAACGGGCTCTATTGGCTCTCGCTGATTAGGCGGCGGCTTGGCATCTGCCGATAGACGCCATTCACGTCATACAGCGTTGTACTTTGCGGCTCGCTGCAGCGGGTGGCTGCCAGTCGATCGGCGTCCTTTATCCAACTTCTGCGGCAGCGCAGCGCCTGGTTGAATCGCGTGCTAAGGTAATTATTAGCGGGTGACACTGCATCTACAATTGTCTTGTTTGTCCATGGCCTCTTCATTGAAGGCTCCCCCCTACTGAACAAACGACCTCTTTCACCCTTTTTCCTAGAGCTTCCCCACGAGACAATCAGTTCTTGCTCCTTCACTCGCTTTGTCGGTGTATTTTGGGGCGTCACTAGACAAGCATCTGGCACAGATTGTTGGTCGAGGCCAGTGTCACTCCAGCAAAAGTCGGGTACCGATTTCGTGTCTTCCACGAGTTGTATTCACGCAGTGATCCGTCATGCTTCTGCGCATAACCTACGACTTCAACCCTTGACGATACCTACCTCCTACCCGACAGACCTAATCTACCATCATGTCGCTCAACGACACCCTTAGTTTGGGTGGAAATACAACGGCTGCGAGCCAGAAGAATGGCCAGAGTGCCGGCCAATTTGCGGCTTCCCTGGTTACCGCCATCGCTGTCTTTGCAGTTGAAGTTGGGCTCTTCCTCCTCATAAAAGACCGGTTTGCAAGAATATACCAGCCAAGGACATACCTGGTGCCTGAGAGGGAGCGTACCAAACCGATACCGCCCGGTTGGTGGGCGTGGGTGAAACCAGTCTTGACCACCAGCAACTCCGAGTTCGTGCAAAGATGTGGCCTCGATGCATACTTCTTTCTCCGGTACCTCCGTACCCTCCTCAAGATCTTTGTGCCCGCAGCCATGGTCATTTTGCCCATCTTGATACCACTGAACCTGGTGGACGGACGAGGTGCGCGATGGGCCACTGGCCGGCACGAAAATGCAACGAATGTTACAGGTCTAGACCAGCTGGCCTGGGGAAATGTAGCGCCTAACCATACCGGACGGTACTGGGCTCACTGGCTTCTTGCCTTGGGATTGATCGTTTGGGTGTGCTATCTGTCCTTCGACGAATTGCGCAACTACATACGTATGCGACAGGCATACCTGACTTCTCCTCAACATCGCCTCCGTGCTTCTGCGACGACTGTGCTTGTCAGTTCCATCCCTCGGAAATGGTGCACTGTCGAGGCTCTCGATGGTCTTTATGATGTTTTCCCAGGCGGCGTCAGGAATATCTGGATCAATAGAAACTTTGACGAACTCAGTGACAAGATTAAGAAACGTGATAAGCTCGCGGCCACACTGGAAGCGGCGGAGACAGGGCTTATCCGGAAATGCTTCAAGAAGAATGAAAAGAACATTGCTAAAGCCGAAAAAGAAGCCGGCAAAAAGCTATCAAAAGAGGAGAAGAAATTGAGGGCCACCATCAGAGATGAGGCCGGCGATCAAGCAGCCCATGGACACGGTGTCAGTACGGGGAACCCACATCAAGTCCAACATAATATTCGCGAAGCCCTCGATGGCCCGGCCGATAATGATTCCTCGTCTACTTCCTCCTCCGACTCCGAACCAGAAGATCAACAACGCGGAAAACATGTCCTCCCCATCCCGATACTTGGAGATGGCATCTCAGCTGTTACGCATGGTTTAGGCAAAGCTGGGAACCGACTTTGGGGAGGCATTCGAGGAGTCAACGAGGGCGTAAACCACACCATCGACCGCACCGGCGGTTTCGTTCCGGCGGCTGGTGCCGAAGCAAAAGATCCGGGCAGAAATTCTGGCGAACAGCCGGAGACCAAAGAAGAACCACAGCCCCAAGAGCCTAGCACACCACCCAGACCCACTCGGCAGCCCACAGGCAAACGCAAACCATCAGACAAAGATGCCTTTGCAAGGGCACAGGATGGAAGGCGTGGTCATGGAGGCGTCACAGCTACGGCCGATGGGAATTTTGACCTAGGTAGCCCTCTCTCTCAATCTAGTACGAAGGGAGATGAGAAGACCCGGCCGGAAAAGTCGCTTAGCACATTTCAAAAGCTCAAGAAAGCGATAGGGCTCGGTTCTGAAGAAAAGAAAGAACCGGTCGATTATCCAGAAGCTTTTGAGTGGAATTTCGAACATGACCCAGACGATGCCGTTTGGCGACGCTATCTTTCCGACAAGGATCGCGACACCATGAGACTTCCAATCTTCGGCTGGCAATGGATGCCTTCGCTACCCCTTTTGGGAGAGAAGGTCGATACTATCCGCTATTGCCGTAAAGAGGTGGCACGACTCAATGTCGAGATCGAAGATGATCAGGCTCACCCAGAACGGTTTCCGCTAATGAATTCTGCCTTTATCCAATTCAACCATCAGGTAGCCGCCCACATGGCCTGTCAAACGGTCAGTCATCACTTGCCCAAGCAGATGGCTCCTCGTCTGGTGGAGATTGACCCGAACGATGTCATTTGGGATAATATGTCGATTCCGTGGTGGTCAGCCTATATCCGAACTTTTGGAGTTGTTGTCATAGTTGTGGGTATGATCCTGCTCTGGGCCATCCCTGTTGCCTTCACTTCTGCACTATCGCAGCTGGAGACGGCCGCCAAAACATGGAGTTGGCTTCACTGGGTCTTGGATATTCCTGCCTGGTTCAGAAGTGTCCTTCAGGGTGTTTTGCCGGCGGCTCTGCTGGGTCTGCTGATGTTCCTGCTGCCTCTGATCCTTCGGTTTCTCGTACGAACCCAAGGGACTCAATCTGGAATGCTCGTGGAGCTTTCGGTTCAGCGGTACTACTTCTGCTTTCTATTCGTCCAACTGTTCTTGGTCGTCTCGATTGCATCTGCGTTGACCCAGTTCTTTGCCCTGTTCACGAGTGTGGATGGCTGGACTAGTGTTCCAACCCTACTGGGCACCAACATCCCGAAAGCAAGCAACTATTTCTTCTCATACATGCTACTCCAGGCCATGTCGGTGAGCGCTGGAGCGCTGGTGCAGGTGGGCTCACTTATTGGGTGGTTCATTCTTGCTCCTCTCTTGGACAGCACAGCGCGAGCCAAGTTCAAGCGACAAACTGAGTTGTCCAACATCAAGTGGGGTACTTTCTTCCCAGTGTACACCAACTTGGCTTGCATCGGTCTGATCTACTCCGTCATATCGCCGCTGATTCTGCTATTTAACATCGTGACCTTCTCCCTATTCTGGTTTGTCTACCGATACAACACTCTCTACGTGACTCGGTTCACCCGCGACACCGGTGGACTGCTATACCCTAATGCCATTAATTACACCTTCGTGGGAGTCTATGTCATGGAAGTGGCTTTGATCGGCATGTTCTTCCTTGTCCGGGACGACCAAGGAAATGTTGCCTGCACAGGTCAAGCAATTGGCATGATTGTCATCCTCATTTTGACCGCAGGATATCAATTCCTCCTGAACAATGCGTTCAGTCCATTATTCCGATACTTGCCCATCACACTCGAGGACGATGCCGTCCGCCGGGACGAGGAGTTTGCCCGGGCGATGCAGAAGAAGCACGGACTCATTGATAACGAGAATGAGCAAGAGCCTCTCGAAGACCAACTGGAGCGTAACGAGCGACGGGAACTGGAAGAAGATCGAGAGGCGGAGGAATATGAGCTGCAGCGAATCGAGCGGGAACGGAAAGAACGACAACGGCAATCACATGAGCCCGAACAACACTTGCAGCTGCAAAACCCCGAGATCACCATGGACCTGGATAAGGAAAGTAAAGGGTTACGAATGGTAAAAGCCGCAGCGGCCAAGACGGCCGGAACGACCAAGAACCTTGTCCCACGGACCCTTTCTCGAAAGGAACACCGCAAATCCTGGGCAGACCGAGACGACGCGCGGAACCGAAAAGCCGCCAACTTCGGCGGCGAGTACGACGAAGCGACCGAGGGTCAGACGGCGTACCCGACGGAAGAGCGCGGCCGTGGCCGTAGTGGCGCGACCTCACACGGAGGACGGTATCTATCGCCGCCACGCGACGTGCTGAACAAACTCAACAACTTCAACCCGTTGACCGGCACGGAAAAGGACGTAGAAGCCCAGCGAGCGGCACGCAACGAATTGGCCGACGCGCTCTTTGGCGGCGTCCACGACGAACTCGAGGACCTCACGCCCGAAGAACGCGACAAGTTGGTCCAGCGGGCCTTTCAGCATAGTGCGCTCCGGGCCCGGCGGCCCGTCATCTGGCTGCCGCGCGACGACTTGGGCGTTAGTGACGACGAAGTCCACCGCATGGGCCGCTTCAGCAGCCATCTCTGGGTCAGCAACGTCAGGCAGGGCCTCGATTCAAAGGGCCGTTGCGTGTATAGTGGTGCACCGCCGGACTTTAGCGAGGTCGATTTGATCCAGCTTTAGCTGATGAGTTTCTGCTTCAGCTACACTTGATCTTTGTTGCTTGCTGCTTTGTGATGATGAGGAAACGACGTTTCGGAAATCGACGCGACGACGACAATGATTTTTGTTTCAGGCCTTGGTTGAACCTGCTTGGTCCTCGGGGAAGCAAGCAAGTATGCATGCAGGAACGAGTCAATCCAAGAAGTGATTGAGTAATTGATATGCGTTCAGAGCCAGCCAGCAAATAAGCGGGTTAACCTAGTTACTATACCAGACGAAACTAACTGCCGTAGTACACCGTTCGGAGTTTTCTGTTTGCTTTCTAGTCTGTTTACAAGTATTTCATTGATTGACGATTTGACAGCACGAACAAATTTCTTTCATTCTCTCGCGAGTAGTACTTCTACATGTATCTAGAAGCTCTGGGAGATCTAACAACTTAGGGCTTTGGGGTTCGGTCTGCGGTTTCCCTCGCGTGTTTCCCTTTGTTCGGCTAGCATTAATTGCATCTGGCTGTCGCTGTCGCTGTCCCTGCCGCTGCAGGGTGCCCCTGTCCTTTGACTGGGTCAGGACACTGTACATCAAGAGTGATCACCATCTCTCTCAGGTCTCATGGCGCTTCTTCATCATCCTTTTGAGTTTGCGAGCCGCTCCGACAATAGGATCACCTGCATAGATGTCATGAGGATCCTTTTCTCTCCCGCTCTCGCCGCCCCATTGGATGCGGGTTCGGTGTTGAGTAGACGGGCCTCCCTGGCTGGGTTCGGGGACGGCCGTTTCGGCAGCACGGCGCGGGTGTTCTTCGCCCCCGTCGTCGCTTTCGCTGGACGTCTCTTCATCTCCGTCACCCAGGCCCAAAGCAGCTAAGCGTCGTCTCTTCTCTGCGGCAGTCTCGCCGCCGTTGGGATCTTCGGCCTCTCCCTCTTCCTCTTCCTCTTCTTCCTCCTCGGACCGGATCCTTGCCAGTTGTCGTCGGCGGAAGTCGGCCGCAGTGTTGCCCTGGCTGTGCCTGGCGAGAATAGACGCCACGTTGTGAGTGGGGACATCTGATTCCTCGGATTGATCATCGTCATCATCATCGTCGCGGTCGTCGTCGTTGTCATTCTCACTCTGCTCGGCTTCTGCCGAGATGATATCGCGGTTGTGAGTGGTGACACGGTCAGGTCGTGGTCGGCGTGCGGGACTGAAATAATCTTCCTTGCTTTCCGAGTTGTCGCTCTCAATCCGCCGACTAGCAGCCGGACGCATGGCCGCCGAACTTGACTTGGCTTCTGGATTGGTCGACGCCCGCGGCCGCCCAGTTCTCTCATCAGAAGCTGCAGCTGCAGCCTTATGATTGCCAGATTTTTCTCCTTCGGCTTTGGCGGCCTCTTGACTACGGAATTCGCGCTTGAGGGCCTCTGGGGCGTCGCTCTGCTCGACCTCCTGGATCTTTTTCTTGGGATCGAGCTGTTGCATTTGTTTGATGAAGTCTTTTGTCGATAGTCGTCTTCCAGAACCCAAGGCGATGGCGCCAGGAGCATCCCGAGCCTTCTTCTTTTGTAGGCCAGTCAACCCGTACTGATCGGTGCTGGAGATGATCATCCTTAGGCCATCGTCATCTATCGACGTGTTGGAGCCGCGTCGCTTGAGGATGGGCTTCTTTTCCCTCTGCTGCTCCACGCCTTCTTTCATCTCAGTAACAGCGGCTTCGGAGCTGCCTGCCCCAGAGGCGCCAGCAGCGGCCCCGGCACTGCCACCACCTGCTTGTCGACCGCGGCCCACCCATGTGCTCATTCGACGCAGTCCTGCCCGATTTCTTTCGCCAGTGCTGCCATCGCTGGGGATAGTATAAGTCTTGATGACTTCGCCATCTTCATCTTCTACGATGATTGTGTTGCCGAACTGATAAGCATGGGCAGGACCTCTCTTGCGTTCGGCCTTCTTGCCTTCGCCCTTTTTGCCTTCTGCCTTCTTGAGTTCTCCTTTCTTCGGTTCTCCCTTGCTTGAGGGACCAGCAGTCGTGTCATTTTCTTTGGATTCCTCTTTCCGCTTGCTAAAGCCTTTCCATTGGTCAAATCGTTGTCGCATAGTCTTCGAAGACGGACCCAAGGCTCCTTCGAGGTGATGCGTGATCTCACGTTCGAGATCTTCACCTTCGGTCTTCGGATGAGGTTGATGTTTGTGCTTGGTGAATTGACCAGATTCATCCCTCGCCAGCCGATTTCGCGCCCCCTCAATAGCCTCGGCCTTCTCGGCAGGCGTCATCTGGCTAGCATCAATGGTCTCCACAACATTACCTTCTTCATCCTCCACGACGATATTGTCACCCTCTTCATATATTTCCACTTCTGCAGGTTCTTCTGAAGTCGGTTTTCGTTCCCGGTTCTCTTCTTCCCTGAACCTCAGAGCTTCGGCTTCGCGTTCGGCTTCCAATTGATCACGTTCTGGAGATGAGGTCGGGGACCCAGTCACGAGACGGTCTTGTCTACTCTCAGGCGAAGGCTCGTCAGATTTCTCGAACAAAGTGTCTGAAGCAGACCCGGGCTGAGACAACAAGGGTTCCGAGCGCCTTGCCGGTGCAATGGCACTCTGGCTGATTGGCCCGCCCAGACGGTCTTCATACTCCTTGCTTTTTCGTTTGCGCCTCCGCGACCGTCCCATGCTTGATGATCTAGAGCCTGGCCGCTTTTCGTACTCATCTTCGCGTTGACGCCGAAGATGGAGTTTGGGAATCCCAACTGGCGGTAGTTGACCAGGTGGAACATCCAGCTTGTCGTCCGTGTCCAGTTCTGAGCTGTCCATGCGAGCCATCGATCGCGATTGGGAGGAAATCCTCGGGAGACGGTTCATCCAAGCCGGACCCTTTTCGTTGTCCTGTGTATACGACAGTGTGATTGTGAGGGTGTTGATGCGCTTGCCCAAGGTGAAGACCGCAATGGAGGAGCCATGCACCAAGATGGATGAAATGACCAGGAATGTTACCACAGGCCATACAAGGTAGATCAGGTTGTAATCCTTTGAGCCTGGGGCCGGAAGTTGGGACATCGGTTCGGTGGAATCAGTCTCAAGCTCGGCACGAGCCAGGATAGCCACAAAGATGGCTCCGACCCCAATCGGGCCAAAATGGCCTGCAAACAGAGCCTCTCGCCACGTTTTGACATCCGGAATCAGGGGCTTCAAGGCCAGCATAGCCGGGATTCGGCGGAAAAAGATGACAAAGACGGAGATTACAACCAACCGCCAAGGTACCAAACCGTGCTCGGGAGCGTTGTATTGATCCCAAGGTACAATGGTACCAAAGTAGACAAAATAAGCCAAGTTGATGAGCAAGTCAATGACGTTGGACACGTGTGACTCTTCGGTCTTTTCGGTGAACCAACCATCGTTGGAAAAGCCCACGCCAGCCGCGAACCCGATCAGCAGGTCGTCCATACCCAGCAAGCTGCCGGAGCCAGCGCAAAACAAGGCCAGCACGAAATAGAACACTAGAAAGCTTTCTCGGTCGATTAGGCCCTTCCGCTCGGCGAACTTGATGGCGTGACGGCCAATGTAGCCCACCATCACCCCGTAGAAGGCGCCAAAGATGCACTCGTACAGGATGGTGATGACGATCCAGTGAAAGACCACGTCCTTGGCACCCAGATCATATCTCAGGAGATACAAGGACAGGTAGATAAAGGGAAACGCCATGCCGTCGTTGCAGCCCGACTCCGCAGACAAAAGATCTCGAAGATGTTTGGGCACTCGTTTGGCGAACTTACCCTTTCCCACGACGGACGAGGCAAGGACCGGGTCGGTGGCTGTCACACAAGCTGCGACGACCAGCGACTCGAGCCAGGTGAGTGGTACTATCATCCACCAAACAAAAAGACTGGTTACGAGCCAGCCAAAGGTCATGACTGGCACGAGGAGGAAAACGACGGATTTCCAGTGCCGTTCCATATATGCCTTGGGCAGTTCGACCCCGACGGCAAAACATTGCACCACCAAGACTATGCGCGAGAATTCGAGGGTGATTTGGTCAGTGTTCCCCCATGTGAGCGGATTGATCAAGTTGGCCACATGTGGACCAAAGATGACACCGCACAATGTCGCCACGGAAGCCTCACCGATGTACAGCTTTTCCTTGATGAACAATGAACACAGCATAAACATGCTGGTAAACCCTCCTAGGATGATGTACACCAAGTGCGGCTTGTTTATGGACAAGTGATCCCACGCCATTTTGAAGAGTGAAAGTGTTGGCGGGCTTCGAGCCGGCCGCGACGTGCCTCGCCTGGTAAGTTACAAGTTGCGTGTATTTGCGGCCAGATTGAAATGGGGTGACAGACTCCTCCAATATCCGGTTTAAAACAGTTGATAGATGCAATGCTTCAGATGCCCGCCCTGGGTCTTTGGTGTCCTATATGAGCTTGTTATCCCCAATCGTTGCTTGCTCTTGAGTCGAATTGGAAGTTCGGTGTCCGATGCATTCAGAGATTGGTGTATCTTCCGACGGCCGAAGGATCCAACAGAGACACCGCCCTCGAAGGGGGTACAAGAATGAATTAGGATATGAGGTCCGGACTCCGTTCCGAGGCGATAGTGAGAGTGGGAGCGTGAAGAGACCGACACAAGCGCAGTCGTCAAGAGAGCGCCGGATGTTCGAGAAGGGTGCAGGGCATATCTATCGCAAAGCCAAGCGATATGACTGACAATCAGCTACGGTCGAGGCCAAGGACTGCTGCACCAGAAAGAGAGCTTGGTGCAGTCAAGAAAGGAAAAGACTGCCTTGCCAAGCTGCGGTCGAGAAGAAATGCAGAACAAGCGAGCGGCAGTGTTGAGTGTGTTGAAGTTGAGGACTCGGCGCGGTGATCAAGAGATCCGATGCCTGTCAGATGCCTGGGCGTTCCGCCTCCGGGCCTGTAGTTGTAAGCCACTCCACTTTTGGGACGTCGAGATCGCCGGCCTGTTCGGCTTGACGCGTAGACTTGTGGTGTTGATGGGGGTGTTTACTGTGACTACTATCGTAGAAAATTCTAAACTGGACTCCCCCCACGAGAAAAATGTCCTGGAGAGGCAGAAAGGAGATTACACATGTACAACGTACTGCCACTGCAGCCACCTGCTGATATGAGTATATAAACGCAATTCTGCGGTGCAGCGTGATATCCTCCAACTCGCCTCCATTGAGCCGGCTCTGTTTACTCTCACAATAATACAAACCAGCATACGCCTACAGCACGCCTAGCAAGCAGTTTGAGCAGATGATTATTTTATTAGTGACACAGCAGACCTCAAGATGCCGTGCCTGTGCCGAACGCCGTGGCAGCGAACTCAGCACCGCGATGGTTCCACCACGAAGTACAATGTACACAACCCACCGCTGAGAGATCTAACATTGTACTAGTACCGATGGAGTAACACCAGCAAAAGTGCCCTACTTGCGTGGGTGGCTGCTGCCCTATCTGAGTATCTGATTGGGTGCGGTGGACGCCATGGGCTCCGGACACAAGAAGCCGGGCGACCTTGGCATTTCTTGGAGTGACAGTGACGACCTGGAATTTCGACTTCAAACTCCGAGCCAGTAGTAATGCCATCAGACGAATCGTCGTCGTACAGTACTAGTAGTACTACACCAGATCATCTACAGTACGTACGAGATATGCTCTCAGTTCTCAGCCGCAGATATTCGACAGCATCAGAGTGTTTGTTATTGGGATAGTAGGTTCAACCATCACCATCCGGACAGCCCTTCGGCTACTACGCGTCGCCCAGTAGCAGTGCCTCCCTAGGCAGGCCGTATTTGTCCGCCCCCTTCGTACAACAGCCCAGGCCGAGCGCTGCATCAAGCTCGTCGTCCTCGTGAACAAAAGCCCATTCGTTCCCCGAGGCCACTCCTTGCCAGGCCCCTTCCTCTCTAACTGTCTGCTCTCTCCATTATATCCAGCGACACGGTCTCCGTTAACCCGGACGCACGCTCATCAAATATCCCACAATCCCACACCTTTTTAAACATAGATGCAAATCATCGTCTCTCATATGCTGGTCGTCATGATTGTCGTAACTGAGTGAGTATATCGCCGTCACATGGCTTCACAATTCGTATGTACCAACATCTTCTCGGTGAAAATCATGACCGTAACTGCGTTGGTCAATCAGTTGCTGCTTCCACAGCAGCACGAGGGGAAGGCGAAGATAAAATATGGTCTTCATGAACTCATTTCAAATCACCTTGTCGCAAGATATCTTTCTCCACTGGCCGTCAGGGTTAAGCGACCGAGGCCAGCGCTCGCTCCTTGATGTGGGCCGCTTGGGTCTCGAGGGACCGTGCCATGAGTTTGAAGACTGCACATCGGTGTCAGGATAACTGGTTGACAATTTAAAACCAAAGGGGGAACTCACCTGGCCAAACAGCATCTCTTTCGAGAAGGTATGCTGTTAGTACCAGAATCCTGCTTCCATGCCCTCCTTCTCGGGCAGCAGACAGGTCGTAACCGCCGCCGGATTCAATCTTGAGCTCAGCGTTGGACAGGATCTCCTCCAATTTGTGGATAAGTTTTCGGTCTTCATCCTCCAGAAGCAAGATGCTAGGCACCTCCATCAAGTTCATGTCGTCCCTGCCGATGATCCCAATATACTTGCCCACGCGCTCTTGCACAGCGGCAATCCACTCCGCTAGAACCTGAGCACAGTCAAAAGCGCACATCGCGGACTGCGTGGGTAGTTCTCGGGACGTGTGCTCGGCGAAGCTGAGTCCCAGTTTATCCGACATCGACAACGAGTCAGCCGCATAGAATGCAGCCTTGCGCAGATACCGCTCTCGGCGTGCCAATTGGGATTCTTCCCGGTTGGACCCTTGCCCTTCCCACGTGCCTGATGACCCGGCACCTTGTCCCGGTGACCCGCTCTGCTCCTCGCCACGGTTTTCGGGCTCCGTATTGGGCGACGCCTTGTTCTTGGCCCCAGCGGATGTGCTTGGAGACCGCGTAGGCAGAGGGCTTTTGGCCAATTCTTGGGCCATAGCATCGTAATCACGTTGCCAGAATGCCTCCTTGGACCTTCCAAAATTGACAAAGAGACGGACGTATGCGAGATCGAGTAAGGGAATACAGTCAGCCGACAAAGGTCCGGCTCCAAAGGGATTGGGCCGTTCGAGGCTGTGAGTGGGATTACTTGCCCACGCAGCTTGCCAAGCGCGGAGTGCGGGCTCAATGTGCGCATGCATCTGTTCCGTCTCACTGGCGGTCCATTGCCGGCCAAGGTGACGTTGGCGCGTTTCCCAGATGTAGTTGTGCAGAGCATTGACCAGGATGAGGCAGCCAAACGTGCTGGGTTTGAGCTCCGGCTCCAGGGGAGATCCTTGTGGAACAGCTGCACTACTTCGTCGCCGTTGCCTTTGAGCAGCCATGAGTAGGTGAGTCAGAGACTCCGCGAACGTGGTGGAATTGGCCTCCGCGCCGACCGCGCCTCCGAGGCTACGCCATGCTTGAGCCGATTCGGCAGCCCAAAACTCTTCATCGCAAGGCAGATTCAGACGTATCTCCGAGTTGGTGAGAGCCGGAGGATGGTTATAGGCTGTCACCAACATGCTGGACAGGATGAAAACAGCATACAGAGTTCGCTTGCGTTCCTCCATCACTTTCCATTCCATCCAGTCAGAGTCCTCCGCCTCACTAAGCATGGAATTCCAGCCGCTGGAGGCCATTGAACTCGATGGGCCGCCTGAAGATTGTGGTTTGTGACCCTCTCTAAACAGCCCCTGGGAGGGCCGTGCGAGTTCAGCGCCGCGGGCCAGGCTGACTAGGGCTGCACAGTGATTACTCGCTAGCTCGGCAGCGGTTTTGTCCCCACAATTGTGCCCATATATGACATTCAACAACATGGCCTGAACCAGCCAAAGTGGAGTGTCCTCCCGTTCCGTAGAATGTCGTGGAGCAAACTGCGTCCTGGTCATGTTCGCCTTGCGCCGTTCTTCGAGGTAGCTGCTAATGAGCCGTTTGGCACCTTCGAACAACTCCTTCGAGTGACACACCTCATGTTCATACAAGGCTCCAATCGCGGCGATCGATAGTATTAGACAGCTACCCCCTCCGGCGACAGTTGCCTGGCCAAACTGGGATTGGCCCGACACAAGCCTAATCGGAGTCGTAAACTCCGGGGATTCGAAGTTGAGCGATGCAATGTGGAGAAAAGGGAGATGGGGATGGAAGTACTTGATGTATGCCATCACGTACCGCCGTAGATCGTGAGTACTTGGGAATGCACTCGCGCTGAAACCTTTGGTACGCGAAGCTGTGCCAGGAGATAACGGCGAACTTATCGCTGGTTGTGGGTACTTTCGCTGTCCAAAGCCGGCATTTTGAGAGAGCCCGTCGATCAAAACATTCCGAACACGGTCGCTCACGAATTCGGAAGACATCGTCGTCACTGAACTCTGGCGAAGGGAGCTATCCATAGAAGTTGTGGATGAGGCAGACGCAGGCCCTTCCGCACCGAGTGGTAGTTGGAATCCGGGGAAGTGCATGCTTGATTGCATTCCCGACATGTCTAGAGAGCCAAATTCGGGTGGAGTCGGCAGGCTCATATCCAGGGACACTCCATGAGGCAACAACGACTTGGGAGAGATTGTCTCTACCGGGCCGTGCATGAAGTCGGTGAAACTCGACATCAAATCCATACCCGCCGGACTGTCCATCATCGGAGTAGGCCCTGTAAGGTTAGTAGACCACAGGTTGCCATTGGAAACTCCAGTCTGTCTCATCGCCGGCAGGGTCTGATCGCTGGTCATGTCATTCATACCACCAGGGCTATTCGTACTCATGGCGGAAGGAGAAGAGTCGTCAATCGCGTTTTCGTTGGCCTGTGCAAATGACATTTGGTTCTCAAAGCCTTGTGCGATCCACTCGAAGCTCGTGTCGTCGTCGGCGATAGCTTGAGAAGTTGACATCCCATGTAACAGCTGCTGGAACGAAGATGCCGCCGGATCCAAGCCTAGTCCTTGTAAATTGGTCATGTGCAGTGCATGTGGATTGATGGTATCTCCTTGCTCCGAGTCAAAGTCCATGTGGCCTAGACCAAACTCAGCACCAAAACCGCCAAAAGGTGGTGCAGTTCGCAGCCCACCCGAAAGATCCATGGAAAGCCCGTGGGTCTCCAGCTTGGGCAGGTGTAGACTTAAATGATTGGCATTTCCGCTGCGGTGTGTATACCCCTGGGCTGCCCCCATTACGCCGGCAGAGTTGTGATGGTGCTGTCCAGGGGCAAACATGCGGCTCGGGTTTCGAACTGACTCGGCCCGCATGCCGAGGGTAGATGAGTCCACGTGGCTAAGGGTATTTGCTCTGGGCCTCATCGATGGCGGTCCGTTGGTGGTGGAGTTTTTGCGCACACGCCCGGTAGCCACCCCAGCAGCACTCTCTCGTCGTGCGGCGCGTGGTCTGGAAGATGGTGTTGTCGAGGAGTGAAGTTTTTGTTGGTGCCGTAGCAGCAGATCCCGTCTCGCAAAGCACCTGGCGCATTCAGGACATTGGAACGGCTTCTCCTTGGTATGGGAGCGTTCATGGCGCTTTAGGTGCTCCAAGCGGGCAAAGGACCGCATGCACGTTGTGCAGACGTGTGGACGAGGTTTGTCCGTTTTCGGCGGAGGAAATGCTGGTTTCAACAACGGAGCCGGCTCAACGGCCTCTCCTTTTGACGTAGCGTTCCCTTCCGAGGACACTGCCATAAGATGGTAAGACCAATGCCCCAAGGTGTGGACTATCCTAGCTTACCTGCGTCGGCCTCGTTCACATCCGTCATGTCACTTGGCACAGCTTCCGGCGAAATCGCAGCCATGTTGCCGGCGTCTGCTTCGGTTCCTCGATAAGAACAACACTCGAGTCTAATGCGGCTGTCGAGAGTTCGCAGTAGACCGTATGCAAATCTCCAGCTCTTGAATCTCCCCTCGTATCAACAACGTTGCACCTATTGCCAAAACCGCTTGATTCGACAGTAGACCATGTGCTAGTCCGAGCTGGGAGGGGTATCGGGAGACAGGTCTTGAGAATGATATTCAGAATGCCATATGCTTGCGAGTGTAGAGCCGAGAAAGCAAAATCGTCTGTGTCTTGTAAGTCAATGGAATTCTTCGGCGGCGCTTCTCTGTATTACAAAGGTCGTACAGTCGGATTCGGGCAGGGAGGGACTGGTTCCTCAGGTGGTGGAAATACAACTATACAACAGATCCGAAGGACGAAATCGTACGGCAGTCGTCAAACAAGAAATGTTCAAGTTACAAAGAGTCTCCTCTGAGCAACTTTAGCTGACTTGAAAGATGAATAGAGAAGATACCATTGGTAACCATAACTTAGGCCAACAGCAAAGTTACTTACCTGTAAAGTATGTATAGAGAAGGCTGGCGGAGGGCAGCGAAGTACTCGCGAGGGACCAAGCAGTACGGTGGGCTTGCCGATTAGAACAAAGGCAAAAGAGGATCGGCCTTTCAATCTTCGAACGTCACAGGCGGGCGTTCTTCGTTCACAACTGGCGGCGGTCCTTGGGTGTGCACAGTGGCAGCACGAGGAGCAACGGGATTGGTCTTTCGTGAGTCGAGTCAGGCAAGAAACTTGTTCGTTCTGGAATGGTGGTGGGCTAAACGGTCGCCGCGCCTTCTCAAAGACGCCGGTGGCTGCAGGGTCGTCTAGGCCGAGGATCTTTGCGTATGATGGACAAGGTATGTCTGGGGTAACAAGGTCGTCCGGCCGTGGAGGGGCTTCGAGACAGCCGTGGCGGGATGAGGTAGGTTGTGAGTGGTTCGAACCAGGAGACGGCGGCGCCGGCAAACGTTTGATATGAGTAGTGAAAGTGAAGGGCACAACAAGTATTTTTCTCAAGGGAAAGTCGTCGGATTCAAGATGGTGAAAGAATTGAGGAACAGAGAGTATCGTCAAGGTGGATGAATTGAAGAGCAGTCGTAGTGGGAGTGCATGATGCTGGCGGTGCTCGTGTTGAACTCGAAGGTCGTTAACGGTGCCAGTGTAGCGCAGCGCACTGCAGCGGTTGTGAGGGTGCTCCTTCTGGGGCACCGCGGTGGGCACTTGCAGCCTGGTCGTCCGCCCAAGGGTGTTGACTGCAGGCGGATTGGCCGGGGATTGCAGTGGGCTGACAATAACTGGCTCGCCCAGAACCCACTGCGGACTCCTGCCGCTCATCTACCCCAGGGGACACGCCTTAGGCTAAACTCAATGCCGCCAGGCGTCTGAGGGTCAGCAAAGGCACCTCAACTAGAAGTTGTGAAGGCTTCCTGCTAAACCCACTGCAGCCCGCAGCCTCCAGGCTTGACACTTCAACTTAACTCCCCGTCTCCCAGTGGCCGAGTCCGCGCACTGTCATGCCGGTGCCGTGCGCCGTCAAAACCTTGGATTGCGAAGTACAGGCATCCGGGTATATCCAGGCACGACTAACCTTGACTGCCCTGCCTCTCAAACAGGCAGTGGTGGTATGGCACAGTACCTAGGTAGGAGTTCACAAGAGCCTGCCTGTATCTTGGAATACCCCAGCGCCCGTTGAATTTTGATGCTAACTGCTACTAGTAGGTCGTATGTTCACCCATCTCATTTGGCACTGTTTGCAGCTAACCATCTCGAACCAGAGATTGTCAGGGTCCAACGCCTTCTCTCCAAACGGAGTAGTGATTGTTGGTGTCTCGCAGGCCGGTGGGTATTCTAGCATTCGGTTCAAGTTGGGATGAGCCCCAGCTCCACAGCTTGAAATTCACTATTTCTGAGCATTGGTACAAGGTATCCCAGCCCATTGTGCACACCTCAGCAACATGCCAGTGCTCCATGATGCACTCCAAGTTGAAGTACACGTATGCTGGAATGCACCATCCTGGGTTTCGAAGTGTGTATTATGGGTTGTGGAAGGAGGGTGGTAGCGAAGTATCACCTATCTCCTACCTACCTCATGGCTAACTGTGCCACTAGCAGGTAGCTGTAGCTGGGTAGCTGAGGTACAGTACTGCTACTGGTACTAGTAGTACGTAAGTCATACTAGAATAGGCCAGCTCAACTTAAGCTGTGCGCCTCCCACGAAGCGAACCTGTGCCTTTCTGCCTCTTTAAACGGTACGTACCAGCCGCCTGCGTCAAATTTTTCCTACAGCACCTCGTCCAATATCCCAGCCCTTGCAAAATGTGCGAGACTCGACGGCACACCTTGAGCAGGCAGAGAACAAAATCCTTCGCTTCTTGGTGTGGACCGCTATGAACTCTGGTCGTTCGTTGAGTCGCTCCTTCACCTCCTTGCCGTTTTCTATAAACCTCTGATTCGAGTCAGGGAATCCTGGGGCTCTCCACGCTCCAGACTTGGCCTTCTGCGCCCCGGGCTAAGGCAGTGTGTCAGGTCGTGTTGTCCATCCACAACCCCTGCTTAGCAGACTCTACCCTTCGTGGCACGTCCGGGCTCGGTCGGACGGTGTGACCTGCTCCCGTCGACAGCTTGAACATGGACTTCAAGTTCCCGGAACACTCACAGCCTGCACCCACGAATCCTTTCGTCCAAGCTCCTCGTCCAGCCGAAACCCGTACATCTGAACCTCCTATAGCCGATGGTCCAGGATAGCCTTTCGAGGCCCACCTGAATAACCCAGAGACTAGGTCCAGCTTCTCCTGGCCTCCTGTGCATCCATGGAGACGGCTCGTTTCCAAATTTCGAGACTGCATGCCGTTGGCAGCTGTCACACCCACATTGTATCCGTGCCTCCCATCAACAACCCGACGACCTGTTCACGCAAGCTACTGGCAAATATTGCACTAGCCATTTTTCCTGGTAGGGAACGAGGCGAGATCTACGGGCAAAGACGAGATGTCAAAAGAGCTGCCGGCTGTACTAGACATTATCTGAAAAGTCTCACATGATATCCAGCAACAGTGAGTCCTGTATTACTGGGTTCGGAAGCCAATTGGTTCCGATCTGACGAGTCCGCAACATCCGGAAAGCATAGTTACTCGATGATACACAAAGGTGGAAGTAGAAGACGCCTGGCCAGTCCCAAAGGCCATAAAAGCCCCCAAGGTGGATCGAGCAAATTCTTCACTCCATCCCAGCAGTGTACATCGAGGCTGAAGTAAAGGCTAACCCGTCGCAGACGACTGCAAACTAACTTTATCTTTTCTCAAGAACTCAAAGAGAAAATCACGGCGGGCCCTTCAAAGTTGTGCAGTGTGCACAGCCCCATACTCGTACTAGCGAGAGATGCTTCATTTGTCGGCGCTATCCGGAAACTGATTGGCAAATCTGGGGAGGTCATGAGACGGCGGGATGAACGATGAGCCCTGTAACCGACGCAGGTAAGATAGTCGTCGGCGCCATCCCCACAATCGGCTGCCATTCCTTGTCCAAAGGGCCTTGTCATGTCTAACGCTATGTGGCTTAAGCAGTAGCGTCGCTTACGAGTACAACTGTACGTCCTGTGTTAATTACTGCTCAGGATCTTACTGGAGGCTAAAAACCACGCGGCGTTGCAGGAGACACCCATGTATCCTTCCTTTATGCGGAAGGGCCATCATTCTTATTGGGCTCATGGGCTTGCTGCCGCCATCTTGAATTAGTGCCTCACCAGCAATGTTGCTGGACTCTTCGGACAGGACTCGGCCTAGTGACCGCTCACAGATACTCAATGTGTGATCATTCATTTGTGTTGTCACACAGGGCCCATACATTTCTGTTTGTCGAAATTTGTCGTTCGGGCCCCCGGTTTCCCAGTCAGTTCAGAGCAAAGGGAGTCGCTGGGTTATAATATGGTTCCGAAGATGCGGTTCAGTTAGCTGGAGCCAACAGAAGATAAGTGGCGGCCAAACAATCTGCTGTTCGATATCGGTAGCGATTCAAAGCAAAAATGCTCACTGACTCCAGTCCAAAGCTACCATGGGGCTACCATGGGTGTTTAGCCGCCTTCATGCACCCTTTCCACGTATGGACGATGAACATGCCGACATTACCTGGTTGGTCATTTCCATTGTCGGTCACTACAACGCCATTGTTGGTCCGGCCATAGGCGGCTGGCCTGGAAGACACATACTCCACGTGAATGGCACGGAAAGCTTATATGCCCGTCGGTCGAAACGCTGATCGTGGTGCATAGTTGCATCAGCGGCTGAATTTCAAACGTGCTATTGATGGATGGCAGCACGACCCTCGATGTCCGTGCATGTAAGCCACTTCTGTACGTCCGGGAGGTGGCGTACAAGTGTCATGGCCAGCTGTTAAACGTACTTCGGGGTGATATCCTCAGAAAAGAAAAGCTCACGGCTCACAGCAAGGGTTTTCCACTCCCGGCGTGTTCCCAGCAGAAATGATCGGTGAATCTCAACACCTTCCTCTTGCGGCAGGTGTCACTGATCTCAGTCAACGACCGCAGATATGTTGCCTCTTCGAATTAGCGTGTTCGTCGATCGTGATATTGGTGACAGGGCAAACTTCGGGCGCAAAGATTGAATAGCCCTTCTCATAGTCGGGTTCGGTCTCGCCTCTCATTTACGGGGTACTGTAAAGAAGAGCTGCGCTCAAAGAATTCTTGTCCCAAACATCCGGAAAATTCTCTCATAGGACAAGCTGTCCTTGGGCCGTCCGACCATGCTGCGCGTTGGCACCCCATATTCCTTGATATGGCACTGGAAGGGTCTGGCGTTGGGTTTTATGGCCGACGCCTCGGCGGTGGCGGTCTCTGCCTTTTTCTCCTGAAGGTCACCCCAGAGATGGAACAACTTCTCCTTGACCATTGCGAGTTCCTTGGCATTGCTCTTATCCCTCAAATTGCAGGCCTCCATGTCGAGGAGATAGTCTCCATCCTCTTTGGCAACCAACAGCTCCATCCGCGCAGGTTCTTTGCCTCCAACCACAGGTAGCCGCGCATCCTCGACGAGAAGGAAGAAGCGCCATTCCCAGCTCACCCCGTCTCCATTATCTTGCGTAAGGTCGGTGTCCGAGTCAGCGGAGTCGTCAGCGCCTGAAAGATAGTCATACTGTGAAATTTTCCGAGGCACAGCAAAATCGGCGATGTTGTCGGGAAAGAAATCCACAACCCGTACGTTCGCCTTGTATTTGCAGTTCTGAAAGGGGAGGCTGAAGGGGGTGCCTTTGGGTGTTTTGCGCACAAGCAACTCAGGGTCGAGGATGTCGGCAACTGTTTTGCAGGGCACGTCGACCTTCTCACAACGAACATTTGGATTCGGCTCATTCACAAATCTCTTGGAGTCGGGGCCCAAGATCTGCTCCGATCGTTGTCGCGCTTCAGCTTTTGCTCTCTCCTTTTTCTTGCGGTTTTTCATTCTGGCTTTTTTGCCCTTCGGCTCATCAGTTCCGTCGCCGTCGTTCAGTCTTTTTGTCCCAGGTTGCGCATTGCGTAAGAAACGGATATTTTCTGTTTTGGCTTTTGCTTCATACTCGCGTTTCCGCGACAGGAGAGCTTTCATGCGCTCATCGTGTGTTGCACTGGACGGCTTGACCACCTGGACGTTCACTCTGGAGGGCACGGTCGGGTCTCCTCGACATTTTCCCTCCAGTCGTGTTCCGGCGTTATCCATCTTGATCTGTACGTTCCGCAGGCATAGGAAGGTCCCCGGCCCAACGTCGTTATCGCGTACGTATGCTCCATGAGAGTCCCATAGGGTAACCGTTAGGTTCATTCTTCCCCAAGGCCCCGGCCACTTATGGGGATCATCAGCAGCGCCGTCTTCAGTGTGATCGTAACGATAGTTGAACAAATGTGGATTCGACGTGTAGTCAGTCAGTTGCAGTTCCGGTCTATCGTGGTACTTCCAGAATATCTTGCGCACTTCCCCTAGGAGCTCCACAAAGTAATGGGGGTTCGGCGCCTCCAGGTCCTTTATCAGTCTAAATCTCTTATTCATGTCAGCAGGCAGAGGGTTTCCGCCACTGCTGATTTTGATATGAGCGCGCTGCAGAGCGGTGGAAGCGGTTAGTGGCCGCCACGAGCCCTGGTCTTCATGCTGTGCAAGATATCGGGCGTACCGAAGCTCTTCCTCGGTGAACAAGTTTGCGGGCTGAGCATAGAAGGAGTTGTGTTGACCACTCCACCGGGCCTTGCTTCTCATGTCCGATACAGAAGTGCAAGTCTCCAAAGCCTCGAATGGTAGAACAACCCACTTTGAACCGGAGTAACTGTTGGAGAAGCCGAGTTTCTCGCCATGGATACTCCTGGTCGAGAAGTTGCGTAAGATCACCACATCGCCTTGGTTCTCGATCGCAGGCAGCGCGTTTTCTTGCTTGTAGAAACAGCGAAAAGGCATCCCCAGGCCGTTGAACCAGGTTTGATCGCGCAATTTGAATTTAATAGCATAATCTGAGCCCTTGGACTTTGTAGCCGGGAGAAAATCCACGCACACGCCGATGACCTGGTACGGAGCGCCAGCGCTCCGCTCAAACGCGTCGCTCAAACTGACACAGTTCGCGGGAACTGGTACAGGGCCCATTTTGCGGATCTGTCAATAAGGTAGGGCAGCATTCAACAGTGACAGCAGTGTGGCCGGATGGCCTGGCGGGCGGCCATTTATAGCATTATAGTATCATAGTAGTCTCTCATCGTCCATGGCTTCATCAGTCCGACGCGTCAAGAGCCAAATGCGCGCGATGGCAAGACGCGAGAAAGAGGCGCAGACACGTGACTCTCACCTCACGCCAAGCAAAGTGGCATGTGCCCCAAAACTTGAACCCGCAACGACGGTTTGATTTGGTTTGGGCTGATTTGAGTCTTTGGTCACGGTTTGCACTGACACTGCAGTCAAGTTCAAGTTGCACCTTCACCAATTTGCCTGCCGTATTTTATCCACCCTCAACCTTGCGCTGTGTTTATCACTCACCGCCTGCGCCGCCCAAAAACCACCGTCGCAGACATATTTCCCAAGTCTGGCGCCTATCTAGTATCGCTAAGAGACACCCTTGTGCCAGCCACCTCCGAGGCTTGAGATTGTGTTGACCCCAGAATCATCTTTCGTCATGGCCGACCGATACATCCCAGAACATCGCCGCACCCAGTTCAAGGCTAAAAACAGTTTCAAGCCGGATGAGCTGCGTCGCCGCCGAGAGGAACAACAGGTAGAAATCCGTCGGCAGAAGAGAGAGGAGAATTTGGCCAAACGCCGCGGCGTCCAACGTGGAAATGGCGAGATTGGCATCGGCGGCCTCACCGACGCAGATAGCGACGATGAAGCCGGCAACATCGAGAGCGAGGTATGTATTACTAGTCTGTAGACTACTGCTCGTGGTTGACGTACACTTGCTGACAGAGGTTGTTCAGCTCAGCACAGAATTGCCCGAAATGGTCAAGGGGGTCTTTTCGGACCAGATCGATGCCCAGATCCAAGCCACCACCAAATTCCGAAAACTACTCTCCAAAGAGCGCAATCCTCCCATCGAAAAAGTCATCGAGACCGGCGTCGTTAGTCGCTTTGTCGAGTTCCTGCGTTCTCCCCACACTCTGGTGCAATTTGAGGCAGCCTGGGCCTTGACCAACATCGCCTCCGGCTCGGCCGCCCAGACACAGGTGGTCATCGAGGCGGGTGCAGTGCCCATCTTCGTTGAATTGTTGAGCAGCCATGAGCCGGATGTTCGTGAACAGGCCGTTTGGGCTCTGGGCAACATTGCTGGTGATAGTCCCGCCTGCCGTGACTACGTCCTGAGCCAGGGGGCCTTGAAGCCTCTCCTTAATTTGATTGCTGATGGCCGCAAGCTGAGCATGCTTCGGAACGCCACTTGGACTTTGAGTAACTTCTGTCGTGGCAAGACTCCGCAGCCAGATTGGAACACGGTGCGTGGAAACCCTCTACATACGCCTGGTTTTGTTTCCTACTGACACAAGTCTAGATTTCTCCAGCTCTCCCGGTCCTGGCCAAACTCGTCTACATGCTCGATGACGAAGTTCTCATCGACGCATGCTGGGCCATTTCGTACCTATCCGACGGCTCGAACGATAAGATCCAGGCCGTGATCGAGGCCGGCATCCCCCGACGTCTTGTCGAACTCCTCATGCATGCTTCCACGTCCGTTCAAACTCCGGCATTGCGTTCGGTTGGCAACATCGTCACTGGTGATGACGTTCAGACACAAGTGATTATCAATTGCGGTGCATTGCCAGCTCTGTTGTCTCTGCTTAGTTCGCAGAAAGACGGCATCCGCAAGGAGGCATGCTGGACCATCTCCAACATAACCGCTGGTAACAGTACCCAGATTCAAGCCGTCATCGACGCCGGCATCATTCCTCCTTTGATCCATCTGCTCTCCAATGGCGATTTCAAGACCCGCAAAGAAGCTTGCTGGGCGATTTCCAATGCTACCTCTGGAGGTCTCCAAAAGCCGGACCAGATTAGATATCTCGTGTCGCAGGGTTGCATCAAGCCACTCTGTGATCTGCTTGCCTGCCCGGACAATAAGATTATTCAAGTGGCTCTGGACGGCTTGGAGAACATCCTTAAGGTGGGAGAAATGGACAAGGAGGCTGCCGATGCACGCGCTCCGGAGGCGCAGGTCAACCGATATGCCCTGTTCATCGAAGAGGCTGGCGGCATGGAAAAGATTCATGATTGCCAGAACAACGCCAACGAGGAAATCTATATGAAGGCATACAACATTATTGAGCGGTATTTCTCGGATGAAGAGGACGCAGGCGCCGATATCGAGGAGTTGGCGCCACAGGCCAATGCCTCGGGCTTCACGCTGGGATCGAACCAACCTCAGGGCCAGTTCAACTTTGCTAACGGCAATGATTCGATGGACATGTAAATGGCCCAAAGCCCGCAGTTCGACACATCCAAACAAGACAATGGTGCGCACCCGCTTGCTGAAGGTCTAGTCAGCATGCTGTGATAAGCCTGGTCAACACAAGGTACAATATGCGTCAGAAGACCGTCTCAGCATGGTCAAGTTCGACACCTCTCCCCAACTATCCAGCTAGCTGGACATGTACCATCACATCGACACTGGCGAATCCATCGCCTTCGGAACTTCCATCTCATCGTCGCCGCCATCACCATCCCAATCACCCACCCCGTCATGTCTTGCAACCCCTTCACAAGTTATTCGTCAAGCACCAACCCACTCACCCCATCGTCGTCTTCCAATTACGATTGATCGCCAGACCATCCACGGCTCACCAGATGCACCATCATGTATACCCCTTTTACGGTCAACATAGCACACCAACCCCTTGCCGCATGCGATAGAGGCGTTTTTTTGGGCAGTGATAGTCCCAGGGCTTTTCTTCAGGTTTCGGTATGAGAGCAAGTGAGAAGCCCCAGAGTAGAGGAGAGGAACGGGGTTGAGCAGAGGACTGGGATACGAGAAATTGATGACGAACCAGGCAGGATAGTCCCGTCCGAGATCCTTTTTATTCGAGCTCGAGCTGAAGCTGAAGCCTATGCCTAAGCATATGTCAATGGTCCTGCACATCCCGTCTCATGCCCATAGCCTCAGAGACTTGTATGTCGACCCGCTTCCTAGTCCAATACAAGCAATTCACCCTGAAATTCGAAACTGATTTATTTTTCTGTCTCTCGCGCCCATACTTCCCGTCGAACTGATAAGAAAAGTTCCGTGTTGATGCAGCCCGAAGATACAGTACCTAGCGTTGGAGTTGTACAGTACTGGCTGGAAGCAGCCGACTCAATATCGGTTACTAGGTACTCTACCCCTCGCGAGAGTCTGGTAGATGAGTCTGCTCTCTCTCTCTATCGCGATCTGGCACGAGGGACTGGATTGCTCAGAAAAGGAAACCCCCCTCCCCCGCCTCTCTCCCCGCTCAATTCGCTTACAAGTACCCGACCTGTGTTCCTAGCAGCTAAACGCCGATTAATCGCAGTAGTACTACTACTATAGTAATGATATCAGGTCGGACCTTGATACGACTAGTAATAAGAAAAACGCGGGGAAAGACCCAAATCTGAAGCCCCGTCCTGGCATCTCGACTGTGATTCGATACGTACTAGTAGATACCAACTGATGACCCCGACATCCTAGGACAATTGCCGATGATGGGAGGGGAGGGGAAGGAGGAAATCAAATTGGGAATCCCAATGATGATGATGACTTGTCCGGCTTCTTGCGGATTGTACTAGTAGATATAGGTATATATCTGTCTACTTAGCTACCTACTCTGGCTGCGTTTATCTCTCTGCTCGACCTATTGTAACTACGGTGCGAGGACTAGGAATTGATTTCACACATACTAACTCGATACCAGATATACCAGCTATTCCAGCTATACCGTACCTAGGAACCTTGCCCTGTCGTGTTGGGACGTGCCGTGCCCTGCCTTACTTTACCTTAGCTGATTTATATCGACGTCGAGTCGATATCCTCTTGCTCCAAGACGGTGATTGTGAAAAGAACAAGAAAAGGAAAACGAAAAAGAAAAAGAGAGAAGAAAAAAAAAATGTCGGCTACAGAAGTCCGCGCAGATGCCCAGAATCAACAGGGCAATGGCGGCAGCAGCAGCGGCGGAACAACAATCCGGATGAAGGCGGTCAATTACCAGGGTCCGTTCAAGGTCAAGGTCGAGGAGGTGCCGAAGCCGAGCATTGAGCATCCGGATGATGTGGTGGTTAAAGTGACGACTGCTGGTGAGTTTGGTTCGAGTGTTGACTTTGATGTATTCGAGTTTCGTTGAGTTTGGTTTGGCCTGGTTAAGGCTGCTTGTTTGGTGTGTGGGAGGGTGGTTTTGGGTGAGGAGATCGTCCTCTTGAAAGACTGTTGCGTATTGAAAGTGGTGGCTGGGCCGTGAGGGAGCGGTGTGAGAGAGAGAGTGAATGTGTGAGAGAGAGAGAGTGAATGTGTGAGTGAGTGAGAGAGAGAGAGAGAGTGTGTGTGTGTGTGAGTGTGAGAAAGAGCGCCGTCATGGTTATGTTCCCTGCAATGATTTCCTGCGAGAGTTGATCGGCTGATGGTGTCGCGATATAGCCATCTGTGGCTCGGACTTGCATATGGTGAGTACATGCACCTACAGAAGCTTGTCTTCTAAAGTGTCATTCTGTCCCTATTCCTATGAGCACAGGTGGAGGCCGTTCAACAGCGTGACGGACACCCCCCGAATCTTGCGTAATGTCAGCCATAAGAGAGGCGCTAAATGAGCAACATAAAATAGTATGAGGGACGTACCGGCGCCGAGCCCGGTATCACTTTCGGTATGTTCATGTTCTCCTCCTGATCTCTAGCGAAGGCGGCTTAGCCATGAAGAAGTGGGGGTGGGAGCGGGAGTTGAACCCATACCGGCTCATGCTGCCGTGCTGATTGTTAACTCCAGGCCACGAGAACATGGGTATCGTCGAAGAGACTGGCTCCGGCGTCACGTTGCTCAAAAAGGGCGATCGAGTCGTCATGCCCTTCAACGTGGCGGACGGCCGCTGCCGCAACTGCGAAGAAGGCAAAACTGCCTTTTGCACCGGTGTCAATCCGGGCTTCGCGGGCGGGGCGTATGGATATGTTGCCATGGGGCCTTACCGAGGTGAGTGAAATGAAACACAAAGTCACTGCTTGAAGAGAATGTTGTCACTTGCCGATGGCGAGAGATACTTCAATATATTCATATGCTGTGTCTGTTGCTCTTTCACTGGCAACGGACAGGACGTCAGTCCAGATGTCCTCTTTTCCAAAGCATTGGAATTCGACCAGCTGACGTCCACGCACAACAGGTGGCCAAGCGCAATACATCCGTGTGCCGTATGCCGACTTCAATGCCCTGAAGCTCCCGCCTGGCAAAGAACACGAAAGCGACTTCATCTTGCTGGCCGACATCTTCCCAACGGGCTGGCACGGGGTATCGCTCAGCGGGTTCAAGCCGGGCGAGAGCATCGCAGTCTGGGGTGCCGGGCCAGTCGGGTTGATGGCGGCATACTCGGCCACACTGCGGGGTGCGAGTCGGGTGTATGTCGTGGATCGGGTGCCGGAACGATTGGCGGCCGCCGAGAAGATCGGATGCACGCCCATCGACTTCTCAAAGGGCGATGCGGTCGATCAGATCCTCAAGGCCAACGGCGGGGATATGGTCGATCGTGCTGTTGACGCTGTTGGCTACCAGGCGGTCGATACGGGCGGCAAAAAGGAACAGCCCAACATTGTCCTGGAGAACATGATCCGAGCCACCCGCCCATGTGGTGGATTGGGAATTCCTGGCTTGTATGTGCCCAAGGACCCGGGCGCCCCAGATGAGTCCAGTGGCAAGGGCATGATCAGTATGAGTTTCGGCAAACTGTTTGAGAAGGTGAGCAAGAAAGCATTCCATTTTATACTTTATCATACTCGTCAGGGGGAAACGCGGCAAGGCCAACAGGCAACCCAACCCAACATTTTGCTTTGGATTGTTTGGTTGAATTGCCAGATGTTCCGCAACTATGATGATGACCGCCAAAGCAAGCATATGGCTAACCTTTTGTCTTATTATCGGTAGGGTCTTTCTCTCGCGACAGGTCAGTGTAACGTCAAGCAATACAATAGGTATCTGAGGGACTTGATCATCGCCGGCAAGGCCAAGCCGTCATTCGTGGTCAGCCATGAAGTGGGCATTGATGACGCCGAGACCGCCTACGACAAGTTCGACAAGAGAGTCGAAGGGTACACAAAGGTCCTGATCCATCCCAATGGACCATTGTGAGTGATGATGTTATACAACATTTCAAGGGTTCTTGGTGCAGCCTGAGTATGAGAAAGCGGATCTGACACGCGCTGAGTTGTGATGGGGCGGGATAAGATGATATGTTTTGCGGTGTCTTGTTCCAAGTGGATTGCTTTGTAGGTAAAGCCGACGAACGAGGCTGACACTGGACCCGGTGATCGGTCCTGCAGCTTTAGGTTGATCAAATTGGATTGTGACGGGGAGTGCGCCTTATAGTCGTCAACAAGCCAAATATTTCAAGCGGTGAAGTGTTCGTCCAGGATAGAACATCTTTCAGCTGCAAGCACTTGGGAATCTTCATGTAGGTTTCGGCTGGTCGTTTAGGAGCTCGCGGTTTACCAATATCCAGCGAGGTCTACACCTCTTGGCTCCGGTCACGTTTTGCCCATTGCTGCAGTCCAAGCCTTGAGTATAAGACATCGATATGCGCAATCTTGCCAGAAAGGTTGTCAGACCGCGTTAGTATCTGCTTTGTACCTACAATATCTCCCTTCAAGTCGATTGGCGACCGTTGGGTCTAGCAGGGATTAGGCGAACATCCCACCCGCCAGACAGTGGATATGATGAACCGACTTTGGATGATTGACTTTTGAGGATCAACCTGTTGTTGGCTTGGCTGAGCTTCAGGCGTCCAGCACTTCGACTCGTATTCGGACATTTTGCATTTTGAAGCTGGTGTACGGCTTAGAGTTGGAGGAGGGAAATAAAAGGGGGCCAGTGAGGCTGAAACAGGACGCACGCTGATTCGTCTAGAAGTCCTTGGCGGGCTGCAACCGGTCTTGGATCTTTTGTCACTTTCAACATCGTCAATAGCTTGAACAACAATCTACAACATTGTGCTGCAATTGGTCTTACACAAACAGCACCGCTGTGCCTGGGTTTCAGTGCTCTTGCTCTCTCCCGCTGCGACATAATCACCAGTCGAATTGAGTTTTGTCGCTGCTCAGCCATGTGACTCTTCTTTTGTCTTGGTAGGTCACACAAGGTCTCTTGGACGTCAAACAGGTCACAGAGTCGAACGGCCAAACGCCATTTCGGCCCCAAGACTAAACCGATCACAGCCTGGTTTGGGACCCAAGAAGCAGAAAAGTATTGGTTCTCACCACGCACGTCTCGCGATAGTACAGGGCCCGGTTCCCCATAGTTCAACGTTCGCCTGCGGGTGGTCTAGTATAGGTAGGTAAGATTTAAAGCCAAGCAATTCAAGGGCGGGAAGAGGTCGTTGCTTAACTTGAACTGTTCAATTTTGCGAGCCCATCATCATCACTTTGTCAAATGATACGACAGTGCGATGGTACCCTACTTGCAGTACTATTCGGCGTGGTGCGAGCCCTTGCAGACGAATCAGACATCACATCTTTCCAATGTCGCACCGGACCAGCACAACCACCATTGCAGAGGGTATTGTTGTGATCCCTGCCCCTCCCCCGGGGTTTGTGCCCTACCGGGCTGGGGGATTGGGCAGATGTGGAAAATGACAAGACTCTCGGTTTCCGTAACACAAGCGCCGAAATACTTCTAGGGGCTGCCCCTTCACATTCTGGTCTTCATGCTGGCTCGTCTGATATTGGAGTCTGCGTACTGACTGCTGCCATCGCCCGCATGTCTCTTGTCCCCAGTCTGGCTCTTTTGGCGCCCAAGTAGCCGTGCTGCAAGATTACTCAGCGCTTCAGGCAACGGCCGCGACATCTTCTCCCGATATTGCCTATTTCAGCATAACAACACCGCGAGATCATTGAGAAGTTCGGCACAGCTACGACAGTGGCAGCTAGGAGTCTCCAAGATGGTATCACTCACCATCGGATATGTCTCCGGCATCATCGCTGCGGCGGTCTTCGTTGTTCAGTTCCTATTCCCCAACATGTTGATCATTGTCCTGGTAGGCTGGCTGAAGAACGAACACAGCCTAGTCACCTGGTCGGTGGTGGAACGCAATCTGTTGAGTTCCAACTGGTATGTGCCCTAGTACCGCCATGTCTGTTCTGAAAAGGTGCGAACCCAAAGTCACACCCAGGACTTACCTTTGATGTCGACAGGCCTCTCTTCCTGGGTGCAGACTCGGCCGCAGGGACCGGAGTCGACCGGCGCATCAGGCTGCTGACATGGCTGAAGCCACTTGCGATGGGTGTGGTAGCGGTCGCGGCGGTGGTGACTCCCCTGGGGCTTTACGACGACATTGCTCCTTCGAAAGAACCCCAGCCCGTCCCCTTTGTGTACATGGCAGACGCGGGCCCGATGGGCTATGGAACACCACCGCGCAGCGACCTGGGCTTCACCCGCATTTGTGGCGCTACACTCCCTGTGCAGTGCCCCGGGACCACCGTCGCCATCACATACAGCGGCAACGACACTTACATGGAAGCCAACATCACCAACGACGACTACGACATGCGCATCCCTCGCGAGCTGGCCGAACTGTACCAGAGTGGTCTCGCCCAGCAACCTCAGTCCGTCTCGAGCTTTTTTGATATCCAGTCGCGTCAATACTCGTTTCAGACACAAAAGGGTGCGCTGGGCACGCCGGGAGCCACAAGCGGTGGGGACAAATACATTGTTGACGCGTTCCGGTACCTGATGAACATGGTTCTGAATGATGCCATCGAGCCCATCGAGGGCCTTGTTGTCGACACTGTCACTGGAGGAGTCGGGTTTCGAAACCATACCGTCCCTGCGCCCGGGGGTGCGACGTTAGGGGCCGAATGGACTGAAGATCTGCTCTGGATCGAGCCCGAAACCGCTTGCGTCGACACCAACGTCTCAGTCGAGTTCAGCATCACGTCCAACGGACTGTATGGTAACGAGCTGGCCAATATTTCGCTGGTTGATAATGGCGGATTTGCGAACCTTGTCCCAAAATATCCCCACGTCAACGTGACCAACTCGCAGGTCGACCCGGATTTGCAGGGTCGAGCGTACAAGGCTGCTTGGATGGTCAATGCTTACACCATGATGGTAATGAATCTCACCCGGCCCAACCCCAATGCCTTTGGATACCTCAATTCCAAGGTTGGCAACAAATACCCGGTAACGTCTGACCAGACGATGGGCGTGCGTCTGAATGGCATCTATATCACTAGCTCGTGGTTCTCGTTACTGGATCCTGACGCATACTTGTCCAATTACACTCTTGCCGACGTTCCGACTGCAAATTACTCCAACCCCTGGGGCATCACGGCATACAATTACAGTGACATCGCCTTGATCTGTTCAGGTGCAGGAGCCAAAGACCTTGCGAACCTCACCAATATCCATGTGGCCTGCGGCCTGGTCTTTGGAGCCGCACGGCGTCTGGATGGTTCCAAGAGTCTAGTGCTCGAGCCGGATACTTGGTGGACGCAACCCGTGTATAGCTGCGCTTCCGCCATGAAAGCCAGTATCAAGCAAGTCCGTTTTCGATACAATGCCACCGAGTTGACTGGCGATACGCTGAAGGCCTTGACCGTGACCAATGTGACTGACAAGATGTATCCCGATCAAAAGTCCATGCCACTCTGGGGTGTGGAATCGCCAGCCCTTGAGCTGGCCGATGTGCCCCAGCTATGGGGTCTTATCTCGCCCGAGCGCGAAGATTCGGTCAATCTTTCGACCATTCGAAGCCCACGGCTCTATCTGCCCGGCTTTGCAGGGGTACTAACAGGCACCAGCCCGGGTCAGGAGAACCTGCCTGCGGCGGATGGCCTGACAGATGTGCTGGCCGGCGTGTATCAAGGATCGTCGAGCACTGGTGACATGGCTGACTATACGGGAACGGCGAACATGGCTATGTATGCGAGGTGGCGGGACCTCTCGAGTTCAGCTACGACAATGAAGAAGATCCCCAATTTTATATGGACCGACCTGGCCGCAAACATGCTGATTGGCACTCGAAGCTGGATATCAGGCTCCGACTTACCAGGGAACCTCCAAAAACGTGACGGGGTCGGAAACAATAATAACACCGCCACCGAGGAGCATCAGGCAACCGTTCCAGTGACCCTGTATGAGCGGCGAATACGGTACCACTGGACCTTTGCCATCCCGGCGTTTGTGGCATTGGCTTTGTTTCTCCTGGTGCTGTCGGCGACAGTGATTGCCATGCTTTCGAGACGAGGAGTGCCGGAGAAAGTCCGACATTACCTCCACCATTTGTCGTCAGGACGCTTACTAGGCATCCTCCAATACCCAGATGAAAGGGGCAGCTTGGCCCCAACCAAAGAATGGATTGCCCGTGTTGGGACGAAACCTGGTGATTTGAACAAATGTGCTCGAGACAGCGATGTTGACCTTGCGGCTTCACCTTCCGATTACCAACATCATGGTATGATCATGCCTGAGAAACAAGACAGTGTGGCTGACACCAGCGAAGTGCGACCTGATGGCAAGGAAGAGACAGATGATCATGGGTCAAGGGGTGGCTATATGCGGGTGCCTAATAATGCAGGCGAATCCTGCGATGACCGGAGAGAAATGTAACATACCTAGGTAGATGGAAATGGGAGTCAAAGCCCTTAGATCATTTTGCCGTTACTGCGTTGACGACCTCCAATATTCTGAAGCAGCCCTGAGTTTACGATCTTGTGCCGGTAACCGTAAAGCATGACTCGTGTGAGTATCATGTACAGACAGCTGGGAGTCCATCCGGACAATATTCATGATCCTTTCGCTACGCACTCCAGGCCATCAGGGTGGATAGTATCCTAGCTCTTCAAAAGATAATCGACCACAGATCCTGTTAAAACAGGTACTGAATTTGGATGCCTGGTAAACAGGCAGACCCAAAAAGGGCTTGGCAGAGGTGCTCGAATATCAGATTTGAAGGAAGTCGTTTTGGGAGCGGTCCTTCGAAGGATCTGGCGGTGACAGGATGCTGCCGGCGAGGCTCCACTGATTCGGCCACTGCACGAGGCGAAAGGATTGGTTGGTGCTTGAAGCTTTTGCGGGCAAAGTCGGTTGTCGCTTGGTCAAGCTTGTGAGTAGCGTGCAAGCTGGTATTGGTCGACACCACCACTAACGGATAGTAGATCTGGACTTCTGTAGAGGAGAAAAACGGGGGTCGAGGGGACCTTAGGGATGGAAAAGAGTGGTGGGAGAGCAGCTGATCCAATGAGCAGCGGCCTTGACGAGCATGTGGAAGAGTGACGGGATGAAAGGGTTCCAATTGCAAAGCTGCCAGCGGGATGTTGGCCGTTTGGTGCCCGTGGGTTTTAGCAAGTTCAGGTGGTTGACAGGTGGACAGAAGTACGGGCACCACCTAAGAGCAGTAGCACAGGCGAAGAGCGTGACGGCTGCGGTGGGCGATAGCTTCCAGCCTATACCCGCAGCCGGAAGGCACACGGTGGACTATCAAGACCTCGGGGCGTGTTGTTGGATTGTGCGACTAGAACAGCCAGGTGATCACTAACGGTATAGCAATTGTCCATGGCGAAGACGCGATGGCAGCACCGTTGGTGACTCCGAGTTCTGGCCCATTGACTTGAAGTTGTTGAGGGTTGTATATGAATCCCTTGCTGTTCGCCTCTACTTACTCATCCGTGTCATCGTCATGCAGACCAGGACCAGCAGACCACGACCACTGCCAGCCGTGGGCACTCAGGTCACTATGAACGAATGCGCGGTTCATGACAGTTTCCCTTCAAGACGCCCTTTCGCTTCCTCAACATAGATCGACTGTGGGAGGATTGCATTGTCCTCGACTGAAATCAATTGAGCCTGCTACCTCTGTTCACCTCTGCGCAGTTCTCGCTCTCACCCACACCTCAGACGCACCTCACAAAGCAATCAGAACATCCACACTTCTCACTATCTAGATTTGCCCTTCCGCGCAATCACAGGCACCGCAGCTATTGCGACGCTTTCCTTCCTCTCTACTTCCTTTATCCGCTACAATTCAGACTGCGAGAGATTTCGATCACTCTAGAGGACCGCGCAGTTCTTGGTCGCACAAGAAAGAGCACGAATAAAGGAAGGACTATTGCAGAAGCAGTTACACAAGCTAGAACATCCCCACACCGTCATTATTTCTCAGCTTCCTTCAGACGGCGCCCTAGAGCAGACCCGACCAGTGGTGGGGACCAACCGATCTGTTGGCTGCGTCTAGCAGGAAACAGAAACAGAGCCTGACGCGATCTCACAGGCCACCCCCGACCCCCCCTGCTCCACCCTCCCAATCCGGCTACGCCCTAAACTCACTGGGCACGGCCCTTACCCAGAACATGATGTCTCTTCCTTTCACCTTTATCCGCCAATCCTTCAGTAACAAAATTCGGCTCACCAACGTTCGCAATTTATCGCAGGAGCCTGAGAAGATTCCATTCCTGGCGAGGAAGATCGACGTTGACGGTCGGGACCTTGAACTTGGAGTTGACGCCGACGCATTATTTGCCGAACGAGAACATGATGCCGACCTCACCAGCATACCAGGTGTACTCAATAATGGTTCTGCCTGCACACCAAATGCATTCCTAAGTATTAAAGGTTATGGTCTGGTGCGCAGCAATCGCTTTTGGAAGAGGTGGACTGCATGGTTCTGTTGTTGCCTTGTCCTCCTTTGTGTGTGTTGGTTCATAATGCTGTGGTGAGTGGCCTTTTGTTCATAACCCCCATCTCTGCTTTTCTAATATCCTGCCAATATAGGACTGCCTTCAAGATCGGCGCGCTCGGAAGCGGCGTGCTTGTGTGCTTCTTCCCGGACGCCTGGCTCCCATCTCAAAGCCAACCCGCAGACCTAGGTCGTTGGGCCACCGATTTCTCCGCCGACATACATCCTGTCGCTTGCCACTCTCACAATGACTACTGGCGCCGGATGCCCCTGTTCTCTGCATTGCACGCAGGCTGCACCGGGGTCGAGGCTGATGTGTGGCTATTCGACGAGGAGCTGTATGTGGGACATTCTACGGCTTCACTCACCCCCAACCGAACTCTCCGTACCCTTTATCTCAACCCATTAATGGAGATTCTGGATCGACAGAACCCCCTAACTTCCTTCCACCCTTCTGTTGATACCCCTCGAAATGGTGTCTTCGACACTGATCCGGGTCAGACATTGGTCTTGTTGATTGACTTCAAGGACCATGGTCAAGATATCTGGCCACATGTGGTGGAGCAACTGCAGCCTCTCCGTGACAAGGGATATCTCACCTACTTCAACGGCAGTGATGTGATCGACGGGCCGGTGACGGTCGTGGTAACAGGAAACGCCCCCTTTCAGATGGTGGTGAAGAGTCCTCATTACCGAGATATGTTCTTCGATGCTCCTTTGGCGCTGATGGAAAAGTTATCTGACATGACCCCGCCGGGCCAGCCATCAATCTCAGAGAGCTCCCCGGCTGTCACTACCCTCGACAAACGAACCAACCAAAATCAAGGTCAAGGTCTCTCAGGATCTGCCCCATTGAACCCAGCCATCTATTCCAGGGCCAATTCTTATTATGCGTCTGTCAACTTCAAAGACACTATCGGTTGGCCGTGGCAAGGAAGTTTCTCGTCTCGCCAGATGGATAAGATTCGCAAACAAATCGCCGGCGCACACTCTCGCGGCTTAAAAGTACGCTACTGGGGAGTTCCCAACTGGCCAAAGAGCATGAGAAACTATATTTGGCGCTCCCTTGTCGAGGAAGGTGTCGACTACCTGAACGTGGATGATTTGAAGGCTGCTACCGAAGGCTCCTGGGGATGGAACGAGAAGACCTGGTTTGATTGGTTCTGGCGATCATGGTTTTCCAAATCTGCTTCTACTCAAGACACCACCCACAGCACACAGACTGTACCGCCTATTCGTGGTACAGCCCGTTGACAAAGACAAATACTGGCATCAAAGCGATATGGGCCGAGAATCTGATGATTGAAGCTCGGGGCAGATATGGTGAATGACAACCGGAGTGCATTGCATGGTGGCTGTAATGGAAAGGAATTAGACACGAGTCTGCTGGAACGCTACATAATGCGTGGAAAAGCGCATAGCAAGGCGTCTTGCTCTACTAGACAGAGCTATTTTTGCTTTTCTTCCGAGAAGATGACACGATTGAGCGAACATGAACATGGTTGATCAGCACGCGCAGCATATGATAACCCCCTAGTGCTAGAAGCGGACCAGATCATTAATGAGTGGGTTCAAGGAATGATAACATCTCCCTTAAAAAACTTATTACCTGTTTTACCATCTTGCATACCTAACTACCAGTGACTTTGCACTGGTATCAAACAGTAGCAGTCCAAGGCTTCTCAAAGCCCTTGGTACATGGAGTTCGGTAGTCGTATCAAGCTCAATTAAACGAGGCACGCGTGCAGTAATCGGCTGCTTTAGCGACAGCTAGGCAGGTACCAATTAACGGGTGGGCCTGGCAATTCATTTTTAAGGCGGCATTTACAACTTGCGAAAGTAGCAGTCATACCATTCTCGACGCGGTTGCTGAGGCAGCGAGCCCAACCAGTCAGTGCACGCTAATTGGGTGACTTTGGTGCCTGGAATAAACGTCATGCACTCTGCCCCAGTGCCATTTGGTGGTCCAGACTTCACACCACTGCTGGCACTGCACTGCACTGCACCACCGTCCAATCCATCAACAATCCCTCATTACATTTACCTCTCATACACTGGCAGACAATTTGAACTACCTTACTCTGACGAGCACTTCCACAGTACTTACACCACAGAAACATCAAAACACAGACACATAGTAAGAGCCGACAGACACACTGCAGCAAAAATCCATAGACCGACAGTGTTCAGAAGTTCCTACATACCCCTACATACATCGTGCACGCATTTCCCCCTTTTGCACAACCATGGCTAGAGGTCGCAAGTCCAAGGCAAAAGCCAGCCCTTTCGGCTCGCAGTCGCAGTCAACCCTGTCCTTCAACAACAAGTCTGCACGAGTCACGAAACCGAGCGCCAGACCGGACGAGGCCGCGGCCAAGAAACGACTGTCGTCTGAGTCGGCACAGACACAACTCCAAGAGGAAGTTACTGAGGTTCAAACACCAGATCCAGAGAAGGAGACAGGAGAATCAGCAGCGGAGGTGGTGGAAGTCGCCTCTGAACATGAGCCGGAGGAGGAGTCCCATCTGATCAGGGACACGGCAGAAGCGGACGTGGATGTGGATGCGGATGCAGAGACAGAGCTTCAGACTCCGAAACCGAGGGCGAGGAAACGAATACAAGCGCGCCCTGGCAAAGATGAACGGGAACTCGAGGCGGAAAAGGTCACGGATGCCCAGATCAAGAAGTACTGGCGAGCCGAGGAGGAAAGCCGACTTGCCCCCAGAGGTACGTTCCAAACCAATTCATCATTTCTGCATTCCCGAGAAAAGACGGAACCCCTTTGTTGTCTGCGCTTTTGGCACCGCACCCCAATACCTTGTCTTGTTGCTCGATCCGCTCGGTGGTGGCACAGGCAATCCTCTCCACCTTGCCCGTGCCTCCAAGCAACGTCTGTCTTGATTGACTTTTCCTCGACTACATCCTTACCTATGTATATTTTTGACTAATGTTGTCTGCAGTTCACCAAGAAACTCTATCTCTACACGAAAAGATCCTGCGACACTTCGACCTCTCATCCCAATACGGTCCATGCATTGGCATCACACGACTCGATCGCTGGAAGCGCGCAAACATGCTAGAACTCAATCCGCCGGTTGAAGTGCTTGCCGTCTTGCTTCGCGAGGAAGACGACAAGAAGAGCCAAGGTTGCGGCAAGCTGGCGTACATTGACGAGTTGGCCGGTGGACGGGTTGTCCTTGTGGAGTGATGTTGAGTGACGCGGAACGAATGACTGTTACTGTAGATGGAACTGGAGCTGAATTCGGTCGCAGTCGGGTCGGGTCGAGTCGAGTCCACATGTGAGCTGACTTTCACTCTGCATTTGTCCCTTTTCCCAAGCGTTTCAAGCTGGCTAGGTCGGCAGCCAGGAAGGGCGCTTGTTACTTCTTATTGATTCGGCTTCGGCTTCGTCATTTTGGTAGCAGGCCCTCATCCAGAAACGTGCGTGGCACAAGGATGCCATTTTGCGCCATCGTCAGCGTCAGATTTCACAGTCTTCAGTGCAGACGGGGAGAGTTTACTGCGCAAGGAGCGTGTCCAAAAACAGACGAGAAGGCACACATCTCTCCGATGGCCATACAGGCATGGGTCTTTTTCTGCTTGAAGCAACGTCACCGTTGCAACTACTGGCAGAACAGCTTCAATGACCAAGGCGGCTGCGGCTGGCACGTCTCCAGAGACATTTGTGTCTGACGACTGTCGCCATTTGCTAGGTACCGTTATGGTGTACACGGCTTTCTTTGCTTGCATTTCCCGGTTCTGTTTTGACAGCGGTGAATCGATGGGCTTGAGCAAGGGCAAGCTCCGCAGCGCACTGCGTCCGACGGCATACACTATGCCAGGAGTCCATGGATGGGCTGGTTGAATGAAGGATGCTACAGATGATACATGTACGAGTGTGAATGGCGGTCACGGTATGCATGCAATCGTGGTAGTTTGGGGAGCCCGGCAGTTTCTTCAGTGCATTCTCTGATTCAAAAACCAAAAGGGGTAACGCTGGGGCAAGGCTGGGCTGCCTTCCGGGGGGACTCGAAATAGAGTCAAATCAGACCAAAGTCAGATCAGATCTCGGCTTAATCCAAATCGATTCTTTGATGCTGGCCTTCTACGTCTTGGTCTTGGATGCTGAGGATCCGACACCACTCGCAGTGCGGGCCAACCACGACTGACACCACAGGATACAAAGTACGACAATAAGAATGCAACGGAATGCAATGGGGGCGCTCATCGTAACGCAATACTAGTAGTAGCGGTAATAGTAGCAGTAGTACTAATATCTGCAAACATTCAACACAGGCATACAAGCGAGCTGCTCAACCACCGAATTCGGGAACCGTGCTCTTCTTGCCCAACAGAGCCAAGGGCACAATACCGCTGACGTGCATCTCGGGTCCATAGACGTGCATGTTGAGGCGCAATTCTTCGCCAACGGCCTTGATGTTCTTCAGACCTTCCTGGTAGTTGGGGCCGGCACGACGGACCCAGATCTGGACCTTGTGCTCATTGAGCACGGTCGAAACCTCCCTCAGGGCGCGGATGACACCTTTGAACGTGGACGCCACGTTGGTGAAGTTGGCGATACCGCCACCGATAAACAAAACCTTGCCTTCCTCGCGCTTGGGGGCCCGGAGCATGAGATCAAGAACCGTGCGAGCGTAGTTGTACGTCTGCGTCTCGGTCGGCGCGCCCGAGTATTCACCATAGTTGGCCAGCTCGCTGACGAAGCCGGCCGAGGCAATGGCGTCGGCATAGACCACAGAGGCGCCACCACCGGCGACCAACGTCCACACGCGGCCTTGCGGGTTCAAGATGGTGAGCTTGAGCGAGGCGCCCGTCTTTGCATCCATGTCCGCAATGTACTTCTCTTCTTTGCTGAGTTCTCGTCCAAACGGCGCGGGGAATTCCATCGGCGGGCCCACGTCGATGGTCACCTTGCCGTCGCTCTTGCCGCTGCCTGGGAGACCCAGCGCAGCCGGACTTCGCGCAATGGCCCATTTGGTGCCGCATTCAAAGTCGGCCGTTTGGTCCAGCTTGGCTGCCAGATCGAGGAAGTGCACCTCGGCTGACGTGCGTTCGGCATTGGGAATCACCACAAGCGGGTTGATCTCCAGGTATGTAAACTGGCAGTCAACATAGACCGAGTAGAGGCGGATAATGAAGTCGAGCAAAACGTTATGGATACCCTGAGGGACTTTCTTCAGCAGAGCCTCTGCCAGCTCTTGATTCGATGGGAAGTCTTTCAAATCGACTGGAATAAGAATCTTTTCGGCCTTTGCGTCGACATCGCCCACGTCGACACCACCCTCGTGCGTGAAGAGGATCCAATCGCCCTGAGAGTCCAGTTAGCAAACAGCAAAAACAACAGCCAATGGGGCAAATCTTACGTCTCGGACAGAGTTGATGTTGATGTAGTATTCCGTGTCTTGCGGGTGAGGCACAAAGGGCTCAACGAGGAATTGTCTAAGGATGCCAGTGACGCTTTCGACTTTTTGTTCCTTTCCGGCTCTGGCCTCGATCCAGGCTCTGGCTTCTGGCCATGTCTTGTTCAAAGCCAACAGGCCGCTCTTCCCTCTTCTCTTGATCAACTGGTCTGGTTTCGCGACGAACTTGGCCCCGGGTGCCAAAAGCCAGGGATACGTGGCTTCAGCTTGGTCCAAGACGGTCTTGACAGCCTCATCTTCGGGGAAATGCAGAGATGCGAGTTTGGGCGGAGGATTGTGCACTCCAGTAGGCTTCAGCGGTGTAGGCTTGACAACGGGAGCTCGAGTTAAGTGGTAGTTGAGGATGGCCTTGCCATCGGCCTCGAGAATGGACTTCGCAGACATTGTTGCGGCGGTGTGGGGTAGAGGGAGAGAGGTTCAGGGGGCAGCGCGACGATTATGATCTCGCTGTGAGTCCAATGTTGTTATGTTGAAGATAGAATAAAGAGGGAAATGCAAATGCAGAGGACAGACACAATGCTGGACTGTGTCAAGTCGGGACAGTGAGGATGAGGGTGGTGTAGAGGCAAGGGAGACTGCGCAACTGGTCTGTTCAGGACTGCAACTGTAACTGCTGGGGCCAGAATTATTTGCAGCCATTCACTCTGAGTGTCCGTCAATAAGAATGTTGGCGTCCGGAGAGCTGCACTTCCCTGTCAATTTTTGGGTGGATCGCGGTTGTTGGGAGCCAGGGTCAGGCACCATCAACGTCGTAGGGGCTAGTGTTGTAGGCTAGGGTGGCTATGCGGGCTCCCCTATGGCTGCTAATTTGGGTGCCATTCAGGCTTAAGGTGCTAACCCCCATCCAGACGCCTGAAGAGGGTTTCCCAAGGTGCGCAAAGCCACCAAATCGACGGGGTCCACCAGCGATCGCACCCCAAGCCTCTGGCACTGCACCTTTAAACCTGCCAGCGCAGGGAGACGCCAGCGCCAGGAACAACCTCCCCGAGTAGTCGCTACGAGTCTTGTCTTCAGCTCTGCTAGTCGGGTTTGATATTCGATCTGGGGCTTCAGGCGTCGCTTACCGCCTTGCTGACGCCGTGTTGTCTCTGCTAGATGCTGCGCATTATTTACTGCTTACTACGAATAGGACGCAGAACTTGCTCCTGAGGCCAGCAAGAAAAGAGTACCAGCGTGACCGACTGTCCTACAATTATGATTACTGTTGGAAACCGGGAAACCCAGCCTGCCGCAATTCTGTTGGGCTGGATATGATTGCAGACGCTCTCGAACCCCCATCTCTCGCGTACCTCGTTCTTCTCTGGTCCTCACGTAGTAGCCATCGTTGCTCCAGCATCGACCCGATGTTCCACTGCAGTACGAAATACGAGGAGCAGGAGCTATGGATACCGGACTCCGAACAGGAGGGCGCATTAGGCACGCGAGAGGCTGCTTAGGCCAGTCATCAGCCTGAACTGGGGTTCCCCCTATGTCCATCAGGCCCGCCAAAGGCCCGAATGATGTGAACGCACAGAGCCATCTCAGCCTTTCCGGAGGCGGGCCGTCAGAGGTGCAGCACTGGCAGGAACGGAGAACCAGGATATTGTAAGGACTCGGAAGTGGTCTCAGTGCCTGTTGGTGCGGTCAGTAGCAGTAATCGCAGTAGATGAGCTTCAAATGTGGACCATTCAACGGGCTGTTGGACAGCTATTGTCATAGTGCTGTACTCCACAGGAAATCTCACCACCCGGAACACGCAGCTGGGAGGCTCTAAATGTTGTGCCTCCCGAAGCCATTATTCAAGTTGGGGGCGCCATTCCTATTTTCGGCCAGGGCCCTGGGACTAGCGACTGCAGCTGTTAGCAGCCGGACTCTCAACGCTCCAGGTCCATGCAAGTGCCAGATTCCGACCCCCCTGCGACGCGAAACACAACTGTGGCAGTTTTTTGGGGTTTGCATCCCTCACCGTAAACTGCGCCCTCAGCATCATCTCTTATCACTGCAGCGCACTATTATTCAATCCACGTCGAGCATTATCCTACACGAACTCCTCGCCGTGGTCTTTTCTTTCGTTCGTGCTTCTCTTTGCTGGACTTTCACCTTCGCGACGTCCTTTCCACCTTGATTCACGTCGCTTCAAATCACATCCTGTATCTGGTAAGTGAAGTCATCGCTCAACAGCCTCTCGTCGACATATAGAAATACCCCAGGCCACAGATCACATTTCGCGACTGCTTCACACATTTTGAACTGTTCACTGACACGGTACATTTTGCTAGACCATCAAAAGCTCACCTACAATGCCTTCTGCCACGCAGGCCCCGGCGCCTCTTTCCAATGGAGTGCCCACGATTGATATTCCAGATGGCACGTCCACTCCTGGCTCAGACAACCTCATCTCTGCCAACGACAACATCCGCCGCTTTGATCCTCCTTCCAGAGTATTGAGCCCTACACAACATGCGCTCTTCCACAATAAGACAAGATGCTTTGTCTAGTAAGTGATTGTGGACGAAACAACGAAAAGACAACCAAACTCACAACCATGACAGTGGCATGCAGCCCAAGGCAGTTCAGGGCATGCTCGACTTCGACTTCATCTGCAAGCGTAAGACGCCTTCAGTTGCCGGAATCATCTACACTTTCGGCGGTCAGTTCGTCAGCAAGATGTACTGGGGTACTAGCGAGACCCTTTTGCCTGTCTACCAATCCGTCGAGAAAGCCTTCGAGAAGCACCCCGATGTTGACACGGTCGTGAACTTTGCCTCGTCTCGATCCGTTTATAGCTCAACCATGGAGTTGATGAACTACCCCCAAGTCCGCTCGATTGCCATCATTGCCGAGGGTGTCCCTGAACGACGCGCCAGAGAGATCATGGTCAAGTCGAAAGAGAAGGGCATCACCATCATCGGTCCGGCCACGGTCGGAGGCATCAAACCCGGTGCTTTCAAGATTGGAAACACTGGTGGTATGATGGACAACATTGTTGCTTCGAAGTTGTACCGTCCTGGTTCGGTCGGCTACGTCTCCAAATCAGGCGGCATGTCCAACGAGCTTAACAACATTATCTCTCAAAACACGGATGGTGTCTATGAGGGTATTGCCATTGGTGGTGACAGATACCCTGGCACGTCTTTTATCGATCATCTGCTCCGATACCAGAACGAGCCTGGCTGCAAAATCCTTGTGCTCTTGGGCGAGGTTGGTGGTGTCGAGGAATACAGAGTCATTGAGGCCGTGAAGAAAGGTCAGATCACCAAGCCCATCGTCGCGTGGGCCATTGGAACCTGTGCGAGCATGTTCAAGACTGAAGTACAATTTGGTCACGCCGGTGCTTCGGCAAACTCCCAGCTTGAGACTGCCGTTGTCAAAAACCAGTCTATGAGAGAGGCCGGCTTCTTCGTCCCAGACACGTTCGAAGAGATGCCCCAACTCTTGGCTCAGGTTTACCAGAAGTTGGTAAAAGACGGCACGATCACGCCTGCTCCCGAACCATCCCCACCCAAAATCCCCATGGATTATGCCTGGGCTCAGGAACTGGGACTCATCCGAAAACCCGCTGCTTTCATCTCCACCATCTCCGACGACAGAGGCCAGGAATTGCTGTATGCCGGTATGCCGATCTCAGATGTCTTCAAAGAGGACATTGGTATTGGTGGTGTCATGTCACTTCTGTGGTTCCGTCGCCGACTTCCTCCTTATGCTAGCAAGTTTTTGGAGATGGTTCTCATGTTGACTGCCGACCACGGCCCGGCGGTCTCTGGTGCCATGAACACCATCATCACCACCCGTGCTGGCAAGGACCTCATTTCCTCGCTGGTGGCTGGTCTCCTGACCATTGGTTCCCGGTTCGGTGGTGCGCTTGATGGCGCCGCTGAGGAATTCAGCAAGGCCTTTGACAAGGGCTGGTCGCCCCGAGAATTCGTCGATACCATGAGAAAGGAGAACAAACTTAGTAAGCGATACTCCGCTAAGGCGCAGACCGTATACTAACCACGAACCCAGTCCCTGGTATTGGTCACCGTATCAAGTCCCGAAACAACCCCGATCTTCGTGTAGAGCTTGTCAAGGAGTATGTTTTGAAGAACTTCCCCTCACACAAATTGCTCGACTATGCTCTTGCCGTTGAGACGGTCACCACATCCAAAAAGGACAACCTCATCTTGAACGTTGACGGGTAAGTTTGGACTTCTTGCTTCTGATTGAAGTTGTCGAGAACTAACGTATTGCTGTTACAGAGCTGTGGCCGTGTGCTTCGTTGATCTCATGAGAGGCTCTGGCGTGTTCTCTTCCGAGGAGGCCGAAGATTACATGAAGATGGGTGTTCTCAACGGGCTCTTCGTGTTGGGACGGTCCATCGGTCTCATTGCTCACTACCTTGACCAGAAGCGTCTCCGGACTGGGCTGTACAGGTTAGTCTTTCCTCTAGCATCTATGAAATATGCCTTGAAGCTAATTCTTCTGTGCAGACATCCTTGGGACGATATTACCTACCTCCTGCCAACTCTTGCCAAGGGCTCTGGCACCGAGGGGCGAGTTGAGGTTTCGGTGTAAATGCGACCGCGGCTCTTAGTAGCACCAGTTGAGTTTACGGCTGGCTTTGAAAATGATTGCGGCGTTGCGCGGCGCTTGAAGACGATTATTGATATTGATATCAATCACTATTCGAGCACTCAGTGACTAGGACAAGGCCTTGAAGTGCCTTATGAGTGTAACTGGACTGTACCGTATGACACATTAATCCTCCACCGGCTCGAACTCCGCCATCTCTCGAACCGACGTAGCCGTCCTTTCGACGTTGCACGTCCTTGTACTACGCAACATGGCCAGCAGACTAGGCAGCATTCTGGCCCGAATGTCACTAAAATGGGAAGCCTCTTGTATCATGGGAATAGGGAAACGTATCTAATGGAGAATATCAACGAAGAACCAAACCCGGTCGCCATGCAACTTCTACAGTATATGTACCTACGTAGGTAGGATACCGGTGGTAAGTACGGTGTGTCCCTAAGTTGTAAAGTGCTAGTAGTCGAGGAGCAAGGCCAGTCTACCTGTGTATGCCCCAGTTGAATGGGGGCGTTGAGCCCTATGGACCGGATGAAGTACAGAGCAAAGACGAGAGTGGTGTATTCATGGTCCGGTAAGGTATAATTCCATTCGTCTATATCTGTGTCAGTAACTGACGGTTTGTGTTCACAGGGCCGATTCCGTCTCGATAGTTGGACGTACAGTCCGTGGAACCCTTAGATGAAACAGTTGAACGATGTAATGCGATTGCAAAGGCAATGTATCATATCAGCATAAATCGTTTCATTGTTGCAAGACCAAGTTTTTCTGGCCTTAATCTAAAGCCGCTTCTGTTGTTTCCTCAGCTCCCAAGTCCTCCAAGTCCTGCCCTTCCACAAGCCCTCGAAGAAATCCCCAACACCATAGCCCTGGTCCCAACCACAAGATGAACCGTCACACTTTTCGTCGTCGTTGTTGTTGTTTTTGGACCGTTGAATTTTATCACTAATATTCCAAAACAAAGTCCCATCATAACAGGCTCTCAAATCATCCTTCCAAACCCGACCATCTCGCTGCATCAACAACCAAGTCGTCCACCACTCCATGAACCCGAAACACCAGCCCGCCGGGTCGGCGGCACACCGATTCTTCTTCCACATATTCCACATCTGGTCCGCAGTCAGTCCGCCGACGCGGTCCTCGTCCCAGCGGTCGAACATGGCGTCGAATCTGTCTATATGGAAATGGCCGTCGACGTCAAAAATGTTGCTGTCGGACCCGTGTTTGGCCTTGTGTAGACTGCCCACGAAAATACGAAAAAGGGGGTCCGGAAACCAGCTGTGGCCCAGTGTGGTTGGGTAGGAGAAGAAGATCGGGATGAGGAGACTACCGAGGGAGAAGAGGATGTTGAATCCCAGTGCTCGGAATCCGTTGTATACGTCCCAGGGGTAGATGATGCCGTCGTTGTCGCGGTCCCAGAAGAGGACGTGTTGTTGGAGGGCTGTGAGTTGGGCTTGGCGGGTTGAGCTGGAGGTATGTGGTGGGTAGGGGGCAGGGGGGAGGCTGTCGGAGAGGGTGTTTGTTGTAAGGGGTTGAGATTTTGATTGAGATTTTGATTGAGATTTTGGATGGTGGTCCTTTTGGCCTGGGTTGAATGTGGCTGATGGCATCGTTAGGTTTGGGTCAGAGTTGGACTAGTCTTAGGTGTGCGTATTTGTCGGTATATTGTAGGTCCAAAGCCGTCGGTCGCTTGGGATCAAGATGATAGGAAATCCTGTATGGTGGATGGCCTTATTATTTCTGGAAGGTTTTATGAAGGCATCCAGATTAATTGAGGGCAAATGTACTTTTTGATAGATTTGCCTGTTTCTGTGATCGGACTGGCAAGATCGGATCCGGACCTCAAACCCACTCGGGCTGGTATACGGGGTAACAAGGTATGCCAGTGTGTAAAATGAATGTAAGCGTGTTGCGTCGTCCTAGACCTGAATTGGCGATTGAGCGCTTTGCGTTCTTGGGGGTGATAAATCAGCCATGCGTCACGACTAGTTACGGCCGGCCTGGAAATCGACGAAGCGCCTGCTCAAACAGAAAGGTCTTTTGATAGTCTTTGATAGAGTGTAATTATATAAATCGGGAGTGCTGTACGGCAAGGTGTACAATCTGTCGTTGATCATGTAGAGTACCTGATGGAGCTGAGATGCAGCCACAGAACGTAGGAGAAAATCAATCACGATAATCATAAATCAAAAGCACATGTCAGGTCGGGATCATGATGTATGACGATCGTGGCTGGGAATTGATGATGGTTCGATGCTGCAACTTCAGTTTGGGATCCACACCGGATGCAGCAGATGCGCCAAAGTCATGATGCCAGAATCGCTTTTTCGTCAACTGCCAGTGCTGGGTTGAAACTCGAAGAACACTTCAGACGGAGTAGTAGAAGACTGCAGGAGAGTAATAACAAGCCACAACTTAGATTTGAAGCAGAACAACAGATGCCAGTGCACGGCCAAGGCTGAACAGAGAACAGCGTGTTACGTGACAGCCACCGGGACGCACCGTATCACGTCTTAGGCTACCTTCGTAAGGGGTTAGTCGAGGCCGGGGGGATCGAGTTTCAAGTAGAACCACTGGCAGTACTTTGTACGAGCTAAATACAACCCTCCCCATAATGACCTCAGGTACAAGATACAACACTCAACACGACCTGGATTCAACGTCGACGAGTTAGAGACCGAGTCTTGCACGGATTCTTTACAAGATCACTTTCGTTGCAAAAGTTCCAGCTCATCCTCGTACAACTGAGTTTCGCTGTCGCTCGCTAGCAGGCCGTCAACAACCTTTTTTGTCTCATCCTCTCGCCTCCCTCGACTCTTTCTCCCCGTCCCCTACACAGAATGGGTGAACCAACGCCGTCGGTAGAGCCGACGAGCCATATTGGAGACAATTACGAAGTCCCGAACCCCGAGCCGCACTCATCATTCACGACTCTAAAGGAACGAATCCGACACCACTACGAGCTTGCCTCGGACTATTACTATTCGCTCTGGTAACGACTGATCGAGTTTTTATATCTACCTTATCTTTCCCAAGGACTCGCTCCGTCAAGACCATTATTTCCTCGACAACACAGTCCCAAATTTTCTCACAAAGTGCACCATGTTCTGGCAGTGTACTGTATGAACGGCATATATTTATTCATATCCGTGTCAACCTGTTGTGACCGCCGATGCACCATCAGCCCCATCAACTCTGCCCTTCCTCCTCCATATATCACCACATCATCCCCCAGCCCAATCCCATCTACCCCGGTGCTTCTCACCTGTCCACCAGGATTGGAATTTCTATATCCCACCATATCTATCCAACATTTGCCAATTCTCTTCTACCAATTTTAGGGGTCAACACATCCACCACGCCTACTTCCTCTCGCCCACAGACACCAAAGAAACCGGCCAAACCAACCTCATCAATCTCCTACTGGAAATCTCCGGCCTCGAACCAGGCTCTACAGTACTCGATGTCGGCTGCGGCATCGGCGGCACCACACGCCACCTGGCCCGCGAACTCGGCTGTACCGTCATTGGAATCACCATTTCCGGCCGACAAGTGCAGATAGCGCAACGACTGACGAGGGAAGAAGCAGCTAAACTATCCAAAACCGAAACCGCAACTTCTGAGACAGCGACACCATCATCCGCCAACACTGACGCCGACGCCGACGCCAATGGCTTCATCCCACTAGGCCACCGCGGCGGCAAAGTCAAATACATCGAACTAGACGCCGAAAGGATGGAATCGGTCTTTTCCGAGTCGAGCTTCGACTGTGTCTGGATTTCAGAGGCGTTGAGTCATTTCCCCGATAAACCGCTTTTCTTTCGGAATGCGGCGCGCGTGTTGCGGTCGAAAGACGCAACCAGCAGCAGTGACAGCAACACAACGGAAACACCAGCAAAAGAAGCAGTGTCTGGAGGCAAACTCGTCATTGCCGATTGGTTCCGCGCCGACAATCTCACGGATCAACAAATCCAGGACGACATCAAGCCGATCGAGGATGGTATGTTGTTGCCTCCGCTGTGTACGCAGGCCGATTATGTCGCGTTGGCTGAGGCTGCTGGGTTGGAAGTGCTGCATAAGCCCAAGGATATTAGCAAGGATGTGGCTAAGACTTGGTATGCCATATTTCTGTTTGGCGAGGTATTGTGGGCAGAGACACTAACTAACGATTGTGGTTCCTAGGGATATCTCATGGTCTCTCATTTCCAATCCTTCTCTCTGGGCCTTTGCCATTTCCCAGGGCCGCGACGGTCTTGCGTTTCTGCAGTCTTTCCGCGCGATGAGGAGAGGCTATGCTAATGGAACGTTTCGATATGCCGTCATGGCTTTTGAGAAGAAGAAGAAGGCTGTTTGAAACCGTCGTAGGTTTAAGAAGTTCAGACATTTTCCAGATATGATTCTGGCCGGCTAGAATGACATGCGGCTGTAAATGAGAAACACCGACCCATTCCGCCTTCCAGGCTGTCCTTTACAGACGAAGAAGGATAATAGAGCTGAGAAATGGACAGGAAGGGATACACAGATATTGGAGCAGATGTTTCAAACAATAAACTCAGGCTATGCTATGCTATGCTGTGACAGAAATACTATATATAATCTACCGGTACTTATATACCCTCCGGTATTGGAGATCCAAGGATCATCTTGCTGCTATACAAAACCGAGCGATTTGACCAATTACTCGCCATCACTCTCGTCCTCGGCCGTGCCCTCATGGAAGTTCTTGCCCTCGGTGGTCTCATTGATGATCCCGGCACGGATGGTCCAGTCGCCAAAGTGTTCGCCGGGGTTCCTCTCCTTGGCGTAGCGGGAAAACAGACCTCTCATGATCTCCAAGATCTCGTCTTCCTTGATACTGCTTCGGTAAAGCTTATTCAGACGCTGTCCATGGTACCCACCGCCAAGATACATGTTGTAGGCGCCATAGGCCTTGCCGACGAAAGCAACCTCGGCGAGCCATGGTCGAGCGCAACCGTTGGGGCAACCAGTCATGCGCATCACGATGCTGTCCTGGGCCAAACCGTTCTGCTCAAGACAGTCTTCCAGCTTGTTGATAAGTTGAGGGAGGTAGCGCTCCGACTCGGCCATGGCGAGACCACAGGTGGGGAAAGCCACGCAAGCGGAGCTGGACAGTCGCAGTCCAGAGAACTGCGTGTTGTCAAGCTTGTACTTCTTCATCAACTCGGCGAGCGCTGGCTTGTCTTCGTCCGTCACATTCGACAGGATCAAATGCTGGTTGCCGGTGAGTCGGAACTCGCCCTTGTGAACCTTGGCGATTTCTCGGAGTCCCGTCCGCATGGGGAAGTCGGCGGTATCTTCAATACGACCGTTCTCAATGAAGAAGGTAAAATGGTTCAAACCCTTCTCGTCCCTCTGCCATCCAAAAGTGTCGATGTTGGAGTGGAATTTGAAAGGCCGGGGTGTGTCGAATTTGACGCCCAGAGGAGTGAGCAGCTCTTGCACCTTGGACTTGAAGACCTCGTTGCCCATGTCATCCATGGTGTACTTCAAACGGGCATGCTTACGGTTCTTGCGGTCACCGTGATCGCGCTGGACGAGCATGATCTTTTCACATACAAGGTGAGCCTGGTCGGCGGGAACGTAGCCTAACATATACCCAGTTCGAGGATAGGTCTTCTTGTTGTTGTGCGTCACGCCCATACCGCCTCCTGCGAGGACATTAAACCCTTCCAGATGGCCGTCCTTGGATCGAATGGCGATCAAACCAATGTCGTGGGCGTACACGTCTGTGTCGTTGTGAGGAGGAATGGCAATTGTGATCTTGAACTTTCGAGGAAGATACGTGGGTCCGTAAAGTGGCTCGTAGTCCTGAACGGCATCACCGGCCACTTGCGTCTTCTCGCCAGTCGTGTCATCCTTGAGCCAGATCTCGTGGTAAGCAGTTGTAGATGGTAGGAGATGGTCCGAAATCTTCTTCGAAACGGCATGCACCTCCTTGTGGTATTCTGACATGGTTGGCAGACTGGAACACATGACATTTCGGTTGACGTCGCCACATGCCGCAATGGTGGTCATCAGGGCCTTGTTGATTGCTCGCATAGCAGGTCGCAACTTGGACTTGATGACTCCGTGAAATTGGAACGTTTGTCTGGTGGTCAGCTTCATGGTTTCGTTTCCATGAGCCGAGGCAATCTCGTCCATTTGTAACCACTGTTTGGCGGTGGCCACACCACCTGGTAGTCGACAACGGATCATGAAAGAATAAGCAGACTCAAGACCTTGAGCCTTTCGTTCGTCTCGCAGATCACGGTCGTCCTGCATGTATGTGCCGTGGAATTTGGTGAGTTGTTGGTCAGACGCCGAGATGGCGCCCGTGGATGTATCCTCCAATCCTTCAGCAATCGTGCCTCGCAGGTAATTCGAAGCGAGCTTGATGTCCTCGTTGGTCAGTGGAGCAGGCTCTTCTGGGATACCTTCGACATTGGCAACGTTCAACGCTTGCCACAACCGAGGTTCCCATTCTTGGTACCCGGTCTGGTAGCTGTCAGGATCCTGGTCGTCACCTAGCCCGACAGGGGTCAACAGCTTGGCACCTAGGAATTGAAGACGGGCATCGAGATCCTTGGCCGGCTTGTTGTAGAAAATTTTATCCTCCTTGCGTGGCCAGTAATGGCTATCACCCAATCCAAAGACCGAGTAATGGACGTTTGACAGGTCAAGATCGGCCGCGTCCTTGACCCCTTCCCAAAATGCGCGACCATTCTGGGGGAACTCTCCCTGGCCGGCTGTGCTGGTGATCAAGACAACATTCTCCTCACCAGGAAGATCCTCCAGGGGATAGTCGTCCATCGCCATCACCATGGTCTTCAGCCCTCGAGCCTTGCCACGATTGGCCAGTCTCTTGGCCAAGCTTTCACCGTTGCCGTTGTCTGATGCGAACAGAATTGTCAATGGAGCGCCATACAAACCCTCCAACATTTGTTCGTATGCATCCTTGGCCTTGCGTTTCTGCAGCTTCCGCACTTCAGAGCCGTAAGACTCAGACAGACTGGCAGCGAATCGTGGGTGCCGGTTCATGAGTTGTGTGAGTTGGTTGTCTCGCCGCAGGAACTCTTCTAGTTCACGCTTGATTCGCTCCGAGTCCAGGTGGAAAGTGGGCTCGCCCTTATCTTCGTTGGAAGGATCCCATCGGTAAAGTGGCCAGTAGCCCATGTCAACGGCTTTCTTGGTCTCTTGCAAAACAGTCAATGGCGAGTCGGTCTCCTTGTGATAGGGTAGGTAAGCCAGCACAACTGAAGGACCGTTGAATTTCTCGGCTTCAATCATCGCCTGCAGCACCTGAGTGTAGGAGCTGTACACCGCAACTGATGCGACGTAAGCATTGCCGAAGTTCATGGCATACAGTCCAATATCTTTCTTTCGTCTCATGGAATCGGCAGCTGTTCGCTCCGAATATGGTTCCGAGTCGATGATCAGCATGTTGACGTTGGCGCCGGAGGCCAGAACATGATGGACTCCAGAATTACCCAGATCATATGCCCAGGCGTCAGATCCAATCAGCCATTGAGCCTCCTTGTAGAAGAGAGTCTTGCTGTCCAGAAGCTTGTTTGATAGGCTGGATCCATCAGTGGATAACCGAGCGATCACTTCGGGTGCATATTCGTTCGCTTTGACAGAATCGTAGGCGTTCAACGCCCATCTCGACAGCCACTGCTTCGGTGACTCCGTGATGAACTCGTTGCTACGAGCGGCCTTTTCGACTTCCTTGACAAGCTCCTGACGTTTCTCAATCCGCGCCAGAAGCGAGCCAAAGCCGTATTCGGGCGAAGTAGCAAGTGTCGCAGAAACACCCGCGTTCTTCTCCTGTAGTCGGTTTGCAATGTACAGTCGGTTGCTGAACAGTTGATCAAGAATTTTGAGATAGGCATTTTCCAACTCGGGCTGTTCAGGAACAAAGCTGTCGATGGTAGGCTCCAGCTCCTTTCCAATGCTGAGGTTCTGGATCGGAACGATAGCAGCCTGTGAGTGACCCCGGCGCCGAGAGTGTTTTCTTGGCGTGGTTGGCGGAGCAAGATTCTGGAAGATCCCGCGCAAGGCCTGCAAGGCTGTTGCTTGGTCGATCTGACCGAGCCTGTACTGCACCAGATCGATGGGAGGTCGTCCACCAGCCCCGGGTGCTAAGCTGGACAGCAAGTCAAGGAAGGTGGGGCCCCATCTGGTAGTCTTTCTCTTAATCTGTTCGAGAACCGCAATCTTCTTGATAGATCTCGGAATGGAATCAAGGAGGACTGCGCTGCCGAGCCAAGGGCGGTATAATCGAGCAGTGATCAAGCCAACGTTTGTCAGATCAGCGGGACATTCGTCGGAGTCAAGAACATCGACAAAGACGCCTGTCGAGCCGAAGATAAAGATTGCAGCGTCGGCATCTGGCGGGCCAGAATATTCAATGGCGGAGTAACTGCGGCCAGTAGCCCGCGAGATTGCGGCCCAGATATCACTGACAAAGGTGAAAATATCGGTTGCAGATACGGGGCGAATGACTGGAGTCTCAACCGTTGTCGCTATGGAGGATGGGGCGTTGCTTTCGGAAGAACTGTCTCGTCTAGATGACGGTACGGAAGAGACCTCGGTGGTGCCATTGGTCGAGGATCCATGTGCGACAGGGGACAACAGTTCCCTTGTCAATCCAGGAGAAGTGTGCTGAGGAGCGACCTCTGGAAGACCGAGCTCGGTCACGGTAGCAGTCCTCCCATTGTTGGCGTAAAGAGTCTGTTCTTCAGAACTGGTGTGTGATGCTCGTTGACCCACGCCAGTTCCAAGAAGGGTCTCAACCAGTTCTTTGCTCTCCGCCGGGATAGGGCTATCCTGGACCGAATTGAGGGGGTCGTAGAAATGGATGACACCTTTCCCGCTCTTGATAGCCAGAGCATGTGCGGTCAAGGCAATATCCTGCGCCTCCTGAAGAGTTTCCGACTGCAAAAAGGTGAACCCGCACTGTCGAATGGCGCTGATCTCGGAAAAGTCTGAGTTTGGCGTTGCCAGGGCCACATGTAGCACCACAGGATATTCGGCAAGTTTATAGAGGTGAGGAATGGAGTTCAGGAGGATGGAGGAAGGCGTTGTCACGGAGACCAATTTCCCAGCTTCTAGAGGAGTATATGCTGAGAGCAGAGGGTCTGCATTTTGACGAACTGGAACAATTTCTGGAAGAGCCTTGGAAACGAAGCTTTTCGCGTTGCTGGACGAGAAGCGAGCCAGGTGGTGGGAGAACTCAGAATGAGTGCTCAACGACGGCTGGACAGACAGAACGACATCGCTGGCGAGGTAGGCGATTCTCGCAACTGCAAAATCATGTCAGTATACCAGGCCCTTTGAATCTGCATAGAGATCATTATTGATCCCAAATATGTCACTTACCAGCCTCTGCGGGGCTCGCTACCGACCCCATGTCTCTGTCTTGATCGTGTGAGAGACACAGTGCACCAAACAAGAAACAAAGACACAATCACAGGAAGCAACAGGAGTGAGCAGGGTCGGGAGAAGAGCGAGAGGGTGAGAGAAATAGGAATTGACAATACCCCAAATATTACTGCATGGCTACTCCGCCCTCCAGGTCCTGTGGTGGTTCGAGTACCTTTGGTAACTCGCTGCCGGTTACTTCTGCGTGAAATTTTAACGGCTCTCGCACGGCAGTCGGTGATGGTGAGCTCGTCATTTGCACTGTAAACGCCGTCATTGGTTGTTGGGCGATGGCGACATCTTCTGCCAGTGTTCGAGGCGGCGGTGGAGAAACATGGTGGTGAGGTGAACAAATGGATTTTTAAACGGGCCCAGCAGGAAAATGGTACTAGCCGTCCACTAGGAGCTATTCCGAGGGGCACTTCAAGGGCAGACGCAGGCAAAAGAGCATATAACACCATCAGGGCCCAATTATTGTGTGCGGAACTCGGAAACTAGAAGTGGATTAGACCCTGATTGATAGAGCCACATCATACGGTAAGCCCTGAGTACCACGTGACCCGACACCCGCTTAATAGTCTTGCCGACAGTAAAACGAATGTGTAGGAGCCACTGCAAAGCCGCTGACAGCCATCAACATCGGGTGGCCTCCCAGAAGCCATGCTAATCCTACCTAGGTAGACTGCTTGTTTCCACCGTCCGGAGTTCCTATATCTCTTCCCTTGCCGGCTTCCGTCCGTACACTACATAACTGCGAATCGTCAGCATTGTACAAATGGCAGCCGTTCGAACGAGGAGTTCACTCACTATTGCACGTATTGGTGGTAATTGCGATTCTTGACGTCGTGACGAAACCCAACCATGGCCAGCTCCGTGTCCGCTCGGCTCCAACCATAGGTATGAGAAAACACCCGCAGTCCGAATGCGGATGCTCCCTCGACCAAGTTGGTCAATTCCAATGCCCCGATCTTCTTCAGCCGTTTGTCCTTGGGCCAAGGGGAAGAGGGGATTTTGAAGATGTGCTCCATCACGTCGACAAATCCAGCATTCCGAAGGTATTCTGCAAACCGGAGACAGGAGTCTAAAGGAGCGCCTAGTCCATATGACGCCTCGATGAATCGGTCACAAATGAACTTGAACATCGAATCTTGCGGCATAGTACCATCATCACACATGGCGCAGGGATACACCGACGCCAGTTCACACCAACCGCCCGGTTTGGTATGTTCGTATGCCTGTCGCATCAGTCTTGGCCAGTCCCGTACCACGTACAACGGATCCCGCAAGTGGATAAAATCAAAGCTTTCTTTTCTGTAGGTCCACGTGTCCTCGATGTCGTCTATCTCGAACTGACAGTTGGGTGCCACCCATTTGGGCTGAATCGGTGCAATGTCGACTCCAAGCACCTCTGCGCAAGGAAACAAGTCCGCCACGTCAAGAGCCCAGATGCCAGTACCGGTAGCCAAATCGAGTATACGCTGAGGCTGGTTACCAATAGGTGCCAGGAAATGTCTGTCACCGATCACCATCTCGTACTTGCGGTGCTGCAAATCCATTCGATCCATTTCCGCTTCATCGATAGGCATCCCGTAGCTGTGTTTGCCATACTGTGGGTACAATCGTTCGTTCTCCAAGATACCTCGTGAAATCTCCGACGCAATTGATGTCACATAACTGGTACTGGTGCTTTCAGCATAAGCTTCGTCAGTGATATCCAGGTCCGGCAATATCATCGGCGCAATCTGTGTGACTGTATCCTGAGTAGTTGCTACTTCTCCAGTCTCAGCAGCCTCAGCGGTGTCAGCAGTCTCGGCAAGTTCGGCAGGTTCAACAGTTTCTGGGAGCCCTGCGGTCTCAGCTGTCCCAACTGGTTCGGCAGGTTTAGCAGTCTCGGCACGTTCGGTACACTCAGAGGTCTCAGCACGCCCGGCCGTCTTAGCGGTCTCAGCTGATGTGGCAGGTTCAGCAGTCTCAGCATGCCCAACAGGCTCAAAAGCCTCAGCTTTTGCGTCGTCCATTGGTGGAGGATTGTTTTGACAGTGACTGTCGTCGATACAAGGTACTGGTGGTCCATTTGCCGGCTCCGTGGTAATCTCTTTCGGTACCGCAGTGGAATTGACTTCACACCCTTCGTCCTGTCGGTGTATGGCGTGCCAACACTGCTCCTGCTCTGCCTCCACTATCCTATGCTCCAAATCCTTTTCCGCCAAATGATTTCCAAGCTGGAACATGCCGTTTACCTTACAGAACATATCTGTCTCTGATGGGATCAATAAGTCAATCCACGGTTTTTGCGCAATTCAGCCTTTGACCGCGGAGTGTCGAGATATGCCCCTACGTCAGGCCTTACCGGAGTCAAGCCGGCCACAATAACACAAATGAGGTCAACCCTGTAACTTTTGGCGAGTAAAAAGAAGATGGGCCACTGGCTGTAGCAGAAGCGTCAAGCTGCAACGGCCGACAAGATAAGGAATCATAAGTAATACCAACTCTGAGGTCATATGAGGCAGCAAACATCTTGAGCAGAAGGCGGAATCAGAACATAGTAGGCTGAGGAGATATCTCTCATGTGGCGAGGGAAAACATCACAGTTGCTTGACAATTTCAAGCTCCGTCAACGAATTTCTCGTCGACGATGGCGGGGCGACGCATATTTCGTGCTACCTAGAACAGCGGATAGGCAGTCAGGGACAAAGGTATATGCAGCTAACCAAATTGATTGCGAGATTTCGGTTGCAAGGAGCCGTGTGAAAGATTGATGTAAGGTCGAGTCTGTAAGAGGTCGACCCAACCCTTGTAATACGCAAAAAGGAATATCGAACACGGCCATAAGATACTGGTCTTCCCGCTCATGTGTGGACTTGACACTTTCTGAAAACCTGAAGCCAACACAAAAGGCCTTTTTAAGGTACAGGTTTCTGTCCAAGTCAAAGGGAGAGTTGACGTGACCTGCGACGAGTATGTAGCAACCCATGCGGCAGACGGTAAGGCACTTACTAGCAGTCCGGATTGCACCTCCAAGGTGTATCTGCGCTTGATACCCGAGAGCTGCGACACTTGCCCTGCGACTGGCGGCTGAGGTTTCTCAGCCAGGACAAATAGCAATCACTTTAAGTACCAACCAGAAGCACACGCTGTTACTGGACAACCGTTACATGCCTTTGAGTCATTGTCACATCTTCACAGCAAGACATGCTTCTGGCCAGCATTTATCCGCTCGCCGCCGTGTTGCACCAAGCGCACCACTTACAAAGGTGACGTTGCAGCTCAGCCATTTTGGCTGCAACCAGGCTTGTGTGTATGACGCTTGAAGCGTCGTGGCAAAGCAGCCACGTGAGAGAAGGGAGATATCTTCCTCGTTCTAGAACCCGTCACGACAGTATCAACAAGCGCTGTGGGAGGACGGCACTCTCGGTCTATTGCAACACAAAGATAACTTGTGGTCTGGCATTGAAGGAACAGCTTGCAAGGCAAAGTTGAATAGGAGAACGCCTCCAGTGATCCGAGTATCCCCACAACGAAGCCGACTTGCGCCGTCACTTACTTTGTATCATCCAGTCGCGCAAGCTGCTTCAAGCCGAGAGTAAACCTGAGCCGGTCATAATCTGAACGGTTACGCGATCATTAGTTAGGTACTCAATGCTGTGTGACAGAGAGTGTTCCTGAGCTCAACTTGGAGTTTAGGCAGTTCTTTGGCCCTAGTGGTTTAATTTCTACTAAAATCACATACTAGTACTGTAGCGTTGACACTAAAAATTTGGTGCTAAAGTTGCCCGTGTGCGGAGCACATCTCGAGACGCGCCTCCGAATCTGCGGTGCCCACTCTACATTTCCTCAAGTATTCTTGAGGCGGGCACAGACAAAAGGCTTCTCATTTGTTTATCAGTGGACCAAGCATATCTGTGACTTCGGACTCTCACTATAGTGCGAGCAGTCAGATATCACTTTTGTCAGAAGACTGGTAAGTTTAAGCAGAGGACAGGCGGAAACGGGCCCTGCGGCCATATTCCTTCACAAAATTATTTTGCTGACATCGAACGCCCGCCAGGTCAACCATGGCCGACGAAGAAGATCCTGTCATTGCTTCCTACGATGTGTTCCTAACGGAACCGATATCCTCTAATGCTAAGGAGTCGTCTCCTCGAAAATTATATGTGCTTCAATACCCTTCCCACCGGCCATACACCAAGCCATACAATGCCACAAGATCGCAAACCCCCACCGCTCTGCGTCTCAAGCCAAACACCGGCTTCGTTGAAGTTGACGTGCCCATACTGACTCAAGAGTACTACAACGAGTATACTGGCGAAAAGTTTGGCAAAGCCATTGCTGAGAGCAGGACTCTACAGAGTGGTGGGTCGTACGGTCTGGCCGGAGGATTCAATGCTGGCTCAACACAGACGAGGATTAAGGACGTTCCCATGCATGATCAACATAACCCCGAGGTAACTTATCTAACGACTCAGACTCTGGGCGGGAAGATAGTCGCTCCGGACACACGTGATCCTATTTATCTTGTGGGTTGTTTCAAGCAGAATCAGATCCATCTGTCCCATGTCGACGCAGTCGTTCAGATGCGCCCACAGTTCCACCACATTGACGCGGAGGACGAATTGAATCAGAAACGGGCACAAGGAGCAAGCGCGGGAGCAGCAGGAAAACAAAAGCCAGGCTTGGAGGCTGCCCCACCAAAGATTGAATCCAAAGCCATTGAAATCAAGATCAAAGACAACAAAGATGACGCTAAAGATCGGGGCCTCAATGAAAATGCGCGGTTGTTGCGCGATATTCAGACGGAGGAGTGGCAACACCATGGATGGGTCGATGAGGACGAACCTGGGTCGCAAGAAGCGTTCACAACACATCTTCAGCTTCCCGGCGACGCAGCCCTTACGAAAGCCAAGTTACGCAGTCTCATCAATAATGGCGACTGGCTTGACAAGATGAGTGCACCTCGGGAGGATGGCAAAAAGGGCCTCCTGGCCAAACTACGCGGTCGAGAACGAGAACGGGCGAGAAGAAAGAAGGCCGAGGAAGAAAAGCGTCAACGTCAAAGAGAGGCCGCAGGTGGCGCCGCCACCACGCATGGCCCACCGCTCGATATGAGTTCTGACAGTGATCTAAGCACTCCAGATGCGTCGGAAAGCGAGGTTGACGAGGATGTCACAATGACTGGGACGGAACATACCGAGCAGCTTAAGATCAAGGAAGAACCTTCCGCTCATTCCTCGGTGGGCACTGCTGGTGCTTCAGGACCAGCCGGTACGACCAATGCTGCACCAAAACGGAGAGGACGGCCGAGGAAGAACCAGGACTCTGCACCTGATGAATGAATGGTTAAACTTCGTGATGTAACCATGCATCTGACTTCAAAGCTGAAGCATAAACGACCCTCAGGACGAGCCTCGCATCGGCCGAAAAGACCGAACAAGCCAGGAGCTCCGTGTGGTTGCAAGGTATTCGTGCACTTCGAGGCTGCAGCTGCGAGCAGCTAAATTCGCGGTTGCGGCGCCGGACGATTGCTTTCTTGCCTAGCTTCTCTGAGCGAGAAGCGGCTGTGCTACCGCTCGGCGGCGTGGTCTAGAATTCTTGAACTAAGGGCTACCACACAACCGGCCGTTGAAGTTAGCTGATCTACGATCCCACTTCCGGTCTGAACCCAGCCTTCATAATCATTTGGAAAATCTTCAAATCCTCCTTTGCATCCTTGGCAGTCGTTTTGACTTCAGAGTCTTCAACAACCATCCGGTACAACATTTTCAACTCCAGAGTGTAGGGGTCTTCATAGGTCCTCCGGACTGAAGTCTCCTTGTACACTCCATCGACGCCTTCGCGAACGACCATCGTGACAGGGAGGCCTTTCACGTAAGGAGTGTCATACACAACCCGTACGGATTTTGACGGGCTGTAGACCTCAATATGAGCATCGAAGCGTGGGATTTTGTCAATGCCGGATTCATAGGTTACCGAGAAGGAGGGATATTTAATAATTGCACTGAAAAGGTCAGTCAACCAAGGATACGTGGATTGAATGCTGGGGTGGGATTACCTCCAGAAAGGCAGGTTAATGGAAGCACCGACCACAGCCTGTGGCGTTCCCAGCGCTTCACGCATGGCCGACAAGTCATGGGAGCCAAGTCCACCCAACAAACGCCACATCGCGGCCGATTCTTCCGTGACTGGCAGGCCGCACTCAACCACTAGAGCTTGTTGTATGATGTCTTCGGCTTTGGCTCTTTTGTCTTCGACGACTTCTGCGCTAAGATCCGAAAAGGATCTGGGAAACGTGCCCGACTGAGAAACAAAGTGACTATTTGGACCGATTATGTCTGTGAAGAGGAGGTTCAACTACTTTGTTCTCCCGAGGTAGGGACAAGCATTGTGCTAAGGCAGGCTTACCTCGTACTCGAGCATAATGAATCTTATCCCAACCGCCTATCTCATTCAACACATCCAAGTACGCAGCTGCATAGCGCCGCATATAACCAACCATGACTCTGCCCATTGAATCTGCCTCTGCAGCGATGATTGCATCAGCATCTCTTTCGCACAACGCCATAGGTTTCTCAATGAAGACATGTTTCCCCTGTCTCAAGGCTTCGATGGCATGGATGGCATGATACTCGTCGGAGCTGGCGATGAACACCAGATCAACGTCCGGCGAAGCGCATAACTCGGTATAGTCCAAAGTCTTCTGCGGGATATGGTTGATGACCTTTTGCGCGTTGTGCGCCAGGTTGGCAGGTGATACGTCGCAGAGATAGGTGATGGTAAACAGGTCAGAAAGAAAACCAAGAGTCGGTATATGAGCGACCTGCGTGATCTCGCCACAGCCTATGATGCCAACCTTGACGACCCGACTGCCCACCATTCTGAGAAATATTTAGGTATGACAGCCTAAACACCTTGGAGCAGGTTGCCTTAAGGAGATCACAAAACAAATGCTCTGCAGTGTTCGTCGAGCCAGTTTATGCTCTATAGGCTGAATTGGGAATGCGAGACCAGGATGCCAATGTGTACCTAGGTAGCAATGACACTGCAGCCACCCTCAATTTCTGTATAAATCGCCGAAGGCTATCTGTTCAGAGATGAAATCAACAAACTGCATTCAACGGGACAAGTATCGCCGCAGCCCACGCGGTTGAGATGATATGAGACATTAGGACTTGTTTTGTATCCGGAGACTGAACCCGCAGGTCTAGAATGCAGGTGTTCCGTTGTATACCGGTCTGGTTAGGCTGGTACTAGTACAGCTAGCAGCCGCACTAGTACATTTATGCTACGCTCTCACGTGACAATGCTAATCCCCATTGGACAAACCTCCCGGCGGAGCTCCAACCTTCAAGTTCACGAGGCTCCTGAAAATCCGCCGATTTTGCCTTCTCGAAATCTTTCCAGCCCATACATACATCGACTGACCACCTCACACTTGTGTATCACTACTTCCTCCGCCTCTTCGTTTTATTTTTGCTTCTTCTCTTGTAAAGATATTGCTTGGGCAGACCGTCACTGGCGTCTATTATTGCAGGCTTTTTTCTGTTTCACCGTTTACCACAATTGAGTTCTTGCGGGCGCAATGCTCACGCGAGCTGCCCGGCGAAGGCATGCGCTCGCCTATTTCCAACAAGCCGCAGAAAGACTTCAATTACCATGGTTGTGCCCTGCTCTCGCACAGCAGCATTATACTCCTCATCAACAACGGTCGATAGTATCTCGGCCGTCGATATCTCGTTCGAAAACATTACCTGCACGCATAACTCAGGCCCGACATCTCGCCTCTCCAGCGGCCGGTCCGGAGACCTTCGATCGCAGCGATGATTACATCCCCTTCGTTTATGGCCATGCAGAATACCCTACCTCTGACCCATCCACACGACATGCCGCCGGAGATTTGTCGCCGTTCGATCTATCCCAAATCCTTATGCTCGAAGGCGCCACCGACCTCCCGCCCGACTACGACGACTCTAGTCATGCCACATACAGTAGCTCAAGAAAAAACGCAGATGAAATTGAGGCTACGCTGGACGCCTGTCTCCAAGTGCATCGCTGGGATCGAGCATTCACGCTGTTATCACAATTATCTCTCTGCTGCCAAAATAATCCCAACCGACTGGTGACCTCCTTCAACCGGGTGCTCGCAGCGATGGTCGACGATCTCCTTCGAAACCGGAACTACGAGCATGAAGCCCACATCAATAATTGGATCGAAGTGCACATGCGAAAAGCAGGAGTGGAGCCGGATGCGCACACTTTTGCACTGAAAATAAAAGTGGCATTGGATTCGCTGGTTGGCTCCAAACGTGATCGAACCGTACGGCGCTACTGGGAAATGACTCAACGATACGGACTTGAGAGCAGGGTGCTCGGCTTAAGGGAGATACTCGATGATCGCGATTTGGGAAGACTCTCTCAAATATGTCCTCTGGAAGTGAAGACTTTTGAAGCTGAAGACCCCTCCCGCAGTTCATCGACAAACCCCTCCTCGCCCTCTGTCACAAAGGAGCAGTTTCATGTCCGGGAAACGGAGCAGAAAGGTCTAGGATTGACATCGCTCCGACAATCGCTATCGATTTTTTCCGACCAGATGGACACGCAGGTCGATATGGATCTACATGAGGACCCGGCGACGGCGAGACAGCGCAAATTGGAAAGAGATGCTATACAATCTGCATTGCAGCGGTGGAAGACAGAATACCAGAAGAGGGCCAGGTCCGGGATTACGGGTGATCTGGCACACGGGAAAATCGGTGCGCTGCTTTGGCAATGGCATGAAATTCTCGCGGAAAAAATCACCAACGAGATCAAGCTGGCTAGGGAGGAGGATGCGACGCCGGGCAAGAAAACAGCACAACAGAAGTTGCGGGCGGAATGTTCACCTTTCTTAGAGCTTCTGCCCGCGGAAAGACTGGCCGCTGTTACTTCGGTTGCCCTGATGCAGATCATGAGCAAGGTTGGGGCTTCAAAGCAAGCAAAGTTGGTTAGACTGGTCACCGAACTTGGTCAGGCCATCGAAACCGAATACGACGCAACCCAAGTGGCACAGAAACGAAATGCAATGCTGAAAGCCAAAGAGAAGTTGGCCGAGACCGCTCCCGGAGCGCCTTTGAAGTGGGATGAGACGCTGGACAATACTTTGCACCGACGGTCCTCGCACCACGCCGCCACACCTTATGCGTACAAGAAGAACTGGTCAAAAACCATCCATGCAAAGTTGGGTTCTGTGCTTTGTGAACTTATGTTCGACACAGCCAAGATTATGATTACACGCGAGGACAAGACTACTGGCAAAAAGGTCTCCATCGCTCAGCCAGTCTTTATCCATTCTACCAGTTACCAAAATGGCCGAAGAGTTGGCACGGTGTCGTTACATGAAGATTTCGTCAAAATCCTTGTTTCCGAACCAGCTGAGCACCTTATTGCAAAACAGTTACCCATGGTATGCCCTCCAAGGCCGTGGAAGGGTTTCTACGATGGCGGATTCCTAGAGTCCTCTCAACCTTTCTTGCGAGTCAAGTATAATGAAACGTCTCAAAAGGACTATGGCGTGGCCGCAGCTGAAAGAGGCGACCTTGACCAGCTCTTTGCTGGAGTCGATATTCTTGGCAAGACTGGTTGGCGGATCAATAAACAGGTCTTCTCAGTGATGCTCGAAGCGTGGAATAGTGGAGAAGAAATCGCCAATCTGCCACCCTTGAACAAACAGTACCCTGAGGTCGAAAGGCCTGCTGAGAATGCGCCTCCCAAGGAGCGCTGGAACTGGTTTCTCAAAATGCGCATGATTGACAACGAAAGGAGTGGCATCCATTCCAACCGCTGTTTCCAGAACTTTCAGATGGAGATTGCAAAGGCCTATCTGGACGAGACGTTTTATCTCCCTCACAACGTCGACTTCCGTGGTCGAGCGTATCCGATCCCTCCATATCTTAACCAGATGGGTGCCGACAACGCCCGGGGTCTTTTGTTATTTGACAGAGGCCGCGAACTCGGCGCCGACGGTTTGCGCTGGCTGAAAATCCACCTGGCCAATGTGTACGGTTATGACAAGGCCAGTTTGTCTGACCGTGCTCAGTTCCCCATGGATCACATTGATGATGTCTATGACTCAGTACAAAATCCCCTGAAGGGCAGGCGATGGTGGTTGACTGCCGAAGACCCTTGGCAATGTCTTGCGACTTGTTATGAGCTCGCCAACGCTCTTGATTCGCCTGATCCGACAAAATATGTGTCCCGGCTTCCGATCCATCAAGATGGTTCTTGCAACGGATTACAACACTACGCTGCTCTTGGAGGTGACATTGCAGGAGCACGGCAAGTTAACTTGGAACCCGGTGACAAACCGGCAGATGTGTACACTGGTGTCTGTGAGTTGGTCAAGGCTGACATCAAGGAAGATGCGGCCAAGGGCGACGCTCTGGCCAAAATGCTGGACGGCAGAATCACCAGAAAAGTGGTCAAACAGACAGTTATGACCAATGTTTACGGTGTCACTTTTCTAGGTGCTGTGCGACAGGTCCGTAAACAGGTTGACGCCTTGATTCCTGAGGTAGTTGAGGCTCGGCTTTCCGGGAAAGCGTCATCCTACATTGCGCGAAAGATCTTCAAGGGACTTGGCGCTTTGTTTACTGGGGCACATGAAATCCAGTACTGGCTTGGAGATTGTGCCAACCGCATCAGTTCATCAATCTCTCCGGCTCAACAGGACCGGATGTACCAGAAAGAGTACGGTGTTCAAACGGAGCCCAAAGAGCGACCTCAATCCCGACGGAAGAAGGCCAAGAGTAAGGAGATCCTCGAGTCGGGCAGATTTCTATCGACTGTCGTCTGGACGACTCCTCTGAAACTTCCGGTCGTTCAACCTTACCGCGTCAACAAGGGGATGAAGATCCAAACCAACCTCCAAAACATCACTCTGGCCCAACCCAGTGTAGCCGATTCAGTCAACAAACGGAAGCAGTTACAAGCATTCCCTCCTAATTTCATCCACTCTCTCGACGCGACGCATATGATTTTGTCCGCCCTCAAGGCCAACGAGCTCGGTCTCACCTTTTCCGCGGTCCACGACAGTTTTTGGACTCACGCTGCTGACGTCAGTACCCTCAGCGGTCTGTTACGGGATGCTTTCATCCGGATGCACAGCGAAGACATCATTGGACGACTTGCGGCCGAATTTAAGATGCGGTACGAAGGCCATTTCTATCTTGCCCAGGTCAACAAGTCCAACCCTCTAGGGAAGGCCATCCTTGCGTATCGCAAGAGGATGGTGGAAGAGGGCGTCTTCCAAGCAGGCAAAGGAACCAAAGGCATTCAACAACGAAGACATGCCGAGCTCTTGCGAGAGATTCGGAAGAAGAAATTGATGGCAAGCCAAGACCCCAAAGAGAGGGAGGAAGGCGAGAAGATGGAGACGGCTGCGTCTCTGTTCGAACAATACGATGGAGAGAAATACTTGTTCCATCGCGACTCTCTGGGCGAAACGGCAATTGGGGCCGTGCCCGAGCAGGCCAAGGAGGAGACTGTGGTTGAAGCCATCAACGCAGCTGGGGTGTCCGATGATGTTGATTTGATCAGCACGCTTGACCCCCTGCGCGAATCCGTTGCCAACGAGGATGAAGATTTGGTGGTCACCTCATCATCATCGTCAACAATCGCAAGTGAAATTGACGCGGTTGCTGCTGTTGGTGAAGAGGAAGTCGAAGTCAATGCCTTTGGACAAAAGGTGGGCAAGAAGAAGCCCGCGAAAAAGAGTCTCAACAATCAAGTCTGGCTCTGGCTGCCGCTCAAGTTCCGACCCGTTCCGAAGAAGGGCGACTTTGACGTTCGACGGTTGAAGGACAGCACGTACTTCTTTTCATGATCTAGCAGCACACAGCAGCATCGGTGTCACAGTTTGCTTGCTTAAGATTTTTACAGGCTAGCCCGCCAGCCAACAACAACTACTACATTTATTATACCTTTGTCATCTCATTGATGAGATGACCTTGCTTGCATAGCGTCGGGGTGGCAGTGCAATATTGGTTTTGAATGTATCACCATACATACACAAGCGATCATGTTTTTGATGAGCCCCAATGGGGATCGGGCCGAGGCTAAAGAGGCGTTTTGCACAAAAAGTTGATGTACATTTTCTGACAGGAACTTGAATGGGTGTTCTGGCCTATGCAATATGGTGGCGTATATGGTGCCGGCGCCACACGAAACGAATGTGGCAGGTGTTGTATGATGCATGCTTGGATAGTCGACCACCATGTGTCTGGTGTCTGTGTGGTGTGGGGGATCAGCTCACCCAGCTCGCTACCTTACTGTATATACTATAAATATAAATATACCGACGACTCGTACAAAGATGTACAAAATTCTTCGAGACAAAATGCGACTGCTTGCTTGCGCTGAGGCCACGTACTTTACGTGGCGGTAGGATCATTTAGCCGGACAATATACATTGTAACTGTCTCTGCTAATAAGGATACTTTGCAAACCGAGAAAACGGCCTTGACGAAGGAAAAATGGATGCTCTTCCATTGGCCAGCGTTGAGACATTAAGCCAATGAAAGAGCCTGTTTTCTTTTTATTATCCTCCACCTGTGTCCTCAACCTTGTCCATTTTCTCCATTCCCTTTAGGCGGAAGCGGTTGCCAAAATATCACTAATACGTTGTAGATACCAATGACGTATTACCATATCCATGGAACCTCCCACCCACCTGCCCGACCGTTGCCTCTGCCAGTGTGGGTTCACGATCGCTATCCAACGTACAAAACAGTGTCATCCGAGATTCGTCCCCTGCTCGAGCAAGGAGATATGTCCCAAAGCGGTCGTGTACGGACAGCCCAGCCAATCACTCCATTCGTGGTTTTGAGGACCCGACGTGGCCCTGGGCCCTGGGCCTGTCAGCTGGACGCGCTCGTACATTCATTTTGTATCTGCGCGGGTGTGGTGTGTACAACGTAATCCATCATCCTGACGTCAACATCGCAACGGCCGATGTATATGTATTTGCCTCCTGATATGTTAATGATGCCCCGGGCTGTTTATATTGACGACGTTCGTCGGCGACACCGTTTCTTGAGTTGAAAATTGAGCAACACAAGTAGAATTGTAGACTGTTACCGCACCAGGAGAGCAGCATCAGCATCAGCACCAGCATCAGACCAGCAACCATGCAGAAGATCCTCCAAGCCGGCCTCTCATCAGGCATGTCAGCCGTCTCGGGGTACCATTCCTCGAAACCAGAACCGCTTCCGGAAGATTATGATGGCCTTCAGCATGTGCTTCCCGACAGCTTTGTACCACAGTTGAATACCCGATACACGCTGCGCGGCAAAGACGGACGAGACGTCCAGGTGCCCGTGGTCTGTTGGGGAGCATGGTCCTGGGGCGACACCAGTACTTTCCACTGGTCTGACGACGAACTTCCAGCTCTGCAGGCGGCATGGAAGAAATGTTTGGAAAACGGGCTTACCTTTGTCGACACAGCGCAAGTGTATGGGAGTGGAAAGAGCGAAAAGATCCTAGGGGATCTGATCAACAACCACAGCGCCGGCTTCGACCGGTCGCGCATCGTCGTCCAGACCAAATGGCTGCCCAACATCACTGATGGGGCAACCAACATCATTCACCCGGTCGAAGCGCCAGTCAGGGAGTTGCGCAATACTCTGGAGCGCATGAACTTGGACTACATTGACTGCTACCTCGTGCATGGACCTATTCATGTCAGCTCAAGCAAGCAGGCTGCAAAGGGGCTGGCGCAGTGTGTTGAGGAGGGACTGACCAAGACTGTGGGCGTCGCCAACTACTCGGTCGAGGACATGTTGAAGATGAAAGATGCCTTGGCCGAGTATGGTATCCCTCTCGCAACAAACCAGTGCGAGTACTCGATCTTGCGCCGGTTGCCGGAGCTCGAGGGTATGCTCCAGGCTTGCAAGCAACATGACATAGTGTTCCAGTCGTACTCCTCCATTGCTCAAGGCCGGTTGTCTGGAAAATATTCAAAGGAGAATCCGCCACCAAAGGAGTATCGCTTCAGCAGTTACGACATGGAACATGTCGAACCTGTCCTCGAGGTCCAGCGTCGCCTCGCTAAGAAATATAACGTCACTGTGGCCGCCATCGCGCTGAACTGGAATATCTGTAAGGGAGCGATCCCTGTCGTGGGAATGAGAAAGGAAAGTCAAGCCGTTGAGGATATGCAGGCTCTAGGCTGGAGGTTAACGAGGGAAGAGACTGCCGAGCTCGACAAACACGGATTCAAGGGGAACACAACGAAGTTGTGGCAGCAAGGATGATTGCAGACGTAACTGTAACTGAAGCATGACCTACCGAGTAACTTGGATAGTTTCAATTACACCATCACCTTGGCATTTTCTCTTTGAGAATTTCTTTCTCATCAGAGGCGCTGGATGGCACCGAGAATACCGGTTCCTGCTGGGCAAGTGTGTGGTCGGGTCTTTTGTGAGTCAAGACGTCTATGGGTGTCCATCCCCTGTCAACAATTACGTGTGGTCATCGATCTGCTGTAGGCTCATCATTACCTTTCATCTCTAGGGACCGCTGATGGCGTGATGACATTGAATCATGATCGTTGCAACGTTCAGCATCGTATGGCGAGGCGAGGCGCCGTTGTCGCTGTTACATGACGATCTGCTTGGCTCAACCGAAGGCGTCAGTCCAGCTGGAAATCGGAACGCCCAGGTACTTTTGAGGTATAGCGCCCTTCATCGGCCTCACCATGGAAGGCGCCAGCGCTTTGGTAGAATCTGGAACCAGCCTTTTGGGGACAGGGGTGAAGATCGTGACGGAGAAAATCATCACATCATCAACGAAGATGGCTCCGTTGAAGCCATCAGAATGCGCTGGCTGTCGCTACGGGCACCGACACAGAAGATGATGCAAAGACACCCCAAAAAGGGCCAGGTCTGATGAAAAGCTCTCTTCAAGCCAGTCAGTCGAACATTCTCCTTCATCCCGTCTTTACCCGGCCCCGTGCATCGTCCATTCGCCCTTATGGACCACCATTCACCGTGAGCACGTGAGCATCCCATGGTCATCTCGAGTTAGCATGCTCTCCGTCTAGAGGATTTTTGACTTGACTGAAAGCCTCTAGCACCCTGAGCCTGGCCACAAGCACTCAGACACAAGGCATAGTCCATACTTTTAGCCCGCTTACCTCGAGGGAGGTTGATTTGAACGATGTTCGGCCATCCAGTGCTCCATGGCAGCCTTGTCTAGACCAAAAATTGATTGGCCGTGATGGATGGTCCTTTGAACAATCGACAACGAGAACCCCGGTCTGCATTCGGCTGGATGGTCACCCATAACAACTGATGGATTCAAAGGAAGGAGAGCCCTCAGGGACGGTGGAGCAGTTTGGTTGGGCTGAATCTGTCGTCCTCAAAGGCTAACACGAGGAAGTTCCGGTGCCGGCACTGCTTCCGAAGTCACAATGGTGGATGAACTTCGTCTCGAACCGAGAACAGTGGCATGTTGGAAAGCATCAGCGTAATGAGAACTCCTCTGGTCAATCCTCATGTTGCTAGCTGCATCTCGAGCCATGCTTTCGCTTCGATGAAACGCTTATTGGAAACATCGAAGCGGCCCTTGGATTTTCACCAATGGTGGGCCGCGGATCAAAGGGAGCACCCTAGGAAAGGGAGACTCGGAGGGGCAGAAGGGTTTAAAGCGACCACTCACTACTGGTAGCCCTTGCAAAAGCAACTCGCAGGGACTTTCCTGACGGCTGGCAAATTTGCTTGCCAGCCTTCTTAGGTGCGGAGGGAAAGGCGGATCCGATATCGGTCAAATGCTGGGATTTTGGCGAACTTCCAGTTCTCAATCGACATGACTGGTCCGGGATCAGTCACTACCGCTTAAAATTTAGTAAAACTCGCTGAATAGTAAGGCTTCCAGGAGCTAGGGGAACTCGCGGGCGATGTACCACTCAACTGCGGGAATTTTGTCAACCCAAGCATGGTCCACCGCCGTGTCAAAGGATCAGGGTGGAAACCTGAAATCCGAGGACAAAGGGGAGGTCGAATCAACAAAAGTGAGAAAGTCGTGGATGGGGTGGACGGGGCGGGCCAAGCAGTTTGACGTTGTCTGATTGAAATTTTATCAGATAAGATAGGACTGATTATCTGATGATATTCCCCCGACCTCCTCCGCCCCACAGCCTTGTCAGTCCACAGACCCCCTACAGAACCCCCCTTGTTCGCTTTCAACCACTAACTTGATTCGATTACTTTTCGGAAGTTGCTCTCGTGCCGCTGCTCTCGCATAGTTTGCCCGGCGTGGGTTGAACCATGCGTGCCTCTGCTCCCTGTTGGGCTAAATCTAAACTTTTGCTGATTTTTTACTGGCCGAATTCCAGCACAGCCTCATTTTGATGGCCTTCTTGTTCAGACCACCGCTCAACGCATCGAGCATTGTCGTCATGTCGGACGAGACAAACTCTTGGACATCGGTGGCTTGGCTTTGATTCTCCCACGAATCGGAGACCAGTTGCCCTCCCGATTCGATGAAGCTTTGGCTGCTAACGGCGGCCGGTGCTTGGTGAGCTTGCAGCACTGGCAACGAGCTTGGCGTATCCCAAGAAAGCTTCTTCCCCATTCTCGCTAAGTCCTTCTGCAAGTCCAGGGTCTGGAATCCTTTTGTGGCTACGCTAGGAAATAGTGTAGCTGTATTTCTCGGACTGAGCCTGACCGCCACGGTCCAGCATGGCAGCAGCCGGACCCCTGCACGAGCCAGTCAGTATCCGGGATCCGACCCTCGTCTGCAAAGACGTGGTGAACTCAGTTCACGCTTTACTCTTGCAATCCACGGGGTACCCTAGCTGTGACAAGATCCTCTTTGTCATGGGCCCTGAATGCGTTGTAAGTGATTGGGTTCAGGAATGTGAAATGCAAACAAAGACAATGGTCCGAACACGGACCCCCATTGTTGAGATGCATTTCTCGATGTTCAGAAGTGGGCCAGAGGTACCTCGCCAACCTGCTTCCTGCTTTGGATAGGTATGTCTGGAAAATTCTCTCTCAAGCTGCAACTACTTCGGCCTATGTATATCAGGACCTCCCCTTTGGTAAGGTGGCCGTCTGGTATCTTCATCCCAGGCGCTCGATCGATTTCTCCAGCTTAGATTGAAGATGAGGGCTGTCTTCGTCGCTCTGGCATGCCTCCTGGGCCTAGCCCTAGGCTATGATAAAAACATAGAATGCATCAATGGCATCCGCACCGCTATTGCCAAGTTTACATTCACAGGGGATTCGCCGGTCAGCTACTGGGGAAATTTATGCCAGAACAAACTCGCCGTTCAGTCTGAATGGGCTGCCGCAAAGGTATACTGCAATGAAAAACAGATGAAGGCAGGCTCAAAATACTTGGCCGACTATTGCATGGAATACGGCATGATGGAGCTGATCCCGTACTCCGAAATCGAGCCTATGTTGACCGACGACTTCATCGCGTCGCTTGAAGTCGTGGATTACAATGACATCAACGCTACGAAGATATGGGATCATCCTGTTCTTCTCTCCAAAGACTTCTATAAGGCTGGATACGAAACAACGGTAAGCTCAAGTTCCCAGCCAATGGCAGCATTGCAAGACTAACAAACGCTCAGTACACCTTTACGAAGGAATATAATACCCACAAAAGATACGGGTATGTTTGAGTCTGGCCTTGAGAAACCGTTTGTACATTGTACCGTACCAAGACTGACCTCTTCCAGATGGGCCGTGTATGGATTCTGGGGAACGATTCTATTGATTGGAATGCTCCACCGGTTTTACAGCCACATATCCAATGACCGGCGGATGAAAAGTCAAGGAGATGTCGAGGATCATGGAGCCAAATCTCGCTCGAAAAACCCGACTTCCATTTTCAGTACTGCTTACCACTGGGTCCGGGCCAACCTGATCATCCCGGCGGCATTTGGATCCCATCACAACCGTCTGCTCTGGTACTGTACTGTGCCTACCCGCATGGAGACGCTTATTGTCGCCTCCTTCTGGATCATAAACATAGTACTCTGCTGTGTTTCCTACGAAGCCTTTTGGCCCAATTTATAGTACGTCTGATTTTACTTTTCAAGACTAATCAGCGCCGGACTAATCGATGTCCCACAGTTACACAAAAGCCATGCAACTATGGCGTTATGTCGCTGACCGGACGGGCATCATGAGCTATGCGAACTTGCCAATCTTGTGGATGTTCTCGGGACGAAACAACATCTTTCTGTGGTTGACGGGCTGGAGCTTTTCGACTTTCAACATCTTCCACAGACACGTTGCCCGCATCGCCACTCTTCAGGCAATCGTGCATTCAATTGCATACACTGCGATGGAGGCCAACTGTAAGACGCAATGACGCTTCTCAGAGGATATTGGAAAAATGCTGATTGCGTTGCAGTTCACCAGCTTGCCGAATCATGGAAAGAGAAGTACTGGTACATGGGTGGCATGGTGAGTATTACTACCCTCTGTTACCAAGGACGGATTGACTGACGCACTGGGTAGGCAACCATCGCCATGGGATTGATAGTCTTTTTCTCGTCCGTTTGGTTCCGTAAGCACAGCTACGAGTTCTTCCTGCTGCTGCACATTGTCTTCTCCGTTCTTACCATCGTTGGCTTGTTCTTGTAAGTGGAGAGTCGTTGTCACACCTCACAATCATGCTTACTGACCACCATGAATAGCCATACTGCAATCTTCGATGGGGAGTACGACGGGTACCTGTGGCCGCTAGTCGCAATCTGGTGCTTCGATCGCTTTGCCCGTCTCGTCCGCCTAGCATACTGCAACCTTCACGTGAGGTTCTCCAAAGGGTTGACGATGTCAACAACAATAGCCAGCTATGACAAAACATCCGATCTGATCAGACTGGATGTCATTCCGGCATCGGGATTGCTGAGGCCTGGTCCTGGCCAACACTACTTCATCTACCAGCCAAACAGGTGGAAGGGTTGGGAAAACCACCCTTTCACACTGGCGCATTGGACCGAGCTAGACAATGGGGAACAGGTCGCCACCCTTGACCCCGATTCGGACTCGTCGTCGGACTTGAGAAAAGAGGTTAAAGTCACTGCCAAAGCTCCTTCATCTCAAGCCTCTTCGTCATCAGTTGTCGTGGAGAAGAATGGTGGAGTTCCCACCAAGCAGGTTACCGGTCGATACAAGCTGACCTTTTTCGTGCGGCCGTTCAGCAGTTGGACAAGACGTCTGCGAGATGAATGCATCAAGTCCAAGACAGGGATGCACAAGACCCAGGCTTTGATCGAAGGTCCCTACGGCGAAAAGAGTCCTCTTCACACGTTTGAGAACGTCATCTTTATCCTAGGCGGTACCGGTATCTCAGGAGCCCTGCCGTATATGCAGGAACATCTTCAGAGAACCGCTTCAAATCCATCAAAAACACGCACGCGGGACATCACCTGCATCTGGGCATGCAAGCAACCAGAGATGATCCGCGAGATAGCGTCTTCCGAGCTGCAACCCCTTCTTGGTCGAGAGGACATCCATTTCAAGTTCTACTTGACCTCCAAGAAAGCGTCTGCCAGCACGAAAGCGGTTGAGCTCAAGAGCTCGAGCTCGTCCGACGCCAGCACAGAAGTGACCATCACACCTGGCCGGCCAAACATCAAAGAGCACGTGCGAACCGTTATTGACGAGGTCAACGCCGCTGGCGCGGTAGGCGGCAAGATCGCCATCTTGACTTGTGGCCCCGCGGCTATGGCCGACGCTGCCCGAGTTGCAGTGCATCGTGCCTTGAAAGACGGAAAGCGTGGCGTCGAATACTTCGAAGAGACCTTTGGGTGAGTGTGGTACCTGTTCCTCGTGAGGATCTGTTTTTAGCTAACCAATGTTCTTCAGATGGTGATTAGCGTTAGCTACTCAGCGGCGAGTCTCACGACATTGATTTCTGCTGGGGTCAGTCTGCCGCACACAGCGTTGTGCCATCCAGATATTCTCCCTCAGGAACTTGAACAGTATAGAAGAGATGTAGGAGCACATACAGCAGTGTGTTGCATAAAGGATTGATGTCGATTAAAACCTTATTTTGACGACTGAAGAACATACATGATATATATACTGTGCGCAGCAGCCTTCACTTATGCAAAATATATTCATTCATTATTCAAGTTTGTATCCCAATCCTCCAGCAGCGGCAGTTGATAGATACATAGTTCAGATCAGTGAGAGACAACCACTCGTACCAAATGTCTGACACCATGCGTACCTATGTAGGACTTCGAATCCAACACGGAAGCTACAACATTGTAGGTTAGTACGGATAGTTCTCGTTGAGTACTGATCAGATAAGAAGATCAGATAAGATCTTGTAGGCGAGACCGGAGGAGCCGAAATGAATTGATCGCTCCCTCGCCGCTCAATGTTAGTCATGGTGTTAGAAAGCCGGGCAGATGGCATACAGTGCAGCCAAAAATCGTGTTTCGTGGAAGACACAAGAATCAAGTCATTCCACATACAAACGTGGCAGGAAAGAAACACTTCAGTGCCGCACTGGCACCAGGGCGATAAACGTTTTTGATGTTCGCGCATTGCCGCTGCTTTAGAAGGCGGGTGTGTTCCCAGATATCGGAGTCTTGGTTGCGCCCCCACATAAGTCAATGCACGTGACGAGGCTTCGAGCGCTGCAGGTGCGCACCAAATCACGTGCACGTAGCTCTTGGCACTCCAAGCCCACATTCTCGAACCACCGCGACTTTTGAACTTGCGAAGCGCAGAATCGAACGACTTCGACCACTCCTCGACCAGCCGACCTTTGCGCCCCTCTGAAGTAAGTTAAGCCTTCACACCGTCCTCGAGCATACAGCGTCTAGCTAGTCCCACGAGACGTACGAAAAAGTTCGAGCAAAAAACCACGAACGATCACCGAGCAAAAACACTAACATTGACCTCTTTCCCGCAGTTTGAGAAATCGTTGATCCTCGCCCACGACCAACAACTCAACACCGCAATCATGTCTCACGAGAGCGTCTGGTACTCGCGCCCGCGCACCTACGGCAAAGGCTCCCGCAGCTGGTATGTGTAGACTACCCTGATCGATTTCCCTGATATGATCATCGAATTATGAGAAGAGATGGATATCAAAGTTGCCTTGGGTTCTGGATTGATATCAATCTGTTATGGGAATGCGTTCGACGGGAAAGAAGAGGAAAATAGAAGAGAAAGCTGGGACATGGCTACCATCACGAAACACGTTGCAAAGATACTAAGGAATGAGCTCCGCTGACGTTTAATTCTTCTCTCCAACAGCCGCGTCTGCACACACAAAGCCGGTCTGATCCGCAAATACGGCCTGGACATCTGCCGTCAGTGCTTCCGGGAAAAGAGCCAGGACATTGGTTTCATCAAGGTATGAGATACCCCGCCAGTGCCAGCTCCCAGCATATTCTGGAATTCCATACGCGCATGGGGACATGAAAGTTGAACTGGTTATGCGAACATGGCTAACATGACGGTCCGTGTATTAGCACCGATAAATGTTCTTCTCTGAAATGCAACCGAGCGCCACCGAAACCGGATTCAAGATGGGCTACTAGGGGAGGCAGTTTTTCCAATTTATGATTGCGAAATGCAAGCATCGACTGAAGTGGCTGTGGATGAGGGGTTGATGGGGTGCATCAAGGACTGAAACGAAGTCGGTGGGTGCGTGCATCATTTGCACTTTGTTGCCAGGTTGCACCGCATGGACTGGAAGTACTGGTACCGGGGGGAACGGCGCTGGGAATGTAACAGCGGCCTGCAAGAACAAATATGACAAGACCACCGACATTGCTTTCCGGAGTTTGAAAAAGCGAGTCTCTGCTAGACGATAAGACCTGGAACAGTGATCCGGGCTCTGGGGTTCGCAATCAAAAAGAACAATCTTCCAAACCTAAAGGCTTTTGCAAAAAGCAAGTCTCCTACTGCCAAACAGTCATATTTCCCATGTCATCAAACCAACGTGAAGCGTGCACGATCCTGTGATGTGAGTTACGATCCGTGTAAACTGTGATGAGCAAGCCTCCCTATCAGCACATGGGAACAAATGCAATCCTCCAACAGCTAGAAGTAACGACTGGATTCGTTCTCATTTCTCGAGTGCCCATGCCAACGGCCCTGTTCCGGTTTCCTATCATGCCTACCAGGTAATCACCCCTCTATGCCAAAGCCTGGTCATCTCCATGCACGCCATTAACCACAGGAACCGCCTCGGGCGGTAGACTCCCCAACTCGCAGATAACGAGGTCCAAGAACTCGGACGGAGTAACATCATACATGAGATTCAGCAGGAACAAACCATGCTGGTCTTTCCAGCCGTCGAGACCTTTCGCCGCACCATTTCCTTTGTCGTCTCCATCGTCCTCATCCTTATCCTTGTTCCCGGATTTTTTGCCGCCCTTCGCGGTTGCTCCTGCAGCAGCAGAAGAAACACCGGTCGAAGAAAACACATCAGGTTGTGACGATTCGACCAAAGCATCTGCATCACCGACTTCATTCAAGATAATACTGTCCAGGGCCGCCTTTGCACTGAACTTGACCGTCTCACAGAGGACAATGACAGGGACATTGCGGGTTTTGTTTTTCGAACACTCCTTAGCCATCATGGCGACCATGGCCGAGCCAGCACGCGACAGAAGCTTCCCATTGCCCAGCATGGCCGAGGCACCCAGGAAGCACTTTGTCACCGGTTCTTGGTCCACAATGTCGGCGATTGCCGTAAGCAGAGTATATTGCACTTTTAGCCCCGCGCGGATGAGACTTCTAGCATGGTTCTTGCCCTCAAACATGGGCCGGGAGTCGACGACAATAACACGAAACATTTTCCCTTGCCGGTGCGCATTGATGAGCGTCTTCTCCACAATGCTGCTCTTAGCATAAGTCAAAATCACATCGCCGTCTTCAATCCGGTCAGTGGCCTCGCGGGCAATCACCTCGTCGGCCAGTGTGATCCGTTCACGGATGTACACGTCGATAGCGTCGCAAAGGCTCTGTTTGGCTTCACTATCGCTGGCTTCCACGGGCTGCGTGGAAATCAGGTTCTTGAGCCATCGGATACTGTTGCCCTGGCTCATGCTTAGAGGTCGGGAGTTCCGTAAATATGCGATTTGGTGGTTGAGGTGTGTAAGCAAGTGTCGAGACAGAGCGACTCCTGCTGGCGTCGTGTATGTCTGTATCACCTTTTTGAACACGAGTAGTGTGGCTACACACCGTGCATTCCCACCGCATATCACGTAGTCTCGTAGCTGTAGTCCCAAAGCCAGAACAGCAGGGTGGATTTCTCGCCCAGCTCCTGCCAAAGTCGCCCTCTTCTCTTTGGGATAAAGGTGGGAGAACATCCCCACGCGCTTGGGTTCGGGGTGCTTCTCTTTTTCAGAGGTGGAAGGTATCTGGCCGCTTTGCTGCTGTTGTTGCTGCTGAGAAGAATTGCCGCGGATAGGTATGGGTTTACCACCGCCGGAAGAAAGTGTCCTTTTCAGATGGGGTGTGTTGTCGCTGTCTCTTTTCGTTGTTGACGGCCGTCTCGCTGAGGATGTTGATGCTCCTGACCCGGATCCTAATGCTGGCCCCTGAACCTGAGCCTGTGCTTGCGCTCCCTTCTCTGCAACCTTCTCTGCTCTCCGGGCTGCTTTTTCCGCCGCCTTTTGCTTTTTCAATTGTGCGCCTGTCAACTTGACCCCCACGCCGGCTTCTGCGACGCTTTGTTCTGTTGTTGACCGAGCTGATGAGTCAGGGCGTGGCTTTGACTTGTTTGGTTTCTTGGTTTGGTCTTGTTGTTGAGCATCTCCGTTTGTGCTTGTTGCTTGAGAGTTCTGAGAGTCTTGAGTAGGACCAGGCACAGTGGTGCCTTCGCTGGCAGATGGCATCGTGAAAGATGCGGCGGTTGGGTTGAGGGACGCATTACCCTTGCCCGAAGGGTCTGAGGGACTTGAGTCATCCATGACTGGCAATATGCCAGGACAAAGACGGTTTAGCAGCAGGTGGGAAAAATGTAGATTGTCGTGAGACAAGACGACCCGGTACTTGCTGTGGTTCAAGTTGACTGGATTAATTGCGGAACGCGACTGAGTCATCCGAATCCTCGTCCAAGACCGCACTTCTCCAGCCCCGTCGCAAACCAACCAAAAATCATGCAACATTTTTTGGGAATTTCTCGTCATTTGACGCAGCGCCAAGCAGATTTTCATGAACCAATCATGAGTCGCAAGGCTGGCATACCTCCCGCGGCGGTACCCAGAGCAGCATTTGCGAGATGATGACGCGAACTAGCTATGTAAAGACAGGAAATGTGGGAAAAGACATGGCGAGGATGAAATAATCCAATCTGGTATTGAAGGTTGAATCACGCTTTACCCGCCATCCAGTGTGGCATCCTCTCAGAATAGTACGTACTCAAAACCGAACGCCTCGCTCGCTTCCTATGGACTTCATCATTACACAGTCATCAAGTTTCTCTTACGACAGATCCCTGTACTTCAACTGCTGGCCAGTGACGGTAGGGTCATGTCTATTCATTCGGCCCAATTATGCCGCAACACTGATTCCGAATGTCTCCTGGTCGGCCGCGAGCTTTTTCTTGAACATGGCCAAGTCCGAAATCAACGACTCCATTTCGGCCTGCATTTCCTCTGCATCATCATCACAATCGGATTCCGTGTCAACTTCGTCGTCGCCGGAAGCCGTATCATCCTCATAGATCATTTCGGGCGTAGCCGATCTGGATCGCTCCTGTGGAGAAGCTGAAACGCTCTCTTCCCTACTGTCGATGACAATGGGATTCTTGAGTTCTTCGAGAACCAACTTCAAATGAATACTCAAGGCCTCCTTTTCTTCCTCGAGCTGCCGAACTTTAGACTCAGAAATGGCGAGTTTCTCTTCCATAATTTGCAACATGTTCTCGTATTTCGATGTGAATTCGCGTATCTTCTCGGACTGAGCGTCCGCATTTTCTTGGACAACTTTTATGACTGAGGCACTACCGTTCTGCTGCTGTTGGCTCAAAGTCCAGCGCAAAGTACGGATCGTCTCTTGCATCTCGGCGATTTGAGCGTCCTTCTCTGCAGACGAAACATGGTCCTGGTTGACGATCGCCTTGGTGCGGATATTCTTGGCCTGGTCTGCATAGCGGAGAGTGGACAAAGTCTCGTCGTAATCAGAGGGCGCAATGCATGCGATCATTGCCGTCTTGGAGTTTCCGCCCAAGGAGTCCTTCAACAGCCAGGTGAGGATTGAGTCACGATAGGGGACAATGTCGCGACTTGTCCGCTTGGAGTTGTGCATCCGCGCATGTTTCGGATCGGCCAACGCCGCAATCACTCTGCCAAGCGTGGTCAGCGATTTGTTGATGTTTCCGCCTTCGCGAAGTCTTTGACCAGTGGCTTCGGTGGCTTTTGCGCGTTCAGAACCAGCCAGGTCGACTAGGCGGATTCGTGCCAGTCTCTCGGTGGTTTCGTCTGTGCGGTAGTCGTGGTGGATCTGCTTGAGCATGATGGTGAATACGGCATGCGACCGCGACGAAGTGTCGTTCATCTTGGTCGAAGCTGTGGTCCTTGAACTGTCGCCCATGCGCATATACTTGAGGATCTCAGTGTAATTCTTGACCTGAATCTCCGTCAGATCCTTGACGTATGGCCCTTCAGTTGGTGACTCTCTGATTTTAAGATATTGGGGAGGATCAGTCCGGGGCTGGAACAAATCGCGAACATGCTCGTTGTACACCTCAAAGTAGGAGACTCGGACGCTGTAGCTTATGTTCGCGCTTTCATTCGATTCGATCCTCTCGAAAAGATCTTCGCAGGTCCTTGGGATCAGGCCTGGCTGCTCTGGGGTGCCCATCATGGTGTAGCTCTTGCCCGAACCAGTCTGGCCGTACGCGAAAATGCATGTGTGATAGCCTTCAAAGTTATGATCCAGAAATTCTTCTCCTAGACTATTGTAAACATCCTCTTGTGTGGCATAGTGGCTGTCCTCTGTGTTGTGTGACCAGAACGATCTGTCGAAAGTAAAGGTCTTCTCCTCCAGCACCTTTCTAGTCTGGGCTCGGGCATTCGCAGGGTCGGTCGATGGCGGCGGAAGCAGTTTCGTCGATTGCGTCTCCGGATTCATTTCTATCAGACATTGTGCTCCTCTTTCGATTTCTGCACTACGGAGTTAGTCAATGTTTGGCCTGCGGATACCCTGCTGAATTACCTCGTGGGAGAAATCCTCTGACTCTAACCACGACCTTGACGTTTCCTCCTGGGTTTCCGTTGCCATTTAAGGGGGCCATGGGAACGGTAACTGGTGTTTTTGACCGCAGCGATGGACTGGAAGCGGTCGAGGTCGTCGGGGTTTTGGTCCGACTCGGTGTGGTTATTGTCCTGGCGGGCGGCACCATGTCTGTCGTGTAGTCCAGAAGCTGTATACACTCGTCGAGAACAGCACAATACCTATCGCGCAGCGAGACGTACATGAAATACGGTGCAACCAAGTGTCATACTAGTAACTAGTCATCAGGGGCTGTGCACGATAACCCAAGATGGGTCCAGTCTTAACCTACTGATTGTTGCGCGGGCAAGAAAATCGCGACTCGGGGTCGGAAATCTGAATCGGGTTAGATCCAAACAATGACGTCTAAAGGGTGGGGATGCACATGAACCAATCATTCTGCCTCTCGCTCCCAGTCCGTATGAGTTACAACAACATTCATATTCAAGTTGTCAAGAAAGGGATAATTATTAGCCAAAGTCTAAGTCATACAAGGACAACTTCAACGAACTGCCCATCAAAGCCGCGTTCAAGCCTGCGGGAAATCACCTGGCTTGTTTAATCGCTCAGGGGAGAGCCTGCATGCCGAATATGCACCCGTCTGCTCATCGTAATAGATGTGCACAGTCTGGCCCGCCCCTCGAGCTACCTGGTCTTCTGTGGCGATACGAACTGTGGCATGGTTAACCGTGTCAAAATGACTGGTGTGATTGGGAACCCTATATCTAATGGTAAGCAGTGCCAAGTGTCGCCCTGAGCACGACTTACTTGACAGAGACATATTGAAAGTGTTTTGGTTTACGCGTCAACAAAGCCTCCATGACTCTCATAGGAATCTGATTCGACTCAGGGGCAGTCTATCGGCCAAACGCACCATGTCGAACGCTGGCCCAGCCTACTATTGCGATATTGAGTCTGAGTCTCTTGAAAGGTATCGTCCTGGTGGTTATCACCCCGTCAACATCGACGACACCTTCCATTCGGGACGGTATCGTGTCCTTCAGAAGCTGGGATGGGGGGGCTACTCCACCGTGTGGCTGGTCTACGACTCGATGCTATGTCGACTCGCGACACTGAAAGTTGTGGTCTCGGAGATCAGTGAGACATCCAATGAAGTTCGAATACTCCAACGACTTGCTTCGGTTCCGGCAAAACATGATGGCCAACGCCATTTGCGCAAGCTCACAGACCACTTTTTCCACGTCGGCCCTAACGGCAGACATCAGTGTCTCGTTTTCAATGTCGACGGTGTCAGCGTTCCGACTCTTGTTGCTCGATGCGGTGGCGGTACCAGGCTGCCGGGGCGTCTAGCCTGGCAGCTTTCGAAACAAATCACACTTGCATTGGACTGTCTTCACTCGAATGGTATTGCCTACGGTGGTGAGTGATGTCCTCTTTCTTCGCCAGAGTCATTAGTCTAAGGAAATTAAGATCTTTACACCGGCAACATCTTGGTTTCGCAAAGGGAGGCACAGTTCTCAGACCCAGGCTTATTAAGACACCTTGGACCACCAGTCCTGGCAAATATCCATGCACGACCTGGTTGCCAGATTACCAAAAGTTTCCCACGGCATATTGTGGAGCCAGCTACGCTTCCTATTCCAGATTTGACGGGACAGGTACACGCGACACTCATCGATTTTGAGCAAGCATTCCTCCGGACCGACCAGTCTCTCGCAAGGGTTCGTACCCCATTGATTTTCAGAGCTCCAGAGACGCTGCTGGATTCGACGTGGGACCTACGGATGGATATATGGTCTTTAGCATGTACGATTTTCGAGCTTGTTACAGGACAGCCACCTTTCGACAACTTCATGCCGGCAAAGGCTCCCTTGGTATTAGAGTGGATTGCAATGTTTGGAGACGTCCCGGAAGAATGGAGGAAGCAGGCCAAGGTAGTTGTGGCTGACTGTAAGGATGATATCGATGGAGGCTCACTTTCAAGCTGGCTTTGTGAAACTTACTTCGGCAGCGCGACAGAGGCTGAATTCGCTAAGGAAGATATCAAGCGACTGGGCGATCTGCTGACTAGAATGATGTGCTACCTGCCGAGGGATCGATTGTCAGCTCAAGACATCCTGAAGCATGAGTGGTTCGTGAAGAACCCCTTCGCTGGTAAAAACGAAGAATGATATTCCTAGCGACGAGGTAGCTCCATTGAGCATGTTTTAATCATTGTCCTTACGGGGGTATGAGAGGGGTGGAAGGGTACATAACGGGCTTTCAATGCTCTTTCTGTGCCTGCACGGTCGGCGGAGGTGGAAGCGAGTCTTTGTCGAATCCTGCCTTCCTGCTCGCTTTGGCCACTAGCTGTTTGCTGTACCGCATCCCATGATGTCGCTACCTTGACCACCCCTCAGGGAACGTGGGAGGCCCGGCCTCCTGTTGTTGTGGATAGCCCTGCCGCTCCTCTTGCTCCCGATACATATTCGATGTGGTTGGGCTCCTTCGTCCATGCACACCGTGCTCTCGCTGTCAATGATTGAAGATGCATCCCGACGTAAGCGTGACCAAGCCACAGACCAACACGACAGGATCTGCAGCAAGCCGAGTGGGGTTTCATATCGGAAACCCCCCAACTTACCCTGACCATCATTCTTTGAGACTTGTTCCACGCTTCCTCTTTCGGTCACGTTTGCCTGCGCGATGCTGTGGTATCTTTCGCCCGACAACATTGGCAGGGGACTCGGGACGTTGCTGCTCAACCTCGGACAGCCTCTCAAACTCCCGAATCGTCCAATCGAACACATTATCATATTCGAAACCTTTGCGGCAAAAAAGGCGAGTGAATAAGGTCCGGAGATACTTGTAATCAGGCTGGTCATGGTCACTCAATCCACGAATGTAGCTCATGTAAGTGGCAAACTCGGCGGGCAAGCCTTGGCATAATTCGTCTATCGTGATCGTCTTCTTTCGCTCGAAAACCAGCTTGTATTTTCCCTGCCGGCTGGAGGCCTTCAAACCTTGCCAAGGAAGGGATCCATGAAGAAAATACAAGGCCATATACCCTAGTGACTCCAGGTCGTCACGTCGTGATGGAGCTGCACGGGACCCACTTTTAGCCGTCGAATCAACAATAAAATACAATGACGACACTTACCAACCTTCAAATGGCCATTGATGCCGGCATAGCGACAGGTGCCGACCAAGGAAATCTGAGGGCTGGCTTCCGGCTTGTGGCTCAAGGTTCGGTCGGGTGAGTCACTCCGATAGGCCGCGAGTCCAAAATCGGTCATGTAGACAATGTTGCCCTGCTTACCGGTGCCTAGTAGAAAGTTTTCAGGCTTGATGTCACGATGGAGGTATCCCGCAGCGTGGAGACTTTCAACCCGATGGAGGAGTTGATCCATCAGCATCAACGTTGTCTTGAGTGAGAATTTGTTGTCACACCACCGAAAGAGGTCCTCGAGATTGGGTCCCAAAAGTTCAAACACCACCGCCTGGAAATCACCGTGGTAGCCATGCCAGAACACTCGAGGGATGCCAGGTCGTCCAGCCAACTCCTCATAGATCTCGATCTCTTGGCGCAGGAGTGATGGTGCGATCGAACAATGCTCGAGTTTGATGGCCACCACGTCACCCGTAGGAACATCGCGCCCTACAGGAATCAGTTATAATTGATGTTTCACTTTCTCGGAGACGGCCATCCTACCCATATACACTTTTCCAAACGAGCCTGAACCTATACGCTGACATATCTGGTAGCGCCCACCTAGACGTATTTCGAGGAAGCGTTGAATAAACGGGTCGTCCATTCAAGTTGTGTGTAGGACGAGCATCAGAGAAGGGCGGTACTGAAACACCCCCTCGAATCTAAAAAGGTTGGTTCATGTCCAAGTTGGGTCGTTAACCGGACTCGGGTGACCTTCCCTCCCTGTTGATCCCCGGATTTGGCCCCCACGGCACTGCTGCCTGCGCGGCCGGGGAGGGACTTTTGATACTCAGCCTATACAACACTGTATCCGCCTTCATATCCAATTGTGCTTGCACCGCTCCACCACCATGAATTCGAATAATAATAAGGCGCTACTGCAGGCGTCGAACGCGCAGATGCCAGCCAATTGAGGGATGCTTCGAAGCGCCCGTCTGTGACATTGTCTGTGTTGTCTGCAGGCAGCAGTGCTCCTCTGACACGACCCCTCTGTCCAGCCACCGCGGCCTTCTTATTCCTGACCATTCTCACCAACCATTCCCTCTTAATGCCCCCATGTCTGTTCTTGACGAGACCCCCCGCTCGAAGAAGCGGCAACGGGCTACTCTCGAATTTTTCCCTAAAGACTGCTATGAGGAACGTCCATCGGCAAAGAGAAGGAAAAGCACATCTGAGGCTGGAACATACCGGTGGCACCGTACTCCAAGCTTCTGGAATAGGCTCTCTAGAGTCCATCTGAGTCGAGGAGCATTGAGAGAGTTTGACCGCAGGACTTCAGGAGCCAAACAACCGGTGTCGACACTGCTTTCCAGCATCCACACCTCGTCTGGACCTGCGACCAAAAGCGTGAAGCGATTTGCACGACACGGCGGACCTGACTTGACCCATATTCGAGGAGTGAGTTCCGTCCGTGTGCCGCAACCCCAGTCTAACGCTGACGGAGTGCTCTTGTAGTTTGCCGTTCTAGCTGACCAAGACGACACCATGAGCGAATCCAATTCGAGCCGAAAGCGGTCATCTGCATCTGGCGGCAGTGGTGCGTCCCGGAAGTCCAAGTCTTCTTACGATCCCAATTTCGGGCAGAACTTAATCGACGCTGGCATCTATCCTCACGACGAGATTTCCCGACCCAATAATGCCCAAGACATCAGAGACGATATGGCCAAATATCGGGCTTCCTTGTCTCCTTCACGATTCCGTGACGAGGACTTCAAAGCATTTACAAGACTTTGCAACAGACCGGGCGATGAAGCGACTGTACGCGCCGATATCATGTCCATTATTGCTGGCGAATCGAGGGAAAAGCATTATTATGCGGCGGACCGACAATTCAATCACCTGGAGCCGCTTGCAGCAGACCTCCCAAAGGCCGTACCAGACTTGTATGACGGCGCTTACCCCCGAGAAATCGAACGGCGTGTCCGCCGTGATCTGGGAAAGCACATTGCCCCATGTAACAACACCTCTCTGCCGGCGGCGCCCAACTTCTTCCTCGAGGGAAAGAGTGAGGGCGGTCGTGCTGACGTTGCAAAGCGGCAAGCCTGTCATGATGGGGCGATCGGCGCTCGAGCCATGCACAGTCTGCAGAATTACCAGTCGACAGAGCCCATCTACGATGGCAACGCCTACAGTTACTCAAGCACTTACCACCAAGGGACAGCAACACTCCAACACTATGCTCACCATCTGACGGGGCCCAAGACTCCTGGAGAACCGCCTGAGTGTCATACGACATTGTTGAATGGATTTCAGATGTCGGGCAATATAAATTCTTTCAGAGAAGGAGCTCGTGGTTTCCGCAACACCCGAGATCGGGCCAAAACCGATCGAGACAAGTTCATTGATCACGCAAATCAGATAGCCCGACGTGCATCTACAGATGCTCCGTCAACCACGTTGACGGACAGCCGTACTTCTGTATCAATACGCCACGAAGACGAATCTGATACTTCTACTGAACTCGTCGCCGAACAAACGACTGTCAAGCGCACTAGATTTTCCACCGTAGAACAATCAAGACACGCTGCTGTGCCACCACCCATAGCAGCGTCCTACGCAACCGCGCATCTCGGTCGCGAGGCTACGATCTCTCGGCAACCAACAACAAGTGCACACTATTTGCAATCTACCACGCGTTCACGGGCCTCAATTGAAGATGGCTACCCCCGGAGGCAAATCAAGCCTACGCAGAAGGTTCTGGATAACACTTCTGCCAATGGAGGTGTGCGTCAGAGACGATGAGGTGCAGGGGTAATGGGGTGGTCTTGCGGAATTGGTAATCCGAGCAACCCCGACCTTCCATTTGAAGACCATTTAGTGTACATTTCATTCGCGACGCTGTCGTTCTGATCACTGATACGTAGGATATGAACACTGGGAGAGGATCTGCCTTATGGGAAGCAGAATAGTAAGACACCCGGCATTCGGCGTAGATGTCAAACCTGGGTAAAGTCACTGGAATGCATGAGAAGAGATGGGAGACGGTGCAGGGCAACGCCCTCTTGCTCAGCCCAACTCTTCGACTTTTCTCTTCGACGCTTTCTGCGCCTTCTCTCCTCTCAGCCGAGCCAGTACATCCTCCGCAGAACTTTCCATGCGCTGCTCTGCTTCATCATCCTCGTCAGTTCCCTGGTCCGAACTCGTATCCGTAGTAGGCTCCAACTTGACTTCATCGTCTTCCCCAGGCCGTTGCTCGCTCAAGACACCCAACCCCAAATTCATTTCGATATACTGCTCAGCACCATCGTCGACATGATCAATCCTTTTATCCAGAATATCACTTGACGACTCAAGTTCAACATTGGCCTTCTGCAGCTGTGGTAAGAATTCTTGTAATCGAGACCTTAGGCCGGATCTCTCTCCAATGGGCGGCAGAGCCGTTGGCCGTTGTTGGTCTTGTGACGACAAGGGGCCGTCCAGGTCATCTGCAGATGGATTCCCTTCGTCTGAATTCTCATCCTCGCTTTCGGAATGCTCGTCTTCATCGGATTCGTCACTGTCACTTCCGGAAGACGAAGTGGTTTCTTCTGCTTCGACCTCCTGTTCTGATTCTGATTCACTCTCTTGATCGTTTATGGGTTGTTGTTGATTTGATGAATGGCGAGTTGAGACTTTTTCGGAAGATGAAGACTTCTCTGATGATGATACCATATCGCTGCCCTCTTCGTCGACCCTATCCATGTCTGTCGTTGTGGTCTCTTCGCCAGCGTCTCTCTTGGAGATGGTCCGTCGCTTTGGAGGTGGACCTTCGTCATTTATTGACATGTTGACGAAAAGAAAAAGTGATTGGAATACTGGCGTAGGGCTGAAAAGAAATATTACTGATTAACGAGGTACTCTGTAAAGCCTTTATACAGCCTGAAGAGATACAATACCCAATGAGTCCGACGAGTAGATAAGAATAGTATTAGCAGGGTAACTTGGACATGAAGTCAGAGAAGATCATTTACTTTTCTGTCTGACGAGGATGGTCAGGGATGCTCTTGGCTCTCAGCCTTGTCAGCGGAATGGATCGCCTCAAGGTACAATACTGTAAGATACTTTTAATGCAATGACAATGTTGTAGTTACCAGTCTCCGGAATCTTGAGTATCTGACCACTTCCAGATAAGCAGCAGCTTGGAAGACCGGACACCGCGGCGGAGCAGACAAATTTCACTCCCAGCATTCGGGCCCAATCACCCTTCTTACCAGGATAAGATCCAGCCTTACTCGGGCAGTAGTCGCCCACCTGAGCGGAACACACTGCACTGGTTTTCCGTGCAGTAATGTGGGATAAGGTCAACCGAGGAACTTGCTTGCAGTTGAATGCAGGAGAAACATCCTCATCTCCTGGCGAGGATTCTGACATGATTGGTTATGCAATGATTCGTGCATTGGACATACAAACACAGCATCCGTTCTAAAACAGGAACGTGTCATGACATGTATACTCAGGACACGCAAGTTCAAGCTCACAGATGGAGTATACTCACTCATCCAAGTCGTATATTTGGGGAACGGTTAGAATTCAGCCCAATGAACCCAACCCACACATCTCATCTCTGCACCTCAATGGCTATCCATCACTCCTTGAGGTTGGTCACAAACAGAATCAACGGACCCCGCGGCCAAAATGTTTCTGTTCGTGTGGCGAGTCGCTAATGGAAAGGCAAGGTGTGGCCACCACAAATCAAGCAAGCATACTGCACAATGTGCAGATAGAAGGATCTCAGAACCAGTCGTCTGTTGGTGGTGGTGTGGTGTGTTTCAGCCTGGCGCATCCACTCCGGCGCGTAAATTGCACGTCTATAAGCAACTGCAATGGTGTTTCAGGTTCTTGACTCGTCCATGATGCCTGGGCGCCTATCGGTCACCAACGCAAGCAAGATGACGACAGCAAGCAACCGTAAGTTGAGCAGGATGCCAACTACACCGAAAATGCAGATTGGAAGCGAAGAGTCCGGGCTCTTTTTAGAATCACTGCTCGTCCTGGGCCTCGGATCTCAACCTCTACATAAAGGCAGCATCAGCGGTCCAATCCTTATCATCTCTAACTGTGAAGGAGAACTTGAATAAGTCATATGCACGCCCGATAAGAGTGTTCTCATCCACGATTCAATGTCTGCAGCCATGTCTTGCAAGAACACAGACCGAATCCCACCTGATCTGTCAGACGCCTGGCCTAGGGCTAGACCGTCCCCTCCTCGTCGTTCGTCGTCCCTGCACAAAGTCGTAATCGCCAAACTTCGGCCGCTGCCATTCCAGTACCTTTGGTCGGTTTGGCATTCCAAGCCGGACGACAAAGGTCAGTACATAGTGAAAACACTGGTCGAGAATGTCGGCGATATTGGAGCATTCTACAGAATCTTCAACAACGTGCCGTGGAATGAGATCAAGCAGAAGGACAGTATCCATATCTTCCGCTCCGGAGTGAGGCCGCTGTGGGAAGACGCCGAGAATCAAGGGGGTGGGCGTTGGCTGATTCGGGTCCGTCCCGAGAGTGATCGAGCCGTAAGAGTCTGGGAAGAGATTTGTATCCTCTGCTGTGGTGGAGAGTTGCAGGCCGCCATCGCGCAAGGTTTGTGGATACACTCCAATGGCCCCATCAGAACGCTCTAACCATAGCAGAACACGATCATATTCTGGGCATGTCGTTTTCGCCCCGATTGTATTCAACTCACATTTCGATATGGACGAAACAAGGAGACAACAAGCGCAGTATTCTGTTGCTGCAGCGCGCCATCATTGAAGGCCTCTCCCCAGATCTAAGACCTGAGTCGAATGCCGATTTCACCTTCAGAAAGCATGCGGATAAACTTGACTACCAACTCCAAAACCAGCAATCCCTCTTGCCACTTCTGCCCCTGCCGCCGCACTTGATGGTCCGGCCAACGCCCGTAAGAGCGTTTACGGCAGGTTGAGCAGCCATAGGAACGATTATCTGCCTGGAACGTACCGGTCGATGGCACTATCTCGGTCTCGGCGGGAAACACTGCGATCTCTGTCTCTCCGGCTGTCTCTCCGGTCGTCACGCCGATCGTCCCGTCTGTCATCACGACGTTCATCGCGGCGTCGAGGACTGCGTTCCCTCCTTTCACGATCTCGCTCGCGGTCTCTGTCTCGATCCCTGCTGCGATCACGACTTCGGTCTCTGTCCCGAGCTCGGCTTCGATCCCGTTCGCGATCTCTGACCCGATCGCGACTACGGTCTCTCTCGCGGTCTCTGCTGCGGCCTCGGGTGCGTTCCCGACTTCGGTCCCTTGCACGATAACGATCACCGTCCCTGTCGCGGTCTTTCTCTCTCTCCCTGTCTCGATCTGCATCTCGGTCTCGGTCACGGTCACGGTCGCGCTCGCGATCCGGATCGGCATCACCTCGATGACTATCATATTTCCGTCGTGGCTCACGCTCGCGTTCCCTCTCTAACTCTCTGGCCTTGCGCCTCTCGCGGGCGCGCTCGCGCTCTTCTTCAGAACGGTGGAACCCCCCTCCTGGGACATAACGGTCAATGTTCATAGGCGAAGCTGATCGAGGTCTTCTTTCTCGGGTGGTGCTGGGTTTCTCAGGAACTGGCGATGCTGAGTCTTGTTGGCTTTGCGCTTCTCCCTCTTCGCGGTCTTTGCTTGGGCTCCGACGGCACTGGGTGACAGTTTTTTCCTTTTCCTGTTCCTTCTCCGTTTCCTTCACCGGCTCCTTCTCTCTTCCTCTCTCCTTCTCGGTCTCCTTCACTCGCTCCCGCTCCCTCTCCCTTCCCTTCTCAATCGGCTTGTCCTTTTCTTGGATAGATGCTCGGCGAGTACGAGATCTGCTTCGTCGGTCATGATCACGTCTGTAACTGTCCCTGGATCTTTCTCTTTTTCTTGAATAGCGATCAGATCCACCATATCTGCGAGATGATTCATGGACTTCAGATTTTTCGAAATCATATCCTGGTCGCTGCTTAGACTTCTCCGCCAGTTGTTTGCTTTCGTTCAATAGCAGTTCCAGAGCTGTCGCTTCCAACTCCTTTTCGTCCGTAGGCAAGGGCTTTGAGATGATCGAGCCTGCTCGAGAATCTTTTCGATCAACACTTCTTCTGCGGGTGCGGTCCCTGTCGCGATCTCTCTCACGATCTCGTTCCCGTTCTCGTTCACGCTCACGCTCACGGTTGCGTTCGAGATCACGGTCACGATCACGATCCCTTTCCCTATCTCGTTCTCTCTCGTAGCGAGCTTCTCTTTCTCGTCGTTCTTCCTCTCGTTTTCTGTGCCTTTCATCTCTGGCCTTTATTCTTTCGGCCTCTCGCTTTTCTTCTTCTTCTCGCCGCTTAGCTCTGGCAGCCTTTCTCTCCTCTTCCTCGGCCTCGCGCTTTTTCCGCTCTTCCTCCTCACGTTTAGCTTCTTCCTTCTTCCGCTTTCTTTCTTCTTCCATTTTGATCTTAGCCTTGAGTTCCGCAGTCTCGCGTAGCAACTGCTCCATTCGGGCCCTGTTCCGTTCCCGTTCGGCAGCCCGATTTTCTGTCTCCGCTCTGTATTGCTCGTCTGTTTTGCTGCCTCGCTTCTCTTCTTCATCTGCTACATCAGGACCGACTTCTGCTCTGCGGATGTTTCGTACGGCATCAAGCATTTGGCTTGCACTCTTTGCAATCTCAGTGTCGATCGTTGATTCGACATCTTGGTAAACGCCGCTTCTGTCGACTGCACCCTGGATCAATGTGGCTGCTTTGCCCCGTTCACGACTCAGCAGATTGGGGTCTTTCTCGATCTCGGCTTCTGCAATGGATTGGATCCGCTCAATAAGGGTTGTCTTAGCGTCTGAACTGTTGTACGATGCCCAAATTTGCTTCCGTAGGATATCGTAGCCGCCTTGCTTCTTGAATTTAAGGAGGAGAGCGTCGATTGTCGAACGTTGCTCTTTGACAAGGGGCAGTTCAGAGATCTTGAACCGGGGTCGCAGGGAGAATGGAACGGAAGGATCGGCCGCAGGCGCGTCCGTCATGACGGTATCCGCCATATTTAGGGACTCGCCGATGTCAAGCGCATCAGTCTACCTGCTAGCATACGATGAATATGCTGCATGGGCTTGTTGGAGGTGAGTCTCAAAATTGTAGTTGTATGGGACGCGGCACGAGTCGCGTCCGAGTCCTTTTCAAAACGAAAACCTGGGGTCGACGAGCCGATCACGTGCCATCAACAACACCGTCTCGGCAAAATTGAAGAACTGGTGGTACTACGTAGGACCGTGACTGGATGATCTCAGGTTCTCAAACATGGTAAGGCGAGCCTTCATCTCGCATGGCTTTTTCTGCGCAGTCAGGACGCTTCAAGTTTGACCGCTTCTGTTCTTCTCTGCCTGAACGCAAATGCCATCCACCGTAGCAGAAACCACACCAGCCTTGCGAGGCGCTGCGGCCGATCATCTGAGCAATTAACGTAGCCTTGGCATTATTTTGCATTGGGGATGATTGGACAGCGGCAGGCCTTCTGCCATTGGTGTTCTCCAGTTGCCCGCAAGCTTGCTACTACCACTGGCACTGCTGATACACGGCCGGACCCCGAATTCTGATCCTACATACTACACCACAATAGAGGTACCAATTCCAATCTTTCAGCTCCTCACACCGCGACAAGGCCTCTTCTCAGTCAATACAAGTCGTTGCACCCACTCCGGCGCCTCTAGCAGCTCAAAGTCTGCTCCGGAATTGTCCACCAAGTTCAACCGCGCCAGGGGCGCCTTTGACGACAAAAATGGTTCACAAGATCCTTTTCTGGGCCGGCTTCGGTACGTGGAATAACAACGCCAGGGTCACACCCCATCTCAAGAAAGAGGGAGCCCGCGCTGACATTTTTCTTTGTTTGCAGGCATCGCTACACGATTTGTACAACTGGGCATTGAAATGAGACCGTTCTTCCAACGCGGTGCGTTATGGGTTTATCCGTTGTTTGCGGGAATTGGAGGGTCGTTCGGCTACTGGATGCAGGGGGTGGAGGAGCGACAGCACAAGATGCTTCAGCAACGGAAAGAGCTTTTGATTGAGAAGAGGAGGCGGAGAGCCGAGCGTGAAGCTGCCACAAGCAACTCTGGTGATACCGAGACTGTGGGCGTGCTGGCTGCGACGAGTTAAAAACGGAATGGAATGTGATACACCAGTTCTACCACTATTGTTTTCTGCTGCGCCAGTTTATACACCTGCGCAATCAACGGAAGGGGGAGGAGCTGCGAAAGTAGAGGAGGCTGAGGCTGCCGCGCCTCAGAAGCCGATGAAAAAGGTTCAAACGCTGGTGGTAGGCAGGAGACCGCTCAAGACACCGTCGAACATCATCGCAAATATTATCACCATGTGTACAAAGATGCGAATCGAATTCACGAATGCAACATACTACAGCATTCTCGGAAAGCGAACAGCTTCTCTTCCATTACTTTGACTCAAGACCCTCAATACAGCAAGCATGAGCTACCTTACGCACCCTTGACTGACTCGGTCCGCTCTAGGATGGTTTCGTCTTTTCCAATCTTGCATGCGATGTGGTGAGATTTGTTGGTTTACCATATATTTACCTTTGAGCTCAAGCTACAGCTCAACGCTGATCAGCCTGGATTCTGCTATCACCATCCATCCCCAAACCCCCATGATCTACACTCTACTTCCTTTTTCCTTTCCAAGCTCCTTGCAAGAGACACAAAGCTTCTGTCCCTCCTACACCGGATCCTCAGGAAACGCCACCACCCCCTCCGGAATCGGCACAACCGCCCTCTTCGTCCAAATATGCATCGCGGAATCCAACATATCCCGCGAAAGAGCTTCCAAACAACCCCCCTTGACCGCCACATACGGCCCACCACCATGCATGAGACGCGTGCCGCAGTTTTTGCAAAAGTAGCATTTCTTCGTTCGTCCGGACTTTGTGTTGTTGTGTTCGTAGATCCCGATCGAGTTTTCGTTGTCTTTGGTCTGTGCTTTTGCTTGTCCTTGTGCTTCCTCCGTCCCCGATGATGATGACTGTGTGGCACAGGCATCTCCACCACTGGCATTAGTAGAGTGAGAGTGAGTCTTACTCTTACTCTGCGTAAGGTCAAAGGCCGGAAAGATGGCGGTGATGCCGAATGCAGAAGCACTCTGGCGCCGACACTCGAGGCAGTGGCAGATGAATATCTTCAGGGGTTGGGCCAGAGGTGTGGTGAAGCGGACGGCACCGCATTGGCAGCGTCCTTCCATCTTATCTTTTGATACTGATACCAAGGTAGAACGGCACTGTCTGGGATAAAGCCTTAAGGGGATGCAGAACCGCAGCAGCAATCGTAGATGGTAGTCAATAAAGCAGAAGTCCTGCCTCTTCCACGGACTGATTGACTGGGCTGAGTTGAGCTGACTAGAGTTCTTTGATAGCCGGCCTCAGGACTCCCAATCTCGGGTCTTGCTGATACTATATAGATAGTCGATGTTTCTCAACTTGTTGCTGGCCGAATGCTCTTGTTGCACTTCGGCGTAGACAATCATATGTGGATGTGTCTGGGGATAGTCAGATCAGGGTAAGACGAAAGCCCCGAGGTCGACTTTGACCTAGGCATATGTATGTTCTGGCCGCAACCGTCCACTCTATTAACAACCACAACGGCCGAATCATTCAGCCTCGGGCTTGGTTTGGAGAAGCCATGTACCTTTAATGACTTGCCAGCCTACCTGGGTACATTAAGCCGGCCCGCTTGACAGGACGAAAAAGACAGTTCTCCCAAGAGTAGGGCAACTGCCGGTGGAGGGCAGTTGTGATATTGCGAGTCCCACATCCCGGGCAGGTGTATGGTGTTGTGACCCGAGGACGTGGATGTGTACAAGCCCCGCATCGCAAAGGTACATGGTACCTGACGATGGTCAGGGCGGATAGCCGAGAAGCGGGATGGCACACGTTCGAACAAAATACAAAGGCTAGCATGGAGCCCTTCCTTTCAGGCAGTTTAATACTTTCTAGATTGGAAGTGGAGAGGTAAAGCACAATCAAACCCCTGAACAATATGTCCCATGACCAGCATTCATGTTCCGTTCCTCTTCCTATGATTCAAACATTTTGGCAAATGTACAAAGTCTCCAACCCTGGTGGCTAAAACATACATCTTGGTACATGGCCTCCGGTGATCGGAACCAGCGTGAAAATGTCACTTTTTCTCCGTTCAGGCGTCATCCGGGCCTCTGCCTCTCTGCACCCACTTATTTGATAACACGGGTGATAAGACCAGTGGCAACCGTCTTTCCACCTTCACGCAGGTTGAATCGTTCACCAGGCTCCATGACGATGGGGTGGTTGGTCTTGAGGACCATCTCGACGTTGTCACCTGGCATGACCATCTTGCCAGTATCTTCGGTGCCCTCGGGCCAGGCCAAATCAGCGGCCTCATCGGCCGTTCGGATGAAGAGCTGGGGTCTGTAGTTCTGGGTGAAGCCTGACTTCCGCCCACCTTCTTCCTCGGTCAGCACGTACATGGACACGAGCACTTCCTGGTGGGCCTTGGCCGTTCCGGGAACAGCAACAACCATTCCACGTTTGACATCTTCACGCTTAACACCACGGAGCAAGAGACCCGAGTTGTCACCGGCTCTGGATTCGTCGCAGGACTTCTTGAAGGTCTCGATATCGGTGACCTTGGTCTTGATCGGCTGAGGGCCACCACCAACAATCTCGACTTCCGAATCCTTCTTCAAGACACCACGCAGGACACGTCCAGAAGCGACGGTACCACGACCGGAGATGGAGAACACTTCTTCGACCGACATCATGAAAGGCTTGTCAGTCTCTCGGACCGGGGTAGGAATCCAAGTATCGATAGCGTTGAGCAGAGCATCAATCTTCTCGACACCAATTTCAGGTCGAGTACCCTCCAGGGCGCAGAGAGCCGAACCGAAGATGATGGGAGTCTCCTCCCCCTCAAAGCCGTAGCTGGACAGGAGTTCACGCATTTCCATCTCGACGAGCTCCAACATTTCAGGGTCCTCGACAGTATCGACCTTGTTGACGAAAACAACAATTTTTTGCACACCGACTTGACGAGCCAACAGAAGATGTTCACGTGTTTGAGGCCTGGCAATCGTAAGCGTCTGGTTATACTCGAACCTAGAAAAGAATATCTTACATTTGTCCATCACCAGCAGCAACCACCATCACAGCACCATCCATGAGAGCAGCACCAGTAATCATGTTCTTGATGTAATCGGCGTGACCAGGGCAGTCGACGTGGGCATAGTGGCGAGCGTCGGTTTGGTATTCGATGTGCGCAGTCGCAATGGTGATACCTCGCTTCCGCTCTTCAGGAGCCTTGTCAATGGCGCCATATTCTAGGAAGGTCGCATAGCCTTTCTCGGCTTGTCTTTTCGTGATGGCGGCCGTAAGAGTGGTCTAGACAGGTGAGCATGGATTGCAATATGCGGAGCAAATGAGTTGATTACCTTGCCGTGATCAACGTGGCCGATCGTACCGACGTTCACATGGGGCTTGTTTCGCTCGAAAACGGCAGCATAGGTTCGGGCCCCGAATCTGTCGTGTCCGAATACTCTGTTAACGGGATTGACACCACGCGCAGGCGAAGCAATATGCCGCGACGTGCGGAGTAAGGATGTGAGCGAGCGGGAGAAAGCCATTACGACGCCGTAAGAAGACCGCGAACGAAGATGAGAACAAGAAGAAGGAACTGAAACCCGAATGCGGCGACAAACAGGGACAGAAAGCGATTTGAACGGGATGGAGGATGAAGACCAGAAAATAAAAAGATACGAACTGCGCAGCAGAAGCCAGCATGAAGATCTAGTTAGAGCTTGACTTGCCCGAGTGGGTCTAGCGCCGGTTAGGTTTGGATATTGCTGGATTTTGAGTGGAAGAGAGCGCCACCACTGCATTTCATCTGCTATACCTACTTTCAACATACTGTACCACTCCGAACTGTCTGCTTGACCAATTCTAAGCCCTGAGAACACAGAGCTATCCTGTCAAGTGCAGACCCAGCAAAGCATAGCACACACTCTCATTGACCAACCTCCGCTGTCAGAGGTCCGGATATCATGTCGAGCAACCAGAGACCGTAGGCGACGGTTTAATTGACTTCTGGTCGTTAGATCAACTTCTGTATCCGTGGACAACAGTCGATGTAGTTAATATAACTGGTGGAATTCCTACTCGATAGGCTTCATGCTCAACGATGCCTATCATTGCAGTGTTTTCAGAGCAAACAGCTCGTTGTACCGCCTCAGACTGCACGCTCGAGATTGTGGGTCTGTCAGATTCAAGTCGACGTCAGTGCTCACGATCGTCAACATCTGCCCCTAATCAACGATCAACGACAATACCGTCTTTGCAGAGAGCAGCACCATGTGTATGATCAGAACTTGAACAAAATTCAACGTGTCGTGGTTGCCTCACAAGGCTGACATAGGATCTCGAACAATAGGGGTAATCCGTCTCCACACAAATTCGGCAGCCCTTTCGTTTTCAGCAAACAGAAGCGGTAAGATAAATAAGCCAACAACACCGGCTGTATAACTATTTCTGGACCTGGCTTGCCTTCTACCAATTCAGAGTCAAGAAGGACTACTGAGCACTTGGACTTGGACTGTGAGACGCTCAATTCACTTCACAATTTACCCTCGAAATGGGAGACGAACATCCCAGAACAGCGCCCAACGGCCAGGCGTCCGAGGCCAACAATAACCAGAGAACGATTTCAGAGCTCCCATCCGACCTCGAAGCATTGATATTATCAAGATTCGACCAGCTAGTGGAGAAGGGAGAGCTCATCTGGGAGCCATCGACAGCCGAAGTGGTCGAAGACCGGGGATTCAAGGTACGAACACGAATCAACCAACCACTCGTTCCTCATCAGAGCACAAGTCATATCACACGGCTACAAAGGCGTCTTGATCTCCTCTACCCCATTTCCTCCATCGCTCCATGAACTGTTCGCCCTTCCACTTTCAAGACGACAAGCAGACTCACCAGCATAGCTTTGGCTGACAACATCTACAGGCCGAAATCCGGTACGTGCCACATCTACGCCGCAAACCGATAATCCCACCAGATGCACCGGAGCGCAAGACAGGTACAGGACGGAACCCATTCTTGAATCCAGATCCAAGTTTCGTGCTGTCCCCGGTCGGCCCAGAGCATCTGCTCATGCTGAACAAGTACTGCGTTTACCGGCCCAGCTTGCTCCTTATCACGAAGCAGTTCGTGCCACAGTCCGACGGACTGGACGGCGCCGATCTGGCGGCGGCGTGGGCATTTCTTCGTCACTCTAGCCTGTCGCGGCCGTACATGATGATCTATAATTGCGGCTACGACGCGGGTTCCAGCCAGGGCCACAAGCACATGCAACTGTGGGAGTACCCTGGTCAACAGGAGCTGGGATTCGAGCTCTTCCCCAACAAAGCAAGGTCGAAAGTTGACATCACCAGCGATATTGAGAATGTCCCTCATCAGCATTTCGTCCTGCGGCTGCCTGAAAATGCAGATGTGGCTCATCTCGTCAATGTGTATAATCGGCTTCTTGCCGAGGTGCACAAGGCTCATCATGAAGCAGGCAGTGGCAACGAAGGAGGTGCGCCGTACAATGTCATTTTGGTCAAGGAGTGGATGTGTTTGGTCCCAAGGCGGCATTGTGGTCTCGAGAGAGGCGCCGGTGCTAATGCCGCTGCCATTGTTGGCATGGTGTGGATCTCTCTGCTGGAGGAGCGTGAAATTTGGACTGCTTCCCCCAGCTTGAAAGATTACTACCGGTACCTGGGAATCCCTAGGTAGTTTTGGTCTTGTTCAAATTGTCGGTGAAGGGACTGAGGGGTGGCATTGTCTTTCTAGAGTGTTCACACAGCGTATAGGCCTTAAAACAAGGCGTGACTCGCGAGTATGACAATTGCGCCACTCGGTTTCGGTATGACTGCCAACATTCTCCTGGGCAAACAGATCGAATTCCTCAAAAGTTCCCTAAGCACCCCGTAGTCAGCATTTAACCGTACGAATCCCAACCAAGCCTTGCAGATCAGCATCGCTGGAGAATAACGAGCTTATCGAAAGTCAATTGGGTTTTCCAATTCGACGATCATGAGGAAGAGTCGTTGTTGGCCCTTTAAGACCCAAGACGAGGCTGAGTTGATAGAGCCTTGTACGCGAAAGGGAAGTTTGCCGACCGGACTTTGCATCATTTCCAGAGACGAGGGAGAGTTCTTTTTCTTCGTTAATCAAGCGAAGAGAGCCAGACGAAAAATGGGCAAAGGTCAGCATGAGTCCCAGTCCTCCGCAATTGTTCCAGCCTGCTGACAGGCTTAAATAGGTACCGATAAACTCTACGTACGAAGCGCCTCTGCTCCTGATCCCAATGTATCGTGATACTAACGTCCCGTCGCCAGATCACTCACTCCGAATGGGCCTCGTCCGACGCATACTCGGCCTCAGCGGGCGCAGGCGTACGCGCTGATACCAGCGGGCATGCGTCTTTCAAGAGATTACCTTTCAACTACTGCGCCTTGAGTTTACAACCGTTCAACACGCCAGTGTGCACGTCCCAGGGCACTATTTTCGACCACGAGAACATCATCCGATGGCTCCTGAAACATGACACAAATCCTACCAACGGACAACCGTTGAAACAGCAGGATCTGATCAAGTTGAATTTCGCGAAGAACGACAGCGGGGAATATGTCGACCCGGTCACGTTCAAAGTATTTACGGACAACACGCATATTGTTGCGATAAGACATGGCGACTCGGCGAACGTATTTGCCTATGACACGGTGGAGCGGTTGAACATCAAGCCCAGGATGTGGCGCGATTTAGTTTCGGACGAGGAATTCTCCCGGAAAGACTTGATCGTTCTTCAAGATCCCCAGAATGTCGAATCACGTAATCTCAGCACGTTCAAGTACTTGAGGGAAGGGGAAGACTCAGGCATTCCCAAGGAAGAAGCATCGATCAACACGGCCTCGTTGGGGAGCGCTGCCGACCTCAAGATCATCAAAGCGAAAGAAGCGGTGGCCAAGGCGAGAGCAGAGCGGGCGAACGCTCAATTGGCCCAAGCCAAGGAGAAATCGCAGTCAGGGAATAATCAGGTCAAGAAGTCGTCGACATCCATCAGTACCACCAAACCTGCTGCTCCGTACAATGCGACGCGCCACACGACGGGCCTTGCAGCGGCATCTTTTACTTCGACCGGTGTGACGCCACATACTTCGGCCGCGCTGGCGCTGATGTCGGATGAAGAATACCTGCTCAAGCGCGGCCGTGTCAAGGAAAAGGGCTATGTTCGCCTCTCCACCTCAGTGGGTGACCTGACTCTTGAACTGTACCCGGAATATGCGCCAAAGGCGGTCTGGAATTTCATTCGGCTGGCACAGAAGGGGCATTACAACGGGATAATCTTCCACCGCAACATCCGCAACTTTATGATTCAGACTGGTGATCCTACAGGCACAGGACGCGGCGGGACCAGTATCTGGGGCAAGAACTTTGAGGACGAGATTGAAGGGCCGTTGAAACACGATGCTCGCGGGGTCGTGTCCATGGCGAACAAAGGCAAGAATACCAACAGCAGTCAGTTCTTCATCACGTACCGACCTGCCACACATCTGAATCTCAAACACACCATCTTCGGCCGCGTGGTTGACGAGGGCGGCTCATTCGATGTCTTGAAGAAGCTGGAAGACACGCCCGTGGACTCGAATGATCGACCGACGACCGAGATCAAGATTGTCGAGGCTGTGGTTCTTATTGATCCCTTTGAGGAGTTTTGGAAGAAGAAGAATGAAGCCGAGCAGACGGAAAAGAAAAAGGAGCAGAGACAGGATGAAGACCGCACCACATGGACAGGCAAGAGGATTCGTGCTGATGGAACTGTCGAGAGCGGCACCTCTGGTGATGGAGTCGGCAAGTATTTGAAAGCCGCGCTCGCCAATACCAGTCAGAAACCAGAACAGGCTGAAGATGAAATCGTCGAGTTCATCGACGAGCCTGAAGAGCCAGTACGGAAGAAAGCAAAGAGTGGCGGTGGAGGGTTTGGCAATTTCGACAATTGGTAGTATGGTCCGCTCATACCATTACTCTACCTAGATACTGCCAATGTATTAATACTGTCATTTCCATTTTTGATCTTGTTGAACAAAAAAGGGCCTTGAATTCGCACTGAATACTAGAACCTTTGGCTCGCCAAAGTTGGGCTGATGATGTTCACTCCAGGCTCGGTCTTAGGCAACTCTACTTATATCAATATTAGATCGCATCACACTGTATCACATCGTGACATATCACATCATATCCAACCACATATAGTAAAATAAACATAAAGTAGTCCCAATATCCAAGCCAATAAACACGCTCGACTGAACCCCAATCATCCCGAAGCATAGCGGAGAATATCCTAACATACCAAAACATACCAAACCAAACCAAACCACCGCTCAAATCTCATAGCCCATCCTTTCGTTAAAATCCCAAAGCTAACAAAGCAAGTCATACCCATCCTTCCCCTTCCTCTCAAGAACAAGGATACCCCAACTCTTTCATCCGCTGGACCCACCGATCCTTGAACCGCCGATGAGCCGTCCGATGAGCCTTGTCCATACTCGCCTTGATGTACCATGCCACCAGGACACTGCAGGACGTGGTGTTTGTTTCGAGGAGGTGGAGTCGGCCACTACCAGTAATACCACTTCCAGTACCACCGCTGCCAGTACCACCAACACCGCCATCAGCACCACTACCGCTGCCAGTACCAGTAGCACCGCCAGCACTGCCAGCACGAGGATCAGCAATACCAGCAGCAGTCGCATCGAAACTGCCAGTCCGGGCATGCGCATCAGCATCAGCATTCGCGCTTCCTCGCTCATCAGGCCCCTGCGCAACTTCAATCCCCCATTTCCCATGCAACAAAACCCCACTCCCCGGATCCGTCAGAGCCTCGATACCTTGTTGGGTGGTCCGGATCGCACTGTGATACGTCATGTCGGCGGAAAAGCCAAATGCGACGGGTAATTTGTCTTTGATTTCGTATTGGACAAAGTCGCCGACGGACTGCGACGAAGGAGCAGGTGGTGACGGAGAAGGAGGAGCAGGTGGTGACGGAGAAGGAGGAGCAGAAGGAGGTGAAGAAGAAGAAGGTGATACTTCAACACCAAATCGCGCCGCGACAGCATCCACATCGACGGCCTGAGGATCATCTGCAGAGATCACTCGAACACTATATACAAATGGGTTCAATTTGCTCATTGTCTCTGGAGACCGGGCCATTTCGAGGGCCAGAGAGTGGCCTGCGCGAAATACATCGGTGGGTGTTTTGCCTTCGGGTGGGGGTGGGAGGATCAGGTCGGTGATGTAGCCTGTCTTGAAGGTTGTTTGGAGGAAGGACATTCTGGATTGATCGAGAGACGAGAGATGGATGAAATATAGAAAGATAGATAGATAGATGGGTGGGTGGATTGTTGCGAGTAGGGATAAGATAGTTGGTATCGTGGGTGGGTAGATGTTAGGATGGTATGTAGTTGACCGCTCGCTCCGAACAGGTCACTAGATAGACCTTTGTCCCGGATATTGTGAACAGTTGTAGTTCCCTTTGCGAGTCCCGTCTTGCCCGGTCGTGGCTCTGGTTCAGATGGAATGTAGGTAGCGGAACCTCCCGCCGAAGGATTCTGATAGATGCCGCCTGTTAAACAGGGAGAGAGATATATGTTCCTTCAAGTTCGCATGCCCGTGCTCAATTCGAGGACCTTTACCGGAGCGGAACAGGAGACCTCTGACAAACCATCCACTGGCAGCCAGCCAGACCGCCCGTTGCCTGATCAAGAGAGCAAAGGAAACAGTCTTCAGCAGAGGATAGGAAGATAGGTAGTCCTCTGTTTGCGGAATGATACAAACGTCTTGTCCTGTCCTGTCAGTGTCGAGGAGGAGAAATGGGACCACTTTATAAAGGAAGTGGTTGGGGGTTTTATAAGCATCCAAGGCACCAAGGCAGGCAAGCCAATGTACTTCGTTTGTAACGGCACGCCTGAGGCATAAGAGGACAACAACACAAAACAGCTCGGCTCGGTTCAGCTGCGCTCAGCCACCCCCAACCTTACACCAGACTACGGGTAGACACAGGTGAAGCCGTTGATCTTGATAGTGGCACCATGTAAGCCACATACTGTACATAGTATGTAGACACTTGCACTAATAAGCATCGCCCCAAAAGTCTTGTTCGACACAAGCATTGAGTCGTATCGTATCTGCCAATGTGGGTATCTTGATCATTATCTTGGGCATTCTACGAGAAGTAGTATACGAATTTCACAAATTGTTCAAGTTTATGTTGACCAGTCCTGGCCTGGCCCCATCATCAGTATTGTTTATGATGCTCTTCTACAATATCAATGGAAGAGACAGAGAGAGACTAGTAATGTCCACCACTGAAACCTATTCCTCCTTTTCTCTCCTTTCTCAATCCCGTCGGCTTGAACGCAGCACAAAAAGTCCTTTGACTCAATAGTAGACAGCAGTCTGCCAAACGCCATCCACAGCTGATGGCATAATAAACGATGAACGATGCCCAAATCCTTTATCCATACCATACCATACTCACCTCTGTGATCATACTCCAGCATCCATTCCACCTTTTTCTACCCTTGCGACCCTACAACAAACTTGACCGGAACAATCCATTCCGTCCCAAAATCCGTACCATGCTGTCGTCTCGTACCATACTTCTGCCAGGCCGCGGCCGAAATACCAATATCCGCGACCCAGACATTCCAGGAATGCTCGAACCCCTCCGTCGCCATGGCGAGAAGTAACCCGGTCTTGGGTGCACCGAGACTCAAGACATGTTTGCTGGCCATGACCAGAGCCTGGCCATCCACCTCGGTCAACAGGCCCGAAGTGGCCGAGAGGCCCGTGGGCACATCGATGGAAAGCACCGACGAAGAGCGATTAGCCCAACGGATCATTTCCAGTACTGTAGCCTGGTCATCAGTTCGCAACTCCTCGAACGTCACATGCACCCCGAGCAGAGCATCAACCACGACGTCGGGAGAAGGACCACCCGAAGAAGCTTTTGCTTGATACTCGTCCCAGCGATCCACGTAACCCTGACCCTTCTTATACACATTCAGCTGCTTCCGCATGGCTTCGAGCAAGAGCTCTTCCCGTTCTCCACCCAGCACAACCACAGTCACTCTGAGTCGCCGGTTGCGCAGATGCCTGGCCGCGGCGATGGCTCTAGCACCGGACTTGTGATTGCCGACCAAGAAGACGACACTCTTGACCGTTGGCGAAACTTTGAGCACGGCCATGGCGATGCTGCGGCCGGCGTTTTCCGACAACATGTCTTCGGTCAGGCCCAATTCCGAAGTACACAGCTGCTCAATCTCGAGCATTTGTAGCGGCGACAGACAATGGCAAGGTTTGTTGCTGGCCATCTTGAACGAGGCGCGAAGACCCGACACGGATCCATTGAGAGGTGATGCTGTCTGGATCCTATTACCCATCGGTCGCGGAGATTCCGTCTGCTCGAGGTGCCCGGGGATGCCGCTTGCTTTCCTAGACTGAAGTGGCCGTCGGGACCCTGCTCTCCTCGACCCTTTCCCGCTGCTGTAGTGGCCCTCCATGGTTTCATCCTCGGTCTCGCCGGCTTCGCTTTTCCATCGATCCTTGTCCTTTGTGTCTGGCGTGTCTAGCACGTTTTCTGTGTAATGCAGATTCCGTCCTCCATTGGTCCCGGGTCGCGCTTTGCGGTTGAAACTGACTAGTCGATCTGCCTCTGCCGTCGTGTCTGCTTGCCGGATGTCGTCAAATACTCTGCGCTTGTCGAATTTGGACAGGTTGGATTCAAAGTCGAATTCGCCCATGTCTTGAATGTCAGTAGCATCCTCCGTAGCCCAGCCGTTGACGTCCTCGACAGCCGCTCTTCTGCCTCGTTGGGTGTTTTTCTTTTTGTTGGATCGGGGCACTTCCTCGATCAGGGGTGTCTGGCGCCATCCTTTGCCTTTGCCAGCAGCAGCCTTCCGCTGGGCGGCGGCGGACAACGGGCCATGATTCACATCTTTGATGTCAATGATCCCCGGTCCCGTTTGGGACGGTGTATCTCGAGTCTTGGGTGGTGCAGTTGTTGTCGTCGCCGTCGGTGGTGCAGGTGCTGGCGCCGGCGCTACCTTGGCTTCGACAGCACTCTTGCCGAGACGTAACGCATCAAAGGGCTCTGTAAGTGTCGCGCTCGCAGATGTGTTCTTGGCCGAGTGCGGGTGTCTGGGCACCGCTGTGGCGATGCTGGAGACCGAGCTGCTTCCCACATTTCCATCCTGCATCAATCGCGCCGAGGGGCTGCTGACAATGCCGTCGGCGATCATAATTGGGGATACTGGTTGAGGCCGTGCTGATTCTGCATCTCCAACACCCGGTGGTTTGGCATAACTGACAATGGCCGGGTCAACAAATGCAGTTGTAGCATCACTGGCATTCTGCTGTTTGGGAGTGACACTGGCATGACCCAGCGGGATCGGGCTATTCTCAGGCTGAGGCTGCGTCGCAGTCACCGGTATACCAGTAGCAAATTCCTCCTTTTGCGCCCGTGGCGGTTGTGGTTGAGCCGGTGAGACTTCTAGGTCGGCGATTGAGGAAGAGTCGAGCGTGTAGGTATCGAGTCGTTGTCTGTTCCACAAAAGTAATACTAGGTAGTAGAAGCGTCAGCACCTACATGCTCTTCAAACTCGATCGCACCAACTGACCATTTCGTAGAAATAGTTTCTGGTTCGCGACATTGGCGACAACGCCTTGGACCTGACTGTTCGGCCACCAGGGTGGACTCTTCAATGTGACCAGGATCGTGTAGCCGATGAATTCGGATGCCATGCTGTTGTACTGGTGAGGGTGATACTATCGCGACATAATAGTACAGGTCTTAAGAAAGGTGTAAAGCGGAGTAGGGCGCTGGGCAGTGCGCTGGATCGTTCTGTTTGTAATATGAGTGTGCGACGTGAAATGTTCGAGTTCAAGTTGACGTTCATTACTGGCAGTCGGAGGAGTGGAAAACTACTGTAAACTTTTGGTCCGCTCAGTTTCCCCTTTCGTCATCTCCTCACACGAGCCTCAGTCAGCCTCGCACTCGAATTACAATACAATGTACAATGCCAGTGTCGGCACATCCTGCAGCATTCATCTACTGGTATTCAGAACGGACTATATTCTGTCACTGAAACATGCCATTGTTGCATGTTCCAGATAATTCTCATTTGTACCATCACAACTCCCCCACTATGCGCCCCTTGCCCGCATGGCTTGCTTTTCGGCCTCCATCAACTCCTCAAAGGAAAAGTCGTCATCCAGAAAGTCGTCCTCTTCAATGGTGATTGTGTTCGTCTCCTTCTGGATGGCCGTATTACTTTTAACCTCAAAATGGTCTTTGACCGTTTTGGCGGCGCTTTTCATCCCGAGCGTCTCGTGTCCCGACAACTTGGAATAGAATTCCAAGACCTTGGGATGTACCATGACTTTGCGCTCATCAAATCGGAGCACCTGCAAACCTTCTTTACTTCGAGCCCGACTGAGCGCAACGTAAGCCTGTCCCTTCTCAAACACCTTTCCGAGGTCTACCTTGACCCGTGTCAGAGTCTGGCCCTGAGCCTTGTGGATAGACAAGGCCCATGCCAGAATCAAAGGTACTTGCACCCGTTTGGCGAGAACTTCACCTTGCTGCGATTCTGTCTTCCACTCGTCAGGCGAGCAAAGCATCGTTCGAGATGTCCCGTCCGGGAGGTTGAATCGTACCATGGGCCACAGTCGTGTGGCGCCGGCACCGGCGGCTGCGCTTTTCATACGAGCTGCTTGAAGTTTCTCACGTGCAGCCATCTTTTCATCCGACAGATCTCCGTTATCCGGCTCCTGGGCCAGAAGAAAGCTAGGTTCATCTTCTTTGTAGGCGAAGAAAGTCCCTTCATCCATAAACGATTGAACAATTCCAAGAGAACCGTTGACAAGTTGGGAATCAATGTTTTTGATCAGCATAACTTGCGCGCCCTTTTTCAGTTCCAAGACTTCCGGCGCTATGAAGTTGGCGAGAAGAGCTTTCCGTACATTGGGGTCTTGAACACCTGTATCGACGGCGTGATAGGTCATGACTTGCCCCGATAGTTTGCGCATCCGATTCTGATTGGCAAACTCGACTTCCTCGCGGCGCGGGTACCTATGGCTGGTCAGAACGAACCGATTGCATGGACATGTCAAACGTACAACTCTGTGGCTTCAAGCTCATCATGGAAATTGAGCGGTCGTGAAAGCGACTTGAACTCCCGGACCGTAGCGGCGCTCATCTTGCCGAGACGCATTTCGTTAAGCATTTGTGCAAACCTTTCATCCTTTTGCCGAAAGACATGGGTCAGAAGAATCGTGTGTCCTATACACGTGTTCCAGGTCGTCGCATCAAACACAAACTTGGCGACCGAGTTCTTTTCTGGTACTGGGGGTAACTGAAAGAAGTCTCCCGTCACAACCAGCTGGATACCGCCAAATGGCCGACCGTTGTTCCGAATAGTACGAGCGACTTGCTCAAGTTTATCGAATAACTGGCCATCCACCATAGAAATCTCATCGATAATAAGGACCTTAGTCCGGAGCCACTTTTGTCTTGACTTCTGATTCCGCTTAATCTTCTTCACCAGTTCTGGAGCAGGCTCTTTTCCCAGGCCGATTCCTGCCCAGCTGTGGAGGGTCTGGCCTTCCAAGATACAGGAGGCTAAACCGGTAGACGCTGTAACCGCTATCCGATCGGGCTCTTTCCGGTATTTATGCTTCATCTGGGAGATGATTGCCCTCATCAAGACCGATTTTCCTGTTCCGGCTGACCCAGTGAAAAACACACTCTTTCCTTCTTCTATAACCGCTTTCAGGACTGTTTGTTGTTCGTCACTGAAGAAGACCTCCGGTAATCGATCCACACTGGGAGCGGATCCTTCCCTAGGAATGGTGGCAGGCTGGAAAGTCCGATCGGAGGCAGTCCGTGAGATGGAACCCGGCTGTCGCTGACGAATGGACGATGCTTTTTGTAACATTTCTGACATTACCGATGACGCCTTATCCCGGCTACTCATCGAGTCAAACTGCCTTTGCGCAGAATATTTGTCAAATCGACCAGAATATCCGTTTCCAACTCCTCCGCCCTGTATGTTCTTGGCCCCATCTTGCTCATCGAGCGCAGGAGCTGACGTGGATGTGAATGACGCAGGGAGGACTCGTCTCTTGGTCGGCCTGGCACGCTCCGGGGAGGGCTCTCCTTTCAACAGAGTCGTGCCCGGCTTTGCAAAATGCGACTCCGGTGACGAAGACCATGGGACAGGAGCACTGCTTGAAGGCGGTTCGGCTTTCTGAGGGAGGGGAGGCAATGTCGGATACGCAATGTCTGAGGGACCAGGGGGTGTGTTCTCGTCAAACGATGTCTGCGAATGTAGAGAACCCAAACCACTAGTCGTACTGATGCTGCGTTCGAACTTTCGTTTGAAGCCTGAGGTTGTCTGTGATCTCTGCCCGGGAATATTGCTTGCAGCAGTGTTGATCTGTAGAGGACTTTGCTTTTTCTCGCCATGCCCAGAGGAGGCATGCCGACGTACCGCTTGAGCAAACATGGCGATAGTGATCAGGCCCTCTGAAGATACCTGGTTGCGGAAGGACAGACGGAGTGGAGAGGTGGACAGGATTGGGGGCATGAACGAGAACGAAGTTACAGTGGAAGTCTTATTTGGGGCGGTGGAGGGAGGAGGACGAGGGAGTGAAGTGCTATGGCACTCAGACTGAAATGTTTGTCCCAATTCTTTGCTTGCAACTGCGACCAGGCGGATTTCAGACGAGTCGGGCAGAACGCGTTCGGTACGTGACGACCGGTACCACTATAGGGAAAGTCGCGTACCTACTATAGGTAGGTACTGGTAAAGATTAGAGAGCCTTGGCGTCATGAATCATGTTAGCGCATAGAGTACATCTGCACGATTCATTTATTGGTAGTGCAGCCGTGTTGCGCCAGAGCATCCGTGAACTCGAAACAATATAACCATCTCGGTGGCAAGATTGAGTGATATCAGGTATTTGCATAACTACAGGTATACTCGACAATCGCCTCAAACTGTGCTCAGGCTTTAGAGAGAGGCAAAAGATTGCATTCATACCACATGCTGAAAATTCATATCGCTCTTTCAGGGGTATCCTATGGATCGCTGAGTACAAGTTACTCGATAGCAAAGTGACAAATTCTCCTTACAGCTATGCTCGCTGGACAAAATATCCCTATCCGCCAATAACTTGGCTTTTCAGTGCAGTAAGCTTCGAGAAAACAGTGTTCCACCTGATCAGAATGATGTCTGATTCGGAACAAATAGCCATTCAGACAGGCAGTAATCATCCCTGGTACCCATGGTAACTATTCCCGAATGAAGGTGGAGGTTGTTGGTACATCCCTCCTGGTGCAGACTGGCCACGACCGTAGCCTCCAGCCGAGGGCAGAACCTGGCCATATGCTGATTGAGGGGACGGGGTGTAGGGACTTGCCAGATGGCCAGAATCCCAAGGGACACGGCCGGCAGGGCTTGGACCTGCAGACTGATTAGGCAAACACTGATGAATGGAAACTGGGCACATACCTTGCGGGGTGATTGGCCCAGGCGCACCGTATTGTGGAAAGTAAGGAGACGCTGGATTATAGGCTCCAGGGGTAGAGGCCGAACCAACCGATGTTTGCGGTGAGTAAGTGTCGAATTGACCAGTTGGCGGTCTATCCTTCCCCCACTGCTATGGTCAGATATTATTCTTGATGAGCACCAAAAGCACTTACGGAACATTTCAGAGGTCGCCCATTGACATTGTAACCTGAGAGCTGACAGATGGCCATTGCTGCGTTCTCATGTGTGTCCATTTTGATAAAAGCAAACCCACGATCGGACTGAAATCGAGTTTCCACCACATAACCGAAATTCTGAAACAGTGGGACAAGGTCTGCTTGAGTCGTATATGGTGTCAGGTTCCCAACGTAGCAAGTGGTCTGCCAGGCAGGAGTTTGATTGACGACCATTTCGTAAGACTGGATGCCCTGAGTGGGAAAATGATGATGACCGAAAGGCGTGGTAGGGCTCATGCCCATTGCCGCCATGGCTTGTTGCTGAGAGATGGACGGCTGACCCTTTTGGTTCGCCCAGTTGACCCGGATCGCCCGACTGCCGAGCCACTCGCCGTCCATGGACGCGAGGGCCTTTTCAGCATCCGCTCGCTCGCGGAACGCGACAAATCCATAGCCACGCGATCGACCGGTCTTCATGTCCCACATAACGCGCGCTTCAGAAACAGAACCAAAGGCAGAAAACGCTTGCAGTAGAACCTCATCATTGACTTCGTTACTCAAATCGCCAACAAAAATGTGAAAGTGGTTAGACGTGTCCTCTTTGTTTGTACTGTTGGACTGGTAAGCCCAGTTCACACGAATTTCGGCCTGATGAACTCGTCGACCGTTCAACGTGGTCATTGCGCGCTCGGCGGCACCCGGATCATCATATTCGACAAACCCATAATTGAAACCCTTGGAACTGAATTGGGCCTGGTTCTATTAGCGCGGATCGGCTGTACCGAAACTCAAACTTACGTTCTTGTCAGGGATGATCTTGACACTGACCACATGGCCCGTGGTCTCAAAGATCTGTTTCAAGACGTCTTCCGTCACCCGAGGATCGAGACCACCTACATAAAGTGCTCTCTTGTTGGGCTCGGGTGCAGCTCTCCGAACCACTCCGCCCGCCGAACCCGGGCCTGGCCCAACTTGACTTGGTACCGGGTTGTTGTTCGCGGGTATGACAACGGGTGGTAGTGGAGGAGGGCCCATGGCAGTGACAGAATGGCCATTGCTGCCATGAGAAGCATCATAACCCGAAGTGTCGGGGGCCGGGGCCGACACAGGGGGCGGTGGCAGGGCGGTTGAAGGAAGGTTTTCCGTCATGATGACAAAAGCAACTTTTGCGACAACTGAGGACAGAAGACACAGGTGTGTGTGAATGGACTCGATGGCAAGGTCTTGGTATAAAGGCTGCAGCCCAAACAAGTATTTGTATTGTATAGCAACTGCGCCCAGGAACTGCGCAACGGGCCGCGAAGAAGAAATATCGTCAATGAGATGTCGAGACAATCCGCTATCAAGATGACAAGCCAACCCAACAAGAGGAGCGCCTAACGTCGACGAAGGGGGAGACGATGACAATGCAAGACTCGAAAGGTAGGATGGACTTGAAGATGGCAGACGGTGTGCAGTGATTAATGGCGGTCGCAGAAGGGTCGCGCCGGGAGGGTGAAGTCTCGCAGGGCTGGCAGGCGGCAGCGGTGAGGTGGGAGCAGCTGGACTTGAAACCGGAGAACAGCAAAGCAGAGGACAGCAGAGCAACACACAAAGTGATGAACTGAGAGACGGAAGGAAAAGGAGAGATAATGAATCGCTCGACTTCTTTTCCCAACGCCCAACTTGCAATGCACGAATTCCAAGCGATACAACGCAGATGGGAGAAAGAGAAAAGCGACGAATGGAAGAAGAATATACGAAGGTTGCAAAGCTGAGGAGAAGGAGGCAGAGAGGGTAGAGGTCAGAGTGAGCAAGAGGAACGTTTGTATACCTAGAGGTACCTCCAACTTAGGTTACCGACAGTGACTATAGCACCTAGTAACATAGTAGCAGGTAGTTTGTCGTAGACTCGGAGTTGCAGTCGAGGCTGGTTGGGTAGCAGCCAGGATGTTGGCGGAGGGTGTGAGTGGTGAGTGGTGAGTGGCCAGGTGTGAGAGTGATAAGGATGCCGTCATACTGCTAGTACTGTACAGTCCCAGAACCGCCGGAGCCACCTGCAGTCTTCTGTGAAGCTCGTAGGCGCGGAACTGACCTGTTTCATCTCCCACTGCAAAACTTCAAGGGCCCAACGGCTGCAGGCGGCTCGAGGCCACTGCCGCGGAGTTGCACTGGCAGGCGACGGCACCGAGTAAGCTCTACAGCTTTAGTACACCAGCTACCACTCTAGGCCTAAGGCGCCCGTATTCTTTGGTAGCCTCTACTAAAGTTGTGGTAGCCTCCCGCCTGAGTTTAGAATGACCATCCGAGTCACTGCTGGCACGGCCCACCACCACACCCACACCCACACCCACACCCACACCCGCCAACTGCTGCTAACTGCACTCTACACTTTTTGACAGTTGACACTTTTTGCGACGGGCGCGTTTGCTGCCATGTCCTCTTGCCTTCCCTTCGTTTCTCCTGACTCCTGACTACTAAGTATCATATACTCCGAGGCTACACGTTTTCTCCCCGTTGCTGCTGTCCTGAATGACATTGTTGCCGACGGTCCTCGTTCGCGATCCCGTCTCCGAGACGACTCCGTTGCGAATGCGCTCGTCATGGCGGCTGCCAAACCTCCCCAATACGACCCGGTGAAAACGGTAGAAGGCATGTTCAACGGATCAGTCACGCGAATCGCATACGCCATCAAAGACCCAGCAAACTACGCGCAATCGACGAAAGCCGTGCTGGCCGAAACGGCGAAGAAATTCCAAGACGCGCTCGACGACTGCGAGATCCAGATCCTCGAGGCGAAATGGTACCTCGAGCATCAACTTGCCGTGAACAAGGCGCGACGCGAGGAAAAGGCCAGGCAAGAGAGCGCCGCTGCCCACGCGAAGAGGAAGCGTGAGGAAACGACCGAAGATGAGCAAAGCAAGCCTGTGGAGAAGAAGGAAGGAGGAGACAATGCCAACGCCCAGAAACGCGTCAAGACAGCAGAAGCAGAGCCTCAGGCATCTTCACAGACCCAACAACCCTCGAAGTCGCCTTTGCAACCGCAACCTGCCGTACCTCCTGGGGAGCCGGCAGAGCAACCCGCTGCTCAAAAAGCAGAAAAGAAGCCCGCCAATCTCCAACAGAAAGAGAAGCCATCGAAACCGAATATTAAACAACCGCCAGAGCCGACGACGGCGACATCGACATCACAAGCCTCGACAGGAACCGGACCTCCCTCGAAACCACCACACAACAGGCCTCAAAGCATACAAATACCTCCGAACAACTTAGCACACACGACGACGACAACCACCGCAGACGAGCTGCCGAAAGACACGCCACAGGACAATACATCGGCAATCGGAAACGACGACTTTAATTTCGTCTCCATGTTCGGCGAGCCGTCCGGCGGCGACAACATGGACGGTAGTGGAAACGAGTTGAACTTCGACCTCAACGGTCTCGACGGCGCCAACAACATGAACATGAACATGAACGTCCAGGACGCTTCCTTGAACTCGCTACTGCCCGGTCTGGAGTCTTATGCCAACCAAGCAGGCGATGACAGCAGTTTCAACATGGCTGGAAGTGGAACCGGAACCGCAGACGTGAACCAGGGCTCTGGAGCTGGAACCGATTCAGGCGGCGCGACAACCACGAACAACAACAACAACGCCCAACAACAGCAGATCAACATATCCGACTTCAGTCTTCCGGCCCTGGGACCGAATGAGTTCGATGATCTTCTCAACTCCAATGATATGAATTTTGATGAAGCCATCAACTTGAACGATGATGGGACGATGAACATGGAGAGCATGGACCTGGATTTTGACAGCATGTTCAAATGAAGGCAGAGATGCACAACAGACTTACTTGTCGGGATTTACGGAGTAGTGCTTCTGCATATGAGCAGGCGAGCTGATTACTGCCTATGTACGAGTGACAGTGGCATTACGGAGTAAACGAGGGCGTCGGGTCGGAATTCCTGGGAGCGGCTCTTCTGACACGGACCGATCTTTATGGTCCCATTCATTCAACATTTTGACTCTTCGAGATACCCCGGAGCCAGGCTAGGCTATCTATTTTATCTGTTTGAATTTTAAGCATTGGGAACGCCCAAGGAAAAGGGACACTGAGGTGAATGGAAGGAAATGACTTCAAACAAGTCGCTCGACAATTCCCACTCGTTATTCCCACTCGTTTACGTGGTGGATTCCCTCAATATAATTAACGGATTCATCGTTCCTCCTTTATTGTCCTGTTGGTCCTCCTGGCACTCCAACTCTAACCCTTCCAACTCCCACTCTGCTGTAAAATCAAACATACCTAGGTATGGAAGCAAGCAAATGTTAAGTGATGAACTCCATGCAACACTTTGGACCCACTGCAGGAGTAGACGACGACCAGTACAAGTCCGAGTCGTAGCATCAATCAGCCTTGCCCTTGCCGCCATTGCCATTGCCATTGCCATTTCCATCCAACCTCACCGACGAGTTATCCGCCGAACTCGTCTCCGTGCCGACCATACGGACGGAGAAATCAACCTCACCAACCAACTCTTTGACTTTGGCAAGCACATGGACCATTTCCTGCATGATGAGAATACTTGCGATTTCAAGGACAGCAAAGGCAGCATAGCACGGCTCATTGATGTGCTTGGTACTCAGGATGCCTGGGTCAATAGCGGCCAGCTGGTCCGCAATGTCGATCGGGGCCGGGACGCGCAAGTACGGCGGCAGGGGCTGGACATTGGACATGCTCGCCGACAGCAGATACAGCGTCGACGTGAGTTCGTGGCTGGTGAGGGTGGATTGGGCGGTCAGACGGCGAAAGTCACGTAACCACTGGCTTTCTTCGTGCTGGAGGTTCTCCCGCTGGAGATTGTTCGAGTTCAATTGTTCGTTCTGCTGGTTCGCGTACAAGCGATCACTCGAGCAAAAGGCCTGCGCTGACCACGCCGTCAAAGCCATATAATTGAACAGCCGCTGCATGTGGACAATGAGCTCGTCGTAAGTCTGTTTGGGAAATTTGCCGCCAAACGTGGGCTCATAGACAGTAAAAGCGGAATGTTCACGCAGCCGGTTCATCATGACCATTACTTTTTCAAACAGCTTATGTCGAGCCTTGTCGAGTCTTCTGACAGGAGAAGACTTGTCGTCGAAACCACCTCCCAACTCGCCGTGCCGCAGCTTCGTTTCTACAGTCGAATGCGTGACCGAGTAATAGTTTGCCATGAGGCACAAGGTGGAACCCAAGTCCTTGCGCAACGTGGCGTGCGTCGTGATCGGGTATGGGAAGTAAGTCCAGATGAATGCGACGGCGATGCCTGCCACCACAGAGGCCAGTCGGTACGGAGCAAGCAGATACGTCTTGTAGTATTCTTGCCCGTTGGCAGTCAGGATCCGTGTGCCCACTTTGGTGTCTTGAAGCTCGTAACCAATAATCAATATCACCGTGACGATCGAGATGACCGCTGCAATCAGATACTTGGGCTTCTTCAGGATAAAATAGAAGCCGCACACGAAGTAGATGTATGACAGTGGAATCACGGCCGCGGGCTTGTGGTCCGACATGTACCAGATTGCAATGGCTGCCACGGTTGCGACTGCGGTGCCTAGGACCCGAGCAATGAACCCCTGCACGCCCACGCCGGCAGTTGGGCCCATGGAGATGGCCACCATGATGACGGCCCATATGCCACGCTGTGCGAGATAGAATGAACTGGTCTGCCGGATGAACCCGATGATTGCAAGGCTGGTGCTAGCAACGGCTGCTCGAAAGCCAAAGGCGGATTCTGGAGAGGCCAGGAATTTCGGAATGGATCTCAGATGGTCTGTGACCTTTTGATACCATGTTGTAGGGGGGAGATGCTCAGGGTCTTTCTTCCCTTGTGTTAGAGATGCCCCAAGAGAGACGATGATGCCGCCGGCTTCTCCATCGGGAGACCCTTGGTCTGAGTCGGCTTGCATGAACGAACTCTGCACCAACTTTCTGATCCGCCTCCAGCCCGGGTGTATGATTTTGTTCTTCTTCATGGTTCCATCTTGAACCTTGGAGTCGGCGAACTTCACCATATCCAGGACTGTCAAGCAGACTGAGTGGAGCAGGTATTCAAGGTAGAGGATGAGGTACAATTGCTGATGGTTCTCCTTTCGGCGCACAGTTTCATCCAGAGCTCCCAGGTCGTCAAATCTGTACTGAGCAGCAGGGTCTTCCCAAAACTTGGCCGGCACATCTAACCCTTTCTGTTCGCACCATCTTCGCACTGTATCCTGGCGATGTGTTTCAAACGACGTAATCAAGGACTCCAAGTGTTTTGCAAACGTGGGATCACCCGGCTCTGGCGGTGCATCACCAGCTTTCTCAACATCTTTGCTCGCCGCTTTGGGTCGCGGAGAGAGTTCCAGCACGTAGCATATATGTGACAACCCGTCAATCAAGCCGCGCCTGACTTTTTGGAATGGTTGACGCGTCATGGCTATGACTTCGTGCCACTCGTCCTCCTCGAGACGTCTAATGGCTTCAACAGTCCCCAAGTCAGATATCAGGTTCTCTCCTTCGACTTTGTGCTGCTTGACGGAATGCAAAATATCAATAAAAGTCGACAGTCCACTAAGAGGCAGAAGAATGCTTTGCAGATGACTCCAGATTTTGCTGAAATCGCCAGCTTGCAGCTTGCCCCATCCCATTTCTTTCTTTGCAAAGCCGATCTCAATCTTCAGTTGGCCGAATAACTGTGAAGTTTGCTGGAGTTTTAATGTCAACTTCTTCGCGGCGTCTTCGGCCTGTTGCAGTGACTCGCTCCTTTTGCGATCGTTTCGTACAAAGACTGGGTTGCCGTCCTGATCCAGACTTTCAGCACCACCTTCCAAAACCCCGGCAATGCCACGGAGATATGCTTCATGAAGAGCCAGACACTCCTTCATGAGATTGAGCACTCCCGCCATTTGTTTGTAAGATATCATTCTGGAGGACACTGGGACGATCAATAGAGAAACCCCGGTTGCCAGACCATACCCCGTGAGAAAGACCTTGAGCATTCTGTCCACGAAGTTCATGCCCGCCGCCATATTGGGGAAAGACGGAGCATACGTAGACACAACAATAGTGAAGATGATGTATTGTATGGACACAATGAACAATTGAGGTCGCAGTGCCCGGATCGTGTTTGCAATGTACAGATTGAAAAAGAGCCAAACACATGCTGTGACACTGGCGGCTGCACTGTAGCGCGTCGTTTGCGCACTTCCAGAAGACCCAGTCGCGGTCGAACTAGGCCGTTGGTGCCCGCCTTGACGAGCGGCAACGGCGCATTGAATAGAAAGCAACGCCATTGCGGCTGCGAAGCATATGGTGAATAGAGCGGTGATGAGGGACTGAGCAAATTTCGCCCGAGGAAGTATGGGCAAGGACATCATCGAGATGATTGCGACCAGATATCCCAAGGTTGAATACGTCTTTGCCCACCGGTCGCTTTGATAGCTAAGACATCGTAAGCATGCCGCCAGAATGGCCTGGATTCAAGTCACTCACGCTGCGAGAGCAATCGCTGGCGCCAGACCTCCTCTGAAGTTGTTAGCTTCATTGCCAAAGTCATGGAGCTCCTTACTTGAGCATCAATAAGAGCGACGGGAAATCCAGATTGACCTTCGCGGCTGTCCTCTTCAGTAGTCCAGGCTTAGGCTCAGTGGACTGCTCAGTCGATTCTCCCGGAGACAGACCATTCTGCTTGTGATCAAGATAAGACTTATCTTCCTCCATGTTCACCGTCCCATTAGATGCTTCTCGCTGGGTTGCAGACATGTTTGTGGGGAAATATATGTTATACTTCAAAGGGTTCAATAAGGATCATGACGCGAATAATGCGTATGATACAAGAGAATTGAAAGATACTGAGGTATACTACTCAACCGCAAATAGCATATCGTTCATGATCCGTGTGGATTGCGATCTGCTTCCGCTCACGCAACCAGGCACAGCGGTGCTCCCAAGTTACACGTTGGGATTGAATAATGAACCACAAGGCAGCTTCTTTGGGTGTAACATTGTACATGGGAAGCGGACGAACCGTGCTGACAACACAGCTTAGTGATCAAACTCTCGTTGTCAAGCCGCCTATCATCATCGAGTTGTGTACGTGAGGCAAAGCATCGGCCATCATGATAGACGGCGTCCTCGGAGCTTGATCCATGTTCCATTTCGCAGGAGACCAATCTCACCTGCACGTGACCACATCCGTTCTTTGAGGCGCCAAGCACTGGCTTTGGCTGCATTGGAGACTCGGACTCTGCTAAAGTCGGCGAGCTCGAGTATCCGAAACTTTTTGGCCCAAAGGAGACATCGCAGAACACCGCGAGTGATCTCTCATCCAGAGCCATTATCATGGCTCCCTCTAAAGCGCCGAGTGCGCTCCTCCTACACTCTCTTAGGTCTCTCGCAATTGAAAAGCCTTCCACGACCCTGGCGGCCCGTGGCTTCAGTTCGACACGCTCGACATGTCAAGAAGTCCAAACCGAACGACCTTCTTTCTATCGAAATCCTGATCCGGAGACTGTCTATCACCCCAGACTGGAGCGCAAACTTGCGCGAGCCGGTAGACCCCCAATTGGATCACGCCGACGACGGATGGCGCTCTCGCAAGCCCCTCGAATCCCGTTCGAGCAACTTCCCTACCAGTGCTTTCAGGAAGCGCGGAAGATCCTCATCGAAGACCGGGAGGAGAAACTCAAAAAGATCGAGACCGAACGAGCACGTATAGCGCGGCTACGGGAGGTCGACTCTAGTACCTTCAAAGGCGGAGAGGCCTTCAAGCAAAAGAGAATCGCAAGTATGGAGGCCGAGCTCGAACATTTGAAGATTCTAGCCGACATCAATGACCCTGCTGTAAAAAGGAGGTTTGAAGACGGCAAAGGTGTGTACAATAAATTTTATTCTGATGTCAACACTGCTGACATCAACCAGGTGACATGAACAAGCCCATATACAGATATCTCGCGGAACGAAAATGGCGAGAATACCCACGAAAAGTTCTAGTCCAACGCATCACACAAATGAAGGTGGTGCCCGATGTTGTGCCTAATGTTGACCCTATTTTGGACGTCAAGATTGCTTTTGGAAAGAAGGCTGTGGCACCCGGCGATTTTGTGGCTTCCGATATCAGCGAACAACCATGCCAGCTCACACTGCAAGCATTCGAGAAAGGCGAGAAGATGGTTACGATTGCCATTGTTGATCCGGACGTGCCGAACCTTGAAAACGACAGCTTTGATTCCAGATGTCACTTTCTGGCTTCCAATATCACCATTTCTCCCGCCCAACCTCGAGTCGATCTCGCCAAATTGTCCGCAGAGTCTCAGGTCCTACTGCCGTGGCTGCCGCCGCACGCGCAGAAAGGAAGTCCATACCACCGAATATCGATTGTCGTTTTGCAACAAAAAGACAACGTGCCCATTGATCTGAACGTCGCGAAGCAAAAGGTTCAGCGTGACGGCTTCACGGTCCGCAGTTTCATGAGCCGGCACCTGTTGACTCCGGTCAGCGCATCTCTATTCCGGACCAAATGGGACGAAACCATGGCTGCTGTCATGGCGAGAGCTGGCCTGAAGGGCGCCGATGTCGAGCTCAAGCGGAAGAAGGTGGAGCCTTTGCCTTATAGAAGGCGCAACCCATCCAGTTTCAGATAGTTGTCCCCTATTAGCCCTGTACAATACGATGCACCTGATCACTCTGGAATCGCCAGCCAGTTTGTCGCTTCTTTCTTGATATCCGATATTGAGATGAATCGCTTTTTTATTGTATCTGGCTCAACCAGGCCTTGCATCCTCTAGCGGAAGTTCGCCCTCCACTCGTTCTCGGACAGGTTCGGCATCCACCAAAGCCGGGGTAAGCTGCGGCGTACGAAACGAGTTCCAATTAAACCATCCGTCGCCGTTGTAGAGTGCTTTGCCTGCGATCAACGCCATGGGCACTGGCCCATAGAACCGAGAATCTCTGCTGTACGATAAACTGTCGCCAGCAACCCAGACATGACCCTCGGGAACCTGTACCATGACCGGCTCTTCTCGTTCTTGGTCATTATCCTCAGTTATGCCCGGCACCAGTGCGCCGCCAACCGTCGGCCTTTGCGAGGGATCGCGGACGACGTAGTCTCCCGGCATCCCAATGACGCGCTTGCAGGCTTTTCCTCGGAGAAAGATGGGGTTTTCGAAGAGTATAACGTCGCCAATCTGGATGTTTCGGCCCCGTTTGTGGCGTCGAGAGTAGATGGTGTAGGAGAGGCCGCTTGCTATCGTGGGATACATGGAGGGGCCTGCATTGGCCTTTTGGTAAAGTAGATATATATGAGTCCCCGCCGTACAATAAACGATAGTGGCAGTGCCAAACTTACCGTGTACCATATCAAGTTGTGCGCAATCAAGGCGGACAGGGAATAGATCGCAATGAACGTGGCTCCGACGTGGATCACGAAGGACATGGGAGTCCGAACGGGACGCGGCGCTGGTTTCGGCGGCGTGCTGGCGGCTCGAAAGAGTCGCCTGAATAAGGACATGCTGGATGGGAAAAGCAATGGTAGTGAAGTTAGGTAAAGACTAACATAATGAAATCCTCAGGCCCTAATGTCGAGGCCTCTGAGCTGGTAAATCTGGATATGCTCATCCAGGCTCATGATTCAAGTTTACCATTGCGCAAAGGTCCACACCACAGCGGTATTGTGATGAGATGCCCAAACCAGCAAAACCTGCCAAGAGTCGGCTTTTTTACATTGGATTTGAAGCTCGCGCCCCGGTTTCATCGCGTTGGTAGTTGATGGATGCTACTATTCCATCGTCGCCGCCAGTCTTTCCTACGGGCTGTGGCTTATGCGGGTGCTAACTGTACACGGCTGCACAGCGTGATACCGACTTGAACAGTACACACTGAACTCAAGGCCGGGGGCCCGAGGGCGGGTGACAACAAGAATGGCATCTTACACATAGCACTTTTAATACAAAGCCTGCTTCTGCTCCTTCAATATAGGGTTATTCTACAAAATAATTAGACTATTCTACGCTCTAGGAGCTATAGAATTATCCTACCAAGTTTGAGATAATTTGCTTTACTCGTACTGTTGTAGTTCAAGTTCTTGAGCAGGAGGTTTGGAAAATAATGTGCCAATCTTGTTGTCACCCGCCCTCGGCCCTGGGGAGGACGGCCGCCTCGGGCCTCTAAGCCCCAACGATGCCCCAGTCGGATGCGATGGCGGACAGTTGTCAATGCAGCCCCCACGACAAACTTGAAGGCACCGCATGATTAGCCGCCCAGTGGCATCGCCCCCGGCCAGAAACCCAATGCATCTTCGCGTCTAGGTCCGCTCTGTAATGGGCAAGGTGAGGTTTGTTAGTGACATGATGCACAATAGCTTTGTGACGAGAAGAATCAGAAGCTGCAGTGTGTCTGTCGCATGCATGAATTGTGACGAAGCTTCCAAGTCACGGCATGGTGTGCCATTCTACAACCGGATGCAGGAAATGGAATGGGGCGGAATCGGTGCCGACGGCGGTGGATGACGGACAGACGTGGTGGTGAGAATGTTTCCATTGTAGGCGCCGCTTCACTCCACACTTATCGAGCACCAGCGCTCAGCTTCCTTCCTGGTCGCTTCTGCACAGCCTGCGGCGTTTGGCGGCGGCAGACAGTCTTGCGCGGTCGCTTGTTTCAGCGGTGAGGGCAAGTTGGACCCCTTAGCGATTCGATTCACGCCCGAATGTGTCTGCATACATATTCTAGGTACCTAGGTATGTTTCCTGTAAGCGCCCTGGATCAGCCGAGCGTCCAGCTCGAGTCCGGTAGCCCAATCGTCGACCACAATGCCTCCAAGTACCGGTGACAACGACACGAGTTATGGACAACCTCCTGGACATGGCGACAGCCCCCTCCGAGTCGTCGGTGTAGGAGGAGGCGCTGCAGTGCTGCACGGTAAGGTCACAAGATGTTTGTTGTATGCCCATATACCCATATACCCTCTCCTGCGCTCTGGATCTTTTTTCTCTTGTATATACACCAGTGCGGGTACACTGTACTAGGAGGTTATGCCCTGGCTCTACGGGATTACCGTCCGTTCACGATTACATCGCTGCTGCATCAGGCCTCCCTTGAACGTCACTGCTTACCTGCCCTTCCCTGCGGGGCGATTACACAAAAGTTACACGACGGCCGTCGCTGTCCGGTGCAGTGGTCGAGTGAGAAATGAAGAACTATGAATATCCTCGGGTCCGACCTCTGACCTCAGCCTCACTACAGCCGCCACCTCAAATACCGGGTGCCGGTACTGGACCTCGATTCTCATGGATGGACACGCCAGCGGACGAGGAGAATCAAGTCTTTACAAACAGCGCGCGAACAACGAGCACAAACACAAGCAGAACCAACTTGCCGCCACTTCAGGTACCTGGCGCACAAGAGGAGCAGCAGCAGCAATACATGGCAACACACGGGTATAACAGCGGACCATATGCAGGATTGACACATGATGCTGCTACACGGGTGGTACAACAACAACAGCATTTTGGTCCGGAAACACTACAACATGGCGCTTATTCTGCACAAGGCATGCCCACACGAGAGTCGTCACCATCTGGTCAGCCACAACCACAACCACAGCAGGAACATATACCACCGGCCGCAGCCCAACCTCAATTGCAAGATTTGGACCAAACCCCTGCGAAACAGACTCAGACCCGACAGCATGAACCGACGAAACCCAACATTGCACCAGACACCAACCCGCTGACGCCGACAACTCCGAAATTCCACGAGCCGGCCAGCACGAACATGGCCATAGTTGCCCCTGCTACCGATCCCTCTCAGTTTTCAGTCAGCACATTCATCCCAAGTCCCCAAACCATACGGGGTGGAGTCTGGCAACACGGTCTCTGTTCATGCGCCGAACCTTCGACGTGTCTCATAGCTCTGTTCTGTCCTTGTGTTGTCTACGGAAAGACCCAGTACCGATTGAATCTGCGTGCAGACAAGAAAGACCCCACCAATATGCTAGGTTACGCCGCCGTCAACGGCTCTTGTATAGCTTTTGGTGTGCTCTGTGGGATCAACGGCATTTTGGCTACTATTCAGCATACGCGCGTCCGCAAGACTTATGGTATGAGTTCGGCCGCTGGCAATGTAGCGGGAGATTGCCTCAAGGGCTTTTGCTGCTGTTGTTGTGTCGTGGCGCAAGATGAGAAAGAAGTCAAGTTTCGAGAGGAACAGGCTAGGAAACCTGCCGGATCGGGGATGAGAAAAGAGGGATATGTGGCTCCTACTGGCATGACTTTTAGTGCTCCTCCACGATGACCATGCAGAGGTTGGAACGTTGTAGCCCTGAGCAACGGTCAACGACCCAAACCCAATGCAACGAGCGAATCGCGAGCATGCTGCTGGTAAAGGCGACCACGACGGACACGTTCAATGGACGCCGGCTGAGTTCATCCTAAACTCTCAAGTGCCAGGCACCCTGGTGAACGGGTTTACATTGTCCCGGTCCAAGAGGCATATCTCCTCTGCTCGACCAACTATATCACCCAGCAAGGGCGCAACCGCCCGAAAGCACCAAGCCTTAGCGCGGCGTGGACACTACAAGCAGACCGACCCATGAAGGTCGACTCCATCCCATTCTATCTCATATCTCATTGTCTGCTTCATCCTGGACCAACGGCGCCACCGACTTCCAAGGACAAGGACTTGATATTCTCCCCAATCCTCGTGCGAGATCGATATTGATATCGACTGTGATCAGATCAGGTCACCCTGTGGCTCATTTTTTTTTCTTTTTTGTTCGAGATCGACCAACCTAGGTGGCTAGTACCTAAGTGATAACTCCGCGCGACTTCAACTGAGCCGAACTGAACGGTTCAGCAAGCAAGAGAGTGTGTGTACTACTAGTTAGTACAAGTAGTTCGTGTGGAGCGATGTGGGCAATAATAGACCCCAAGCCTTGACCTTGGTGTTAATGTTTCCTTTGCCAATCCTTGCTAAATTCATGCCAACCACAGGAGCCTCTGTTAGTATCAGAATCCTATACTGTGGATTCATCAACATCAAGGTATACATAGGTAGTTAGGTAGTGTCAAGCACGGTATAACATATACATATATATATATATATATGTATACCTCATGTCTGTGGCAAGATAATGTGTGATTTGCCCCATCTTAGGCAATCACTTCATCTGCAGAAAATGCGTATCTTTAAATTTTATATGAGATACCTGGTAGACAAGGCTGAAGCCCTCGGCCTCCCAAGCCCCCCCTTTCCAGTACACCACGGTTACCAGCGTCAACTCGATGCTCTAAAGTGTATCTACTTCAATGAGCCTTCCTCCGCCGTTCATGAATCAATCCCGTCGTTCGGCGTTTCACCTTTTGTCGGTTTCGACATTAACCACCAGTATCAAGTTCCATACGTACCTATAAACACCCCCTCCTTTTGAGACCGGTCCCAATCAATAATATATCTTCTCCTCAAAAATCGGCGGCCTCCCCCCACTCGCCTCCTCATCCCAAACAATCTTCCCCTTCTCATCAAAGAAAGCCCCCTCATCAGTCATCGGCGTGACCGTATTCGTATGCAAACACTCCTGTCTTGAAACACCCATGTCATCACGAGGGACCCATAGAAGCGGAGGAGCCGCATTGACAGCCGGGTCCTGGTACGCATCTCTCTCAATTTCGGGCGAGTATCGTATTTCCACAAAGTCATGGGGCACCAATTTGCGCAGGACGGCGTAACTGGCGTAGACGTCTGGTCTGAAGAATTTTTTGAACTTGGACAACCATCCGGCTCCATTCGTACCAGTACCACCACCACCACTTTTGTTTTTGTCAGACCTCGACGACGCCATTGACACTTTTGTCTGGCCTGGCCCATCTTTGACGGCGACATTCTTCTCGGCGTAGCCGTGACCGTCCGCACCCACATCGGGAGAAGAACCACCAGTTTCTTCCAGCAATGCAGCCTCTTCAATCTCCAGCGATCGAGGGAGATAATGCAGCAGCGGGTCAACAGCCGAGGTCATGGAGATATGGTACAGCACCATAATAACCAGCAAAACAACCATCAGAACCAATGGGCCGGGAGCCGCCCGGATTCCAAACAGTCCAATCAGACATAGGACAGCCAAGTAACATCCTACCAGGGTATGCTGTAGAGCTTTGGCGTAGACCAAACCTTTAGTGTCGATGACCGAACTGTCGACAAACAGGAGATTGTAGCGATAGGCAAAATAAAACAGACCCAGACCGATGGTGGCAAAGCCCAGCATCAAGGGGGCAATGGCGGAGTATGTGATGGAAATGACTGTCATCATCCTGTCGAAACACGTCAGTACGGTCAATCTTGGCTGAGTACCAACCGAAAAGGATACAAACATACTCAATGATCGGAAACGTAGTCCCCCACCCGACGGAGCTCAAACTGGACCAGCGGTTGTACATTTTGCGAGGGGTCTTGTCCAGAAACTTGGACAATGCATTGAACACGATCAATCCGGTAATCCTGAGCAGTTGGCCCGAGGAAAACACCAATCCTTGCAGAATGAAGTAGGAAATGTAAAAGTTTGACGAGAGTGGGAGATTTTCCGCCAACAAATTCGTCACGGTCCCGGGTTCTTTGATGATCTGGGGAACAGCCGCACTGGCCGCCGAGGTCATGGTGGTGACCAGGAAAACCTGAACAATCTGGAACCAGAAGAAAGATTCGTGACATCGAAGTTCGATCAGTGACAATGTGGGCTTTCCGGCGATTTTGGCCATGAATTTCATTATCGGCGGAACCAAGGAAATCAAAAGTGAAAGCATCACCACTGGGAGGAGGTTAGTAATCACTCCCAGGATGACCTCGGGACAGTCGTTGATGAATTTCAGAAAGGGCGCCACTTTGGTCAGGTATGAGATTTGGGAAATTGACCCAACGACCGCGGTGGGAATTGACCTAAACACTGTCAACATCCATATATTCCAGAATAAACAGTCAAGGACGTACCAGAAAATGATCATCGCAGTGACAAAGGCCAAAGAGACAATGTTGCGGGTAGTCCTCGTCTTCCATGTGATCCCTAGATTTGACCAGACGACCTCGTCTGGACTCAGACCAACGACCCGAGGAGACATGTGCAGTGGCTGATGATGGGCAACCATCTGAAACGCCGCCTGTGCTTGGGTCTGATTCCAGAACTCCACAAACACCGCATTCTTTGCTCGGGCTTGGCCTGATCGGTACTCGGTTTGAGCGGCTTCAATAAGAGGGTTCAGCCTTGCAATCTCCTGCCGACACCAGTTGATAGTATCAACCTTCTTGCCGATCAGCGGCTTTAGACGGTGGGTTGGTCGGTCCTGAGGCCGAACCCACCGTGCAGCAGCTGATCCTGGCTCAGTGCTGTAGCCATCGTCTTGATCGAGTCGTTGACGGTCCTGATCATGATTGTATGATGGATTGGCCTTGAGCGCTTTCAGACGCGCATCGTTGGCCAGCTTGATCAGCTTCGTTTCGGCGGTTTCCAGTTTGATACAAAGCTTCTGTCGCTCCTCAACCATCTTTGACAGCTCCTTGGCATCGGAGGCGATCCAAATATTCTTGAGTTCCTCGCCAAACATCTTGCGAATCTTGCCTTCGTCCGCGTAGTCGTCTGGGACGGCCTGAAACAGCACGGTACGAGACGACATGCGGGAAGCATACAGCGGGGACAAAAGATAGGCCTGGCGGAGGTTGATGAAGTAGATCATTTCCCGGGTGACAAGAAAGAAAATGAAGGCAATCAAGACCCAAGCAACGAGAGCGTGGGTGTAATATCGGTTCTTGTCTTGGATGTTGCTGAAACTGAGAATGTTGAGTTGCGTCTGTCCAGCGTGGCCGGTGGCATTCACAGGGAACAAAATCGGCCAGGTGATACAGCAGCCGACAAAACAGATGACGACTGAGATCTTGAGATATCGAAGTAGAAAGTAGCCGTCCAGAGAGTTGTGCTGGAGAACGTACTCGTCGGGCAACTGGAGCAACCCTTGTTAGATCGGGTCCTACGGCGCAACGAAACGAAACCTCAGATACGCTACTGACCTTTCTCATAAACGGAATCCATCCCAGCAGAGAACTTGGAGGAGATGGAGTTCGCTCCTGTGGTCGCAATGCACCCAAGTACGTCCGCGGAGCATATTGTCGGGGAAACCTTGTCCGCAGAAGAAGGAAGATGGCAAAATATGCGACCGAGATGAGCAGAGTTGGTACCAGGGTGCTCACAAGTCCAGACAGTGAGGGATCGGAGTCTCTGCTGGAACCAATGTTTTGGTCATCATTGGGATCGGTGCTAGGAGCCTGGCGGATCTGAAGAAGCGTGCGAATGGTGTCCATGATTGAAATTGCCCGTCTGCGGAACTGGTCGCAACGTCAAGAAGCTGTGTATGTCGCGACGAGGAAGACGCCAGAGAGAGGTCAGGCTATCGCCGGCGCGAAGGAGGAGAGCCGCGTCTCATGAGGGCGGAAGAGGGGAGGATGATATGGATGGTGGGAGGGATAATGATGGCACCTGCATGTATCCGAGTAGTCGTGGGAACGAGTGATAAAGAAGAGTCGCTGGAAGGTAGAGGTAGACATACAAAAGGCATTGGCATGTTGTCCACAGACCAACGCACGCGCAATCTGGTCTTGACAGAGCTAAAGCCTTTCCAACGATGCCTCGATCAATCGGAAGGACACCAGAATGGAGAGAAGCGAAAGGTCCCCGATCCACCGGCAAATCCCTGTCGAGCTGATCTGCGAATCACTTGTTCAGTAGTACGTACATGCTACTTCTACTTTGTTGCTAATTTCACGCTGAGATCCGAAGCCTTCTGGAAGAAGAACATCTCTTTCTTTGCCTAATTCGGCCGCGATTTTGCTGGCCGACCTACGTAGATTACAGCGCGGCCATCTCTCAGCCATCTATCACGGCTGAAGACCGGTAATAAGTATCCTCCTGCGCCGTGATGGTGACCATTGTCCTCTCCAGAGCACGGCTCTGTTTGCGCCTGAGCGCGCTGGGCGAAGTTAAGGGACCACCTCAATCAATCAATCCCGCACAAACAACCCACAGAAGCACCCACTTCGCCGGCCCACGGTCGCTCATCGCCTGTCAGGTCGCTCCGATCCGGATCCAGAGTCCCTTGAAGTCCCAGAATTCGGAGCTCATATGAACCCTTCCCTTTGAGCCTCAGGGCCTTTGAACTCGTATTTGCGGTGATAGCGTCGCAGTCGTTTCTATCCCGTCTCTGCATCCCACCGAGTCGATATTCGCTGACCTCCCGCCATACGTACGGGCGAGGAAAAAGAGTTGCCGATAAGGGGAGAGAAACGACTTGTTTTCTTGTGGTTAGGACCCGTCCTGGGCTATGCTACTGACTGGACTGTTGTCGGCTGAGACCCATCAGCCGCGATGTTAGCGCTGTCCTTCGACCAGCCGACCTGCGTATACAACTTACACTCAGGTGGACAGGGCTGAAGGGACAACGCCAGCTGAGTCGTGCTCTAAATGCAGACTAACGAGTTCATCATCTTCGGGACGAATTGTAAGAGGAGAATGCAAATGGCTGGCGGCACTACACAATAGTGGTACGCTGATACACAGGTCATGATATACGGACTATAAGGCCACGATAAGTCGCATGACAAATCACTGGTAGCTAATGTAATTGCGATTCGCTGTTTCTGCAAGACACAGGCATCCGCCTTAGTTTTATTGTTGCTGGACTGGCTCGAAATCTGAATAGAAAAGAACCCATTTCCGCTCCATTTCGACACCATCTTCAAGTTGTGCACAAGTCAGCTCGAAATCGTCTTGCCTCGACATCAGCGCTCAAATCCTCATCCCTCTCCGCGGAGCAAGATAACATTTGCATTGACGCTGCCACCCTCCATGGAAGTCACAGACTCCAGAGATCAATGACAGCGCCACCACGAAGATTCGGCGCATCCCAGCGACCACATTCAGTATGTCGATTGCTGAACAAAACATATTCATACCAGCACAAGAATAGTGTTGTGAAAGGAAAAAATCCGCCACATCTTGTCCACAGAAGGGTGCGGTCGAGTTAAAGAGGAGTCCTCGACATTTCCCATTGAGAAAACACCATTGTCGGCAAACCAGTCAGTCAAGGGAAGCCAGCTTGTCCCCGGACACCAGCTAGGAGTCGTAAAGTCGTGAAAGTTGTCGAGTCGAGGTCAAGGCCATCGACTTCCCAGTGATCTTGTTCAGATCCACGGCTTTGCGAGAGAGCCAAGTTGGTCCTCGAAAATACCACCGTAGAGACCGGCTATCTCATCAAGGTAATCTTCCACGTTGAACTTGCACAGCCCCTTGTTCATGATCTCTTGCTCCTCCTCATCCAACAGTCTGGCAGTAGCACCGAACTCTTCCGCAATCTCATTGACTTGGGCCAACTCTCGTCCAAATGGATGCTCTGGGTCGAGAGAGGAACTGAAGATCTCGACGCTATTTCGGACGGATGGCTTGGTGAGACTTGAAGGAGGAGGCGACATGCGTTGAATCGATTTCTTCCGAGACAATTCCACATGTGCCTTTTTGGAATGGGACGGAGCACGTTGTGGGATGGCAGGGGCGTCGATGGGAGACGGTGTAGCGGCCGTAGGGAGGATGGCAGCAGATTGCTTCGCGTCAAAGAAGGATTTGACATCATCCGTCGCGGGTGTAACTGGGGTAGCGGGGCCACTGCTGTCGATGGAGGAAGAGTCATTGCTGGAACGGTTGAGGAAACTTCGATCAATGGTAGAGAAATCCGAGTCGTTGGCAGAGGAGACAGAACCGGCCGAAGAAGTCGAGATACTTCGAATGTCGGGAGCCGTCAAAGCCTGTACATTGGTGGTCGAAATCAACTCGGTAGGCAGGGAGATGAGACTCCGATTGATGGTTCCTTGAGGGTATCTGACACTTGTGCCTCGTTGGGGAGTCATTGGATCAGCGCTGCGCTTGGTGCGCTTGGTGAAGGCTCGAGCGAGGGACATCGTAGCAGACATGACGAACGGAAACGAAGATGTTGTGAGGAGCGGCTTTTAACTGAAGTTGTTTCCGAAAGCCACAATATTTATTTCAGTAGGCAAATCTGTTTCTCGGTTGCCTGCCTATGTATCACCTTGTTTGTGTCTCGAAGTTCTTTGACTTGGGTGTCGGTACTTCTGAATTCGAATTGAATGTTTGTCCGTGAAGGAGTGTTTTATTTCGAACGGTCAACGCAGGACTCAGTCCGCGAGAAGAAAGGATTGGTAGAAAGGTAACGGAGTCTGGCTGTGGTGCCGTGAGAGAAGGATGGCAAGCCCAGCGCAAACACGTCGGTCAAGGAATGTAACGGGTGTATCTGTGTTGTTGCGACGGATCGACCGTCGAGCAAGCAAGGAGTGTGTGACTGAGGTAAAGGAAGGACGGAGGGAGGGTCAAAAGAATGACTTGGTGAGAGAGATACAGAGGCAACAGACTTTTACCCTCTGCCGCGAGATGATTCGGTAGAATCAATCTTTGACGTTGGGGGAGGCAAAAGGGAAAAGGGTAGAGACGAAGACAGATGGACAGACGCAGGTGTAGACGCAGCATTGACGGGTTGGGGCGACGAAAGGGCCCTTGACTGGCAGTTTGCGATGAACCGTGGGCGCGTGTCGACGGCGGCGAGTGAAAGTGGACACGGCCGAGTGTCCACAAAAACTTAACCACAACACTACGTACGACCCAGCAAAAAAGGGAGCCTGGATCCCCCTGCAGTTTGGTCTGTGCAATTCTTCTTCCTCTCGACCACTACTAGGTACCAATACTACCGCTACTGCTAACGCTCAATAGTCCCACAGGCACAGGCCATCGCCCAAGCTATCCTTCTTCTATCCTTCTTGGATCCCTCACCCCTGCAGCATTCTTCTCTTCTCTCTCCACGGAATGCGACCACTCGACGATCGAGGCTCCATTGCATCTCCGCATCTAACCAAACAAATGCTGCCGTCTCCCTTCCTGAAGCAACGGCGTCAAGCTTTTCGAAGGTCCACTGGCTGCCTTCCACGCCACCACGAGGTCCCTGGTTCCCTCTCCCGCTCTAGAGCATACCGGCCGCAGGTGCTCGTTCATGATTGGTGGTCTCCTGGATCTCCCAGGACCACGCATGCGGACAATCTCGTGTGCTTCAGGGGTGAACCAGGCACGTAAACAGAAAAGAAGCTGAGGCGGACTGCGAAGGCCGGCACTTGTTGTTGACAGCCGCCTACGATTCAGGAGTAAAAGTTGAAACGCCGACAATCGACGCCAGGTGGTGACATCTATCACACACGGCTAACTTGCACGTCAGGCGCTTTTCAAAACCCTCCCCGACCCGTTCACACAGACCATACTGGGCAGACCACCAGCCACGGTCCAGTAGAAAGGACCCGAGTGCGGATATGCAGATGAAAAGCCGAGCAAGACCTCATTTCATACTGCAACAGACCCGATCCTGACCAAGATGCTGGGTTCATGTCGCGTGTGTATTTTCCATTTGTTGGCTATCTTCAATCAAGTTCCACAGCCCTGCTTGTTATGTTGTACTCAAGTTGCTGGTGCTGTTTGCTGTTTGGTTCATGAAAACGTCCTCCAACTTGACTAATCTCGCTTTCTTCCCCAGCATCTAGGATCCAGCCCTGGATCGAAAGAACCATGGATCGATCTTGAAGCCGGCGTTTGAGAGTCTGATTCCAGTCAAGACTGCTATTATGGGATACTGTGTACTTGATCCCAAGGGCAAGAGTAGGCTCATTTCGCCCCGAATAGCGGAGATGTTCTCCCGATTGTTTCAGAAAAGGACACCGACCTCCTGAACGGACCCGAAAGGGTCACCGTGCTCGGAACTCCCTGTTTCAGGTAGCACGATTTCGAGCATAATCATTGGCAACAAGTAGTCGAGCCTTCAGCTTTGTACCTTAGCGAGAGGTGCATTCAATGGTCAAATCTCTAGAAAATCGTTTATGACTACCTGTACTGATGAATGAGTGCAATGTTGTGAACAAGCCCCTGGATCGCGTGCCAATCGCAGTGCCGTGCACTGGCAGTGGAGCTGGAGCTGGCAGATCACAGCCTTGCCAAGTATCTTCCTGGCCAACAAGGCTGCCACGCAAATGATGCCTTGAGCCCTCCGCAGCGTTTAAGTTTTGACTCCACGGATATTCGATGCCTGACGCGTAGAAATCAATCAAGTTCAGACACCGCTTTCGATCATTGGCAGCACACACTCAACACGAGATATCGAAAAGCATCATGCGCCTTGTGCCAAACAAGATCATTGAACCTCTACGCTCACTACCAGCACCAGCAGCGCACTCGTCTTGATCCCCACGATCCGTCGAACCTAGCTAGACCAGCCATCCACTCACGATCTCAACTGACCCCAGCCCAAACCGTCTACGATCGAACCGCAGTCAAATTCCACCCACTCATCTACTCAGCCACCCACTCGATCTATCCTTGTCCGAAGCGAAGTGAAGCAAAACCCAAACCTGCAAAAATGGTCCGGATCAAACACCGGTATCTCCTCTTCAACATTCTATACCCCAGCGAGTCGTCGAGTTCATCAACATCCAAACACTCCTCCACCACATCTGGCACCGTCACCACCAGCGCGAATTCTAAATCCTCCTCCTCCGTCCCGTCACAGCAGATACTACCACCATACCTCCTCTTCAGCCGCCCCAGTCCCGCCCACCTCACCCCCCAACTCCTCATCCAGACCCTCAAAGCGACAATAACCCAAGTCTTCGGCGACCACGGGTTGGGGGCTACACAAGCCGGAATCCGCGTGGTTTATTTCTCCCCGAGTACATCGACATGTATTCTGCGCGTGCCGCGGGCGTACTTTCGACTTGTGTGGGCGAGTCTTACGTATATGGATACTATACCACCCCCGACCAAGACGAGCAGATATGAGAGTACAAGTACCGGTGGGAGTACTCGGTGCGTGATTCGCGTGGTGAGAGTCAGTGGGACGATAAGGAAGAGTGAAGAGGAAGTCATGAGGCGGGCGAGGTATGAGATTGTGCGGGCGAAGAGAGATGGACTGGAGATGAACATGGGAGACGGCAGAGGAAGTGGGGATGGAAATGAGGCCTCGGCATTGTTGGATGGATGGATTGGGAAGAAACCACAGAATTTGGCAGGGCGTGCAGCTATAGGAGCACAGGTCCGAGGTGAAGACGATGGAAATGATTATGATGATGACATTGACGACGACGATGATGATGAAGATATGGATGATTTATCGGAGTGAGGTACAGGTATAGGGACTAGTACCTGGAGGCGAACAGGACTCCTTGGTACAGTTTATTTGTTTGATACCCCAGCGTCGCTACGAGGTAGTAATGTGTTCGAGACAAGAAGGAAAATGTGTCTGTACCAAGCTTCAGCTTGGGTCATCGAGTCCAGTGTCGAATGGGCTATACAGTGTTCAGCTGAGCTGGCCTACGAGCAGGTAGTACTAAGTCCATCCCGTCCATCAGACACTGGAGACACCAAGCCAGATGGCAAATCCATACGATAACAAAAAGGACTGCCACAGCGAGTCCGTCGATCAATCAATCCTTCATTGTCTTGATACATTTCAACCCTGTCAGTTCGCCGGATGCTAGGTATGCAAAGTCATGCTATATTATGACACAGGAGGAAGCACAACTTGAACAAAAAGCCACTCAACCAGAAAACCAAGATTATTCTTGTTACTGCTGCGGCGCTGGCGGCGCTGTATTCTCCCGCCCCTGTCGCTTCCCTCCCTCCGATTCTTTCGCCGTCATGTCCGTTGTCGTCGTCTTTGTGTTCTGTTCTCCCCTCCTCCTAACCTTGACACCACTAGTACCCATCATAGGCGGTAATTCACCATCACCATCAGCCCCCTCAGCAAGTTGACCATTCTTCCACTCCTCCTCTCTCTTCCTCTGCTCTTCCTCCCACTGCTTTCTTTCTATTTCATCCCACTCCTCCCTCTGATCGATCCACCGTTCCTGCACATCCCTAACATCCATCTTCCCCACCCCACCCTCTCTAACCGCGACCTGCCAAACCGTATCATTCGCACCCTCAGCAGCACCAAAAGCATACCCACCCGCCCGATCAATAGCATGCAACAAAGTCATCATACTCTTCTTATCTTCCACAGCGAGAGTCTCGAACCCAACAAGTCCAAACTCTTCGACAAGATTAACAATCGCCTCATTGAGAGCCGTGAACTTTCCCCTTGCGAACATAGGCGACTCTTGCTCCAACAGGGGCAAGAGATACGACAGATCTTGAACCTCCGTATAGAAATCCAAATTAAACGGTAAGGAAGGGTATTTCGCCAGATTATCGATCTTGGTCAGGACGTTCAGTTGCGTCATGTCCAGTTGTAGCATGCTCCGGAGACAGAGCAATAAAGTCGACACGTAGAGGGATGGTAATGTCAAGCAATATGAGTCGACGAGGTTGACGACGACGAGCTTCAAACAAAAAAACTGTTAGCTCCAATCGACCAAAACAAACAGAAACAACAGTTGTGCTGCAACGTACCCGATATCCAGCCTCCTTCGCCAACTTCATAAAAATCTTCCTCAAACTATCGTGATGCGTAAACAACTCGACCTGGCCCGGACAATCGAACAAAACATAATCGTCCCCGAGATCCTTGAGCCGGTCGTGTAACCAGTCGAAATTCTGCTCGACTTCCTCGAGGGCATATAATACTCCGCCGTTTGGTCCGAGACCTGGTGCTTCGTCTCCGTCTTCTTCTTCGTTATCCCCCTTGTTCTGGTTCTGACTGTCGTCGCCCATGATACTCTCCAATGTGACTAGCTCTCTTACATCCACCGCGGCATCGTACGACGTCATATCGTTGGCCGGGTCGAGATTGACCACGCTGCATTTGCGCCCGATGGCGCCCATGAACTGTTGCATGCCGTTGCAGTAGGTCGATTTGCCGGCCCCGGGGGGTCCGATGACCAATTGGGCGAATGGCATGGTGATTGCAACAAATGAACTCTTGCTTGATCCGCCCTTGTGGCTCCTTGCTCTATCGCTTCTCTCTCTGCGGCTGCTGCGACGGCTGCGCCTCAGCTACTCGTGCCTGATGAAGAGCAGCAAGTAGAGAGAAATGCGCAAGCAGCAATGTGTTGTGAAACCCACCCCAAAACCGTACGTGTGCGGTCTTATTCGGTTCTCCGGAGTAATCTTCTTCACCTCGCGTCCCGTCACTTCTCTTGCTCTTTGAACCGCTTTAGGATCTCCCCAGAACAATAAGGCAACGAAGGAGGAGGAGGACGCGGCTGGCGCAAGTATCCTGGCAATACACACAACACAAAGATTGCCGACTGACTTGACTGGCGACGGTAACAAAGTCTATCTTAGGTAGGTATGAGAATCGGGTTCGAAGAGGTCAGGCGAGGTGCTCGAGCACGATCGCGGCGCGCAAGAGGATAGATACCTAAGGTACTGTAACTGGCCGATAATGCACGGTATCCTCGTGAAGGGCGAGGTGTAGAAGAAGAGATGGTGGGGGTCGAGGTTAAATTTGTCGTTTCTGTTTCACGCGTCGCTCATTACTGCTCGTTTTCTCATCTCTCGTTTCTCGGGTCGCCGTTCTATTATGTACTATCTTTTGCTGCAAACATCGTCCCGTCCCGTTCCGTTTGTTACTCGTCACTCTGTTGATTGTATGTGCGGCTCATTCCAGTTCCACTTGGTTTTTATGCGGCCTACAAAAGTGAAGGCGGCGAGGAGCGGCAGAATCTCCTCCGAGTCCGCCGCGTTCCGCCAATAAAAAAGGCGACCTCCAACAGGAAACCCGAATATTGTACTACTCCTCGAGTCAAGACATACTCAAACCCCCAGCTTCTTGGGGAGGTAGACATCTCCAAACTCATGGACCATGTATTCCACTGGACCAGCGATAAGGAGTACGCACGTGCAAATGTCATTGTATTAGATTTCACTATGCCGTCGCTTGACGCTAGCTGGGGATGCAACAGCCGCCCCGGACTCCCGTGCATGTTCTCCAGACCGGACCGACCTCTAGCCTTCTGTGCTCAGCTGGAAAAGACTCACAAGCTCCGTGACCCAACAGCCTGCTCCAAAAGTTCCACCCGTAGATGAACGGCGATTCATCTGTGCCATCAAACTTGGGCTGTCGAATGGTCTTCCGCCCTCGGCCACCGTAATTGTCGTAATTGTCGTAAGTTCAGAATCCACCCGGTCAGGTTTGGCCGCTGGACTTGGAAGGGTGCCTGACGTGTCATAGCCACGGCTTGAGTAAAGTCTTCCTATGATGTCTTTGCATCTTCTCGGTGGGAGGGTTCTTCTGCTACCAAGTCTGGTGCCTGCTGACGTAGACATCCGCCCAAGACGGATAAGACTGTATCGCTTTCTCTTGCAGCTATCAAGCAAAAGATGACCAAATTCACATTTGACCGCTTGCAAAAACTGTTCGTCACGCCAGCCCGCTGTTTGGTACTGTTGCTGGACGATAAACGACACAAGCGGCACGTAAGCCAGGGCTTCAGTTGCGCTCGACGTGTGCACATCCCTTATCAGCCTGACTATCAAAAAGGTACAGGTTGAGGTCGAGCTGAAGTTAGTGTCTGACTGGCAAGGTACCTCCAATGGCCGCGCAGAGAACTTTGCTTGCATCAAACCATTCGAGTCCCCAACGACGTCTGCGAGCTTCACAATGGCTTCATGTAGCCGTGACCGTGTCGGCTCATCCAACTTGGTCTCTTTTGTCTGGTCAAGAAGAATTTCCAGTACATCTCCCACAGTCAACTCGTCCAAAAGCGATGTAAGCTGGTGAGATTGTTCCATGGTCAAGCCGCCCGGTTGAACAAGGACATGAGGTAATTGAGCCTGCATCGACTCTGGCACCAAGACGTCGAAGCTCTTGTGTATGCTTGGCCGGAGCATGAAACAGCCCAGATGAACTCCCGGCAGCGGTAGATCCCCTAATGAGGCACTTAGCTGCATTCGTCCCATCCGAGCCACCAAGTTGTCGCGGTTGATCTGCATTCGCTTGGCCATAGGTTCCGCAATTCGTGCCACAGCTGCGAATCGATACCCAAGAGCCCCAAAGTTGGTTGCTTCATCACGGTTCAGCTGGCGGGTGAGAAACAGGTACTTGCCACGTGCGATGCAGTTGCCGCTTTCGAGGTCCGGGCTATTCGTAGCATTCGGTGATACAGCTGGTAGCGCCGTCCGGCTTGGTGTGCAAACGAATACGGTGCCAGTGTCCAACGGCTCCTCAAAAAGCGTCCCGAGCCTCCCCAGAGGTTCGTGAATATGGTCTGCTAACCGTTGGGCCGCCATACAAAATAGCTGCTTGAAAACAGGAGCAAAATTGAGCGACACATCGGTCCAATCACCATGTGGTGCAGAAGACATGCCACCGGGTCGATACCTTTTGGCTGCTGGGTCAGACTTGATGTACTCTGTCATGCCAGGAATGAACTGCTCCATGAAAGCCCAGTTGCGGGATGCCTTGAAGACCCAGAGAAACGTGGCATGAGCCCTGTTGAGTTCATCCTCCCCGAAATTCTGGGAACGAAGTTAACCGCAGTGTGATTTCGCCCCAGGAAGTATTCCTCACCTTTTCCAAGTAATGGTTGGTGATTTTTTCGCTGGGCAAAATTCCTTCCTCGGTAACCATCAGCTTGCCATCTTCGTCAAAATAGGCGCAAGCTAGAACCAAGCGTTGCGCTTTGATTCTGGCGACTCGCATGCGGCGACCTCGAATAAATGCCGCAGCAAGAAGGACAATACAGGCGGCCATCGACTTTTGGGCAGTTAGCGACAGACGCCAACCGTGCCGGTTTGAAACTCACCAGAGCAGAAGCAACAGCAGTGGTTTCGGTCCTCAGATGGCCGTGGCCTGTCTTGCCCTTTTTCCAGCGGTACTTCGTCCCTACTGCAGCGGTCCAATGCATACCGGAAACAGCAGCCGCAAGTATGGCACCACATATTACTCTTTTCCACCAACTGTCCGTCCAGGTGTCCCGCATGCGGAAGAACACTCCCAGCGCAATCACACTGGCCACAATGGAGATTATAGCTGACCCTACCAGGTTCTTCACCTTATATGAACAAGTGTAATTGTCCACGCCATATTGCCCTAGAGAATGCATGCCACAGACTGCTGCTCCGGTGAGGATTCCCGCAAGGGCAACATGAATTTGGCGAGCTCTGGCCGGTAAGCCAAGCAGGTAGAAGGCAATCATGAGGACTATGATGGGAACGAAGAAGGAAATGGCGGTTATGGTTGGCTTGTACACAAGTTGGCGGTTTGGCGCTCCATGGTCGAGGATGATCGCTCCGTTGGCGACAAAGTGCATGCCCCAGATGGAGATGGCTCCCATGGTCACTGCTGCAGCTCCGAGCAGGAACCTGTGTGCAATTAATATTAGTACCAGCCTCAGCAAGGCCCGCGAAGGTCACGCACCAGTTGTAGAGCCCTCGAGTTGAGGTTCGTCGCTGCAATAATTCCAATGTGGTGACGCATCCTAGTAGACAGGTCACGTATGAAAGGACAACATGTCCTGCTGAATATGATACTGCAGTGTCCATGAACTCCGTACTGGCGAAAACCTGATGCAGGAGAAGATGAGGCAACATCCGTAATTGTAGGTCCATCACACTGCATCGTGGCACTGACAAGGCTTGAGGTAACAAATGAAGAGAACGGGCCAGGGGAAGGGGCGATGGAGATAATACTCAAGGGATCAAGATGATGAGGAGGAGGAGGCCATTGTCAGGTACCAGGGATGCGAGAATATCTGCAAGGACGAGCAAAGGAAGCGAAAAGGATAACAATATACCAGAAGCTCCATGGTCAGGTCAGCATCCCACTGCGTGTTGAAGCTGAGTTCAAGAATACGCCAAAGAGGTCAGAAACGGGAAGGACATCGTATTTGAGGAAGCCACCTCCAGCCAGGGCAAGTGTGCTCGAATCCCACCCACCGTACGTAGAATCTTATATCTACAATATCTTGCCTTTCCTTGCAAAGAATGAGGCTAGCTTCAGAGATGATTGAAGGGAAACCCAGATGACGGAAGAGTTGGAGGAGCTGAGGAGGTAGAGAAGGTCACCGATGCCATCACAGCAGGTCATGTTCGTTGTCTGCGTCAATACTGAGAGCCTGCGCGCCACAGATCGCCGTCTTTGCCATACCGAAGTCGCTATTCTGGGAGAGTGTAAGAGGCTATCACACAATGGAGCGTACAATAATGTAAAGAAAATACAAAGGACAGCTCAAGTGACAGGTATAGGGACAAGCTCAAGATTTGAGGCTGGAAGCGGTCCGGTATGAATAAATAGTAGTGGGAGCCGCACCTGATCTACTCCATGTCGGAAACCTTCTCCCAGCCGGCATTCGACCTGTACTACCACTGTTCGAAGTTGGACCAAATCCTATTGAAGTGGTATATAACAAATTCATTCCAAATCGGCCACAGTCTATAATCATTAACTACCCTAGTTTTGAATTTTATTGCCGTCATGCATGCCTTGCACCATCTTTGCTTCTAGTTCCAGCCTGAGGCCCGTCATCCTCCTCGTCGCTATCGCTAGCTAGGTCGTAAGGGTCCGAGCCCAGATGCTTCTGACGGTGACTAGCTTCAAGATCGTCCAGCTCGTTGTCGCCGAAGCCACCTTCAACATCTGCTCCTTTGGCATTGGACCCGTTGCGAAGCGGCACACTGACGTATCCTTGACCGCGAAGTCTTCTTCTCCCGCGCCACACCCACCAGCCGAACAAACCGGCGGCGATCAGCACCACCACTAACGCAGCCTCGCCACTGCGGTAATACGCTTTAAGCTCGGCTTCCTTGAGCTTCAGCTTCTCGTCCTCAATGGCAGCCGTGCTGTTGGGATGCCCGCCGACGCTTGTTTCAGCACCGGCCTTTTCACCATCAATCCGACTGTCCGCTGGCTTGCCGCCAATACTGGCAATGTCAACTCCCATGAATCGGTCAAGCATATCCCGGCTTCGGCGAGGCCAGTCGAATGGTACCATGTGGCTTGCGTTGTAGAACAGGACATAGGTCAAATTCCTGGCCTCTTGGTAGAGACCAGCCGCCTCGCCCTCGAACTCCCAGTCGCGCTTCGGCGCCCAAACTCCTGGAGATATCTCAAATCCGGTGCCTCCGAGCCATTTCATGTTATGGATCAGGTCTTCGGTCCCTAGGTGGTTGCAGATCATATCTTTCGCGCCACTGAACAGCAGAATAGGAACACCAGCCTCCAAGATCCCAGGCAGCAAGTGGACACTCGGTTTCGAGTTCCTGGCTCGGAAAGCCGCAGAGACAGCCCCCGAACATTCGGTCCAGCCAGTCCGCTTGTCAGGATTGATGTGAAGGGCCTTGATCACGTCTTCCCGGCGCAGGTAGGGTGTCACTGTGTTGAGATCCTTTGGCCAGGCCATTCCACAAGATGGCCAATTGTCTTGAAGTCGGATATCGTACATGTTATAGCACTTGCCATTCTTCTTCGAGACATCCAGGATCATGGATAACACAGTCTCGCAATCATTGACGTCGACTTTATCGTTCCCGCCTGGTTTGCCGAGCTCGGCTATACAGCGAGTGTGAGACGCCTCGACTCTTTGGGCTTCGGGTGTGCCACCTTGGATCAGGTTTTCTTGATACGCAAAAGGGAGGTATGACTGGTATTGTTCCGTCGGCGAAATCCACCCGTTCCCGATCAAAAGGCCTCTGACGTCCCAGGGCCGCTTTCCCTGCGCTACCGCCTTCTTATTGCGGTCGAGGATCGCCTGCGTAATGTAGGGAATATGTTGTCCCGCATAAGATTCGCCCGCAAAGTATAGGTCGTCGCTCTCATATTGCGGAAATAGAACAAACCATTTTTCCAAGAAGATGATAAATTGGTCCGCCATCTCTTGGAGTTCGTGCAAATAACTGTCGGTGTTGACGTAGCTGAACCCAGTGCCCACAGGATTGTCCACGAACAGTAGATTGGCAAACTCATCCCACGAGCCATCATTGTAACTGAGATTTCCATCGGCTTGCACCCGGTAAGGCCCCAATTCCATCAGGGCTCCATCCATGGAGCTACATCCCGGACCTCCATTTAACCAGATCACAGTCCGCGGCCGGTCCGCGATATGGCGGTTCGCGTAGTGCCAGAAAAAGAGGTGTCCGTTGTGCTCGGGGGTTATTTCGATATGACTGTACAGAATCAGCGGCTGTATTTCTGGAAACATTTCGGACAACTCCCTACCCGGCATGCATCTTCAACAGCGGGCCATCAGGCTGGCCAGGCAGCAATTTAACAAAGTAATCTGCTGCCGTCTTTTCCGCAGCCACCGCCATAATTTCCCAAGCCAGGGCAGCCAACGCCCACGGCAAAGACTTTGCCAGCCTCATTTTGTGGCGGCTTGGGCTGGAGATGGAAGGGCGGATGCGTGATGAAGGACGATCGTGGAGGTAGAGACTGGTCGACTATAGCCGAACTGGCATCTCCGGTCAATTCAAGGCCTAGTAGGAGGGCGTCGAGGAAGGATTATAGGGAAGCCCAGAAAAATACGTCGTCGAATGTAGGAAGGAAAGAATAAAAAGATGATCAAGGAGAAGACTAGGAGAGATCGTCAGAGCATGGACTGCAGTGCTCGGTGAATAACGTGCTAAGTAGTGAGGACGCAGTCAGGCTGTCAAATCGCCCCTGGCTGGAGTCGCTGGCAGCCGCCACCTTTTCTTGGTAGAGTTGGAGTGATGGACCGCAGCACACAACAAGGAGCATGAATCCCCGGCTCCGTGACTGTGTCTATTTGTATAGCGTGAAGACCAGACAGATGGGATGGACCCGTCGACTGCGCTCTACTGCAATCCAGGGTCCCCGAAAGCCACTTTTAATTAGCCTGCTCCTCGATCAACGGGGACTCGGACTCGCTTCTGCTTCCCATTCGGGACTCGACGACGCGTGGCGCGCGCTTCAGATCTGACTTCCTCTCAACGTCCACTGAACACTTGAAACAGCGTCTGCCAGAAATCCATCCTTCCAGCATGCTCAAACACGTATCTCTGTTATCTATGTCGGAATTCTGGACTTCCGGAATTGCTCTCTCGCACTTTTGTTTGAACCTTGAATCTAGATCGTCACGTGAGTTGCGGCACAGCTCCATAGGAATCGTGCCCACAAAAGTACCTACGCCCGCTTACCGGCGGTGGCAAGATCTTTGGCGTTGATTTCATTTGGTGAAGACGACGGAACTCAGTAAGAATCCAAGTCAGGTAGGTAGACGTTAAGGTGAGGCGGCACCAAGATGCATTTGGCGGTGGTTCTCTGCCAGGCGTGGCGAGTATGGAAGCTGTATGTTGCTCGAGGCTGCGGGACAATGATGATGATTTCAATGGTGATTGCGGTCGAGTCGAGTAATGTCAAGCTTGAGCAGTTCTCTGCGGACGCCTGCAATGCCTTCTCGACGACTATCGACGATGAACTGCACAATGTGTCCGGCAGGTGAAAGTGAAGTGAGAGTGAGGGTGAATGAGATCATATTGTTCTATTCGAGCGCGCCTTGCTACTCAGCCATGTGATGTGTTCCGGCAGTCTGGCCCAATGGGAGGCTGGTCAACAGTTCAATGGACTCAACACAGGGATCAATGGACAATACCGTGAGCAACGGTGAAGTGAGAGTGAAGAAAATCCTGTTGTTCTATTCTAGCGCGCCTTGCTATTCAGCCGTGTGATGTGTTCCGGCAGTCTGGCTCAATGGGAGGCTGGTCGACAGTTCAATGGACTCAACACAAGGCTCAATGGACAATACAGCGAGCAACGGTGAAGTGAGGTTGCTTCAATGTCACGAATGCAGACGAGATCCCTGCCACCACTACTTCTATCTCTTCCTCTTCCTCTTCTCTACCAATTTTCCTGACCTCAAGTTTCTTTCCTGCACTGGCTAATCCATCTTCCTCTTCCTTCACTACTCGTAACTCTCTGTTCTTCCCGGTGTCTCTTCCAGAGTTCGCTCTTCCAAACTTTATCATATCCATTGGCCAGCTCGATGGCGAACCAAAGCGTCATGTCTCTCATCCAAGAGACTGAAAACGATGTCAAGGTTTGGGGTGCCTCTCATTTCCGTCGTCGTGAGATTAGCGACTGGGCTTCCAATGGCATGAAGGAGATCATCGACCAGGTCATCCTCCCAGAGAACCGAGAATGGTACTACAAGGTCATGAACGAGCGATCCAAGCGTGCTCAACAAGGTAAGTGTCATCACTCTCACATCCCAAAGCCTGCTGACCGGGCATAGCAGCCGCAAGTCGCAATATCAATATCAATGCCAGTGACAAGTTCAAACCCAAAGACACTGTCACCGGTTCTGTCCCTGTCACCCGCACTGAAAGCACCAAGTCTCGCCATATCAGCAGTCGCAATTTCAATGGCGGCAGCAAGCACTCCAGAGCCTCGAGCCTTGAAGAGTACCTCAACAAGCCCCTCCCACCTTTACCTCCACCGGAATTCAAGTACATGTTCGCAGATGCCGACCGCAAAGACAGCGAGCCGCAAGTCAAAACAGAACAAGCTGCTGCACGCAATTCCAGCCGGATTGCTTCCGATTCTTCAGTCTCCAGCATTGGACTTGACAGCTCTGAACTCTCACAATTCGCTTTTGCTACAGCTGGTGTCGACATTTCGACCAGAGGTAAGTTTCTCATTTCAGTTTCCTTCAAACCAAGCTAACACGACCGCAGCAACAAGTCTTTGCAGCGATCGTGCTTCGGCCAACGAGACCAGACTCTACGAGGCATCAGCGATTCTCAGTTCCCCGGAACCAGAGCCAATGCAATATGAATTCAACAAGACTCATCATGGCGATCGAGTCAAAAAAGTCATTCTTCAGCCAAAGTCTCAGAAGTCAAAGGCGCAGCTGCGAAATGACCAATACTATGCCACCCCAGTTGCTGAGAAGAGAACCATCACCGCACCAGCTGCAGCTGTCAAGGCTCCAAATCCAGAACCTACCTTGCAGACAGTATCATCCGTTCCCAAGCGCAGTGCTCGAACTTCATTCCTCACAAAATCGACTGCAATTGACACGAACAACGATGGTTCACCAGACTACAACGTCAACTTCCTCTCCACCAAGAAACTCTGCGTCGAACATCACCGCCACAGCCGCGATGTACAAAGCATGCGAGCATCTTCGGTCTACAGCAGCAACAGCAGTGCCAGTGCCATCACCAAAGCCGCTTCCGAGTCCGTCTACAGCGTCGACTCTGTTGCCACGGCCGATTTCGTTCCACCTCGCCCTGCTCCGACCGGCTACCCTGGCCAATTTGAAAGCTACGAGTCGGATTTTTTGCATTGTCGACGTACGTATCTACACTTTTTTCGATTTGTTTGTTGTTTTTGAAGTCGTTAACTGACTCTTGTGTCCCTTCAGAAGCAGGCATCTCATCCCCCCGCACCACATTCACCTTCGGCGACCCGCTCCACCCAAACAACCAATTCACACACACGAATTTTTTGGCAGATCCAACCTGGCCATCGAAAAACTACACGAAGCAAGACCTGAAGCGCTTCCCCCTCCGCAAGGCCGCCCTCAAGCACGCCGACGGCGCGACAATCGCGGCCGTGCGCCTCCTGAGTCGTACGGACTCGGAGGAGAACCTCCGGCGCGAGGTGCAGCGCGAGTGCGCCGCCGCGCGGCTCGAGGGCGTGGCCGCTGGCCAGTACCGCTACTACCAGGGTCATATGACCTTGGAGGAGTACATGGCGGCCAAGGTCTGTGTTTGTTGGGACGCGTGCTGGTGTTCGAAGCTGTGCACCATTTATGGTGACATTTTGTGTCCGTGCAACGAGTGGTTGGTGCTGGAGAATCGTGATTAGACGGACACGAGAGCCTACTAAGTAGTAGGTAGGGTAGTTGGTAGTTAGTTAACTACCTATTGCAAGTCACAACACGTGGCTTTTGATACAATGAGGATTCGGAGTTTGTGGTTTTGAATTGAGTCAATTGTCTTTTGCTCTGGCGGTGCTCTTTGTTCGCTTTCTCCAGTAGGAGTAGTTTGGTAAACAGGGTCGACGTCGTAAAGATTTGTGCATTTGTTTGCGTCTGTGGCAGGGTCGGTGCTCTAACGAAATCTAATTTGAGGACGATAGGTATAGACTCCTCCGCGGCTGTAGATATACTGTGATAGCCTCTTATGGTGGAGCGGCCGCTGTGAGTAAGGGGGCTATGAAGGAATGGAAAAAGCGTCTTCTTGCGTGTCAACCGATACAAGGTATCCTTAGTGCTATCGTTAGGACGGACCGCCGCTATCAGCGGCTACCAGTACATCTTGGAACGGGAACGATTCGTGAACAGATCGCTATGTAGGAACGATAGGGCAATAAATGGGACAATCGTTGGGACGAGACCCGACTACAGTACAAACGGTCAGGCTGAAGATCGGACGGGAGCACGACACGAAGAGAACCTAGATGTTACAGTGTATATCACAGTTATATATCCATACCAACCAGTTCCTATGTGGAATAGTCACTTCGTGGAGAGTCTCGGCATGATGGCGTAGGGGTCAGAGCGATGGCATGAGAGTTATTATGACATGATACTAATACAGTAAGGAATACTGAGATGAGAGATGAATCCTGTGCTTTGTTTCAAACACAAGTAGCATGGTGTTTCTGAATGCCGCTCTATCTGAGCGATGCCAGTATGTCACTATCAAACCAGCAACCAACCTCTCTGCTTCCATGAAATTCAATCAGCACACATTTCTGTGCTGACACAATCAAGATGGGTTGCAACGGCTGTCTGGGCGAGCAGGCTCTTCCTCATGGTGGATGCTGCCAGCATCATCATCACTATCATCATCATCATCATCATCATGGTCACCATCACCATCATCATCTTCATCAGCAGGATCGTCATCAGACCATGGTATGTTCTGTAGTGCTCGTTGGTGCACATTTGCACCCCTTGGCCAAACGGGAGATTTCTTGTCCTTCTTGACACGCTTTGCGGCGTGTTCGGCACCATTGTCAGCTTCATCATCACTGCCCGTTCTGGCCTTGTTGGCAGTGAGGATGGCGTCGATCTCATCGTCTGAGGTCATGGCGCTGTCGTCAACTCTGCGGCGGCGGGCTGGTCGCTTCGGGGCAGGTTCCTCGACATCATCATCATCGTCATCGTCATCGGCCTCTTCATCTTCTTCCTCCACCTTGGCTGCAACAGGGCCGGCCTGGTTGGGCGCAGACGGCTTGGGGGCCTTTTGCCCGCCCGAGGAAGCCGCCTTGCGCTTTCTGGCGCCCCTCACCGGCAACGCCGGATTGGCAGCGCCAGCGCCGGCCCGCCCCGCCGCCTGTTGGCGGTAGGCTTCCGACGCCTCTATTCGGCGTCGGGCCCTCGAGACGCGCTGTACAAGCGCGGAGACTTGTACGCCAGGATAGAGAGCGGCCAAAGCATTGTAATCAGTCTGTTTAAATAGTAAGTCAGCGCTGTCACCTCTAGGATACGAAGTGAGGTTGTCACCTTTGTATTAGTGGACTGCCACAAATTGTACATGAGCAAGTGAATATCGTCAATCTTCTTATCAGCCATGGTGTTTGATAGGTAGAAACTAGACTGTAGTGATGAAAGAAGTGACGTTCTGGAGGAGGTCTCGAGTGCCGATCAAGGGTGAGGTAGGAAGGTGATAAGAAAGGTGTCAATCTGAAAAGGAATCCGAGTGTTGATCACGGGCGAGATAGGAAGTATACGACAGAGGTGTCGTTCTGAAGGAGGTTCCAAGGACCGATCGAGGACAAGGTACGCAGTCGTCGACAACGGTGTCGAGAGCTGTAAAGGATTCCAAGTATCGACCAAGAGGAGGATAGGTAGTCGACGAGAGAGGTGTTACTTCGAACGAGGTCCCGAGTGCTGATCAAGAGTGAGGTAGGCAGGTGGACAGGAGAGGTTTCGTTCTGGAGGAGGTTCCGAGTACCGATCAAGGGCAAGGTACGCAGTTGACGACAAGGTGTCAACCTGGGAAGGATTCCAAGTATTGATCAAGAGCGAGATAGGCAGTCGACGAGAGAGGTGTTACTTCGAAGACGGTCTCGAGTACTGATCACGAGTGAGGTGAGTGTCAAGCTGGAGAGGATTCCAAGTAGTGATCGGGGACGAGGTAGAGTCGAAGACAAACGCCAATCTGGAGGAGCATCTGAGTATTGACCAAGAGAGAGATAGGCAGTCGACAACAGAGCGTCTGTCCGGAAGAGGTTCCTAGTATTGACCAAGAGCTAGGTAGGCAGGACAATGTTGATCGAGAAACCAGAACGATTCTTGTGTCTCTGAATAGTCAGTAGAAATGATGATTTCCAAGTGACCGGGACACGAAGATCCGCAAAACAGACTGAGACGGGTTGAGGTGGCAGTCCATCGTATTTGCCGCTTTTGAAGCGCTGGCTTCTCGAACCGGCGGCGGCCTCCTGGATTCCAGACTGCGAGGATAGTTTCGAGGGTTTGCTTGGGTATCATTCATGTCATCATCTCCACATCGTTCGTTCCATCGTGAGGCATCTTCTTGCCATGGACTTCGGTCCTCGCCATAGCGTCGATCAAGACCTCTTTGATCACCGTCTGAGCTCCTCGAGCAGCAGCAACAGCGCTATCCACCAATTCACCAACCCCGATTCCACCATTGCCACCGACAGTCTGCACAGAACCATTGGACCATACTTCCACAACCTCGTCTCTGGATGGCAAGTAGCCGACCAGGCAAGACGCCTGAACCTCCTCATGCTCGGTACAGGCCGGATCCAGCAGCATGCGTGGTTTCTCTTTACCAGGGACAAGCGCACCCACTCCGGCAGCCAACACATCCAGACAGTCGACCCTGGCATCTGCAAGTGCTGCCATGGCGACATTTATACAGCCAGCCAGCACATTGAACAACCCGATACCACTAAAGCGATCCCCGTCACACTGGTCATCTTCGCCCTCGAGCACCGTCACGGCAATATCAATTGCACTTTTTGGCCATCTGTCAGGGATGATCACACCCTTCAGCGCAGTTTCCAGGTGCATCGAAATGTCCCTCTCCGTGGAGTCCCGTATGTAACCTTGACGCACCCGCGTCGCGAAAGGAGCAAACTTCACTGACGCAGACAACTGCAGGTTCGGGGAGAAAGAGGCTGTTCTTGGTAAGGGCTTCGGCCCATGAACTGAGCATGACAGTTTTATGGTGGAAGAAGTATTCAGTATCGCCGCTTTCGGTCTTGGAGGACATTCAAGTTCCAGGTAAGCAGAGCCTGTCGCGGACGGAATCACTCCAGTCTGGAGGACTATATGGTGTCAGTGTGAGTATAGCCTGTGCAGGAGTAATTGCCATACAGATCTTGCGTAGTTCATTAGGTTTCCTTTGTCGCGTTTGACGCAGGTCTTTTGTACTGTTTGAGGGTGCAAAAACCGGAGGACTGGTAGTGCCAGCTGGGCCATTAAGTCGTCGCCTGTCAGTCATGGCGTCGCATTTGGAATGAGAAAGAATGGCTCTGCACGCAAGTTGAACGGGGTTTGGTACAATAAAGAATAGAATCCTCAGCCGCGACGAATCTGAGACGTGGGAAGGGGAAGGACTGTTGTCGCGACTAGTTTAGTTAGCAAGAAGGAAGTATAACCTCTCTTCTTGCGACAGCATCAATAATGTCCAACAAAAGTTGAAGTCAATCTGAAATTCGCGCCAAGTGGAGGATGCGGATTTCCGGTCACTCCTGATCCACCGTAGCTTTCGGCAAGGCTGCGTCACCCTTACTACGGAGCATACATCTGGTCAGACGCACACCTAATTTCAACATGGAGCGCTGTCCAATCTGGACAACCACCTGGCTTTACTCGACTACAAGAAACCTTCGCCCCAGGTGAAGGCCACAGTATCGTCCCGAAGTCAGTCTTGCTCAAATGAGGCCCGCATTTTGGCTTCTTGGTCCAGATTGGCTTGACCGGAGTGAGTACTACAACCAGCACTGCCGTCCCCACGTACAGCTACATGAGTGGGACCATGTCCGACCGGTCCCATGACCAGGACGACTTAGTCTGTGAACACACATTGTTCATGTACAGAAACTCTGCCTTCTTCGATCTCGATGGCAACCGAGACCATTGTGGTGCCGCATGACTTGTCCTTCACGGCTCAATTCTGCGGTACGATGCCTGTGCTGCGGGTTACTGGTTACAGTGGCACAATTCCAGCGGTACGGACTGGGACGCCGGTCCCGACAGACTGTGACGGCACAGGATATGTGTCTCGGTGGCAATGGAATTTCGCTCTTGGACAGGGAAGGGCCTGGGGACCCGGGCACGCGTAACCCGAGACCATCTGTTTGTCAGGGCCCGCTGTTGCGACAAGGTCGACCATTTGTGCCTGCGGAGTTGGAAGCAACAAGGTCATGGCGGCCGCCATTCTTGACAATGACCGGTGTGTCGTCACCGGTTTTGAGCTCTAATCCGTCTGTGCCAGGGACATCGGTAGCCAGCTATACCGGGGCGGCAAGAACCATCGCAACCGGTGCGACGTTGATCGTGACGGCAGTGGCAGCCATGGCCTTGGCCCTCCTGGAACTGTAGGGATGTGAGGCTTATAAGATGACGTTAACCATGTGGTACGGCCACAGAATACCAAGACGGGCACCATCAAGCTTGTGAACTCTTTCAACGGCCTTCTCGATGCATAGACTGGACGTGATACAGATCACCTTTTCCCGGGTCTCTGTTACTTTAAGCTACCCGCAAGATTTGGGGTGAAACAGGTAGGCAGACTTCCTTTCGGGCGCCCTGCAGCATCTCAATTCAGCCTTGCAGCTTGCGTGCCAAGGGTTGGCATGAGTAACATTCTTCATGTCGTCCAATGATCATGTTGCCCCTTGTGCCCGAGCGGGTAGCGGCATTAGGGCAGCGAGGGAAGTCAAGGAGGGATACGTGGTAACCTGACCAAACTTGACTTTCTGGATGCCCAGCCAGTTGTGTAACGCAACGATACGAACGACCCTTTGAGCAAGAGGAGCCAAGAGTTGGCCGTTGCTGCTCCGCTTGCTCATTCCGCTCCCATGTTGTACAAGACTACAAGTCACTTCTGAGTATCTTGGGTAGCTTAGGCCAACCGACTGGGTAGTGAGGGAGCAGGTCTTCAAGATTGATGATATAAATGCCTTTGCTGGCCTTCGAGATGGACAGCTTGAACTATCTGCTCTCTTCTACCCATCCAAAAAGAAGCTCTCCATCCAGGCGAAGCATTTTCCACTGGTGTTTTCTACAACCATCACATAACTCCTGGCTATTCACCCCATAGAAATGTTGTCCCATATACTTCGCCCCTTACTCGTTCTCTGGCTTTTTTTGGCCGCCGCCAATGCATCCCTCCTGTCCCCACGAGCAGAAGTGAATGGCGCCTGCACTGGGTCCGGCGGTGCTCCAGGAGTTTGCATTTCTACATCGAATTGTTCCAAGGCCGGAGGCACGTCTGTTGCGAACAAATGCCCAGGAACACCCGACGACATCAAATGTTGTACCAAGACCACTTGCGGAACCGGCAACAAGGGCAACTGCCGTTTCACATCGTCGTGCAGCTCAGGAAACACCGAATCGAACGAGTGTCCTGGACCCTCAGACTTCAAATGCTGCATGCCTGCCGGGAGCGGAGGCGGCAACAACCCTACACTCCCCAGCACAAGCTCCGGGTGCAAGAAGGTAGCCATCAACGGAGCCAAGGCTATCATCGACGCATTCCCTGGCAAGGTCAAGTCGATTGGGTGCATTAGAAAATGCAGCGATCCTAGTTCCAGCGACCATTGTGTCGGGATGGCCACAGACATGATGGTTTCGGACGGAGGGGTGAGTACATCCCTTCATGGTATACAGAGGACGGGCACGAGGCACTAAATGCAAATTGAGCCTGCGCATGACCACAAACTGACCTCCGACCTAGGTCAAAACAACTGCTGGTGAGCCCATTGCTGAATGGGTCATGCACCACGCCAGCAGCCTTTCGTTGAAATATGTCATGTGGGGCCAGAGGATCTGGAATCCCAGTGACGGGGTCAAGCCTTGGTCGCAATGGAGGTATCAGGCTTGCACTGTTATTAAGCCTTGCACCCACGGCGACCGGGGGTCTGTCACGCAGAATCATTGGTGAGTTCGACCACGAGGGAGCAGTAACTACTAGTAGGCTGGAGGTTGCTGACAACGTCGAAAGGGATCATGTGCATGTCAGTTATAAGTAGACTTACGTGGGAATTCGGTCACATCAGGACCAAGATGTATTCCGCTCAGGATATGTACGCTTGAAGGACGATGCTGTCGCCAAACTTGGAGGAAACTGGCAGCTGAAGGAATCAGCGCCCATCCATTCTTTTCAAGCTGTTGTCAAACGACGAGGGCTAGGGTCAAGCTCAAGCTAGCCCTACAAGGACATGAGGAGAGCCTCCCTGCTGCATCTTCGGGGTTTTTATAGTATGTCAGCCACGTTCGTTTCACGCAAGAATAGGAGTCCGAGTCTGCTGCAACCGGAAAACTTGTCGAAGGCGACAGGGGACGTTAAATGGCCCTGCACGTGACCGACGCGCCAAGCTCGCGAAGTTTTGCCGAAATGGGATCAACTTGAAACTTCCAAACTCCTAATTTCTTTAACTTCAACCTCAGTTTGCAATTTTCCAGCATCTCACAGATGAGGCCCTTGGTCTTCATAGCTTCTGCCACATTTCTCTTATAAAATGTGCTACCGGCTTCGGCGGGATCGTGTATCTATCTCCCTGCCGTAGTATAGCTCTCGGTACGTTCTGCGACACCATTCCAAAGCACAATCTCATTCAGTTTTCCGTGATGAAAACATACCTACACTCTGTTCCGGCAATGCACCCTGAGCCATTGAACAACATGCACTACCATCTGACAACACCTGCTTCAAACACCTCTGCCTGCATTGTTACGGGTCAAGAATCCTGGACTGACCTAGCCCAAATCAGAAGCTTCAGAACGGTGTTGTGTGTCTTCATCAATGTAATGCATTACTAGGTAAGCATTTCTCCCTGTCATTCCATCTCCCCGAGACTGTTTTCCAAGGATGAACAAGGTTTTACAAATAATCAGTTCTGCTTCTGAATAAATCTTGAAGAAACTGTTACCAAGCTTACCAATTGTCTGATCTGTCTCACAACCTCCACACCAAACACTTTATCATTCGTCCGATGCCTTTTGGATAGTGTGTGCTAACGCATATTCCTTACAGACTAATACTTCATCACTCTTCCATTTGCTCCGCAATTTGACCTTCAACCTACAGTGGCTTAGTATCTAAGCTCACAGACATACATGCTTACCCAGTGCCAGTAAGTCAACTCAGCTATTTCTTTCCCAAGCAGATCTTAATCGTGCGAATATTTTCCCTGTTCCTTCTCAAATGATGCAACCAAGTCTATCCATTCTCCGAGTTCGCCAATCATGGCGACGCCCTACCAACGGACATGTTCTTCTTCCCTCTCACTTTTACACCTCCAGGTCCCCTTTCACCTCAGTATCAAATCAGGGTTCTTTCCCGGTCCGTCCCCATCCACTCTCCCTGATACCGGACTTGCGCCTCTCACCCTGACACTGCTTCGGCAAGTTAGGCAGGGACGCGGGGATGATTGGTTGTGGAGTTGCTGGCGGGACGGGCTGGGAAAGGACTCTGATACTGTGCTGGGGTGTTGAAAGACCTGTAGGGTTGAGTGGGTATATGGGGGAAGAAGAAAATTTCTGTTCTTTGCTGTCTGGCCCGATCGTGTCCGTCACGGTTTCGTTATGGAGCTTTGATGTGGCGCGTCGGCTGGGCAGGGTTGGGACTGAGGTATACGGCTTATCTGATCTGCTTTTTCAAAACGCCCGTCCTTGTCACTCTTTGCTACCCACTCTTTGCCTGGTCAACGTGGGCTAGCATGGCAATGTTGATGTTGTTCTGGCGGACGCGGCAGAGGAGCCTTGGACTAACGATTTCATAGGTGTTTCTGTCCCATGTAAATGATATCTAGCAGTGTAGACATACAAGATTATTGGTGTCGGACCATCCGAAGAGAATGCGTACTTTTCTTCGAAATCGATACAGTATATCTGAACCAGACTACTCGGTTCAAGCAGAACTAGAACTTTTTGAATTCATTAACATACTTTCATAATATCCGAACATTTACCTTATGTACTTCAATCGTCATCATAAACATCAACAATGCCACTTCCCAATCCATCATCATCCTCATCATGTCTCCCAGCAAGACTGTCGAGCTTCATGACCAGTCTGTCCACAGTTCTAGCCTGCCAAGGGACAAACTTGGTATTGTCCAAGTTCAATTCGAGGTCGTTCGTTCTGTCGACAGGGGTGTCCCTGCCCAGACCACTACGCTTCTGCTTTTCCACATCTCGGATGGTCTTCACAATCTCGAGCAGAGTGGACTCTATGGTGTCGGTCGTCCGGTCCATTTCGGCAAAGACCTCTCTTTCGTCTTTGGCATGGTCCGCGAAAGCGTCGAGCACACCGTCATCCTCCTGCATATCCAAGCCTTCCCAAACGGTTTGTAATCGCAAAAATAGGGCGATGAAATGGTCCAATTGACCTAGGAGGTGCTTGAGCCTGCTGGTGAAGTCCTTGTTTGTGATTAGAAGTGCGTCACTCAGGGCATGCAGAAATGCCCGATGTGCTTCTGCCAACGCTCGAGGATCGTTCGGTGCTTGTGCGTGCGTAGTGGTAGATCCTGAATCGCTGGGCAGCTCTGCCATCGTTGATTTTGCCTTTTGCCTCCCTCCGGCAGAAGATGCAGAGCCAGGCCTTGACGATTTCGCCGTGGACAATCCTGTTGTGTCTTCGCCATTGATCCACTTTTGGAAATGTGCCCAGCTGCTTTGGATCACTTCTCCCTGTAGATAAACTTGGAGCTCGTTAATCATGAACAATGCCTTGCCAGCACACGTCCAATGGCGCCTTGTCCGAAGTGTTCTTGAATTATCTCGCACTCTTCGATTAGCAGGGCCTGTCTGTCCTGGACGTGATGCACCCACGGGTGCGGGATAGCACCGGCGATGGTATGAAAGCTTCCAGAGTTCAGACAAGTGGATCCCTGCTCGCCGTATCGACAGTAGATAGCCGTTTAAAACCGAATACTGGTGAATATCGTGAGTAGACAGAAATATATGCAGGGGAGATGATGGCGGGATTGTAATGAACAGGCCAGTCGGGTTTGGAAGAAGCGTTGAGATCAACTGGGGCTCCGAAGTCGTCTCGGCCAGTTTCAGAGACAGGGTTTTCTTGGCAAGAGCCCAAATGCCATCGTCAAGATCATCGTTAGCATGGAACGTGGCCATGTCTGCCATGGCTTTGCTCAGGATCCCATTTAGTTCTGCCTCTTGGATGGCCAGGTCATCCAGCCGGCCGGATTTTCTAGGAGGTCCGGTCGCAGTCCGTCTCTGCTGGCGGCTGTTTACACGTTCATCTGCATGAGCCACAAGAGACACTGCAAACTCTCCGTGATCAAGGAGCACATAACGCAGGATGACCTGAAGGATTTGCATAACCGAATGGCGAGGAAGGATCTGAGAAAGTGCGTTTTCAGAGATTGATCGGTCAAGTGAAGCCAGCAAATTCTCCAACAATGGCGGGCTAATAGGGAAGCGTAGGGATTGCAGTAAGCTGGCATGCTTTGGCATCAAAGTCATTGATGAGTCAACTGACCCCTTGAGACTGACAGCTGAGGACGAGCTCTGAGATCTTAGCTGGTGAAGAGCGCTGCCGGTAGAGAGTAGAGCACATGCAGCGACCGGAGTAAGGAATCTGGGGGTGAGGGAGGAATCGATCGAGAAAGCATCCAGTGCAGATGTGGGAGAAGGATTGGCTTTCACACAAAAGTCCTCCGCACCCGATGTCGGCAAATCCCCGTACAAAACCCAGAAGGAAGCGCTACGCATCCATGCTTTCTGCGCGACGGTCAATAGCATGATTGCCATGTCTTCAATATCTGAGTAGCCTGTATGGGTCTCCCTCTCCAAATAGTCAAGAACGATAGCTGCAGAGACAAAGGTCTGTCCCCGAGCATTTGAGGACTTCGCAATGAGACGTTGAACAACAGACCACAGCCATTCCAGTCGCCTCGTCCACGGGGCAAACTCCGAAAAAATTGTGCTCAGCGGCACAACATCGTAGGCACCAACATATCCCGCATCTTTCTTGAGGATTGAAGACTCGACCTCCACAATTTTGTCCACGAAGTTGCATAAGTGCTCTTCCACTATTGAGGAGCTCACAGCACGGCAAACCATAGAGCGATGACTGGTGGACAAGCGGGTAGCTGTATCGCGGATCTTGACATGTAGATCGCATAGACGCGCCAAGATGTCTAGCATGGCCCTTTCTGGCGGCGAGGTATATTGGGAGAAACCATCTCCATCTGAGTCTTCGACTGACCTCGCTTGGCTCCAGAGAGGTGACCCGAAGCCGGATAACGAGAGGAGGATTTCATGTAGCATGTCGTCCGTGGGGTTGAAGGACGCGCACGTACACGAGGCTGAGGTTCGTGACACAACTCAATGGATGGCTTAAACTCGTGTGGAGGTTGACACCAGAGTATTAGCCGCCCGAAGAGCTCAAACCGACACATCGAAGGGACTTCAGGCCCATGTTGGAGTTCTTGAGCTGAATCGCGGTCAATACGTGGAGTGCCGGAGTGTGAGACGCGTCAAGCAGTCATTTACAGCAACCTACTATGACTTGGACAGGAATGTAAAGCACCTACAGGAGCTCGCAGTTGGTCATCATGTCGCAGGCAATGTAGATTCCTATAGCAAGCACCAAACAATCATTGATGCGGTCCGGTGTTCCAGTGGTGACTGGCTCAGCTTCACAGGCTGGAATTGCACGCGACTGCGCAGGCGCAGGCAAGGGACGGTTAGCAACGAGCGGTCGCTTGTCCGCACTCAAGGCAAGTCTGCCGAAGCAATGTTCGCCTGCTGCTTCACGTGCTCTTCTAATCAGAAGCTTACATAATCGCCACCGTATATTGCATCACTCCCTCAACTCATGTTTCAACTGCAGTCGGAGGCAATACAACTTCATCCTGTAGTTCGCGAACGTTCCTGACTAATAGCAAACACCTGCCTCAGGCTGTAGCAAACCGTTGCCTGCGCTTCAAGTTCTCTTGAGATTCTCACTGTCATCTTGTCCTTTCTGCCACTCCTTCAAACTTCCACTGCAAACACTCACGTCAGTCCCTCGACCGCCTTTACAGCCTCCGTTACTCTTCGGACAGTTCCCCTCCGCATTTCCGGTCTTGCTTGAGGCAAGGCCACTATCACGATTTCACCACACGCCGACGTCCCAGATAATATCAAGGCCGGCAGCAAAAGAAAGGCTTCTGCGGAGGACCTCTCCCGGCCAGAGAAGAAAATCATGACAGACGCCGTGATGGAAGTCGACAACCCTGGAGCAGCCATCAAGGAGCTTCAAAATGGGGAGATCGATGAGTCGCTCTATAGCAGACAGCTATATGTCCTTGGCCATGAGGCAATGAAGCGCATGGGCTCATCCAACGTGCTCATTGTCGGCCTGAAGGGCTTGGGCGTGGAAATTGCAAAGAATATTGCCCTAGCTGGCGTGAAGTCTCTGACGTTGTTCGATCCCGAACCTGTAGCCATTGCCGATCTTTCTTCTCAATTTTTCCTACGTCCCGAAGATGTCGGCAAGCCACGAGCAGAAGTCACTACACCGCGCGTCGCCGAACTGAACTCTTACGTCCCCGTCTCCGTGCACAAGTCGCAGTCACTGACTGATGACCTCAGTCAGTTGAAGCAATTCCAAGCAGTGGTCCTGACAAACACTTCGCTGAAAGATCAATTGACAATCGCCGAATTCTGTCACCAGAATGGCATCTACCTGACAATCACGGATACCTTCGGCCTCTTCGGATACCTTTTCAATGATTTTGGCGACAACTTCACTGTTGGCGATGTTACCGGGGAGAATCCCATCAGTGGAATTGTTGCAGATATTGACGAGACAGGTCTCGTATCTGCCTTGGATGAGACGCGGCATGGTCTGGAAGATGGTGATTATGTCGAGTTTGCCGAAGTTCGGGGTATGGAGGGTCTCAATGGCGCACCACCTAGGAAGATAACGGTGAAGGGTCCATACTCCTTCTCAATCGGTGACGTCTCCGGACTGGGAAAGTATGAGGGAGGAGGTCTTTTCTCTCAGGTCAAGATGCCCAAGGTCCTGCAATTCCAGCCATTGTCTGAGCAGATTAAGAAGCCGGAATTCTTGATCTCTGATTTTGCCAAATTCGATCGCCCAGCCCAGCTTCATATCGGAATCCAGGCTCTCCACACCTTTGCGGCCGAGCATAATGGTACCCTTCCCCGAGCTCACAATGAGGAAGATGCAAAGGAGGTCCTGGAGATCACCAAGAAATTGGCCAAAGACAACGGAGACGACGTTGAAATTAACGACAAATTAATTACCGAGTTGAGTTACCAAGCACAGGGTGACATTAGCCCGATGGCAGCGTTCTTTGGTGGACTAGCAGCACAAGAGGTATTGAAGGCCGTCTCAGGAAAGTTCACACCAGTGGCGCAATGGCTCTACTTTGATTCCCTTGAGTCGCTACCTACCTCTGTCCCACGAACTGAGGAACTATGCAAGCCGACGGGATCCAGGTATGACGGGCAGATCGCCGTGTTTGGCAAAGAATTTCAGGAAAAGATTGCCAACATCAAGAACTTTTTGGTCGGTTCTGGAGCCATTGGCTGCGAAATGCTGAAGAATTATGCCATGATTGGGCTCGGCACTGGCCCTAACGGCCATATCACCGTTACCGACAATGATTCAATTGAGAAGAGCAACCTCAATCGGCAGTTCTTGTTCCGAGCCAAGGATGTCGGGAAGCAAAAGAGCGAGGTTGCTGCCGCTGCGGTTCAAGCTATGAATCCTGACCTTAAAGGCAAAATCACCACTATGACAGATCGAATTGGGCCTGACAGCGAAGATATCTTCAACGAAGAGTTCTGGAACAGTCTTGACGTGGTCACAAACGCTTTGGATAACGTGGAGGCTCGGACGTATGTTGATCGCCGATGCGTTTTCTTCATGAAGCCTCTGCTCGAAAGTGGCACCCTCGGCACTAAGGGCAACACTCAAGTCATCCTTCCATGTCTCACCGAGTCGTATTCGAGCTCTCAGGATCCGCCAGAGCAGTCATTCCCAATGTGTACACTTCGAAGCTTCCCCAACAAGATCGAACACACTATTGCGTGGGCGCGAGATCTGTTCCAGTCCTACTTCGTTGGGCCTCCAGAAACGGTGAATTTGTACCTCACCCAGCCGGACTATATCAACACCACTCTACGTCAACAAGGAAATGAGAAGATGATCTTGGAAACCCTCAAGGATTACTTGGTAACCGACAAGCCGAATGATTTCAATGACTGCATCGCCTGGGCCCGCCTACAATTCGAGAAGCAATATCACAACGCCATTGAGCAGTTGTTGTACAATTTCCCAAAAGACTCCAAGACGTCAAGTGGTGCCGACTTCTGGTCAGGTCCAAAACGTGCGCCGACGCCCCTCAACTTCGACCCCAAGGACCCCACCCACATGGGTTTCATCGTCGCGGCTGCCCATCTTCATGCGTACAACTATGGCATTCAAGCGCCGAAACTGCGCCATGAAGATTACGTCAAGGTCATCGATAGTATGATTATTCCCGAGTTCAGACCGGATGCAAACGTCAAGATCCAGGCTGACGAGAACGAACCTGATCAAAATGGACCTGCCAAGTCAGGCGCGGACGATGAACAGGAGCTGAACAAGATCATCTCAGAATTGCCGTCGCCAAAGTCTCTGCCGACTTTCCGTCTTAATGTAGTGGAATTCGAGAAGGATGATGACACAAACCATCACATCGACTTCATTACGGCAGCCAGCAACCTTCGTGCGATGAACTATAACATTCCTGTTGCTGACAGGCACAAGACCAAATTTATTGCAGGCAAGATTATCCCTGCCATTGCGACCACCACGGCGCTCGTCACCGGCCTGGTCATTCTTGAACTCTACAAAGTCATCGACGGAAAGACCGATCTTGAACAATACAAGAACGGCTTTGTCAACCTCGCACTGCCGTTCTTCGGGTTCAGCGAGCCGATCGCCAGCCCCAAGGGCACATACAAGGGCAAGAACGGTGAAGTCACGATTGACAAGTTGTGGGATCGCTTTGAGATCGACGATGTGACGTTGACCGAGTTCTTGAAACACTTTGAAGACCTCGGCTTGACTGTGACCATGGTCAGCTCGGGTGTGAGTTTGCTGTACGCAAGCTTCTATCCGCCCAGCAAGCTGAAGGATCGTATGCCGTTGAAGATGAGCAAGCTACTTGAGACCATCAGTCGCAAACCAATTCCGGAGCATCAGAAGAATATCATATTCGAGATCACAGCCGAGGATACTACTGAAGAGGACGTTGAGATTCCATATGTCATGGTAAAGTACAAGAAGTAAATGGACAGCTTGGATTTGGCTTCGAAGTCGTCGCGGCAGGCAGGATTCATGCGGCGTTCGGCTAGGAGCTGATGGCAGAGGATTCAGCGGATGCCGGATAGATGGACACTGGAACTACTTTTATCACCTTGTATCAGAGATTGCAGCCTCGACCAGGTAGATTGCTCAAAACATTTTATTAGACAGGCAGCAATGCAATATGACTTGACTGCATGAACAAGAAGCATCTTACGTACATGGTACTGTATACTCCGAGGTATTTGACACCAAAGGGAAGCGTGCCATTCGTACAGTACCTTATCTTAGGTGCACGGTTTCTTTACCACACCACATTTCTAGTCAGGTGCAGGGGCGACAGCCTTAGTCATGCTTGAACGAGGCTCCTCTTGATGCGTACTAGCGCGATATCGATACTATTCGTCATGATTATGCGCCCAAGCTTTGATTTGTCCCAAAAAGACTGTGACTAAGACGATGGTCAGCGAGGAAATCCCCCGCAGCAGGCGTCATTGCTGGAAGAGATTCCGGCATTGACGTGAAATACAAACCTGTAGTTATAGGGAGATAGACACACGGATTGTCGAGAGTGTCCAGACGTTCTGCTTCATGTCACATATTCTTGCTAGAGCAAGGTTACAAGCAGCAGCAGCCCATCTAAGAACGAAAACTCCCGCGTCCATATCCATTTCGACAACATCCCGTCGACGAAGTCTCATCTCCACGATGTCGGTATGCAATCGAGCTGTGGCCTCTGTCCTGATCCTTCTGCTTGCCATTCTGGCTGTATTCTTTCTGAACCAGTTTCCACAGGACACGAAAGGGACCATCACGGATTGGGTCAAACCTGGAGACAAGACCGGCGAGTTCAAGCGACAGGCGTCGCGGTTTCGCAACTTTATTTCCAAAGACCCCAATGCCGAATTTCCTGCCGAGAAGGATCGCTATCACTTGTTCGTTTCATACGCCTGTCCATGGGGTACGAGTATCCCTAGCCTTGTGATGACAGAAGCATGCTGAAGATCTATCTTGGTACCAAACAGCGCACCGGACGCTAATCGTCCGAAAACTGAAGGGACTAGAAGAAATCATCCCTTTCACCAGCGTACATTGGCACATGGGAGAAAAAGGTACTACTGTCCATCTGTCAAGGACTCCTCATTTCGGTCCCCCATCTGACTCAAAACCTAGGGTGGCGCTTCGCTACCTCTGATGAAAATGTCCCTGGCGAGAATGTCACGCCCAATCCGCTAAATCCTGACTTCACACACCTTCGCGACCTCTACTTTTCCGTGAACAAGGATTATGAGGGTCGATTCACAGTTCCCACGCTTTGGGACAAGAAGAAGCAGACCATTGTCAACAATGAGTCGGCCGAGATTATCCGGATGTTCTACACCGAATTCGACGATCTGTTGCCAGACCAATACAAGAATGTCGACCTATTCCCCAAGGATCTGCGAGACAAGATTGAGGAGACGAACGGATGGACGTACGACGACATCAACAATGGCGTGTACAAGTCCGGGTTTGCGACAACCCAGGATGCCTACGAGAAGAACGTGAAACAACTGTTCAAATCACTCGATCGTGCTGAGGCGGACCTGGCAAAGTCCTCTGGGCCGTACTACTTTGGAGACAAGATCACCGAGGCCGATATCAGGCTGTATACGACCATTGTGCGCTTTGATGTGGTTTACGTCCAACACTTCAAGTGCAACATCAGGGATATCCGTTCTGGCTATCCTCATTTGCACAAGTGGTTGAGGAACCTGTACTGGAATGTCCCGGCGTTCGGCGAAACCACGCAATTCGAACATATCAAGAAGCACTACACTAAGAGCCATAAGCAGATCAACCAGTTCGCCATCACTCCTGTTGGACCATTGCCGGATATCTTGAAGCCGGATGAAGAAGTTGCCGCAGCGCGGCACTGAGCAGTCTGGGCATCAATAATCACGCTGGGAGGCAAGAAATGATTCATCAACAAGCGAAGCCTCTACTGGGGTTAGCTTTGTCTTGTTTTGGACACGTTGTCTGACCAGTTCGCGCGGCTGATTGGGGTTACAAGTTGTTGGTGTCAATTGTAACTATTATCCAGGTATCCTGATTCAGTAGCCGCCAATACGATAAGCACGAAAAATCATCTGAAAGAGACGAGGCGGCAGCGTATGTGCGTTGTAGAGTGAATGCTCCGTGTTGAGAGCGCGGGCCAGAGCTAGGTCATAGATTAGATTAGATGTTGATCTCCGCCATCATGTCCTCAGCCCGCAGTCGACAAATAATTTTTGAACGTCTCCGCTCCGCATCAACCAGGACTTGAAGCGTTCCTAAGGGTTCATCGATCACTCCGCGAGCATACCTTATTGATTGATAATTCGAATGACGATACGACACAGCCGATGCCATCATGAAACTAAACACCAAAGCCCTCCGCTACCTCAACGCAAGCGACTGGCGAGTCCTAACGGCCGTGGAAACCGGCAGCCGCAACCACGAAGTCGTGCCCACCCCACTGATAGCGAACCTCTCAAAGTCGAACGTCGGCGACGTCCAACGCAGCATCTCGCTCCTCGCAAAAGCCAACCTTATCGCAAAAGTCAAAAATGCCAAATACGACGGATACAGACTGACATACGGCGGACTAGACTATTTGGCACTACATTCGCTCCAGAAGGGAAATGTCGTCTACAGTGTAGGCAACCAGATCGGCGTTGGAAAAGAAAGCGACATCTACGTCGTGAGCGATGAACGGGGTGAACAGCGGGTCCTCAAAATCCATCGACTCGGTCGAGTCAGTTTCAAGAAGGGGGTGCGCAATAAACGCGACTATGCAAGGACCAAAGTTCAAAAGGAGAGAGGTGCCGGAAGTTGGATGTACATGTCTAGACTTGCCGCAGTTAAAGAATACGCTTACTTGCAGGCGTTGCATGATGTCGGACTCAGTGTGCCTGTTCCGCTTGGCCAGAATCGACATCAGCTGGTCATGTCGCTGGTTGATGGGTTTCCTCTCAGGCAGGTTGATAAGGTTCCCGATCCAGCTGGGTTGTATGCGGAGTTGATGGAGATGTTGTTGCGCTTGTGTTCGTACGGTTTGATCCATGGAGATTTCAATGAGTTTAATATATTGATCAGGGAAGTGGAGCAACCTGGTGATGATGGCAATGGCGAGGTCAAGTTGGTGCCGGTGTTGATTGATTTTCCGCAGATGGTCAGTGTGGACCATGCGAATGCCGAGTTTTATTTCCAGAGAGATGTGGATTGTGTTAAGCGGTTTTTTGCCAGACGGTTCGGCTTCACTAGCAATGAAGAGGGTCCTTTTTTTAAGGATGCTAAACTGCTGGTCGGCAAGGATGGCGCTAGGAGGCTCGATATTGAAGTTGAGGCTTCCGGGTTCTCGAAAAAACAGGCTAAAGAACTCGAAGCTTATATGAAAGAGCATGGCATTGATGGCGATGCGAAAGACGGTGCAGAACATCAAGTCGACCGTGACACTGGAGATGAGGATGAGGATGAAGATGAAGATGAGGTGGAGGGGGACGACGAAGTTGATGAAGATGACGGCAATGGTGAATGTCAAAGTGATAATGCCGTGCCGGACTCTGCCACAGGATGAATGTGACAGGCTTTGCAGGTTGCATATCAATCCAGGCACAGGGCACTTCTATCACATCAAGAATCAATTCTTGACCGGGCTGGTGAAGAGGACTGCGGACCATCATGTGGGTTGATTCGGAGAGCTTCTGCTCTATGCTATCTCGCAAACGTCCTGCGAGGAATTTGATCCCTTACCAAGCCAGGTGGCCAGGAAGAGGTCGCTATGCCAGTCTTTATCTACGGAACGCCATGCGACTCTTGAGGTGCGGCTTCAAGCATTTTGAACCATCAACAACAGATCGTTGGTGTCGCTTTCTGGCTGCTGCTACGAAAAAGAATCAAAACTCGCCAACAATCCCTAACTGGACACCAGCTTCAAGTCATTGACCCTCTGATGACACAATCCACGCAAGATTAAAACTTACCTCTCCATCGTTGCAGGCCCCGCGAGGCATTTTTGATGGTTTGGAGACCACTTCCTTCATTGGCTTGAACGACGCAATGCACCTTTGTCGGGACAATGCATAACATGAGGTTCCAATGCCGTAATATGGTGTGGTGGTACCCGTCGGCCGACCGAGCAGATGAACAAAAGGAGTTTGAGAAGCTTCGAGTCCTTGATACGCCGATCAGCTCTACAGATGCCGCCCGTGAACAACATGGAAGAAAGATCCCCACCGTTTCGCATGGCCTGCTAGTATGCGAGCAATTTACACTCCAAGATCAGCCGATGAGGGCGCACATTCGAGTGACGTGAAGGCTGATATGTAAGGTGTGGCGGTACGGATCCCTTCGCATGCTCAGGATGACAAGAGAAAGGTCGTTGCAAGCACTGTGTCCCTATGGCTGCATGATAGAGCGAAGACCGCAGAATCACTCTTTATGGTGGATGGGTGGTCAGCCAGGGGGCGCAGGGGTTCTGGAACGGGCATCCCGTCGAAACCAGGCGCAGGGCAACCAAAGAGAAGATAGATACTAGTACAATGGATGCACCACAGTGAAATTGTGGATTTATCTAACATCTCCCAGTTAACTTCAGACGGCATAGCTCAGGTCTAAAGGTGTATAGCTACCTCAGGCTATGTTCCATTGTACGTACAACATACACTGCACCGATTGTTGCGGTTAAAGACATCCCCGAAAAACTGCCATTTCCTCTACCAATTAAGGGCACCATAAACCTCCTAGTTAAGCCCCGAGCCTAAGGATCTGCTGGAGTCCCCCCTTAGCCCCTGGCAAATCCCCCTGTAGCGACATGACTTAGGGTTCCTTAGGCACACGCTACGCGTCTCCCCCGGGTGCTAAGGAGACGGTCGGGTCAAGGAGGGTTCCCTAAGGTGTCTGCTAGACTCGAAATAGCATCGTCAACGCGGAACCTGCAGCACCAACAACAAGTCTACAGTCTGGCTCTGGCTCTGTCTCCTGGCCAGGAACAACACCATCCTCGCACTTTTTGTATACGCAAAGTCACTGACCTCCTGCTTGTCCTCAATGAGCCAGGTACACGCCGATCTGTTGTGGTTCCCTCTCCGCCATCGCAACCGCGCCCTCGATTAGTTGTGCGGCACGTCCGTCACGCCGTTGTGACTTTGGGCACGCAGGGACAGAACAAAAAGGCCGTGCGCAGCCCAGTTTCCGTCACCACTGTCACTCCCGCGCATCACCAACGTCCAAGGGACTGTCCGCACCGACACCCACTCTTCACTTCTCGCTCCACACAACCTTTGAGATCTCGCGTCCCTGAACGTCAAACGATCGTCCATCTCCACGCTTTCCTTCGGCTCAAGAATATCTTTCGCGTCTCCGCCTGCGCCTGCGACCGAAACTTCCCGCTTCTCAAAAAATCTACGCGTAACTGATCTTCATGTTGGACGCTTCCAGAGACACTGCGAGGTCCTGGGCCCTTTGATACCCTCTGGGCACGGACCGTGACAAGGGTTGAGGGAATTGTTGCGCCTACATACAATGGATCACCACAAGGCCTCTGCGCCTCCCGCTACCCCAGAGGCCACGCGCCAGGTGCGTGCGCAAAGCATGTACTCGGCCCCGTCTCCAGACCCTTTCCAAAAGCAACGTCCACAAAGCCTGATCGGTCGCCCTCCGCCACGGAGTCAGAGTCGCATGAGCCAGAGTAGCAATCATGTCGCGAGCAAAGCGTCAGACGAAGACACAAAGACTTCGGTCAAAGTTGGTACGGTGACAACGAGCGAGTTCTTCAGAAATCAGGCTGACCCTGCGCAGTTGTTCGAGTCCGGCCACCTTTGGGCCCTTCCGATCCCGGATTCGATCTCATCCCTCAGCGATTCCAGCGGTCGATGGTCCAAGTAAACACAAACACCAGCTTAGCCGTCGAGTCGCCCCAAGGGCGCAAGATCTTCATATTCGATCGCGTATTTGGCCCCGATGCAACGCAGCCGGATATATGGCAATACCTACAGGATGGAGTGGATTCGTTCCTTCAAGGCTACAACGTGTCCATCCTCGCCTATGGTCAATCCGGTTCGGGCAAGAGTTATACCATGGGTACATCTGGTGCAGCAGAACAGTTCGATCCGTCTATGAAAGGTATGTCGATATATTGATCTGCTTCAGGCTTGCCACTCACTTCTTCCAGGCGTCGTCCCAAGAGCTGCGCAATATCTGTTCGACCATCTCAACAATGGCGGCCCCGCTCACAATAGACAAAACTCCGGGCTGAAATCACCCACCAGGTACTCTATGACGAGCGTGAATCAACTCAAGCAAAACTCCAGATCATCCGCTGACAGGGCGTGGGAAATGTCCGTCACGTATGTGGAGATCTACAATGAACAACCAAGAGATTTACTGCTTCCGGAAAATGCGCCTTTCATGGAGAGAGCCAACGTCCAGATTCGAGAAGACCGTGGTAGGATATTCGTCGAGGGTCTCAACTCCGTCCGGGTCTCGAGTTTCGAGGAACTAATCCGGGTCCTCAATCACGGGTCTGCCATTCGTCAAACCGATGCCACTGCCATCAATGCCCGCTCTTCACGATCCCATGCGGTCTTCACTGTCAATCTCCGCCAGACCAAAGCCCAAGGTTTCAGTCCAACCAAGGACAAGCGATCTTCTGTCACGGTGGACAACTTGGCAGGAGGAGACTCCACAATGACTGTGGAAAGTAAACTTCACTTCGTTGACTTGGCCGGTAGCGAGCGCTTGAAGAATACGGGCGCTACAGGCGAGCGAGCAAAAGAAGGCATCTCTATCAACGCAGGTTTGGCCAGTCTCGGAAAAGTTATTGCTCAATTGTCATCACGATCGGCCGGTACATATGTGTCGTACAGAGATTCGAAATTGACTCGCATGCTGCAGGACTCGTTGGGAGGGAATGCAATCACATATATGATTGCTTGCGTAACGCCCGCCGAGTTCCACTTGAGTGAGACTCTGAATACGGTCCAGTACGCTCAGCGGGCGCGAAATATCCAGAGCAAACCCAAGATCCAGCAGATCGATGAGGGAGGTGATAAACAAGCCATCATTGATAGATTGCGCGCCGAAATTGCTTTCTTGAGACAACAGATCCGCAGTGCTGAATCGACTGAACAACAGTCTGTCGGGATGCCGGAGAGAGGAGACAGATCTAAAAGTCGAGAAAATGAACTGCACCATCAATTATTGGACGTTCAAGAGAGCTACAATGCCCTCAGTCAGCGGCACGCGAAGCTCGTCTCAGAGTTGAAGAGAAACGCCGAGACTTATGATCAGCTCCACCCGGTGGCCGGCGAAACTGCGATGGATCGGCTGAAACGATCCCAGGCCAACCAGGAGATGATCGAGCAAGTTGTCATGGAATATGAGAAGACCATCCAGAGCCTAGAAGCGAACTTGTCAACCACGAGGGCATCTTTGGCCATGACCGAAAGCAAGCTTCTGGAGCGTGAGACCAAGTGTGCGTACATCGAAACCATGAATCAACAACTCAACTCTCGGGTCCAGAAGTTGATGGATCGGGAATCGAACACGGAACAGTACCTACATGACCTGGAAGCGCGGCTCGATGACCAACACTCCGGAGGCGAAAAGAACGACGCCATCATCTCGGAACTGCGCAAAGAAATAGCACGCATCAGAGAAAGCGAAACAAATGCCGAAGATTACATCTGTACTCTGGAAGAACGACTGGCCGAGGCTGACCAGGACATGGAAATCATGCAACGTGAAGTTGAGAGGCTGGAGCACCTTGTCGAACGCCAGCGGAGTTTAGGCAAGCTGGACAATCTAATTTACGAGCTGGACCATATTCAGGACGACACTGCGAAGGGCAAGTCACCCAAGGCTACCACTGCAAAACCGAATGTTGAAACGAACGGCCACCCAAACGATCTTCAAGCTGCCAAGGAGACTGAACTGCCCACCCCTGACGATGATGAGGAAGACGAGCTTGCCCCAGAGGCCCTCGGGTCAGCAGAGCAACCCACTCCGGAAGGCGATGACATGGGTCTCGAGAAGCTGGAAACTGCCATGGCCCAGCAGGAAACCCTCAATGTCACTCGAAACGATGAATCCCTCCCGAGCCCAGCTCAGTCGAAATTCGTTACGGAGAAATTCGAAGCAGTCAGCCAAGAATTGTTTGACCTTCGACTGGAGCATGAATCCACCGTCAACGAATTGGACCTGTTGTCTGCCAAGTATCAAGAAGCCCTACGTACCCTTGCTCGAATGCAGGATAGTATCGACGAAGAGCGACAAGGTGTGGCAGCGACCGGGTCAGACAGAGTCATTGAAGCTCCTCAGGGGAAGTCTTTTTTAGACGAGACCGACCTGCAAGAAGCGGAGGATGGACAAGAATTGCCTTCCTCGCGATCACTTTCCTCGGAATTATCCTTGGCTGGGGAATCCTCGCCATCGATAGATACCGACATTACACCAGTGTCTAAGAAGACCCCGTCAGTGGAAGTCGCATCCAACGAAATTGAACGGTTGCAACATCTTCTTGCAGAACATGAGAGCAGTCTACACCAAGTGACCGAACAATATGCCCAATTACAGGCCGACCACAAGGAGGCTTTGACTACCGTGGAGCGTCTCAAGACGCAGGTCCAACGGTCAAGACCTGCATCACCCGGGACTCCTGGCATGCTTCGGCGCATGACTTCGCAAATCGGCAGTGGCGTGGATCGAGGTCAACGCTCTATGACTTCTCTGAGAACTCTGCTCGCGGAAGAGTTCGAATCGAAGCCAGACCGGATGGAAACCGCGGAAGTGCATCTCAGCGCGGCCAATACCGAACTACAGGCGAGACTTGATCGCATTCAATCTCTCGAAGCCGAAGTCAAGAGCGTCAAAAAGGAAATGGAACTCAAATCGACCATTATTTCTGGCTTGACGAGAGAGAGAACTAGTATCAAGGCAGGATCTCCCGTGGACCTTAATATGGTGTCACAACTTCGAGATCAAATCATCCAGAAGGAGACCGAACTTAAGTCGTTGCATGAGAGTTATGCTCGCCGTGAGCAAGGCTTGCAAGAAGAGATCCAGCGGTTGACGTCCGAAAAGGCCAATGTGCAAGCCGGTCCCTCCTCACCCGAAGCAGACGAGCAGGTCAATCGTCTCAACGCAGAGTTGGCGGAGTTGAAGTCGAAGCTACAAGAGACACAGGAGGCAGCCGAAGAATCCGAGAAGAAGTACGTGCGGACCAAATCAGAACTCGAGGCAGCACTGGCCAGTATAGCGACATTGAAAGCGCAACAATCAACTGGCGAAACCTCAAGCTCGGACCAACAGGCTACTACTGCAGAAGCCATGCAGACAGAGAGAGACAGCTACCAGGATCTGGTCAATAAGTTGAAGCAAGAGATGAAAGAGCAACGTCGCGCACATGCCGAGCATCTGACAAAGAGTCAAGAACTGGAGCAGCTCCACGAATCCCTCAGCAAGGATTATGCAGCTCAGGCAGACCTGGTCAAAACCCAAGAACAGGAGATCTCGGCCCTAAAGACTGAGGTGTCCCAGCTCGAACTCAAAGTCAAGGAAGCCGAGGCGGCTGTCGAGTTCTACAAGCACGGCCTCAAATCACTCCATGAAGCCCATGCCAGCGAGATTGAAGAGATGAAACTGGCGCACAGCGGTCATCTGGCCGGGTACGACGATCAAGTTGCCGAGATGACGGCGAAGCATGAGAAGCTCGTGGCCACCTACAAGGCCGACCTCGAAGAAGCTGTCTCGACAGTCGAGAAACTAGTCTCTGACGCACAAGTCGCTCTTGGTCATCCCACGTCGGCAGATATGCTTGTCAGTCATATCCAAGACATAATGGAAGAGAAACGCCATATCGCCGAGGCCAATGCGCGGATAACAGCCGCCAACGCCGAACTCGAACGGCAGCTCGAGGGCCGACAGAGTCTTGTCGAACTGGAGGAAGAACTGGCTAATGCTAACAGCAAGATCGCCAACTATCAGGAGACGATCCGCAGTCTTGCCAACGAAGTCGGCAACCACGAAGAAACGATCCGAGAGAAGGATGAGTTGCTCAAGAAGGCGCAAGCGCAAATCGAGGCGGTCGAAGCCGAAAAGGCGAAGAAACTAGTCATCATCGAAGAGCTGGAGCAGCAACTCCAGAACAGCTTTGACCAGCACAACAACCGCGTGTCTCTGATCCAGGCTCAAGGCAGCCAAGCCCTGATCGAAGCTCAACAGCGGATCGCGGTGTTGGAAAAGGATCTGGACCAACGACGATCGATGAACGATGGCGTCTCGGACACGGCGTCGGCGTCACGGAGTAACACGATCAAGTCTCAGCATAATAACAATCGTCCTCACTCGCCTGCCGTGGACCGATCGAATTCCATGACTTCTAACCTGCGCAAATCAGGATCTATTGCTTCTCTGCCGTCGCCACCACCCGCCATCCCTCTCCCACCGTTACCAAATCTGGCCGCATCTGCCGCAGGACCACCTAGTCTTCAAGTTTCGGGTGCCACTGCCAATCCATCCCCTCCACAATCTCGCCATGCGTCCAAAGAAGGCGTACCTGTTCCTGTACCAGTTACTCCCGTGTCCAACGTTTCGTCTCAGCAGCAGCAACATCCCAGCGGTGCTCGTCAATCGGCCATCCTGGAAGAGCAAGAGAACCGTCTTCGAACAATCGAGAAACATTTGCACGCCGAGAAACAGTTGACCGCGACTCTGGAAGAAGCCCTCGTCGACCTCGAAACCCAGTCGAATAAATTGAGGGCTGATGCTGAGTCCTGGAAGAAAAAGGCCTGGGCCATGGAAGAGGAACTTTCGGGTTTGCGCAAGGAGAGGCGCTCAGAGAGATTGAGTGTGCAAGCTGTTGAGGAGGAAGTGAAGAAGCGGAGAGAGGCGGAGGCCGCGAGGGCACAGTTGGAAGAGAGGATGAGACTTTTGACCGTGGGCAAGGATGGGAAGAAGAAGAAGAAGGGCAGTTCGCTGAATTGTTTCTAGCCGATTGGACTCGTCTGACCTGGACAACTGGGGCGAGTCTTTGTGAACCAGTGGGAGAGCAGAGACAAGAAAGACATCACAACACATCAGAAGACTAGCACGACACAAGACCTGGCTGGCAGGTCTCCTTTTGGTGGTGCCAGTGGTTAGTTACCTGCTGTAGACGGGGAGCGAATCAAAAGGATAAAGAAAGGCTCCTTGGGCCTGCTACTTATTGACAGTTGGCAGCAGGTTGAGGATGACTTTGTATGATTGATTGTACTTCTAATTTTCAGAGTTTGGGGACCATTTGGACAGGATCGGATCGGATCGGACAGGAACGAGCGAGCAAAGTACTTGAGCGAGATTGGCTTTTGCTTTCTAGCACCCTTGGGTCTTTGAGTGACCTGCCTACCTATGTACGTGTGTAGAAATGTGGTTGAACTATTCCAGTAGGTGCAGTTTGCTAAGTGTGTTCTTTTGTTTTAGTCAAGGTTGTGGTCATGAAGTCTTTTGCCTATCGACCTGCTTAATCCATGTCCCCAAGGTACATCTTGGGGATTCTAGCTTGTGAAAGAAGGCAGGGATATGATGGGAAGGTGAGAGGGCGATACACGCTCATATAGAGTGTTGTAGTTGTATGTGAGAAAGTGTGTGAGAGAGAGAGAGAAGAGGTGTTGTAAAGCCAAAGTGGAATAATAACGCCGGTCTGTCTCTCGCGAGACAAAATAGAAGACACGAGCCACGCATGACATCTCATTCAAGTTGAAATGTTCAAAGTCAAGTCAAGCGAGGCCTATGTATAGTATAGGTATATATATGGTGTTTTAAAAAAAATCTTTTTGCGCGCGCAGGAGGGGTATCATAACATGTTGAATATCGTCACGACTGTATCCCGCGCTCCGATGATTTCTTCTTCTCTTTTAAAGTTTTGCTTTGCGAAAAAAAGTCCAAACAACTCACACCCGGCTCCCAGCCCATATCTCGCCATAAGCCCTTTGTCATGGCCACATTGAAAAACGGAGATCCATTTCCGAGAGCACACTCTTCGTTCCTTTTCGTTGAATAAGAAAAGATCTATCCCACTCAATCCTCTGCTGGACGAGGTGAGGAGGCGAAGATGCATGGCAAACAAGAACAATGATTCGAGGCACCAACACAGAAAATCGGACCACCACCCAAGTCTGTTGAAACTGGGAAGGTGTCAGATTCCTCGTCACGTCGCGCCAATGAACAACCCCACGCCCAAGCTGAGCCCTCTATCCCATTCCATTCCTCTTCGAAGTTTCGTGTCCAATCAAAGAAGGCTCCTGATACGATTGGTCTCAGTTCGTAATCATGCCTTGCCCGTCATTCTTTTAATATGATGAATCGTAAGAGAAGCGGGAGGGCCACTAAAGCTCCAACTTCTTCGGTTGCTCCCATGGGAAGCTCTGGTCGGAGAAGTGGCCGTTCTTGGCGGTCTTGCAGTAGATCGGGTTGATCAGGTTGAGCTCCTTGACAATAACACCAGGTCGGAGGTCGAAGTTCTTCTTGATGATCTCGACAAGCTCGTGGCTGCTCTTGTCGCTGGTGCCGTAGGTTTCAACGAACAGGGACAGAGGCTCAGCAACACCAATGGCATAGGACAGTTGGACCAGGCAGCGACGGGCCAGACCGGCTGTAACAAGAGACTTTGCGATCCATCGAGCAAGGTATGCTGCCGATCGATCGACTTTGCTATAATCCTTGCCGGAGAAAGCACCACCTCCGTGGGCGCCCCAGCCACCGTAGGTGTCGACAATGATCTTACGGCCGGTGAGACCGGCGTCACCCTGAGGGCCACCGATGATGAACAGTCCAGAAGGTTGAATGTGGTAGATGGTCTTGTCGTCGAGGTACTTGGCAGGGATGACCTTCTTGATGATCTTCTCCTTGATCTCCTTTCGCAGCTCCTCGGTGGTGATGGTCTCGGCGTGCTGCGCCGAAACGACAACAGTGTCCACTCTCAGAGGCACGACCGCACCGCCATCATGACGGTATTCAACGGTGACTTGGGTCTTGGTGTCGGGTCTCAGCCACGGGATTTCGCCGGACTTGCGGGCGTTGGTCATGGCAGCGTTGAGTCTGTGAGCGAGCTGGATGGTCAATGGCAGAAGTTCAGGGGTTTCGTCCGTAGCATAGCCGAACATGATACCCTGGTCACCGGCACCGAGTTTTTCCAATGCCTCCTCATAGTGCAGACCTTGAGCGATATCGGGGGACTGTTCTTCAATGGCAACGAGCACGTTGCAGGTCTTGTAGTCGAAGCCCTTGTCGGAGTGGTCGTAGCCGATGTCCTTGATGGTGTTTCGGACGATCCGCTGGTAGTCGAGATGTGCTTTGGTGGTGATTTCACCAAACACCATGATCATACCTAGAATCGCCGAGTTAGTGGGGCTGCTACAACAAACTCCGCGGCAGCCTGCGGTTGCGGGCCCGTATACACACCAGTCTTGGTGGCCGTTTCGCAAGCGACCTTGGACAGAGGGTCCTCCTTCAGACAGGCATCGAGGATGGCGTCCGACACTTGATCGCTGTAATCTGGTGGTCAGAGATACATTCGGTATTGTTTGGGGCACGTCGGAGACTTACGCGATCTTGTCTGGATGACCCTCACCGACCGACTCGGATGTGAAGAGGAAAGTCTCGTCTCTTTTAGCGAGACCGTTGACAGCAGCAGGCATCTTGAAGGATTTGATTGCTTAAAGGAAGGGTTGAAGTAGGAAGGCGAGTTTCAGTCGCAAATATTTGTACCGGAGGAGGGTCAGAATCGGTGCGATTGAGGTGAAAAGAGGTGACCGCCGCGGGGCGCTTTATCTCAGGCACGGTCTAATCCAAGCTCAAAAACTCGGAAATTGACGATAGCCAGACAGCGAAGCCGGTGGCGAGGGACAGTAGGTGGCCTGTTTGTGAGAAGGGAGACGCAGACTGGGAGTGGGAAGGGGAGTTGTAGAAGAATAGGGCCAGGAAAAAAATTCGGGGGGTTGATGAGGAGAAGAAGTTTGAGAGGCTCGGAATCAAAAAAGAACTGCCAGCGATGTCGTTATCGGCATCGGCAGTCGTCGAGAGTTCCTACCGCAGGGACCCTGGTCAATAAAAAGTGCCCGGCTGCCGGCGACCCCCAATAAGGCCCGGAGGGGCGAAGACAGCCCGCAAAGCCCTGATTAGGCGCAGGCGCAGGCGCAGGCACTGTGCACGCATCTCATTCCAGGCTCAACGTGGCCTCTACAACCCACCAACCCACCGGCCGTCAAAACTCCACAACTCTGCCGTTGTCCAAGTGTTGGTCCCCGAGATGCTGCTCCCAACCACTGGCATGCCATGTCCTGCCAAATTGCTGCTCTAGACAATATGGCTGCGAGTACTACTAGCTTACCGCGGAGCAATCAACAAATGGGCGTGCTCGGTGGCCCCATGCGGCTTCCTTCTTTCCATACAGTTGTACCTCAATGCTCTTCGTCACAGCCCATTTTGTTTGCTCTTTTACATTTTATTGAATCGATTAGGTGTCCACCTTGATCGGAGTGGAGCAGCAAGGACAAGGGATGGCTTCTCGGGCTTGTCCCATCTCCTGGCCGACAATCATCTCATCAATCGACAATCATTGACAATCACTACTCTACAACGGCTGTACCTATCTGGTACCTTTCGTGATTGTCACCTCTGATGAGGCCTAGTCTGACTAGTAAGACCTTTCCCCAGATCCCTGACCCTGACCCTGCTGGCGGTTTGTTACTCTGCGAGATCGTGCGATCTCACAATCGCAATCACAAATCGACAATTGTCCCCGAAAGGCCTCGACTAAAACCATTCTATTGGACATTTGCGGCTCTCGCAAAAAGTCTCCGTCGTCACCGCCGATGCGTTGTGATTGGCCCAGCTAAAAGGCGGTGGCAGAATTCGGTGGGCGGTGACAATTCCAACGTCAAAGTACAGATTTTGTTGCCAAACACGAATGACCAGATCCTCATGATACCACAAGGGTCAGCAACAGATACAGAGCCCTTGGATATTCTCGCATAGTTGCACAGGCGGGTGTCAGTTCTTCTCTTTTACACAGAAAAAGTCTCGTAGAATTGTCTGGGGTGAACACCATCTGCAGAACACTTAGGCGGCGCGGGGCGCAGGCAAAACGAATGCTTCAAGATTTCATACTCTCGAGTTCACCTCGCTATTCAGCTTCATCCCATTGACTTCGTCCCTCGACCTCACGCAGCGTAACTCCCTACCTATACCTACTGTGTCATCACCATGTCCAAATTCGGCTGTCTGGTCATGGGCCCAGCGGGCGCCGGCAAGACGACCTTCTGTACCGCCCTCATTCAACATCTCCAGCATAGCCGTCGGTCATGTTTCTACGTCAATCTCGATCCGGCTGCCAACGACTTTGCCTACCAGCCAGATCTGGATATCAAAGACTTGATCTCGCTAGAAGATGTGATGGAAGAGATGTCACTCGGCCCCAACGGCGGCTTAATCTTCTGCTTCGAATTCCTGCTCCAAAACCTCGATTTCCTTTCCGCTGCCATCGAGCCTCTGTCGGAAGAATACCTCATCATCTTCGATCTACCCGGCCAAATCGAACTCTACACCCATATTCCTCTACTGCCCGAGCTGGTGAGGTATCTGTCAAGAATGGGCCCATTGAACATCAGTCTGTGCGCAGCATATCTGCTAGAGGCGACCTTTGTGGTTGACAAGGCCAAATTTTTCGCGGGCACTCTCTCGGCCATGAGCGCCATGATCATGATAGAATTACCGCATATCAACATTTTGTCCAAGATGGATCTGGTCAAGGACCAGGTTCCCAAGAAGGAATTGAAGCGTTTCGTCGATCCCGAAGCCAACCTCCTCGACGAGGAAGACACCGGACGAGGCGAAATCGCGGGCGAACATGTACACACAGTCGATGTGCGCGACCCACATGAAGTCGATCAGGTCATGAGCGGGGATTCGTTCAAACGCCTCAACCGTGCCGTGGCGAGGCTGATTGATGATTTTAGTATGGTATCTTTTCTGCAGCTGGACGTGAACGACGAGGAGAGTGTGGGAGATATCCTGAGCTATATCGACAATGCCATCCAGTTTCACGAAGCGCAGGAACCCAAAGATACCAGAGAGGTGGAGCCGGAAGATTCGACCCCATATTGGGAAGAGGAGGATTGAGCTGACTGTCTGGCAATTTGGTCAAGCATCGGTAATGCCATGTGGTTTGGTTTCTTGCTTCGAGCGTCGGCGTTGGAGGTGCTGGCAGTGTGTTTCACAGATACCATGGACAGGATGCAATGTGACTGTATTTGAGTGCAGTACTTTACTTTTTTTATGTTCATCACTTGCTTGCCAGAGTTTGTTGTGCTCGACACTGTAGAGGGCCGTACCAAGATGCCCTGGGTGGCTCGTTTTGACCCTGCTTTGTGATTTATTTAAACAAGCCTGGACAATTCTGTTGACCGGAATATCTGCATCCATCGTTCCCTCAGCCGTTTAGTCTGCCAGTGGCAATTGCAATGTCCATTGTGATTGACTGCTGCTCGTAATTCCACATCATTTGTGTCTGGTCGTACACGTCCAGAAACTGAAATCCAATTCATTCAACTCCATGGATTTTGATTTCTTCCTTTCCCAAAAGGCACCTGCGCTCTTCCTCCAGCCTGGGCATTATTGTTACCACCAGGAAAGCCACGGCCTCCTTGGAATATACCACCACCATAACCACCGTAAGCCTGACCGGTACTGCCGTTGTTTCCACCAACGTAATCCCATACCATGCCCAAAATCCACTCCACCTCCCCCCACGCCCTCTCAACGCCATACCTATTAACCCACACAACGGCATTGACCACCGCCAACACCAATCCCACTTTCACAAAAAACCAAATCCACCCAAACACACTGCGCCGGATGTAATCTGCGATCCGGAGCGAAAAGTACAAGATCGCCAGAAATGCGAGGAGAGAAACCATGTCGCCGTTCGACGCGGCGGCCAGACATGTTGCGAGGGTGTTGGTGAGCGCTGTGACGGTTGTGATGATGGGGAGGATTATGGCTTGGATTGGGGCGGGGAGGAGAGGGTGGATGTAGGTTTCGTAGAGGGTCGTTAGGGTGGTGAGGTCTAGTGAGACCGGAGGAGGTGGAGGTGGTGGCATCTTGAGTCGCGTTGTTGATGACGGTCGTTGTAGGGAATGTGGTGGTGTGGTGTGGAGTGGTGCGTGGTTTAGGTTGTTCGCATTTTTGGGTCTTTGGTCTTCGCCTCCTTCTTGTCACTGTGCTGCACTGCGCGACTGGACTACTGTGCGAGGGTGAGAATGCGGGCGAGAGTGTGGGCGAATTACTGATTGATTGATTGTTGATCACTTCTTGTCTCGAGTCCTCAATCGTTTCTGCCGGCTTAGGTTTGTCTGCAAAGATGCGATGGCGGCAGAAACAAAAGCGCGCTGCTTTGCCTTGCTTGTGGGTATTGCACAGGTGGGATGAAGGAAGAGGAAGACGGAGAAAAAGTGAACAGGCAGCGAGGGAAATAAGGAAATGGACAGTGAAGTTGATTGTCAAAAGTTACTGTGAAGTGGGCGCAGGCATATATTATTTGGATACTGTTGGAGTTGAACGCCTCCACAACAATGACGATTTGTCTGGGTTCAAGTTTGGCGTGTTTGCTTCACGTTAGAGCTTTTATTAATTGTTTCTCATGTTGGGTTCGACCGGTTATGAGAATTGTTAGAATTGCTCCCATCAAACTCGTATTAGACTTCTGTTCGTCGTCACTGTTGACACTGTTCTTGTTAACAGTGAGTGGGCCATAAAGGTGGAGGAGGGACAGAGGGGAGTGGTGGACGATCTTACTGTAGATCTACTAATTAATACCAACATTGTCATCAAGCCAAACGTGGATAGAGTCCGTCCGCGCTTTATTATTGGCACCATGGCATACTACTTCAGTATTGCGAAGGACTTCCGGTGGTAGAATGGCCTCTACGAGCAGGCGAGCAGGCGAGCAGTCGAGCAGTCGAGCAGTCGAAATAGCCTTGGTCGGCCAAACGGACATCTACTGTAGGTGGTATGCAGAGGCATACATTCCAAAGCTAACACCAACATGCAAACAGATGCTGGCATTCAGTTCAAGTTCAGGCTCGAGTGAACGGATTCAAGTATTAACCACTGAGGTGCTGTTCATTGATCCTTCTTTGGCAAGATCAAACAATGGTGTATAAGCCTGTCATCCATCCCAGGGACGTGTCTTTCCCTAACCTTTTGTCAATGCCCTCATCTTCATTCGAGTTTTGAACCACTGGCATGACCATCGTCTCTGCTTGCCAGTCCTATAGACACATTCTGTGCCATGGATATCCAAGCCAGTCAAATCTCCGAACCAACCTCAAACCTGAACTCCGCAGCGGCCCCTTTGAAACTGTGGTGGTATTGCTGCCTGGCCCACAGACATTGCTGGGTGAATTAAAAAGCCCCTGCCCACAGTAATGCTTGACCCAAAATCCCCACGATGAAACTTTGTCAAGAACCCTCCTGAGTCATACACCGCGTTTCGACCAAGTATCGAGGTGCCCTTGTAACCCTGTCGCCAAATACAAGTCTTTCAAAAAATGGGTATAGTAACAATTATCAACAGCAATAGTAATAGTAAGATAGTGTAGTGGTAGAAAGTGGCCGGATCAGCATTATGACCCTTTAAAGTCGACTGAGGCCATTAGATGAGATTGGGATCTGAAACCCATTAATAGTCGGAAGGGTAATCGGATGTATAGTCCTGATCGAGGAGGGCCTGCACTTTCTCCCGTTCGGCGGCTATGGCGGCTTCAAGTCTGCGCGTTTGGCGTAGCGCTTCGTCTCTGTAACATGACATATTAGTATGATTCAGAACACCAGAGGTCTATCTTTGGCCTACCTTTCTGACTCCAGCTCAGCCGCGCCGATTTGAGCGGAATTCATTCTTCCAACCACTTCTTCCATCTCCTTTTCTGCCTCTGCCAAAGCCTTTTCTAGGTCGGCCACTTTGTTTTCCAAATATTCGGTCTTCAGGGCATGTTGAAGAGCCACTCCTGGCCCGGTACTGGTCTGATCGAGTCGAGGGCTTTTCTTGGAATTGACAAACATGGGCGATAGAGGAGACCCGGGAGTAGGCGCCAAAAGAGCGGGATTCTTCCTGCCAGACTGCGTCCGCATAAGCTGAACGTTATGGCTGGCTCGGAGAACTCGCACTTCCTCTTCATGCTTCATGACGGCTGTTTCGGATTGCATTTGTGCCACGGTGATGACATCCTCAAGTTTGCGAAGTTTCGCTTGTAATTCGTTGATCTGTTCCGCAGAGGCTTGTTGGTTGGCTTCACCATTTTCGGCAGCCTCCTTCAGCCGATTTCTCAGATCCGCGTTCGCCTGTACCTGCTTTCTCACCTGCACAGCCAACGCTTCCGACCGTTTTGCGGACCGTTCCAGTTCTGTCGCCAGTTCCTGGTCGTTTAGAAGCCCAGCAGACTCCTGATGCCGGGCTTGTTCTCGCTGTTGCTGTAGCTGCTGCAATGCTTGTTCAAGAGAAGACGATAATACCTCGGGCGCTGTTTCATCACGGGATTGTAGAAGAGTTTTCAAGCTGGCAGTTTCTTGCTTGCTTCGATCAAGGTCCATCTTCAACCCCGACAAACCCTTCTCACATTGCCACTTCTGCTCCAGGGCATCATCGGTCCTTTTGCGTAGTACATTGATTTCTGAGCGGAGTTTCCGCACCTCCCGTTCGTAGCCTCCCTTTTTGGCGCTGTGAATGGAGTTGGCCCGGTCTCGTTCGGCTTCTGCGAGCTTTAGTCGTTTTTCGTATTGTCGTCGTTGAGCCTCCTGCCTTCTCAGCAGATACTTGACAGTGGAGTGCAACGCATTGCGTTGCTCCATGACGTCCTTTAGTTGATCAGCAAGAGACTGTTGATTTTCCGGTACAGCGCGGTTGACTATCGAATTCGACCTCGACAACGAGTTTGATCGATTGTTCGGGGCTCGGGTAGACGACCTGTTCATGTGGATGGTGTTGGATCTCTGTAGGCCCGTGCTGCGGCCAGGAAAGGGGCTGGTAGGAGATTCTACCATCCCACCTTCTTCAGCAATCGATTGAAACTGCGTGTTTAATGTGCGGGCGGCATGGAGGGCTGCATTCTCATCTCTCAGACTCTGCACCTCGGCCAAGCTGGACTCAAGGCCAGCAATTTGCGATCGTAGTTGAGGCACAACCTCATCTCGTAGGTTGTCACGTTCGTTTCGATGCTGTTCCAACTCGACTCGAAGAGCAGTCAACAGATCCTCAAAATTCTCCTTGGTCTGCCTCTCCTCGACCAGACGCCTCTTTGCATCGTCCAAGGCGACTTCCAGCTCCTTGGCTTTGGCCGAAATGTCGGCCGATAGATTGTTCTCTCGGCGTGAATGTGAAAGCTTTTGTTCCAGAATCGAGATATGAGATTCCAACGCCTGCCGGCTTGACCTCTCGTTTTGCCATTTCTGTGACATCTCTACTTTTAGTTGTGCTCGCAGTTGTTCCGCCTCCCGCTTGATCCTTTGTACTTCTTCCTTGGTATTACCTTCACTGGTAGATGGTCGGATGGAACTGGTGCCCGAATCGGAGAAGTAGTCGCTCGTCCGATCCATCTCCCTGGTAAGGCCTGGGCCTTCAGATTGTAGTCGATCCACCAAATCTTCCAAGTCCATCTCTCGCCTGATTGAATTTGCAAGTTCGGTGCTGATCTCGCGAAGTTCTGCTTCCAGCTGGACAACCTTGGTATTCGCGTCGCCAACCGGCGTCGATTGAGGTAAGGGACCGCCATCAAAGTCGATTGAGTCTTGCGAATGTTGGGATGTTGGGGTCCTGCGTAGGGAGGCCCCGAAATGGAAGCCCGAGGGAGACTGTGAGTAAGAATTCGGTGAGTCGCCATATGGCGACGGTAAAGGGGATTTCCGGTCCGAAATATCTGTTACCGACGATTCGGCGCTAGGGGAGGCCACGGGTTTGCGTGTAAAGAAGGAGGTGAACTTGCTTCCGGGCGTGTGAGGTTTCTTCGTGTCATTGACGGTCAACGACCGCGCCGAGGAGTTCGAATCCGTCCGCACTGGCGGCGGCCTCGAGCCGGGTTTTAACCCCATGTCCTCCTCAACAGCCACGCCTTCTACTGACGAAGCATTGGACTTTCTTCTGGTCTTCTTACTACCTTTCGATGGAGGCAAGGATCCTGTCGTGGTCGTTCGTGCTAGTGTATCGTCATCAAGATGTGTACGCGGCGGCGTTGAGGAGGTCGTGTTTTTTGTCCTAAGAGGAGGGTCAGCATAGACCTCGGTAGGGTCCCGCGAGAGTCATGCTTACTCTGCTGTCAAGTCAGCTGTAGGTCGGACGTCCGTACGCGCTTCGTGGTCCAGAGAAGCGTGTGTATTCTGGAACGACCGTTGAGACGACAGTGTTCCGGGGGACTGGACGACAGGGGCGGCGTTGACAGGGAGAGGTTTTCGACGGACGGGAAAGGCTGGAGAGAGAGGCTTCAAGGCTGCAGATAGAGAGGAGATACGTCGAACAGTTGAAGACTGTTTAGGAGGCGGAGGAGGCGGGCTGGAGCCGAAGCTGGCAGCAGGGTGTGCATTGTCGTCCATCATGATCGTAGCGGGATTGGGGGGCCTGCTGGTGCAGTGTGGATGCGAACAGATCGAGAGTTGACGCTTTGACGCCCGTCTAGAATAGCGACATGTTTCGCACCAGAGTCTCTCTCAGGCTCTGGCACGCAGATCAGCCACCAACAGATAGCTTGTTGCTTGTGGAGAGGAAAGTCTCGGAGTGGTTGTAACAGTAGTGGTCGGGATAAGTCGAGGGAGTTTTAGACGAGAGTAGGAGTTGGTCGCTAAGTTGTCGCAGATCAGATTCAGGTTAGTTTGGTATCTGCGGGTTCGAGCTCATTGGATCAGCCGCAGATTAACCTCGACCATTGTAGACCTCTCCATCGGGCGGCTACCGGCCACTGAGCCCAGGAATCTACAAGCGGAATTCTGCTTCATCACGAGCGGTGGGCTAGGTGGGCTAGCGAGATTATTTGGATCATCACTTTGTAGTTTTGTGATTGTCCATTTCATCGCAAGTGTTCTACTATCTGAGGTTGTGTTCGGTGGTGGTTGCGAATATGCAGAGCCTGACTCCCCAAGTGTTCAATGCTCGACCGAGACAGCTGCAGCCGTCCGCGCGGTGGCATCCCGCAGCCTTGAAGTAACATGGCGTATAGGGGTGCATTTTGGATTTGCGACATAGCTGTCCAAGACCAGGCTACTGAACCATGATGGAGACCCCCACGAGCGTGGTCGGCCAGACAAAGACGCGACAGACAATTAAAGTTCATCCGAGACAAAGAGAGTGTATCCGAGAGGCCCAGCCTCTTTTGATTGATGATGACAGCCTTCTATGTGCTCTTGGGTTCATGATGAAACCATCACGATGTGAATCCGACTGCTGCCATTGTTCTTTTTATCTGTGGCTCTCCCATGCATTTGGGCTTGCTATCGGTTTTGATTCGCCGCTCCTCGGCTGCTTCTACAACAATCCTTCATTTCCAGTCCGTCGGAGGCAAGCTGTGTGGTACGGGTTGCCGACAGGGGTCCTGGCTACAGTGGCCGCTGTGCCTGATTGCCATAGCATGCATCAAGGTACAGTACTTCAAGCTTGTTCTGATACTACCGGCGTGTTATCATTAGCACCGCCTATTGCCATGTGAGAGGCCTCGTACAGTTGTACAGCTCCAACTTTGTGCCAGTGATGAGCGCGTGCAGCCTGCAGTGTGGACGTGAGCTTGAAACCGGCGCTCTTGGCAGGGGAAACTTCCGTTTTCGGTTGCCCCTGAGCCAAACGGTTCTAGCGACCCACTGCCGAGCTCGCATCATAATTTGGTGGGCTAGGGACATGGATTATGTAATCCTCCTGTATTCTGACCATTTGAAGTTGACGACCACGGTTCATGGGTGATTGAAACCCTACCTAGGTAACAACCATTATTGAATACGATGATACCGGTTGTCTTCGCCCGCATCGGGACTTCTGATTGGTAGACTGGACAAAGACTTCATCTGCACTCATTACTAGGGAAGTCTCTCGTGTTGGCTCGCTTCAGCCACTGCTGCATCCGCGGGGATGTTGTGAGGGAGATGGCAACGGCAGCTTAGGGCCCAGCACACCGTGTGATAGTCGTTTTCTGACCGGGAGAGATACAGAATGGTCCCGGCGGCGCCACCGAGGCTTCCCGACGCAATTATAAAGCCATACCAACAGCATGCTTCCGTGGCCTGGCGAGAGCGTTGGTCATACTGTTCTAATCGGCAATTGAAGTCAGCGCTGCTACACGGAATCGGACCACTACAATGATAACAGCCTTGCAAAGGTGGACAACTGTGGCCAGGGATCGTTCAATCCGCCTGTGGGGGCCCCTTAATGACACTGCAAGGCTGCGGTCCCCTTACCATCTTGGCAGACGCAGCCTCGTCAACATGTACGTCGAATGGAGCCGTACGGTACCTAGGTACCTATGTACCTTATTGTCTGAGCACTGGCATCTCAAGGCTAGCGGTTGGCACTGCGCGATTGGCATGAGCCAAACAAGTGTACTGCACCTCGCCCAAAGTGATACAAAACCCCTCCAAGCGAGATGACAAACGTACAGTCATCTTTTGAGAACAATGTATCAGTCAGGGAATTTGGACGCGGCTGATCTTCCTACCCGAAGACCGACGACTTGTCCAGCAGTAGCAGCACTTGACGACGACATCAACCTGGACACGACTCTAGCAGCAGGTCATCAACATACAACTGTACACGGGTGGTTAGGCGTTCGGGAAGAAAGATCCTCCTTGGACCAATAATGTCAAAACCGCGAGCGTTGTCGATCAGGCCCACCGCGACATTATTGGGCCGGAGGAATTAATGCACACGAGGAGCGGGTGCCAGAGATCCAGGCTTGCTGCGTCATCATTGGCCGGGCGCGGGGTAATTCGACTCCGACCGACCTACAACGGCCGGATTAGAAATTAACGTCGGTGGGGGTATTGAGGACTGCTGATTGGCCTCTTTGGCAACTAATTGCACTAGCCACATTACAATACGGTATAAGCGGTACTTTTAGCCCAATAACTATTGGTCATTTTTGCGCCAAGTGGTGTAAAATACGTGAAATATGCTATTAGGCTGTAAAAGATGCGACGCTAGTCTACTTCTAGTAACAGCCCCTCCGACGTTCTTTTCGAATCCGGCCATTGTACACCTTGTACGATGTTGTATCAATTGAGCCGCTTCTGGTGCTCGCTGAAGCCAGAACAGAAACTCAAATATTATATATACATGCCCATGCATCCAGGTAGGTCGATGGAAATGGATCAAAACAAGCAAAACGAGTGAGTGCATCACAACAGTGACAGAAATCCTCTACACCAATCCATTCTCGTCTACTCCGAGTCTATCACCACAATCTCCTGGCCCAACACCAACACCAACACCAACTTTTAACCATGAAAGTCCTCGTCATCGGCGCAACCGGCAACCTAGGCCTCCGCCTCGTCGCCGCGCTCCTCACCCACGGCCACAGCGTGGTCGCCTACGTCCGATCACAGACCAAACTCCAATCTCTCCTCCCAGAGTCGATCTACTCCCGCATCACCGTGATCCAAGGCAATGCCACAGACACAGCATCCATCAAACGCGCCATCCTAGACAACCAATGCGACGCCGTCGTCAACACAGCCGGTCTCGCCGCCTTGGCTCCATGGGCCAAAAGCGAACTGCCCGCGATATTCCGCTCCGTCGTCGAAGCAGTACGACAAGCAGGACAAGAACGACAACGACCCTTGAGAGCCTGGTTCATGGCCGGTTTGGGAGTGTTGTATTATCCTGGTTCAGAGACGATGTTGTCAAATTAGTAAGTACAGATCATCCCAGAATACCTATCCAGCTACCCCGGAGAATAGCCAGGAGGCTAACAGAAAGTCCTTCTAGTGTCCCCATCTATCTCGAGCACCGTCAAAACTTCCGCTTGCTCAAATTTCTCCCGCCCAACTCAATCGACTGGTCGATGCTCTGTCCCAGCACCATGGTCCCCGAGTCTTCAGACATCAATGTCCCCACTCGACTTTCGCGCGGGAAAGCGGTCGCCAATGCCATGACTCCGCCGAACTGGAAACGTTCTTGGCTGGGGTATATCCCGTTAATCGGCAAGCCGATTGTGTGCGCGATGAATGCCCCTCGCTATGAGACCACGCTGGAACAGAATGCCGATTTGATCGCTGCTGATCTCGAGACTTACGAGAGCCCGTATAGTGGGAAGACGGTGGGGATTATTGATGGATCAAAGTGAGGGAATGAATGAATGCATGATGCATCCCAGAGGACGGGGTAATGAATTTTCTCGGAATGTTACGAAGAGGATCAAAGGTTGCTTTGAAGCCGCGCTTGTACGAATAGAATAGGACAGATTACCTACTAATTACGCACCACATACTAATTAATCAATCAATCAATCAATCAATCCATCAGTTGTAATTTCACTCCAGGTATATTAGACTATCAAAGTCTGGTGTATGTAAAGGAGCATACTGGCATGATGTATGCTTCAAGTTTGCTTTGGGTAGGACGAGTATTCTCTAGCCTTGTAATCGGTCAGCCCAGGCTTGTTGCGAGTAGGGCTCCACGTCCTGTTCCATCGAGCCATTCCTCGCCTCGTCTGACAATCCACGTAGCAATATACCTAGGTGAAGCATCTACTTGATAAGCAATTGACCACTGCAGTACACATCAGCTTAATAGTGTATTCGTCCTACAGTACCTGCAACACACTCTTAATATCAATAAGGCTCGCCACAGCACAAGTGACTTGTCAAGGCTCGGATCTATTTGCATCGTCCCTCGTGGTTCGCGACACAGTCGGCGTGCACGGCTTGATCCACATCTGTCCAACATGTCTGCGTGACTCAGTTTGCAATCATACTTCCATCACTTGTCGAACGTATATCGCATCCATTCCCCTATAGCCTTTAGACTCTCCCACCGAACACTCTCGTCGGGGTCCGCCATTAGCTCCAGGAGCCGAGCTTTGATTCCCAGCCTTTCAAGGGTCGACCGGTGTTCAGGCACTTCCTTGACCAGGTGACCCACGTCGTTGCACCCGATGGCCAGCACTTGCTTGTCAGACTCCCAGTTTTTGGACAAGATGTCGGCCAACTTCTTGGGGAGCTCGCCTCTCTTATCTTCGATGATTCTGCGGGCATTTTCCCTCCAAAACGTGTGGTTGCGGTGGGGTGGCGACCACCGTAGATGACCTGAATTGACCTCATCCGCATACTCGTCGAAAGTTGTCTGGTTCTTGGTGTATTCGTCCAGCATCGTCTTGAGCGCCTCCAGATCTTCCAACAGGTCGGGATCCGTCAGATGTCGCCCGGAAAGGTTGGTCAAAAGCGCGGGAAGTCTTGCCGTCGTAGCTGTTGCAATCAATGTCTCCTTGTTCGTGGATAGTAAATTCCTCAAGGTGGCCAAAAGCAGACGGGTTGTTTTCTCTTTGGGTGACATCCGTAAGAGCTGCGTGTATAGCGGCACAATCTCTTCGTCCCTAAGTTGATCGTTAGCCGGGGCCAGCTGCTTGACAGTTCAGAAATCCATACTTTTCCAGGCCCTCGCCAACAAGTTCACCCTCGAAACTGAGCTGCCATATCACAAGCAGCACATGGTACATCAGCTGAAGCGAAACACCGCCTCCGAATCTGGTGTCGCTACTTCTGATGCTTGTAGCTCCATTCCACAGTGTAGAGTCATTGTCCTTCGCGGCACCAACAGCTTTCCTCAGTATGTCAAACAACGGTTCGACTGTGTCCTTCCTCTGCTTCCAAAATAGCTCTTTCGCCCGCGTCGTTCGAAGCACTTGTGACATGTGTTGTACTCCGATATCTTGTAAGCCACTGTCTTGGTTCTTAACCAACTTCGCAAGGTAGGAGTAGAGCTGGGGGAGGGCTTCATCATCCCGTGGCGCTGGCTTGGAGGTCGTCTTCAACGAAATGGCAATGATATTGACCAGGAATGTGGCCGAGAGTAGAGGAATGGGGTCCTCTGGATTTCCAGATTGATTGAGTAGGGATAGAAAGATTTTGTAGGGTTCGGGGTGTTCAAGGATGGCAGTTGCCAGAGCCGGCGCATCTGGTTGAGGTCAGTCATGCTGTGTTCTGTAGCGTGAATACGTTCGGCTCTCTCACCGTTGACCAGATCTGTTGCTAACACTAAGAGGTATTGGATGATATCGGTTCGCTTGAAAGCCTTTTCGAGGACGCTGCCGCCTTCGGGACCACCAACTAATAGGGTACTGTAGCTTTTGACATCCTGCTCGATCGTCTGCCTTCGTTGGTCTTTGCGGACCTTATCGACCGATCGGATCTTCTTAAGCTGGTCTTCTGTAAGATTGCCTGCGCGAACAGCTCCGTCCCAGGGAATCTGGAGAATTGTCAGAGATCTAGGCCTCCAACAGCACAATCGGACCTACTGGACGGGCTCGGATGTTGTTTTGGAGGGAACTAAGGTAGGCGGGCGGACTCAGCGACATGTTGCACAGCAGTGTAGCGATGGTAGCCGAGACGCAGACAGACAGAATGAGACTCGAGAGTCTTTGCAAGAAGGTTATGCTGCTGACTGGTCCATGGATTTTGTAGCGTAGCGACTGAGGGACGTGTAGATGGGATACGATGTCATTGCTCCAGGTTATACTACAACTAGTATTGCCCGTGGTTATCGAAGGCGCAGGAAACGGCGCAGTGCAGTGCAGCAGTAGCGCAGCACAGCACAGCACCAAACAAAGCTACAACTGGCGTCTTCTGACATGCGGCTGGAGTGACCGCGCAATGCAGCCTGATGAGTGCCCCCAAGATATCCCCTTACTTAGAACTGGTAGTACTACGACAGATTGTCTTGATGGCCCATATGTGAGCCTACGCGTCAACACACACACACACACACACACACACACACACACACACACACACCCCCTACCTTACTGTGCAACAGAGAATCCTCCCTCCGCTGTCATGTCCTCAGTTACGGTTCCGTCACGTCTGTCTCTGTCATATGTCTGCGGTCCGACCACGTAGGGCGTCCGACAGTGTACACATACTGCTGCCGACATCGTTTGCGGGGCCTAATTCCCCCATGTATGGGACAATATGGCCTCGAAGCCTACCTCAAGATGGACTTTTCTACAGCAAGCCGTTGCGTCGGTAGAATCAAAACTAGACAATATTCTGGCTGAAGAGAACGACCCCGTAAGGAGGAGTAGCACGCCGGCGCAGCCTCCTCGGGACACCGCTCCCTCGAAAAGAAGTAGGTTGTGTATACTCAGTTTGTCTCGCTCGTGGCTAACTTGCCGGCAGTATCGTCAGAACTCTCACGAAGTAGCAGCAATGCGTCCGCTTCTAATGACAGACTCCAAGAACGCCTTGCGCGGGCAATGGCAAAGAAGAATGCCAGCCGAGCTGAGAGTTCGTCTGCTGTCAGAGACCAGTCGCAAACCCGATCAATACAAGAGGATCAAACTGCTACACCTTCAGAGCACACGAGTCCGGAGGGCGACTCGATAGTTGTGCCGCCGCAGGGTGATCTAACTCCTCAGGAGCCTAAGGATGGACAATCTGGACCCCAGGACGATTCCACAACTTCGGACAAGAAAGATCCTCAAGGATCAGAACCCAGTGAACCAGCGTCGGCTCTTCATGTCCAAGGCGAGGAAGAACCGGCAAGTGACACGGTCAATCCTACAGCGAATAACCGGACTTCCTCAGAGAGAGCGTCCCAGGACGCACAAAGAAAAAGCGACAGTATCCCACTGAGGCCTGAAGATGAAGATTCAGAAAGAGCTAAAGAAGAACTGGACACCTACAATGAAAAGATCGACTCTCTCCAACGAAAACTGCAATATCTGAGCGAAGAAGTCGCGGCCTCGGCCAGACAAGCCGCGGCTTCAGCAAAACAAGATGCAGCTTCCGCCGACGCGGGTAGCTTGGAGAAAAGACTCGCCGAGAAGGACGAGAAGATAGCTCTACTGATTGAAGAAGGAACCAAACTTTCCAAATCCGAAATGACCTATCTGACAGCAGTCAAGAAATTGAAGGTTCAGCTAGCCGCCAAAAACAAGGAACAAGAGGCTATCAAAAGCCGTGCTGAAAGGGCAGAGCGTTCCTTGAAGGCCATGGAAGACCGGGCGTTGAAGGCTGAAGCAGCGAGCAAGAGAACGGAACAGCAACTTTCCGCGAGCTTGGCTGCTGCGAGTGACTTGGCATCCATCAAAAAGGAGAGGGACGCTCTCCAATCTACCTTGGCCGAAATGAAAACCCAGTTGTCAAGAGCAAATGCAAGAGCAGAGGCCGCAGAAAGCAAAGCACAGTCAGACCAGCTGGTGAAGGAGCGGAGACGTATCACTGAGCTGGAGGACGATCTGGCCAGTGCCAGAGTGGAGAAGGAGATATCGGAAGACAAGTTGCGAAGGGAGATCACAGAGCTGCAGGCCGCCCTAGAAAAGGAGAAACAGCAAGCTCGCGCCATGGAGAGCGAAATGCTAAGCGAGCAAGCAGCACTAGAAAGCAAGTTGGAGGCTTTCCGCGTCAGAGCGGAAGAAGCAGCGTCTCTGGACCAGGGCCAGGTGCAGGCCAAACTACTCCGACAAATTGAGACACTCCAGAGCCAGTATGCCTCTGCGAGTCAAAATTGGCAAGGTATTGAAAGTACCCTGCTCGGTAGGATCACCAATCTGGAGAAGGAACGGGATGAAGTTGCAGCCAGGGATGCGGATCTGCGGAAAAAACTGCGTGACACCACCCAGAGACTCAAAGGTGCCGAACGAGAACTAGAAAGCATACAGGTCAAGTATGCAGACATGGAAAAGAGTCTGGCCGAAGTCCACGAAGAAACCGAGAGGTTAAGTCGCAAGGCGCGTCAACTCGAAGAGGACCTGTCCAATTCGTTGAAAGAACTCGAGGAACAGAAAGCAAATGCAGCCAGAGAGCTGCAACGTAAAATCGATGAAGAGAAGGCGAAATGGACGACTGCTCTGCACATCCAGCGCACCGAGTCACCAGGGACGTCGGTCCGCAAAACTTCCACCATGGGAATGGGTTTTGACATGAACCATTTGATGAGCCCTGTGTACGAGCGACCCAGCAGTCGAAGATCTTCGATCATGCCACTGTTCGACTCGAACACGCCGCCGCGACAGCAATCGACCACTTCTATCAAAGGTCTTGCGAACTTGAATGGGCCCACGGCAGAAACGCCGTCTGTGGTCACTTCAATGGACCAAGACGAATACTTTGCCAATGTGCCTCCGACCCCGTTATCGGTTAGTCACCACTCTCATCGTGGCGGGGTCAACGACCTCATCTCCGCGTCCACTGTCGGAGCCGGTCCTTCGGTTCAACTTGTGGAGCGAATGTCCGCCAATGTCCGTAGACTGGAGACCGAGAAAGCCGCGTCCAAGGACGAGTTGCTTCGATTGACTACCCAACGTGATGAGGCGAGAAAGGAGGTGGTGAATCTCATGCGTGAAGTCGAGGAGAAGCGGAGAATAGAAGCTCGATTAAAGACCTTGGAGACGGAATATCAGAGTCTGAATGAGAGGCATCAGACGACCCTGGAACTGCTTGGTGAGAAGAGTGAGCAGGTCGAGGAGCTCAAGGCAGACATCCTCGATGTGAAACAGATGTATAGGCAGTTGGCAGATACCATGAAATAGACCTGCACTGGCGTGTTCGACTGCCAGTGGGCGTGTCGTTGGAAGGTCAAATCGGTTGGTTGAATGCAGTGTCGCATGGTGTACCAGAGGTAGCCAATTGAGACAGGCATTTTTCAAATGCCACTTCGCTTTTACACTGTGCTGTATAAAAATACCCAGACAGATAGATTTGTTCGAGTCTCATGCCAGGTACTTGTAGTTCGTGATCAAGGTTTCCCTTTCATTGATACTATCTACGGGAGCTGCCAGTTCAGAGAGTTCTCTCTGACTTGTGGATACCAAGCTTGACGTGAAATAACAAACACGATGCAGCATTGAAGGGGACTTCAGTTTTAATCATGGGGAGGGTCCCGTCAAAAACAGGCGGTCCAGACGTTGCTGTAGTGCTTGTCAGGTGTATGAGGATGAACGTCGCACTGGCAGCAAGTAATATAGGCAGCACCACAGGCGAGCGGCAGCAGGCGCTAACTGTCTCAGAGATGGCGGGATGTAAGGACGCCCGGAAAAGGGCGTTGAACTTGTTTGAACTGGACGCAAACTCAAAAAATATGTCAGCTCATTTTATCTATGGGCGAGTGTAAACGGAAGTAGACGCACTATCGGGCCATCTCCATCGATTTTGACCTTGAAAACGTGGCCTTCGATCTGATGATCGTCAATGAGCTCCTCCACGTATACATTCTGGCCCGTTGGGTATTGTCTGAGGTTTGAATGGTGCCCATTCTGCCAGAGCTGGGTGGTTGGAGGTTGCACGTTCTCGCCTTCCGAAAGGAAGGGGTATTCCGCCAGTTGAGGCTTGATACTGTAGTGCCCAATGGCCGAATATCTAGATGATGTCTCTTGAGTGGTTGCATGTACGCCGAGGAGTGTGGGCGTCAAGATCGAGGGAAAAACACCCGGTGCCAGGGTCGAATGAATTCTCGGCGAGATGGGATGATTATCACGGTATGGATCTCAGGAGGGAGTCATTCTGGTCCATGAACTCCGTACCCTGGTACTGCACTCAGGCCGCAGTGCAAGTTGGAAGTGGCATAAAAGCTTGTGCCGGAAACATCGTGCCAGGCCGGTTTCGTGACTGTACGAAGACAACCATGCAGTGGCCAATCCAATGTTGCAGATGACCTTGAATGGTTATCCTTTCGCAATTTCGACCGAGGAGGTGTGGTACAATGCGGGATTGTACAGAGGTGCCCTCATAAAGCTTGCTCACTCAATCTCGATTCCCTCCCTTTCGGCAGCCTTGATGATAAAGGAGCGGACTTTGTTGTCTGGGGCACATTCAATTGCCAATCTGCCGTCAATGTCTTTCTTGTCTGTTTCGGCGCCGGCTTTCAGCAGCTCAACCGCCACATCTGCATTTCCTTCGCTGATGGCGTGGTGCAGTGCAGTCAGTCCGTCCATGTCGGTAGCATTGATGGGACTCTTGTTCTCGAGCAAGAGCTTTACTATCGGCACACTTCCCACTGCGGCGGCTCGATGGAGAGGCAACTGTCCGCGTTTGTCCTTGGTCCTGGCCGAAGCCCCGTGTTTGAGCAAGTTTTTGCAAATCTCCAAGTTCCCCTTCGATACGGCAAAATGCAAGGCGGTCGCACCGGTGTTGGTCGTGATTTTCGGGTCGGCCTCCTTCGCCAACAAGAGCTCAACAATGGCCTCTCCACCATTGTCTTTCAGACTCGATGCAATCATCAACGGTGTCCATCCTGAGCCGTCCTGTGCGTCAGGGTCGAAGGACCGTGTCGAGGTGAGCAGTTTCACAATATCTAGGTGGTTGAATGCGCATGCCCAGTGGATTGCGAGGCGTTCGTCTTCATCGACAACTTTGGCGAGTTTAGGATTTGCCTTTTGGATTGTTAGCCGCCTGGCAGCGGAGAAGGATTTCAAACGTCTTGCTCAAGATGTAGAAGAAACATACATTTAGAAGCGACTCGACCACTTGTGCTGATAGACGACTGTTAGTAGATGGCTCCGGGATCAACGCAGTTGTACCCACTTCTGCCTTCCCTCGCCGCCTCGTGGATGGCGTACTCGCTTTCCGCCTCTGCCGCCGCCATCTCGACAGTGAAAGCAATGCACTGTTGCCAGTGTTTAAATTGTCAGGCGGAAGGAAACTTGTAGTTGAACGTCGCGATCACAGGCGGAACGGAGCAGTCTTCCCCGCAAAAAGTGACGACCAATCAAAATCGGCCTTGGCTGGTTTGTCAGGTTTGCGATTCAGCCAAAGGCGGAAAATAGAATCGCGGACTACAATTGTATGCGATGCCATCATTATAGGATATGAGTACCTGCGCTGCAATCCTGCCATCACTCCGTTGCTCAACAGTTCGCAACGCAGATATGGCGGCAGCAGCAAACTCCTTATCGGAGAGGACCAAAGCTATATTTGGAGACGACTACACCGAGCCGACGACTGTCCAAACGTACGCCATCACCACATCGTACAAACGAAAAGTCGAATATGAGAGCGTCCGCGAGTTGCCGAAAAGCCTCGCTGAAGCGCAGGCAAAGGCTGCCGCGTCGCGAGGTCCAAAGAGACCCAAGGTCCAACCTGGTGGAAACCAAATGGCTTTGGTGAAGAGCGAAGGAAAACCAGACTCGCCATCGCAAACTGCGCAAGGCAATGCCGGCACAGGAAACAGTCTGATTCGAAGACCTAATATGATACAACCTCGACCAGATTGGCACGCGCCCTGGAAGCTGATGCGAGTTATATCTGGACACCTAGGTTGGGTTCGTGCGTTGGCCGTCGAGCCGGGGAACCAGTGGTTCGCGTCCGGCGCTGGAGATAGGACGATCAAGATTTGGGATCTTGCGTCTGGGCAACTTCGACTTACTTTGACGGGGCATATCTCGACAGTCCGCGGACTGGCAGTGTCGCCTCGACACCCGTACCTGTTTTCATGCGGTGAGGACAAGATGGTCAAATGTTGGGATCTGGAAACCAATAAAGTGATTCGTCACTATCATGGTCACTTATCAGGCGTGTACACGCTCTCGCTCCATCCAACTCTCGACGTACTTGTCACGGGTGGTCGAGATGGTGTAGCCCGTGTCTGGGACATGCGGACCCGCTCCAACATCCATGTCCTGAGCGGCCACAAGGGTACCGTCACCGATGTCAAGTGTCAGGAAGCAGATCCTCAAGTCATCTCCTCAAGCCTCGACAGTACCGTGCGGTTATGGGACTTGGCTGCGGGAAAGACAATGGGTGTGTTGACACATCACAAAAAGGGTGTCCGGGCTCTTGCTATTCATCCAAAGGAATTCACTTTCGCCTCGGCATCGGCCGGGTCCATCAAGCAGTGGAAATGTCCAGAGGGAGCATTTATGCAGAATTTTGAGGGCCACAATGCCATCATCAACACTCTGTCTGTCAATGAAGACAACGTTCTTTTCAGTGGTGGCGATAATGGCAGTATATGCTTCTGGGACTGGAAGACTGGCCACCGGTTCCAGACGACCGAGTCCCTTGCGCAGCCTGGATCGCTGGATGCCGAAGCTGGCATCATGAGCAGCACTTTTGATCAGACCGGCTTACGTCTGATCATGGGTGAGGCTGACAAGACCATCAAGATCTGGAAGCCCGATCCGGATGCGACTCCGGAAACGCATCCTCTAGACTGGAAGCCTACGTTGGGAAGAGTCAAGTATTGATTTGACCTTACATGTCTTGAATAACCTTCTATCGGTAATGCAACGGCCATGGGATATTTTGAGATGTTTCAGCGATGGAGTTCAGGCAAAAAAAAAAAAGGGGATTCTCATGACGGGGACGGGAGGGGTTGAAGTACAAAGGCCAGACCATGGCACGGTGACAGTGAAAACGAAACGTCCCTTTTTTTGGATGGATTCAAATTACCATAAGTCAAGACACGATCGAACTGAAGCACGAATCCCAAACATAGAGTGCTCCCGCCCCAAACATCCAAGCCGTCGTCCGTCCCTGGCGGTACCGGCCATCAAAATGGCTTAAATCCACGATACCCAGCGTCAACCACCTCACGCAAGACCTTGCGGTACGCGGCCAAACCGCCGAAGTAGAACATCACAGTGTGCCTTTTGCCCGGGATATTGGCCCCGAAGATCCAAGAGTCTGTCTTCTTGAAAAGGCTGTTGTCGCTCAGCTCCTTGCACAACTGCGTCCAGTCATCCTCGGCATCAGGGAGTGCTTCTATAACCGGTCCCAATGCAGCAGGTGAGTCATTCGTGGGACTGTTAGTCTCTGGATTCTTCGCACGGTAATGCTCCTCGGCCCTGGCGATAGTGTCGGCGATGAACTCGACCTGTGTCTCAAGTGTGGGCGGGATGTTGGTAAAGGGACTGTTCGGACCCGTGATCATAAACAGATTCGGGAAGCCTGGCACGCAGACGCCCAAATGAGTGGTCGGTCCGCCTTTCTTGTCCCAATGATCTTTCAGGCTCTCGCCATTGCGGCCCTTGATCGCAATGCGAGTATAATTGCCATCCACCGCGTCGAACCCTGTCGCGAATATAAGAACGTCCAAATCATAATGCGTCCCGTCCGACATGGCAACGCCTTTCTCTGTGACACGGTCTATCGGATTTTCTTTGAGGCTGACGATATCGACATTGGGGCGGTTGAATTGTTCGTAGTACCCTGCGTCGCACAGTGGGCGGCGAGCATAGAAATCATGCGGCGTCAGCTTCCTGGCCTTCTCTGGGTCTTTGACAATCTGGCTGATCTTCTTGCGGATGAATTTACAAGCCTCCTCATTCGCCTCTTCGTTGACCGACAGGTCGCTGAAGGTCCAAAACATGAATCGAAACCCGTTGCCACGCTGCCACGCCTCTTCGAACTTCTTCTCTCGTTCCTCCGCGGACACGCTCATGGCTGGGGTCGTGGACTCTTCGAAGCCAAATGCCACGGCGCTGTTCCGGACTTGGTCCCAGATCTCGTCATAGCGACTGTTGATGGAATCGCGATATTCCTGTGTTACGGGCCCGTCGCCACTGGGCACGCTGTATTGTGGGGTGCGTTGGAACGAGACCAGTTGTCGCACGTCTTTGGCGATGGCTGTGATGACCTGCACGCCGGTGGATCCATTGCCGACAATACCGACTCGTTTCTCTCTAAAGTCGTGCGCGTGTGGCCATTTCCTGCGCAATAGGATATACAGTCAGCAACGCCGGACGCAAGGATCATGCAAGTACCAAACGCTGCTGCCATAGTGTGCCGCTCTTACCCTGTATGGTACATTTCGCCCTTGAAAGTCTCAATGCCGGCAATGTTGGGGTAATTGGTCTTTGAGAGCAGTCCCAAGGCGGTCACCAGGTACCGGGCCGTGAAGGTGTCGCCGGTCGAACACTCTACGACCCAGACATTTTTGGCCTCGTCGTAGTGGGCATGTTCGAGTTCGGTGTTGAACTGCATGTACTTGCGCAGAACATATCGATCGACCACATGTTGCAGATAGGCCAGCACTTCGGGCTGTTTCAGATAATGTTCTTTCCAATGGTAGCTGAGCAGATCTTCTTTGTCCCAGCTATATCGGTAGACTGTTTTGCCGGCATGTCAGCGTTTCCATCCGGTACGCAAATCTTGAACTTACTGTATGATTCGGTGTCCGACATGGCCCCAGGGTATCGGTTCCAATACCACGTCCCCCCGACATCGCCAGCAGCGTCTATCACCTTCACCGAAAGCCCTTGCGCCAGCAGTTTGTGGAGTTGGTAGATTCCTCCAAAGCCGGCGCCCACGATCAGCGCGTCGAAATGTGTCTGCTTCATGACTCTCGACTATGCCGTTACCTGTTCTTAGCGACCTATGCGAAGATTTGTTCCAGAGGATGGACAGCTTTTCAGCTCCCTGTTCAAGGGGCATGAAGCCAAGGGAGGTCAGGCCATGTTACCGAGGCAAGCAGGACAATGCGAAGAGATGCGGAGAGGATGTCGTGCTTTGAGACCCCCATGAAGTATTGAACCAGTCGGCGAGTCCAGCTGTGGAGACCCCGCATTCGTGGGAGATACTGTATACCAGGTACCTTATCCATTGTACCTGGAGTGCTTGGCTGCATGAACTCGAGTCATCCGGCTCGATTGTCAATCTGTTGACGTGGGGATGCCTGTGAAGAGTCTTTCAAGGTTGTACAGGTAGTATCACTCGCCGTTGTCTGGTCAACGCTATAGGTCTGCAAACCTGTTGGTGCCACTCTTTTTCCGACAAGGCTGTGACCTCCTTTTCCGGATGAAACCTGGGGCTGTTCAGCATTCGGAACTCAGAAGCGTGAGGAAGACTGCCACTGCTGTCATTCACGGTGGTCACCAACTCTCTACAAAGTACTTCAATATCGAAGCTTGTCAAGTTCAGCCTTCCTTAATCCATGCAGTGTGGACCACATTGGGTGCCCGTTGCCCACGTGATGAAACTATACCATTCAAGTTTGCCTGCCACTAAATAACCACTTTCATTCAACTCCTTCTTCCACACCGGTTCAAGTCCGTGGCTCACTACTGGCAGAAGGGAGAAGGCAGCACCCTTCCAAAGGTGCTCTGCGGTACTGGTTGGTGACCAAAGTTACTCTCCTTACCAACTGCCAATGCGCCCAAGATCTCTTCCTCCTACAGTCAAGTCACCGGAACGGAACATCAAGGCTTGCTTGCTGCAAGATTCGCTTCCTCTTGCTCCTCCCTTTCTCCTTCATTATGCAAGGCTTCCTTTGCTGCCACATGATTTTCCTTGTACTTCTGTTGATCTTCGTTCTTCCTCTGTCGCTTGGCATCTTTCATGCGGTTCTTTTCTATTGCACTCAATCGTCATTAGCCAAACCACTGGAAGGAGAATATCAATGCGCAGGTATGACTGACCTTTTCTTGGCGTCGTCGATGCGAAAAGCCCAATAGGCAAGATGGCTGGAGTCTTGTCTTGCTCAGGCATTGGCATATTGAGAACTAGCATTCGACTGTCGCCCTCCACAACACAAAACTCCTCTCTCTCACTAAAAGAGAGACTTTTGTTTTGGACTCTCAACGACACTTTGCCTACGAATTCTTCGTGGTGCGGACATGGACTGTTGTCCTCGGTGGCTTCTTTGATGCGATGGCTTTCACCTAGATCCTTCAGGAGCTGGTGCGCAATGACCTGGCACACATCCCCCTCAGCAATGGTCGCTTCCATTGCCTCAGAAAATACCTCCTCCTCTTCGCACCATATTTGAAATCCTGGTATTGTTTTTTCTTTCTGCATACTGAGGAGGCGGCCAGCGAGATCTTCTTTTCTGCTCCCATATTAACATGATTCACATCCGGTTCAGTGGCCCTATTTATCTTCCCAGGAGCACTCTCTAGCAGGGCAACGATGAGTTGGCACTGCCACTTGCAGGGCCTGGGAGGCCACAGCGAGAGAGGCCATTCTCTCAATTCAGCCTTGGGAGGTGTATATTGCAGGCAAAACTCAAAGGCTAGATAAAATACTGCACGGATGCCATGTCTGTCGGGCACTCATGCAGCCATGCAAGCTGCACCGTACACCGCCTGGTCCAAGCATGAAATGGAAAGGGTGGGAAGGCTGCCATCAGATGGGTATATTGAGCCAACATTGATCAACCCTTGCGGGATGAACCGACCACTATATTGCCCTATGTTCAAGCACAAAGGCCGAATCAAACCCCTGGCCCCAGTTTTATCTTGATCTTCGCTTGTCTGAATGCGTCTATTCTGGCCTTGTGAAAAAACCTCCCTCTACAACAGTGGCAGGCGGCCGGTGACTAGGGAACCGAGTCCAGGCCACGAAACCAACAAATCAAAGTTCCAAGCAACCCTCCCTGCTTGCAGCCTTCGCACGGCGGCTTCTACTGACCACTCTTCTTCACCTCCTGCCACCCTTTGTCCTTGCAACCTGGACAAATCACACGTATTAGGTGCCCAAGGTGCTTGGTCAAGGTCACGCTAAGGATTGCCAGGTGGCCAGGGAGCTCGTCGACCACATGAAAGTCTTCCTCGATGTATTCTGCCTTACAGCGTGGCCGAAAAGCTATCTTCACTGTTCCATCGGATCTGACCTTCAAGCCTCCTGGGAGTCGCAATTCCTTCGAATTTCTCGGATTCAGCTGTTGGTAAACACCAAGAGAGATGGCCATTTTCTTCTTGATGATGCTACCATCTGCACATGTGTCCATGCTTACAGTGAGGCCGTCAGGCAGTCCAGCAGGAGTGCGCACAATGGTATTCAGATCTCTGTACTGGTCTATCTCCCCTTTTGTGGCGCTGGCGCAGCAGGGCGCGGAAAGAGGAAGCAGACTCAATTCAGACGATCTGCAGCCCTGCTGCAACTGTCGGGCACCATCCCAGCATGAGTGAGGGGGCCCTTCGACATGAACCAACGCGCGTAAGCCGTTGGTCAGTTCCAGCAACGCCGTCAGGCTGTTGTCCTTGGCGTTGATCTGTTGCCGGTCGGCTACAGAAAGGTTGCCAGTTACATTATATGCAAGGCTTGCTCTTACACCGCCTGACGGTTGTGGTGTCTGCCGAAGCCCTGAATAGCCAGGCCCATTTGACCGCCAGAATGCCTCTTCGCAAGAGTCCTGGGCGCCGCCCTGAGCTCGAATATCCTTTGTCTTCCCCAGACCATTATCCTTTAGCTTTGTTTGAGCCTTGTCCTGCATTATTGGCTTTTTCACGTCGATTACCACGTTGATGCGAGTATTTTCAGCGGATATGGAGATATCGATGGAGGTATCGGGCAAAGGACGATTCTCAAATAGGTCTGTAATCTTGACGCTGATATTGAGAGCCATACTGTCGACGTGGCGAGGTGATGCACAATGCCGGGGCGCGGAATGCAACGAAAGGGTCAGAAAATGGGGTGTCAGGTAGCACCTGCTAAATGAAAGGAGATAGAAAGAGAAAGACTTTGTTACAAACGCGTGGACAACTGAGTTCACTGTTCAGGTTCAGCAACTCAACACTGCGGCGCAAAGGAACGCAAAAGGGGCCAACATAGAACAAGTTGGTGGGCACTGGCAGCGAAAGAGCCACTTGCACCGGGAGATCCACTGGCACCGGGAGACTCACTGGCATAGAGGGAGCTACTCACTTCCCCGGCGAGTCCCACTGGCACTGGTACTAGCTGACGCAGATAGAACAGGACATCCGAAGTGTTACTCCCCGACTAAGGTACCAGACGCAGGTACCGGAATGACTGGAGTCGTCGCCGCGGACGAATTAATTCCCATCGGTTTTGTCACGTAAGAAATCTGCTCTGATGGCATCCTGAACCGGAAACACGTAATGACACCCCCGGGCTGGCAAAAGTCGTAAATTGCTCTCGAGTCGACCGGACAACGACTGGTTGCGTGAAGGTGTTGCTCGAGTCATGGTTCAAGTAACTCCTGCCCTGTCGCATAAGGTATTCTCTCACCGAAATCCGTTGACAGTGTGAAACTCCACGTTGGTGTAAGAGGCTTTTCTAGAACTTACAGACCGGTTACCTTTGATGTCAGCCACCTGGTTAGACGTGAAAAGCTCCCCGAGACTCACTGACGAGTCGCCAACTGCGCCGAAGTGATGGCGCCGGCAGGGGACCCGTTTGGCTGCGATGACAGCCACTGCCATGGCCATCATGAGTAGGTACCATTCCTCTAAGCCGCCTCTGGGAAGGTGCGGCAGGCCATGAAGAGAATAAGTCCTAAAAAGCAGTCCGTCATATCTGAATTGACCAGGATTGGAAAGCCACAGAGTCCAAGATGGGGTTGGCGGGTGCCTGAAAACCGGAAGCTGAAGGCCAACCGCCAGAGCTTGTTTTTCCTCAGGATGAGACTGCACGGCAGTGACTGGGTGGTGACCGGGAGTGATCCTGGGGCCGGAAATTTGGACACTTGGTAATGGTAGAAGATAAGGGTGGTTTTGATGCCGCGCACGCAATCCGGGCTTCGATCAGATCTCTCTGTTCCATGATTGTGAGGCCAAGAAACTCGGAACAACACAAAAGCAAGCGTGTCCAAAGGCCAGCATAACAGTTTCAGCCATTATGGGCGAAATGTGCTGGAACAGTCAATGCCCTTGCATGAAGCATATTGACCCGTATCACCGCAATTAACTGAGCGGTGGTTGCGGTGTTGGATTTCCGAACGATGTCAGGGATGCTGGCTTCGAGACCAACCACTGGCAACCCCTTTTCCATGCTTCATCAGAAGTCAGCAGGGAGACGTGGTGGCTGACACTAGGTGTCTTCTTTGAACAAACAGGCTGACATAGGCTCGGTAATGTACTGCCAGTGTTCAAAAAGGGTGCCCGACCCCCCTGCCAGTGTGGAAGCAAAGGAAAACCAGACACAGCCACCCAAAAGGTAAAGCCACACACAACACCCGGACTCGGAGTCTCTTCTCAGCCACATCTTTTGCTCTCTCACTTTTTCCCTCCTTTCTTCTCTGCGAGTACTCTTACTCACCAACCCTGTTCGTGACAAACCAGGAAGTTATTGTCATTAGTGATTGGTTTGCTTCACGCATTGTGATTGTGAGATTACAAAACAGTCAAGCCAATCCATGAGCAACAGCATGTGACAGGAAATCTCCACCAGAACTTATTCGCAGTGCGACTGTCTGGACGGTAGGGTAGAGAGCCTTGCAAGACCGGCCATTCTGCTCCCTTTTCTGCCTGCTTTGGCTCAGCGGGGTTTGGCGGCAAGAGACTATTTGGTTCGGTGTAACGTCCGTTTCGCATCTGGTACCGGAAAACGGGCGGATCAGGGTCCAAGAACGCCAGTTGATTGGATCGATACCAGGTAAGGCTTAAAGACCAAGGAGGTTGAAGAAGAAGGAAAACAGATGCTGCTGAAGATCGTAGAGGGAGCTCCATTCTTTTATGTTCGCAACAAGGTGGTCAAGATTGGAAGCATCCCCTTGTACAGGGCGGCCCTCCACTGTGGCTACTAGTACTTCGGATAACACGGTGCAGCTTGACAGATTGTGGCAGCAGGCCCATGCATGGTGTTCAAGGGTGGCTCGCATTCACGCTGATAAGTCACCACCCATTGGCTCTATGCATCCTACAGCCAAGGGCCCGTGCCGGGCGGCGTCTTCCAAGTTGTAACTTGTGATCACTCACATGAACAAGTGTTCGTGATGCTCTCGCCTACTGGGCGACCTGAACGCCATCTTGGGTGCCGCACTTGCAGCCCAAGCGAGGTCTTGAGGGTGACATTGGCGGTTTATTTTCACTGACCTTTCCCCCAACGGCATGGTTGCCTTCTGGTCCCTACGATGTCCTCTGTGTGCCAACGCAGAGCTGCGCGGTGAGGGAGAGGAGGAGGCACGATGTTGCCTCGTGTGAGCCTTTCCGCAGAGCCTCTCAGAGCATCCTCGTCGCCTCAGGCGATGGATGCCCTGACCCCCCGGCGAGTCTCTTAGCAGGCAAAGGAAGCCGGCAGTCGAAATGACTGCTTTCCATCACTTTTCACAAGTTCATTGTCGCGAACCGAGATGAATGGGTACAATGCCCTTGCAGCCCGAATCGGGACGTATCCCAGCCTGGCCGTGTTCAGGAGGTTTCTCATCCTGCACTCCCGAGACCTGCTCTGCATGCAGGCCGAGATTGTGAATCTCGAGCAAAAGCTCCTGCCCGCCATCGAGGTGGACCGGGAGGTCAAGGATCCGTTGAGAAATGCCTTTGAGTACGACATCGCGGCATTAAAGGGGCCTCATACGACCAAGAGGGCCGGATTACAATGGAGTCTCACCATGGAGCTTCGTGCGAAGCTTAAAGAATACGGCAGGTCTTGTCCTTGCTTCCCCCCTTATTTTCCCTTTTTCTGCACCACTTCAATCTCAGCGATCTGGGACTGATAAATGGGCCTGCAAGGTCCCTTGATTTTCGCTAGGCGAGGCACAACTTCGATTTGCCGCTCTTTGCCGTCTTGCCCCTGCCGACAAGAATGCTTTGGCGACCCTGCAAGAACTGCTCCAAAAGCCCTTCGGGAGCGGCCTCTCCTTCCTCAAACCTCATGAATCTGGAATTTGGGATGAGGAATATATCAATGACATGGCCTCGCTGGCCGGACAAAATATAGACAGAGATGGACTTTCCAAGCTGATTGAGAAGCTGGTCAGGAGCGTCTACCATCCATGGATGGGCCACAAGGTTCATGATCCCCTCTCAGTCGCCGAGGAAGCTTGGGCCTGTGAAGGCGACCTTGGACCGGTGATTTATTATCCCGACAACTATGTCACGGCGGCCGCGGATGCTTTGAGTACCATCCTCGCTTCGGTCTTGCCGGCTTGCTGCGCCCTTGGCTTGTTCTTCATTCGCAGTCCTTTGACAAGGATGGTTGCCATTGTGGCTTGCACCGTCGCGTTCAGTGTCGTCTTGACTTTGGTCGCTCGGCCCCGGAGGGTCGAGTCCTTTTGTGCCGCTTCTGCATTTGTCGCGGTGCTGGTTGTGTTTGGGGGAAGTGGAACATCGAATGATTCCACTCCTTCACCTTCACCTTGATTGTGCAAGCCGTGTTGGGCAGAACCACAGGGGGGCAGAGTGTCATGGTATGGTCACTCGGAGAAGGAGACATCTGAGGAAGATGTACGGAGAGAGTCATTGGTGATTGCTCCGTCAGTTATATTCATGTTTATATATCCATCTGTTTCGTGTACACTCTCCTCCTTCATCTGCTAGAATCGTCGTTCCCTTCAGGTGGTGGGTTTATGGTTCCTGGCCCAAGCGGCTGTGATGTTGTTACCCGCACTCTTCATGGAAGCCATACAGCGCAACGACTCATCGCTGTATCTTTGGTTCGATGCAGGTTCATGCCTCGTCACTGCCAGTGCCCGAGGTCATGCATGATGCGAGGAGGCTGCCAGGCCGGCACAGAGTGCTGGCACAAGTCACCCCGTCTTGGAGCATGACGGGGTCACGGACACGGAGTCGCTCGCTTCTTTGAGGGTTCATGCGACGTGAAGCTTTTGCTGGCTGGCAGGCAGGCAATAGGGGGTTGATACAGTGCATGCAGTACAGAAGAGAACGGGAACCAAACCCCAATGCAGTGATTCATTGTGAGGTGAGAGAGGCCCCCTTCTTGCCTTGGATAATAGGCGATGACAACGAACCAAGGAATTGGACTGGACTGCTGCCTCCGCAAGCTGGCAGTACAGTACCTAGGTACATGTTGCACCTGTAAGCCAAGCCTCCATCAAGAAAGCCATCCATGATTGAAGAGGAAGAATTACAGTATCAGTTCAAGGGTCCAATACAATTCTATCTACTTTACTAGTAGGTAACTGACTCGAGTCACTCGACTCGATGGCCTCCTGATGTTATGAAGCTATGTACATCGGCAGTTTATCGACCTCCGGGGACATGAGACATGAGACATTGCAAGCTACTACTGTATCAAGTCAATGCCCGGAGAAGACGGCATTAGGTATTTCGCAGAATGGGGTGTTTATTTCGCAGAACCGCTATACCGTAACGGGTAATATTTAGACCTACCTTAATTTAATTCGCCGGCTAGCGTAGCCCCCGCGTATATTTCGTAGAAAACTTAGCACTCGGCTCTAATTAGCCGGATCTTTAAGCCGAACGACGCTAAGTCTAATCGAGCGTAATATTACTAGAAATATTAACAAATAAGTCTAGGCTAATTATAGCGCGCTATTTAGACTATACGAGTTACGCTCGAATTAGAGTCGATTTACGAGCTATTTTTAAGATAATAGAGTATAAAAGTAATATTATTATAGCTATATAGTATAGCGAGAGCTACTAAATCCTTAGAGCCTTAGGCTTTTCACTATATATTTACCTAGTAAACGAGCTCTTATCTTAAATCGCTATACTAGTCGAAATATACTTATTCTAGAGAGCGAACCTCTTTCTCGATCTCTTATCGAGCTAGTTATTACTCTTATTAGTACCGTTATAGAGCCTCGTCCTACGCCTCCTAGTATTATTATAGATCCTACTCTTCCTACGCCTTCTAGTGCCGTTATAGCCGTTATATATTCTCCTCTTTCTACGCTAACTATCGAATTTCGTATTCCTAGAGACGTCGAGCGCTCTCGCCGAGGTATCACGAACCTAGCAGGAGCAATAGGCGTATGATTGATAGAATGGCAGTACGAAGGCTATCAAGGAGAGTTGCGCGGGTGCGCGAGGTAGATATCTACTAAGCCGCGCCAAGCCTTCAATTAAGTAATAAGTTATCCACGTAGTTACGTGGTAGAACTACGTTATATATTATAGGTAGCCGCCATAAGGGTTAGAACTATAATATCTCCCCCCTCTAAATCGGTCGTAAGATCTCTCGATCGATAGCTATATTTCCGAAAGAATAGAAGTACCCGCTAATTTTAGCTATACTTACTATCCTAACACTACCGGAGAATATAATAAAGCCCTTTATATTCCGTCTTAATACTACCGAAGAATATATCTTAAACCCTCTTCTTAAACGTTAGCCGTAGAAGAGAAGACTCTCGTCGAGTACCGCCGCGGTAGTATCTATTCGTCTTATAAGATAGCTATTAACCTAGGCCGATAGAGTAACTTCTAAGTCTTAGTTAGTATACGATTCCTAGAAGGCCGATTTATAGTACGAATTTAGCTACCGTTAGGTCGATAGAGCGAAACTAGTTATCTCTTATACTTCTAACGCCTTTTAAGTAGATTTCCTCTATCTCTAGAAACGCCTTAATCCTTCGTCGATACCTACTTCGTATTCCTTAGGAGTCTATATTTCGATATATCGTTTCTTTAAACCCTAGTTAAAGTTATAACCCTATAATAGTCCTAGCTTATCCGGGTATTCGTCGTAAAACGTCGTTATAAGTTCCTTATACCCTAGAAGAATATTCTTTTATAGTCTCTAATCCTATATCGAGCCTTTCTATTTAACTAGATAGAATAGTTTATCTCTTTTCTATTTCGAGTCCTAGATAGCCTCTACCTCGTATTCTTAATATTTACTATCTTTACGTAAGACTAGTTCCGATATAGAGAGAGCTTATATTTAGTCTAGTAACGGGTCTTCTACTACTAGCCTTAAGAGAGACGTATAAAAGATATTATAGATCTACGAGTCTTTCGATAAACGTAACTTATAGACTCTCGGGTTTACTATTTAAATAACTTTAAAGAGGCCCTCGTTCTTAAAGTCTAACTTCTTACTCGACTTCTTAGTCCGTATATTTTTCGTATTTAACTAAATATAGTTATCTATCTTATATACTAGTATAGATAGTCGTTTATTCTATTCTTCGTATCTAGCTTAGGCTAGGGATATTTAAGCTTTTACTTCGCTATAGATCTTCTATATTCTATCGGCGAAGGAGTCGGCCTATCGAGTATCTTTAACTCCTATCGATAGCGTCGGTTCTATTAGGGACGGTAGTTCTATACTAAAGCGAGAGTAGAGTCTATAGTTAGCGAAGAATAAAGATACCTATATAATATCCGAGATATATATATTTATAGCGAATTCAGCTAATAATAGCTAATTAACCTAGTCGTCCTATAAGTAGTTATAATATACCCTTAAGTATTATTCTATAAATTAGTTCAAGTTTTCGAATTATCTATCTATTTTAGGGTAATAGATACTAGATATTCGACGAGAAATATATAGTCGCTTATAAAGTCTCTTCTATAGTTTAGAAGTAAACTAGATTCTACGATCTAACGTAATAAAGTCGGGTAGTCCGTATCGACTAAAGACGTAGATAAGAAAGAGTCGTGCTATACTAAGTACGTTAACCTTATCGTAAGATATATAATAGCGCCATTTAGTAAATCTATCGGTTACTACTATTATATTAGTGTACGTAACGCTATTCCGGATATATAGCGGTAATTCGACTACGAAGTCTATAGCGATTTCGGTCTAAGGTCGTTACGATACTAGTAACTATAGTAGCGTCTCTAGTTTAGTATCCCGAAATAATTTCGATCTTCTATATAGATAATAATTCTTAACGAATTATTTAATATCTTTCGAGAAGTCTAGCTAGTAGTAGATTTAATTAAGAGATTCGTAGATACAAGTACTACTAGAGTATTCTAAAGAAGGGGCGTTATAGTAGGCTCGAATAATTATTAATCTTAAATCTTTGTCGTTAGATATCTAGAGTCTATTTCTATAGTAGACGAGACTATCTCTTTCTTTATAATCTACTAACGAGATCTACTAATCTAGGATATTCGAAGGTAGCCGTAGTAGATATTATCTAAGTACTTCTCGAATCGCTATTAATAGTTTATCGTTTTCGTATACCTCGCGAACTTATATAGATATCGATTTCTTATTCTCTTAGATATCTATAGCTAGTATAGTTATAACGGATAGTTTTCCTACGAGAAGGACCTCTTTTACTAGATTAGATATTTTTAGAAGAACCTAATATTAATAGTAAATACGATTATCTTCCGATCTATCGAGTCGATCTCCGGGTCGTCGAGTAAGACTATTCGGCTTCGTTCTCTATTTACTAGATCTATATTAGATTTCGAAATAGAATTCCGATAAAAACTTACTCTATCTAGTCTATCGTTAGTTTAATTATTTAGTTATTATAAAATACTTAAGCGAACGATAGTCCGATAGTACTTTAACGGGACGGTTAGGATCGATATCTACTAGTTCGGAACGCTATTCTTTAAATACTCTTATAATAGCGAGTAACTCCTTATTATAAATTTCGTAGTTATATTCCGCGGAACTTATCTTTTTAGAGAAGAAGACTACTAGCTTAAGCTTTCTATCGATATTATATTAGAAAAGAATACCGATAATAACGAGATTAGACGTATTAACTTCTACCTAGATATCTACGTCCGGATCGAAATACTTTAATACTAGGGCTAATATAAAGTAGGCCTTAAGTTTCTTAAATACTACTTAGTAGTCCATAGTCTAATAAAACGGTTTCTCTTTAGCGTTCTTTATAAGTTCTATTAATAAAAAGACTATCTTTCCGAATCCTTATATAAATATACGGTAGAAGTTAGCGAATCCTAAGAATACTAGAATATCTCGAACTAATCGAGAGAGTTACTAAGCTTAAATAGTTACGACTTTACTAGAATCTATTCGAAGGCCTTCTATAAAGATAATTATTCTAAGATACTTAACTTTCTATATATAGAATTAGATTTTATCGATATCTACGTAAAGTCTAGCGTCTCTTAGCCGGCGTAAGACTTCTTTTATATATCGACGATAGTTCTCGATATTATTACTAAAGACTAGTATATTATCGAGATAAGTAGTATAGAAGTTATCGAGAATACTTTAAAGTACGAAGTTAATATAGTTTTAGAATAAAGACGGAGTATTATATAACCCAAAAGATATAATTAGATACTCGAATTATTCGAACCTAGTAACGAATACGATTTTCTATTTATATCCGGTAGTAACGCGTAGATAGTTAAAGACGATAATAATATCGAATTTCGTATAAAATCGTACCTTATATAGTTAGTCTAGCGTTTCTCGAATACGAGGAATAGAATATCTATTCTTAATAATAATAGTATTTAAAGTACGATAGTCGATATAGAATCGTAATCCCCTACCGAGTTTCTTTACTAAGATTACTAGAGACGTAATTAGTAATAACGAGAGTCTAATAAATTCTTTTACGAGTATTTCGTCTAGATATTTCTTTATCGCCGTTAACTTCTATTATATTATACCGTACGTCTTCTTATAAGATAGTTTATCGAGATCTATTTCTATTAATCTAATTTTATAGTCTATTCCTAGTCTATAGGGAGATAGTTTATTAGAAGTAGAAGTATAGAAGATATTAAGAAATTTATAATATTTAGAAGATACTCGTTAGACTACGTCCGTTTTCTCCTTATCGGCTATAAATTTCTCGAAGTTAGCTAGATTAACGATATAATATTTTAAAGGGTCCTTTAGGGTATAGAAACCTAAGTCTTCGTAATAGAAATACTTACCGTCCTTAGGATCTCTACTATAATTATCGGGCTAGAAGACTATACAGCCTTATATATCTTCTCGAATAGTTTAATAGAAATCTATTAGTTTCTCTATAACTATCTTAATACCGTCAATATAGGTAACTAAGGATAATATTCGTAGGCCTCTAGAACTAAAGACTACTTTATTCTATCTATACGAGAGGTATAACTTATAGTAGAAAGTATTAAACTTAATAGAGCGAGTATAGAAATCTAGTTAGACGGCGTACTTCGTTATCTAGAGTAGTCCTAAGATTAGAGAATAGTTTAAAGAGGCTATATAGTATCTTAGTCGTTCGTAATAGCGACTAATTAAATATTCTACTTCGATAAAATAAGTAAGAGAGTAGCGTCTATCGTCTACTAGTTCTATATCTC